TAATATAATAATCTGATGGTTTTAATTTATAACGGTATATAAAATAAGGTAAGGTATGCAGAATACCATGGAGGATGATAAATTGCTACAAAGCGCGAATCAAATTAAAAGGGATTTGTATCTAAGTAATTTTGATTTAGAGAAAAAAATGTACAGAAGCACCGTAAGTACAAAAGAAAGCAGAGCTCTCAAATGTTCAGTGGTAGATAACAGTGAAACTATTTCAAACAATATTTTATCAAGGCAATCATGTAAAGAACAGTTAGAAATCCTCTAAAAGTCTCAAGAGGAAGAAATTGATAAAGATTTATAAGAATTTGTTGATGAAATTCTTTTAGGCAAATCAGAAGATAAAATAGCTCGAAGGGTGATAGAACATTTAGGTAAAATTCAACATTTAAAAAAAAAGGCAGGCAAGCCTACGATCTTAACCAAGCCGATGAAATCTCAAGACAGAAAACGTTAATTATAATTGAACTTTTTTCTAAGTATAAGAGTCTGAATAAAGCGAAGAAAGCGTATGAAATGTTGAATAAACAAACGAAAGCAGATACATCCCAAAATCAAACAGAAAAGTCGATTAAATCAAAAAAAAGTGTTCAGAAAGTGAATAAAATTGTTATTGTTAAAAATACAATTAGTGAAGAAGATTTTCAATTAGAAAGTATCATAGCTAGTCATATTATTGAGGATACGCCAAACCAAGTCGAAAAATCAAGTATCGAAATTTCAAAACATATGTTTATGTTTGGATTAGAACTAGAAACGTTCATGAAAAATGATATAGAAGTGAGAAAAAATAATGAAGATATACAAGAAATGGTTAAAAAACACTGAACTTTTTTGACTCATTTAGAGATGGATTGTATGAAATATTACAAAAATCAATATCAGATAAACATCAAGAAATATTACAAAATGAATCTGAAGATATATTAGATGATGATGAACAATCAATACCTTCAAAAGCATTAGATGAATTATTCAAAGAATTATTGAACGATAATATATTATTAAGTAACTTAGTATTAAAGGGATGCCAAAAGAAATTAGATGCATATAAGAAAAAAAAAATTTGGATGTAGTCGAAAAATTATCATATGAATTTGTAGAGAACAACCAAATAAATGAGTCTGCTCAATCAACAATAAATAGATATAAAGAATTGTTTAATGAGCATAAAATAACCTTAATATTAAAAAGAATTGACAAAATAGAATCTCAAAGTGGACATAAAGAAATAGGATACAAATATAAAAAATGGTTAGATATTTATAATAAATTAAAAAAGGTATCTCAAAAAAGTTCAAAATCACAAGACAAGGCAGTTATTGATATGATTAGTCAAAATACTGAAAAAGTGATATCACAGGAGCCTAAACATGATAAACCGATTGAGGATATAAAAAAGGCTGATTGTAGAACAAGCAATTCATTAAAGATAATTGTTGAGTTTGAAAATTGGCTTCTACCTAAACAACTAGATAATGTATATGATGCACAAACACAACAAAAAAACATACGTTCTATATTGGTTGAATTATGTAAGAAAAATCCTAAGAAGGCCAAAAGCGCTGCTATGCTATTGAACAATAATGTAAAATTTAAAGAAATTCTTGGCACACTTAAGATAAAATACAAGAGTATTTGTAAAAAATAATCTTCATCAGATGAATATTCTGCAACGAATGAACAGTCTTACTTAACAATAGATTCAATATGAACACGTGTTTTAGAAGAAAATAAATATAAACTAGTGAAAGAACTCATAGAATTGATTATAGATGAAATTATCAAAACAGAATTAGGCAAAAAACATATGTATTTCATATTAAAAAAACTAACTGAAATAACAAATATTCAGAATTTTGAATATTATGGAAAATCGCCTGAGAATGAAGAGTTGAGGAAAACTACAATTAAAGAATGTGTTTCTTTAAATCCATCATCAATGGTGAAAAATTTAACAGAGAATCTGTTTTCACATTTTATATTTTTATAATTGTGCTAATGTATGCTATGAACGAATCTGAATCTGATGTAATACCTGCATAGACAGTGAATTGGTAATAAAAATAATTAATTAATAACGAGTTTTGAATGAATTTCAATATTGATGAGACTATTGTGAATGAAAGTGATGAAATACATAATATAAGAGAATTATAAGCTCAATGAATGGTTATAACTATGTAATATTAGGTAAAAATAATGGTGCTGAAAACTAGCCATTGTATCTGTCTATAAATAATAAGTGTTAAAGTAATTCATGCGTTTATAATGCATTAATAATAAACATTTATTTATTTGATTTATAACAGTTAAGCATAATAAAGTATGTAATAATAGTTTAGTTTGATAGAATTGAGTTTAATTAATGCGGGAATATGAATAATGCATAAAATGGGAATGAATAGAGAAGACAATGGAAACAGATGAAAAATAAAAGATTAATTCAGGAACTATAATCAAGTATGCAAAGAGAAACCCATGCCAATTTCTATTCGAAGTACTGAACATAAGCAATAAGTATATTTGGATATAATGAAAAAATAAAAGCTTTGGTTGATCGGATACGTATTAGATTAAGTGATTAAAGTATAAGGCGTACTATTCATAATTTAATCGATTTTCCAGATCCGACAGAACTCCGAATCAGTAATTTATATGTGCATATAAACTCTGTTTATAGCTCCTGGGGTAATCTTAGTGAACATGTTAAACAAACGATTCTGAAATATAATTCTATTATATCTAAGGATAACCATTTATCATTTTTTTCTGAGGAGACTTTGCGCCGTATCATACAAGATATCGATTTATTAGAACTAATACAAAAAATAATAATATTTTAAAATCTCAAGATTCTGAATTAAGTACTTTTATGCACCATATTTCTAGTTTAATAGATCACAGTCTATCTTAGATATACTGATTTATAATCTGCTTGTTCAAATAATTACCAGCATATTAACAGATCAAACACGCACCATATCAGATCTTAGTGATTTGGTACGGATAATCAATAACATGTCTGTTGAACAATGTAGAATGTGTGCTCAAAACGTAATTGTTGCTCTAGAATTTAATGAGAGCGAAATAAATATTCAAACTAAAAACGAGATCAATGAATATCTGAAGTGCCAAGGTACCGATTTAGTTTATATATAGATATGAACCATGGAAATGTAGAAGGTTTATCTAAACTAATCACAGAATTGCTTAGTAGCTTCAAAATATATACTTTAATAGCTGTAATTCAAATCTTATTGATTTCTTATCCAAAATGTTCGGGTCTTTATAATACTCATAAAAATAATGTACCAGATAATGGTGCATATGCCATGGAAGTTGATTAAGTTAGCAATATGTTGGCAACAAGTACAATATCAAAGCGAAGAATGTAGCACTGATTAATGATTATGATTTGTGGGTACATTATTATTGTATTTGGAATATCTGAATAAATCACTAAAATAGGATAATAAATCAATTGGATTAACTAAGCATTTGTATTTTAATAAAACACAAATAGTAGCCTCCCTAGAAAACGAAATGGTAACGAATTCCAATGATATTAAACAATTAATACGGAGCATAACAATGCCTAAACTTCCTAGCATTGTTGGAGCAAGCATTTTGGTATTGATGATGATAATGATGATGTTTTATAACATGCTGAGCGCCACCTATGCCAAATACGTAAAGATTGCTACATGGATGATCTCTATTTTGGTTCCTATTGTAGTTATCATTTCCAATATGATAAGCAGTTCGAGAAAAAACAACACAAAGCTTACTGATAAAATATACGATAATGCAATGCCTATTATCTGCAGTATTTCGATGATTCCAGTTGTTGTAGTTGACTTGATATATGATCAAATGATATTGCAACAGGATCTTTTAAACATGCTGATATTTACATTGATTTTGATTAGTGTAATGGAATATATTTTTACGGATAGAAAAAAAACAGGGCAGGAAATAAATGCTGCTAGGTATAAACTGAAACGGTATAGTAATCTTGCTATGTCTACTTTACTGGTTTATTGCTGTTCTTTAGAAATATTTCATGTGGCAAAATTAAGTAGAGGAAATTCCAGAGAAAATGGATGGATACTTTCATTAGTATACACTTTTGCAATAGGATTGCTATTGTTCTTTATGAAGTATGTTGTTTATCGGATATTATTACGATCAACAAAAGATATTGATTATAAAGAATCCACAGATTCAGAAAGTAATAATGACATTATGGGTACGATTCAGATCGTTGATATGGTAAATAAAGAAGATTGTATTAATAGAAGTAATCGCATCATAAGCTCCATATGGATTGGCTTGATTATTTCTATCCTTACAGGAAGAGCCATCAATATTTACTATAACTCGTCTATGTTTGAAATGATTGAAGAAGAATAAATGGATTATTATATAATTATTAATGGAATAATGTGTTTAGTTAATAAGTATCCCAATACAAATTCAGATTTCTTATATTTTTTATTAGCTGATGCAACGATGTATTTGTGTACTGATACAGAAATGCTTATTGTATTTAATAATCGTTTAAGCAATATATATTCTAACTAAACTGATTAGACATGTGTTTTATGCGCATCAATATGAATTTTATAAATCATATACTGACATTATAAATAAGAGAAACACAAATAAGAAGTTCAGATTTCCAATGGTAATGTAATAACATTGTTGTGTAAATTAGAGATAATGAGAGTTATCTCCTTTATAAGTATATATACGGAAAATACACAGACCGTACCTTTGAAATGGCCAGAATTAATAGAATAATTTTTGCTTCTGTGTTTGTTACCAGCATATCTTGCGGATTTTCTTTTAGAAAGCTTGGCGATAGTCTTACGAAAAAGGTTTCTGGAACCGCAGATCTTGCTGATAGTATACTTAGACAGAAGCTTCAAGATAGCAGATCTGATGGATCCAATCCATCTGCTGAGCGAAATGAAGACCAGGAGTAGATAAGAAGCGATATTTAACTCAAATAAGCTTCATAAAATAAATGCTTTAAACATAAATTTGTATTTTATTGATGTAAACCCCATTATCATATACAGAAACACTTTTAGCTGTCATAGTTGCATGTTATAGCCATGATTTCTTTGTTTTGGCATCCTACATATACACTGGATCCTCCTCCAAATGCAATAGAGTTTATAGATCCTTCAAACTTTATCTTGCCAACACAAAAAACTGAATTATCGCAAAAATCCCAGAATCGTAGAGATCCATCTTTTGAGCCTGTCACAAATGAATCCTTCATCGCCACTCCACATTTTATCCAAGAATCATGAGCATAAGGAACCGTCTTGACTATAGACCTATTCTTCCATCTTTTCAATGAGCAATCTCGTCCAAAACTTACCAAATCACTGTTGTAACTCAATAGTCCTTGAACAGAATCTAAATGAGGAGGCGAAAGCGTCAAAAACCCATCATTATAACATTTAACTGTGTGATCCCTAGATGCGGTATATATATCATTGCCCATCTTTTCTATACTGAAGATTGTTCCTGAATGTGCCTTTTCTGAGACGACTATTTTTGAGTTCCTATCATCAAGTATAGAAAACGTCCCATCTTCATGCCCAGTAAACATATAATGCTCAGAAGACATGATTGAAGAGATTTCACTCCTGAACATATAAACAGGACGAGTTCCAGATCTTGGATCAAACCTTCTGAGCATTCCTCTGGTAGTGTAAAGCAATGTTTCTGCGGATACCATGCATCTTATACCTTCTTCAGCAAATAACACGGACACTTCTTCGCCCCACTGCCTTACTTTATTGTCTATTGATGAAAATACAACGCATGAGTCATAGAAAGTCAAAACTGTTGGCAGATATCCTGTAATTGTATTATCAATTGTGGTTTTCATTGTAATTTTTTCTTTTCTTGGCGTAAATAATGCGTATTTCTTTGTATTTCTTTCTAAATCAAAGGTTACTGCTCTCTTGTGTATTTTTTCTATATTCTGCTTGATTTCAATTCCATTGATTGCATCAGCTGTATTCGATATTTCTAGTGAATCAACATGCTTCCTTATTGTATCTATTCGCGAATTGTTCTCTTTCTCATCACGTTGTATATCTACTTTTTCTGGATTTTTATCTAACACTTTTTTAATACCCAACACCATAGATTCTGGCATACTCCATATATCTAAGGTATTTATTTCGTTACCACCCTCTTTGCGATTATTTTCACAATAATTTGGCTCATCGTCTAACTTTGATTTACGGCATGCTTCTTTGACTTTCTCAGTTGCCATTGAACACATCGGCGCTTCTGATCTTGAAAAACACATATTTTGAACCATTTCATTGAGCCTTTGATTCTCGTCAATCAAGTTCTGCACAAAAGGATGTTTTAGAATCTCCTGGGAAAGTTCTTCTCTTTTATCATCCTTCTCGGTACTCATCGATTCGATCTTTGATTTCAATGTCCGGTTCTCACAGATAATCTCCTCCACATTCACTTGTGAATCCCTCTTTATTCTATCTTTCAGCATTTGATTCTCAACCTTCAGCTTCTGAATCTCCTTCTTTAGCAGTAACATTGCAAACTTCGATCCATCAACTTGTATGTTCATTCGTACAGAAGTTTCAATAGATGCAGCTCTACTTGCATACTTTAGCGTATTGTGTGTTTCATTCATATCTACATGAGAAGAAGACACACATGCTATCATCAGTACATATCCGTTCAAACAGCTTTGAAGAATCCTCGTAAGCTTAGAGTCCCTGAATGGAACATGCGGAGATCTTTTGAACAATGCTGAAATCACATTTCCTAATGCTAACAGTCCAGAGTTTATGGATATTCCTTCTTTTGCACGGTCTCCAGCACACAGCGTCCGCTTCAATCTCTCGCTTCCTGCCAGATCAACAAACGAAAACTTAGAAATCACAAACGAATCATTTACTTCACACTTGTAAAAAAGAGTGAATATTGCATGACTTCGTGACGACTTAGAATTCATATTTGTTGACTTTGTTGTTCTTTCAAGTGATCCCTTGCTCAAAGCTGCTATTCCATCTTCATATGAGTTCAGGCATACCTCACTTACACCTGCAACAATCACTTCTCCATTTGCTTCCCTAAGACTCAGAGGTCGTTTGTGATGACTGAATAAGTCTATTACTTCTTCATTGTAAACCTCAATAAAAGTACAAGTAATTTCCAAACTTTTCGTAAATATATGCCTAAGAGCCTGAGGAACAACACCTGTCACATCTTCATGTGTTATACCCATTGTGTATGTTTTACCGCTGCCTGTCTGTCCATATGCCATGACTGTACAATTGTATCCCTGAAGAAATGCCTCTGTAAGATGCCTGACGCTTTTGTTATACATCTGAGATTGTGATGTTGTGAGATGTATTCGGTTGAATGTATATGTCTTTGTTCCTGCAGTTAGTGTGTTAGCTCCACATTCGAGTGCATTATCCAATCTTGGGTTTATCCTCACCTCTACTTGGATCGAGCTCTTCTTAGTATCCATAAGGAATTTGGAATTATTTTTTTTATCCCGAGCATGCAAATTGTAAACAGGCTAAGGTTCAAATGTTCATAATAATAATGCTTATGGCATATCTTTGCATTCATTGACAATAGATGCTTTTGATCTACAAATTGATACTCTGGTTTTCTAATTGGTTTGTGAGCGATGATACAACAAATGGACGAATACATCAGTGATCAAACAACACATACAGATAGAATAGGATAATTTAATGCGCAATTCAACAAGAAGCATGAATGAAAAATCAAGCAATCCACAAGAAAGCTGTTTAGAACATATTTGCATGCCTAAAGCCCAGCAGCCATTCATATTGAAAAGTATTCGAGACAGAATAGTGTGTAACGAAAGAGAAAAGATGCTTCTGTTCGAAACCGGATTCATAGAAACAATCTCTTTTTATAATGTGTCTGAATGTGAATGCTTATATCTAGAAATTCTATCTTTACTTGCAACATCCAGAAATACAGAAATCAAGCAGGATGTTAGAGGATGTATTGATCGTATATTCTATCTAGTAAGTTCATTAACTGCGCCATTTAATGAATTGCATGCATCAATCTTCAGGTCATTCAGAGTGGTGCTTTCTGAAACAGGCGCTGATCTTTTGCATGACAAATATTTTGACTTTTTTCTATCTGTTATTGAGAATGCGAATCCTTCATACAGCAACACAATCAGAAACGAAGTAATTGAATTATTTTGCAGAGTTGTAGATGTTGATTGCAGAATTAAAAAAAGATTAAGCATAGAGAAAACGATTAGAACACTATGCAGTCCAGAGATCAACTCTATTAAACTGCTTAACAAACTAATAAACGAATCCACATGGCAATATGTAAAGATAGAGCACTTACTTGGTAGAATAAACGAGTTGAACTCGAGAGATAAGCTTGATGGCCTTTCATGCTGTGTGAAAATTTACAACTTCAGCGGTAAAGGAGACAATGAAATCCTTGAAAGACTTATGTACGAATTGAATACTCTTCCATTAGACCGTAAAGAAGTTCTTATATTAATTGGTCATTTAAGTTATGCAAATTTGTATGCACAGATGCTTTTCAAAAGTAACGAGCTTGTTTCACGATTGATTAGCAGAGCATGTTATTCAAAGCCTAGTGAAATAGACGCAGAGATGCTTTTCTGCATATATTGCTTAACAAGCGTACTAGAGGAGAATAGAAAGGCTGTTGCAAAAAGCAGATTGATTTCTGCTGTATTTGTACTTCTCAAACAAAAAACCCAGCGTAAGTCATTTGATTGTGCATTCGTCATGGCTTTATTACTTCTTAAGAGTTTAACTAGAAGCGTAACATTGCTAAGATCAGATCTGATTGATAGCCCTATTGTGGAAATACTCGTAAATATTCTGGAGCATAATCTTCCAGAAACTATCGATGGTGTCTCTACAATTATGCCTGAAAATGAGACATGTGTTGGTATTATTGAGCAGAATGTTCTGAAGATTCTTGCTCATCTCGTAATGGAATATGGCGATTATAAGTCCAGGTTTATTGCTCTAAGTGGAGTAGAGATTGCTTTAGCATATACAGAACGATTCCCATGTGTTATGCTGCATTTGTTCAAAAACTTTTTATATAATGCAACTACAGCCACAAAGGAAATATTCATTAATAAGACTGATATATTCTTCTTCAACACCTTCTTTCGAATTTACGAACAAAAGAAAGACTTAATGATTTTGGGAAATTGCTTCAACGTGATCAGAAATCTCCTGTGTGATGATTCTCTTGATTACATTGTACATGGTTGTGAAGGTATAATAAGTCAAATATTTGTTTATCTTGAGAAGTTTAGTGGCATTGGCATAATTGAAGAAGGTACGAATGAAGAATGGGTTATGTTGCAGATAATGTACTGCGTTGTTAATTTAAGCGCAGGCTCAGATAAATTCAAGAGATTGGTACTCAACTCTAAGCGCTTGGATGATATGAAGAGAATATGTACAACCAGGAATTTGTGCATTGCGTTTGTGTGGATAATAATAAACCTATCATGGAGAGAAGAGGGATTTGAAGGTAGGGTTGAGGTACTGTGCGAGAATGGAATAAAAGAGTGGATGCTTGGGCTTGATGTAAAAGATTCTGTTTTTGCAGATAAGATCGGAACAGCATTGGAAAACCTAAGACTTGTGTGATTTGTCAGAAATCGTTTTGATCTGATCAAACTCACGTCAACGATAAGAAACATTCGGTTTCATTCGATGTGAAAGAATAAAGCAATTACTCTACAGAAATCCGATTGTATACAGATGATGTTGAATTTGATGAGTTTTTGGAACGAAACCAAGATCTATAAAGTATGTCTTAGTATGTTATTACTTGCAATGATTCCGATCGATTGTAGAACAGCGCATCCTTATGTTTCGCACTACATTAGCAAATGGAGACATAATCCAGGATACAAACAAAGCACAACATTCAGCACCAAGGATCTAAGAGATCCAAATTTCCCTATTGTTATTCCATACAAAGTCACTCAAGAACAGATTCTAGGACTTTTGGATCATCACAATATTCAACAACAGGAGCTTCAGGATCTAAGCATCCAAGTACCCATCCATGTAAAACAACAACAAGTAAGGTTTTAATAAATGGTTCAATCCAATTTGCTACTCTTATTCCAATTTAAATGCATTTTATACAAATGTAGTTGTGTTATGTGTTATATATAAGCAAAATAAAAAGTATCAACTAAATAATTAATAATATTTCAATTACATTCGTGCAAGCGCTTCAGTAAAAACTCAAGCATATTAAAGTTGCACTTCAAGTACTTTTAGGCACCCATGATATATTATCTACTGGTTTATCAATGAACTCGGTGGTTGCACATAGAATCCATGATCTCTAAGATGCAGCATCATAAGAATATCTTCCTGATTTAGTATATTATTTTCATTCTTAAGTGTTAATGAAAGTATATCTTGCTTGTTGTCGCATTGAATCATAGAACTTCCTGCAAATAATAAAGTCAACACTCGAAGTAAAGGTCTCATGCAGTTGTAAAGGAAACATCTTAAATACCAGAAGTTTCATGTTTTCAACTGCTTTGTGTGACAGTTTTCATACTGAATCAGATCTAAAAACACATATGAAACAATATTGTTCAATAATATCAATATCAGCCACTTCACAGATCATAAGGTTTTATTCAACGAAGATTGCTTCTTGCCACTATAAGTAATCATTGTTTCTAACCACTTAAAGGCTCTTGCAAGAGGTCCCGTTATGCTATTTGAATCCCCATCATCCTTAAGCATCTTAACATAAAAAATCTTCACAGCCTGCCCTGCATCCGGATCTTCTTGATTCTCAATCCCTGTTGCCTCTCTCAGGGCAGAATTCCACTCATAGTCCTGCTCTGCAGACTCAGGCGTATGCTTTACCAAATCAACCTTGTTCATAAGAACAACAATCGGTGCATTCTTTTCCATCTCCCTTACCGTTTTATATGCCTCTCTAACCTCATTAAACCTTTTGTTATCATGTACATCAACTATAAACACAATCCCATCACAATTATAGAAGTATTCCCTCCACACTATTCTGACTGCTGAGTGTCCACCAAGATCAACAACCTGCGCCTTGAGGTTCCCAATCTCGACCTGGTATGTGTTCGGATGCTTAGTAGGCATGTATGCACTAGTAGAATTACTCTTCAGCTTGTTAACTAGTGTAGTCTTTCCTGCATTATCTATACCAAGAAAAAGAATAGATGATGGCTTTCCAAACAACGATTTGATGAAGTTCTGAAATATTTTCTCGTATACCTCTGAGAGCTTGTTCTTCACAAGTCCAAAATATTCATTGATGTTGTCAAGCATTATTGTTTACTTCCCTAGGGGTGCTTTTTTTTTGTTTTAACCTTCTGAATATACTTATATAAACACTGCCCTGCAATAGATACATCGCGTTACTTCTTCACAAAGCTCTTCCTGTGCAAAAAGTCGAAGCTCTCCGAAAGAGGATTCTGGAGAATCTCTTTGTCAATGTCAATTGCATAAGTCATGAAAAAAAGTGCATCACATCCTTTCAGATAGCTTTCGAGCTCCTTAAGCACAGGAATGCCTGCTCCGCCATCAATACTGGGATCAAAATCAATCTCTATACAGAATATCCTCTGTCTCATCACTACATTCACTGATCCATGGAATTTCAGGCGGAATGTTCTAAACTGGAAAAACAGTCCGTTTGAATTCATTTGCCATGAAACCAGGCCCATCCCCACCAACTTTATCAACAGCTGTTTTATTGAAAACGGTGATATGTACACTCTATTCATTCTTATGTATCCGTCGTCTTCAAAAGCAGCAGTCAAGTCTTCCAGCCTGGGATTTTTCAGAAGCTCGTTTATTCTCTGGAACACCCTTTCCATCCCAGGGTTTCATTGTGTTTCAAATCATAATGCGGACCTTTTGATACCTGAAAATGCTTGATTGAAATGCATGATTACTGGTTTATTCAAAGTCACAACTTCAAACCAAAACAATCCCATCATCAATGCATATGACTATTGCGTTCATGATCAAACTCGACAAATTGAAACAATGCGTTTTACTCTAGCATGTATAAAAATAAAGGCCCGCATTTTCCTCATGAAACCGCTTATGCTGCGCCTAGTTGGATTTTTTGCAGTTATAAGAGGAACGACCACAATAGTTCATGAAAACCCATTTGCTTCCCACCAAGAGATCAGATACGATATTAGTAATCCATACAGAACAAATTTAGGTTCGTATGCATATACAGATCATATAGTTCCTGTGCTGAACATGCTGAAATCAAGCTATGGAGGCAGGTACCACAACTCTCACAAATTCACAATACCTAATGTTGTTGACAGAATTCATAAGAGGAATGTTGGAATCCGTTTATTTCCTTCTAAGTTCATCAGGAATGTCCATGGGAATGGAAAGTACATATTTTCTATACACGATGGAATTCACCATGCACACAGGCAGGCAATGCAAGCAAAACTTGATAGCTTAGTTTCAGAGCTCAAGATCAACAAGATTCGTTCAGAGGAGAAAAGGATCATGGCTGAGAAAAAGATCAATGAGGCAAATCAATTGAGAGAAGAGGAAAAGAGGCTGGTGTCAGGCATTCTGCAAGATCCGCAGGTGCTCGTTAAGGACACCATCGCAGTTGCTGATGTTGCAAATAACTTCTTGAGTTTCAAGGGACACGAAGACTTTCTAAAAAGAAAGCTAGAGTTGATCAAAAAGTATCAAGATGAACTCATAAACCAGCAAAAGGGTCGTGCACTCCTTCATAAGGCATATGGAAAAATAGTCCCTGATAATCTTGGCACACTGAGGACTCTTTACAAGCAGTTCATTGAGAGAGGCCCAGCAAAGGAGCTTACATATGAAATTCCTGTTGATCCATCAATTGGTAAATTCAGCGTTTCTACTAAGAATCTTCATACCAGCACCACCTATTAGTTTTGAGTAACATGAGGTTTGGATTGCTAGGTGTCTTAATGGAACAAATATGTATATTATGATGAGCGAGTCAGTTGAATGCTACAACATTCATTAAGGTAATATCGGACAATGATGTAAATGAATAATGAATTAAAGCATGGTTGTTGTTTTGTAGCACTTACAATCTATTTACATTGAATAAGGTGCCGTGCACTTACAATCATTAAAAGGCACCCTAACGCCTTGGAATGGCAGAGGATGGAAGGAGCGTATTGGCAATTGAAGGTGTTGAAATGATTGCAGATGGCAAATGCCTATGCAACAACCAGGTAATATTTGTAAAAGGAATCTATGGCATTGGTGGGTTGTCGAATGCGATCAGAAGAATTATATTGGACTCATTAACAAATTTTTCTTTAACAGATAATAATGAAATGTTGAATATATATGGAGACATACTGTACAATGGAAATAAGATATGCTATGACGAACTGCAGGATATTATGAATCAATACAAAGTATTCTACTCAAGTGAAAGTGTAAGGCACTCGCTTGAGTTTATCAACTTTCGAGATGCAGAAAAACTCATGGACATGTTTGATCTTACAGAGCTCCAGGACACTTCTATATCTGAATTATCTATATCTGAGTCTAGATTATGGGAAACTGCAATCAATTTAGCTTCCTCACAGAAGGTGATTATTTTGCGAGACTTTCAGGCAAAATACTCTCTTGAGAAAAAATATCTGTCTGCTCTCAAGAGCTACTCAGTAAGCAACCGATCTATTATTCTTGTTGAAACTGAGTACTTCATGGAGTTTGGTCTTGATGGATGTGTTTTTATTAAAACAAACGAAGTGGAATGTGTTGACTTCCATTCGAATGCAGGCATACGGAGATTTGAAGCCATTAATGCTAATTTGGCATATGATTCGTTTAGAAGGCCGTTCAGACCGTATAGGGCATTTAACTTCAGAATGGCAGATGATGCCAGATGTCTTAAGAAAAGCAATGTATATGAAATGTGTCGTAATGATCTTGTAGTGTATAAATTAGGATGCATAGATCAGCATATATTTTTTCGGAATACAAGCAATTGTAAAAAAATAGATGATGAGCAAGGTATAGGAAGCAAACCGAATATAGAGAACCAATCCACATACTGGTTGTATAGCATGAGCATCAACACGTCGTTGGCGTTGACACGCAGAAGATGTGTTCTTGAAGAGAAAAAGAGGAAAAGATTTAAAAGGGGGTTTTTCTCATTCTCGATCCAAGTGTGCATTCTCTTGATACTGAAGCTTAAATACGCCATAATCAATCAATTATCGAATAAGCCGGTTAGTTCTTATTTACGGTTAGATAAGTTTGATATTTGTCAAGCAGAGGTTTTAATTAGATATTTGTTGTCTAGGATACATTTGAGAATAGATCGCATTTTGAAACAAATGCTGTTGCTCATGGCTCGTCTTATATTCAACCTGATTAAGTCGTTGATAAGATGGCTTATAGAGTCATTTATTTACATGAAGACACATAACTGGAGTCTGATAGATTACAAGATAATCTCAACTGGAATATACCTGTTGGTTCTGACCCGTGGAAGCGCAGTTATTAATGAAGAAAAGGCACATATGTACTGCCATGTCAACAAGATATACTCTCCAGGCACATATTTCTTTCATATTTTCATATATCTGGTTCTCAAGATATGGATTCCTGTGCTTGCAGTTTTCTATATTCTCAACAACATTTGGATTTCGTTAACTTTCCTTGCCACAGGAACATTTGTTTGCATCCTAATAAATCTGACGATGAGACTGAAACTCAAGTGCATATGCATATGTATAATTCTATCTTTCAACCTTCTGTATCCACTTGACTGTGAAAATATAAGCAAGAGCTTTTTTCTCAAGTACTCTGAATCGTTCAACTTTTTTGTTGCATGCAGGGAGCTTCCGTTTTCACCGCTAGAAAAAAAAATGAAGTTGTTTTATCGCCTCCTGAGAGCCTACTTGTGTATGTATGTTTTGTTTTGTTACAAGCTTTCCAAATACTGATGGTAGCTTATACATGCTTTATTTTGTTATAAGCTTTCTAAATACTGGTCGTTACATAACGATTGTATCTCCTTAATAAACAGTTTAATAAAGGAGAATATAACAACAAGCCAATCACAATGGCTGATAACTCCTTAATAAAGTAAATTTGAGCTTAATGTTTACTCTTAGGATACTTGGCAGCTATATTAGGAGAAATATTCTCCTTTAATGAAAACTGAGCGTTTGTATTTGTGGATTAAGTAATGAGCCAAACTAGGAAATTGTGTGTAAAAGTATAAATACAATGAAAAACCAGGTCATACAATATGGCAGAGCAAGATGTAGGAGAGCCCAAGAACAACAACAAGCTGTATATTATAATCGGAAGCGTGGTGTTTGCGATCGTACTTTTGCTAGTGATCATTTTTATGTTGCCGTCTAATCCACTAGGAAAGCTTTCTGACAAGGATGTTGAAAATATCAGCAAGAGTGTATCAAGATACTCTTTCGTTGATCCAACAACCATTAAGGATGCAAGTCCTGCAAGTGGTGATAAGGATACACCGAAAGAACCTTTGAACCTTACTCATGTAATGGTATTCAAAGTAATTAATGCAATTTGGATGCAGTTCAAGAAGGGAGATACTGATGTGAACAGTCCTGCAATGATGGTATACAAGAGTTTGGAGAATGACTTGACTGTCATTAATGAGAAGTTTGTTGATGGAATCAATGATGCAGTGATCAATGCCAGGAGTATTCTGTTTGAAGACTCGAAGGTAAAGGTTGATGATATCATATCGATCATAATGACGCCTTATGAACAAATTAGAAATGAATACTACGCCAAGAAGAAAGAGATAGCTGAAAATAATATAAATCTCCCTGAAGACAAGAAAAAGTCAGCTGAAGAAGAGCTTAAAGAGACAAACGATATGAAGTCTTTGCTGTTTGCAAAGGTTCTTATTAAGTACCTGTTTAATTTGACTGGATTACCAACAGATATGAGGTTCTTTGAGGATGTTGAGAACGGATATAGCACAGAAAAGTACTTTGAGCCAGTATTGAATAACATGAGCTCTGAGATCAAGAGTATTTCTGAATCTAAAATATCTGTTAGATATGGGGATGCCAAAACAAAGGTCACTTCAGTGATAAATTACATATTTGTGGCAACTTCAGAAATGGCGAGTATGCTTAAGACGCCGCATGTAACAGAGTCTATATTCTCTGCAATATTGACTGAGCGTGCCGGAAGTATTCCATTAACCGATAGTATTAAACAACTCCAGCATGCGGCTCAGGCTAAAAAGCCTGCTAAGTAAACTGGTGATATATATTACGAAAGATTGGAATAAAGCTTTTTGAAGTTTAAATTATTTGTGATATTTTTATGTTATACAAAACCTATAAAAAGCTCTTGTGTATTTATTTACCTGCATTTGTGCATAATGTTTTATGAAGATCAAATATGAATGAAGTCAGTTTAATAATGGCTGAATGAATATATTGCGAATTGAGTAAGTAATGAAGATGTCCGTTGTAACGAATTGAGAAGAATTCTAAGAAAATATATAAGTGCAGATAAAAAGCAACATAATGTGCAATAGTTATGCAGAATGTTTTTGATGTGTTTAATATTCTATTTATGGCATGCATCAAAGTATAAATCAACTAAAAACCCCAATCCCTGATGAGTAGTACAGGCAAGAAGCTTAGAAATGCGATTGGAGGTATAGTTTTTGGTGCGGCATTTACTCTAACAGCGCTGTACTTTTTGAGGATTTTCTCTGCGTATCAGCAAAGAAGCCACAATTGTCAGGTGTTTTTTGAATATTTTGGTAAGTTTAGAGATGTCAAGAAGGGTATAGAGAACAAGGACGTGTTTGATGCAATTGAGTCAATAATTGATTTTGATGGAAATACACTTGAAGGAATGTATTCTGAGAAGATGGAGTCTGTAGGCGAGGTTGACAGTTCTAACAATCGTGGATTCAATTGCTTCAAGGGTGCTATTGCAAAAGCAAAGCAGATTATTTTCTCCAGTCAGGATTTGAAAAAAGTGATGGATGAGATACTGACATCTGAGAGAGTGAGTGTGCTTATTGCAAAGGAGCGGATGCAGAAGGAAGGGGAAAAAGAAGACGATGAGTCTAAGACTGAGGATAGCAGTAAGGCCGATGAAGATTCGAATGTTATGGAGATTGATGCCAAGAATATTGATATACTCACTAAGGCATTTTTGTATATTTTGGTCAAGGAAAGTATGAATCCAAAAAGTTATGAGTCGTTTTTTGATCATCTTATGAATGACAATGTTACTAAGAACCACCTTAGTAAGATTAGCAAAAGCAAGGATCTGCTAACTATTGATATCAATATCAAGGGAGTTGGTGACGATTCACCGATTAGCATATACAACTTCATACGAATTGTGATGCTTGAAACCAATAATCTTATTCCTCGAATTATTTCGGATTTTAAGTAAAATATTGCTTCTATTGTATTTTGGAATAATATAAAGAAAATATCCAATGAATATATGTGAACTATGGATTTATGTTGAGATCCGTTATTTATGACGTGAAATTTAGGACTAAGAGAATAAAATAATTTAATGTAAAAGTTATATATCTGTAAAGCTTATGTTATATATCTTGAAATAACTCCTTCACAAATTCTGCTTTTATATATCTATTATTTGCTTGTTCAACTGAATATTTGAGGTTCATGAACCTGGATTTTTTTGGGTCTTCCAGGGCCACGCTTTAACAGGTTTCTATCCGGTTGGCATTTTATTTGCAAATCTACAACAGGGATGACTTCATTGAACCTCAATAAACGTGTCTTTGAGTACACATCACCAACATATGTGTATGGATTCTGCTCCAACTCAATTATCTTTCTACATGCATGTACACATGGAATAAGAAATTCCTGGAACTTTCCACATGTGCATGTTTGATTCGACAAATCAACACCACTCACGTCATTGTCCATTAGCTTGCACATCTCTATATTCTTCTCTATTCTATACACTACATTCTTTCCAAAGGGATGCTTATCCACTGGATTTATTGCTTTCTTCCTAAGCCTCATATTGTCTCCAATCTGCTTCATAATTCCATTCAAGCAATCAAAGTATTGCAGGTTGAACATCCCAAGCCCAATAAAATCAACATCGCATTCCCCTGTATTCTGCATCCCAAATAGCTCCACATTGCAATATCTCTTTATATATCTTTTCTTTTCATATCCGTCTAGCTCAGGCATATTGCATGCTGTATCATTATTACATTTACTCCACACATTTTCAATTGCCTCTGTAGACCATCCTCTGTTATGGTAGAACCTACATATATCTCTTGTCTTAATGAAATACTCTCGGCCTTTCGCTTCCAAAATGCCAATAATACTGACGTCAAAGTCCACAAGAAAAAATACTCCAGGCAAAAAATCTATAAAGCATCTGATAGTATCTTCCCTACTCATACCTTCAGAAACAATGCAAGAATGCACAACAGGCATCCATGTGGGATCTCGAAGTACCCCAAAAACAGCAAATCCATCCGTTCTTTTATATACCCTTATCTCAACTACCGGAATTAAAGTATCAAGATACTCAGGATATGAGAAGAAAAACACATTATCTGTGCATTTAGCAAGGGCATGGGGATTTTTCTCGCAAAACTCAAGTAAAAACTCGTTCAACGCTCCCTTGAAAGCATCAGCTTTATTATCATGCATAATTTCCACCTGCATCTTGTTTTCCTTATCAAGCTCTCCACCCTGTCTCATTGCCTTCCAAACAGAAAAATATCCCATCTTTATATCCATCTCTGCTAATATACACACCATTTCACCAATCTTTGCCCCTCGCCCGCCTATGGCCTTATGGATCTCCGCTCTAACCATCTCTTCTGGAGTGTTATACTTCTGTGTCACAGAAGGACATTTGTGCACCAGCTTAATCTTCTTCACCACAAATGAATCATCTTTTTTTCTTGGCTGTGCGACTATCTTCGCTTCACATCCAAACTCGTCCTTTCCTCTACAACAAGCAACAATCGACTTGTTGGCACCTTCAAACTCAACAACGAGTCCATTCTGTTCTGCATGGCTTAATACCACCTTCTCAGCCTCCTCCCTCGTACTAAAACTATCATTGACAGACAATCCTTTCATCAGTATAAAGGGGCTCAGCCAAAGTGGGTTTATCAGTTATTTCCAGCGCTATACTCATTGCCAACAAAATAATTAGTTCCAATCCAATATTCAAGTATGAACTATAATCAACTTCTAACCTCCTATAATCAGCAAACATTACAATCACTCTGCTTGTAAACTCTCTACATACTCAGTGTATTCATTATGCTTGACTATAATTGGCTTTGATTGTAGTATACACCACACATAAACTTACTTATATCATGACCTCTCATATTTGTTTTTATGCTTGTCTTTGTTTTTAGAGCAAAATATACAACACACATTACTCTTCATCTTTCCAAGTCCTTCATTATCTACAACATCATCAGCCCAACTCACACGCCTGTCCCTGCGCACAAGCTTTAGCTTAATCTTGGTTACTGTCACAGCATTCGTCATATTGGGGCATACTCAGATTTGTGCATAAACCAGCATGCTCATGAATAACAATCCCTTCTTATATAAATCACAACTGCTAGGCACAGCATGCCATCATAGTAATATATTCGTACTCTTGATTCAAGAAGAAAAAATTACCCACAGATGAGAGAGTACAGATTGAAAACTGTCATTCCAACTGAGTCAGACGCAAAAGGTGTCTATTATGACGGTGATCTTTACTTTGCATCAAGTAACCACCTATTCAAGGTAAAAGACGGCAAGTACAAAAGAATCAGTGGATCAAATGAAACCATTCTTGGGTTTTCAATCTCTAAAAGACTTTTTACTATCACTAAGGACAGAATGTACATGTTCAATCAAGATAAAATCATAGGATCACTCAAGAAATCATTTTCTTGCATAGAAGCAAATGAGCAGTTTATTGCAGCAGGATGTTCAAGAGTACTTGAGATCTGGCATGTTCCCAAGGAAGCCAAGTTCACTCTATTCAACCTGCATTCCAGGCATTTTGGGCACTTCTTGGATATCACGTGCGTACGATTTCTTGACAACAGCTTAGTGTTGACAGCAAGCAAAGACTGTACAGTAAGACTGGTCAACATCCTCAAAAACAAGTCAGTGCGTGTGTGCAACACGATTGGAATCCCAATTGATATCCATGTTATTGATGACTCTAAGAAGGAAATAGCTGTTGTATGTGAAGGAGGCGTGATATTATATTATGTGTTAGATGGATACAAAATGCAGTTTAAAGACAGAATTTATATTAATTCGAAAATACTGGCATCAAGCAGCTATTCTGGGTTTGTAGCCGTTTCTTTAGATTCTAACAAGGAGGGAAATCTACTTGTGTACAAGGGAGTTGACCTTATTCATCATGCAACAGTCCTTCATAAGATATCAAGCATTTCTCTATTTGGGTCTTGTATTGCAGTAAGGGGGCCAAAGTTTGTTGCTATCTACGACCTGGTGATCAATGCCTTTCTTTTTGAGTTGGATCTTCCTAAGATAGTATCAATGGATACAAAGAAAAACATAATTGCCACAGGATGCTCAGACAAAAAAATCAGGCTGTATGATGAGCAAAGATGCACGAATACACTTGAGGATCCAAGCATGACACATGGTATATTTAGTGTACATATTTTGAATAGTTCTGTGTTGAGTGTATGCATTGATGGACGGGTGTCTGTCTGGGATATAAAGAATGGCACATGTTATAGGTCATTTCAAGTGGAGATGCGAGTGTGCAGCACTGAGGTTAGCGAAGACGGTCTTTTGCTGTTTGTTGCGAACTTTGATGACTACTCAATAAGAGTGGTTGATTTACAGAGGAGCAAAGAGATTGATGTGTTGAAAGGGCACGAAGGGCCTATAACTCAGATGGTGTGGAACAGAAGCTCATTGTACTCTGCATCATACGACAATGTTGTAAAGAAGTGGGATGTGTATAATCAGATAGTTACTGATCTTGATGTTGGAAAGACAATTACTGGGCTTTGTGTAAGAGACGGAAAGATGTGTGTAAGTGCAATTGGCGAGATTACGATATATGATGAGCATTTTGATTATGAAAGATCGGTTAAGATATCTCTAAAGGCACGTAAGAGAAACGAGATTTTTATCAGTGAAAAACCGGTGGAGTGTGTGGAGTTTTCGTTGGACAATAGATTTGTGATATGTGGGGGAGAGTCAAACACGATGAAGATCGTAGCTGTTGACACTGGAGATGTTGTCCAAGAGATGCGTGTTTCACAGAATAGAGAATGGGAAAATTACAAAGACGTGCTTGGTAAGGAAGCAGATACGTCTTTTGATAAGACAAAGATTATTGAGGTTTTGAAGATAATACACAGTGAGAGCCAAAGGATGTTTTATGTACTAACACGTGATGGGATCAGTATGTATGAAGTGTCTTCTGTGAAGTTTATTCCAATCAGGATGGACATCTCACTGACTCCAGAGTCAATACGCTTGTATATTGAGAACGAAGAGTATTTGAAAGCTATGATTGGATCACTGAGACTGAATCAATATGAGATCATACAAGAGGTTGTGCTTTCTTGTCCTATTGAGAGGATAGAAGGAGTTGTAAAGCATCTTGAAGAGTCCTTGGCTGAAGTGCTGAGAGGAGTTGTTTCAAAGATGATCGAAAATTCGATGCATTGTCTAGTGGCAGTCAAATGGCTAGGTTTTATTGTGCTATATTTTGGATCGAATAACATCAAAAGGCCTGAGCTCGACAAGCTTCGAAGAAATGCAGGCATGATCCTAAAGACAGGACAACTGAATAGAGCAATGCTGGATAACATTGCAAGAAAATGATTGATGCAACGATATGTCATTGAGTGTAATTGATGCATGAAGCTTTTGAACAATCAATCAAATCTTGTTGTAATTGTTATTCACCTATTGCTGACCAGCCATTTGCAACTTGTCTATCCCTGAGTTGAAAAGTATATTTAGTAAAAAGTACGTTTCTTTAATGTGCTGTGGAAATTTGTGCTTTTTGATCGTTGGCTGCAGAACAAAGTCAAAGAAGATAGATAAGCCAGAAGGATATCCAGCAGCCCCAAAAAGAATTATCTGCTCTCACTGTGGAAATATGGCAGATTCTGAATACAGAAGGTATAGCTACAGGTGTCATCTTTGTTTCATTCCGTGTCTTCCATGCGGACGAAGTGATCCTTATCTTGCATGTGTAGCATGTGGAAGAGATCTAGGAAACATTGGCGATCACAGATGTACCAATTGTGATGTTGCTACCACATATGAGACAAATAATTGTCCAAATTGTGGAGCATCAAAAAGAGGAGGTGCAGCAGGTGGGGGATATAGAAGATTGGACACAAGATAGATGTGCCTGAAAATCTCGCAACAACACTTTACTTTATTGATTAAAAGCTTTAATCGATATTATCTGAAAATTATCAGCTGCTGATTAGCTTATTTGAGCCATATCTATCAGTGTCTTTGTCGTTCCCACAAGAACTCCACATATAAATATTATTGCAAGAACGCTAACTGCTGTAAAAAGCGTTATCTTCTTCGATGTGACAATATAGCAGATGTACGGATGGTATGCCAACAGTGGTGTTATTCCAACAACCACAAGTGCCAAATAGAAGTGGAATGTACCAAATACTTCGTTGAACAGCACTTGTATGAAAATCATTCCAAGAACTGCAAGAGACAGCAGCAGTATCTTATTGTCATTCTCTGCATTCACCAATTTCTTAAATGATCTAATAAATACATCAAACTGTATTGCAAAGATCGCCACACATGCAACAGGTATACATATGCACATTATGCTTGATGTAATGCAGTACTTGTCAATTGTATGTTCCTTTAGATAGTTGTTAAGCTTAGATGATTTCAGAAACACAAGTTTCAAGATATCCAGAGAGTTGTTTGTAGACCTCATCCACTCAGCAGCATACACAAATATAAGAAGTATTGCAGATACCATCGATGCACTTGCGATTGCTACGTACTTATTCAGCTCCCTGTGTCTTGACTCATTCACCACTTTCACTCCTCCAGACACAAACTCCATCGTGTACAATGCAATTGCAGTGATCCAGAAAAACGACGATAGCGAGTCGTCTTTCGCACTATCTTGCCTGTGGAAAGCAGAATTTACACCCAATAAATAGCACACTCCCAGCATGATTGCCATAACCAGCATTGCTGCTGCAGATACCGCAAGAAACGTCTTCCTGAAAAACGTAGACATAACATATATCATTAGACTCACAAGTGCCAGTCCTAGTCCAAAAAGAACCCTATATATGGAAATCGAGCTTCGTATTTCCTCCATAAACGGAAATCGCACAAAAAGCGTGTTAATGAACACATCCACAGTAATAAGCAGCACAATATACTTCGAAAGAACCACAATCGCCTCAGCTGCATCAGATAGCATTTTAGACACGCCCCTCGACATATCTCCTAGTGTACTTACCTGCTCCTCATTCCGCTTTTCTTTCACATATCCAACTACGTATATCGAAAGTCCTAACAGGATGCCAGATGCAATCACACTGTATGCATAATACTCACTGCTAATGTTCCTCGTGAGGTATGTCAGAGACAAAAATACAGGTACTAAGGGCGACGCTCCCATTATTCTGTATGCATCACTAAAGACTTTTCCCGACTGGCATAGTACTCCTTCCATGTGTTTGTATTATTCGCTCAGTAATAAAAGAAACATGAAACATTGTCACACTGTCGTTTGCAGCTTGTTTCATTTCGAATGATATCGCATAATAGTATCAACTTTTTATTATGCTGCCCAATCTTTATCTTTACCTCAGAGCAGTAAATCCAAGAAGATGCGAGTATATCTCATCAATCAACAGCGAGTGCTTCTCTGTAAGCAGATACATCTTGTTTATTAACTCTTTACTTATGCTCCATTTCCTTCGGAGACCTTCTTCAATAAGCCAATGGATTGTCGCACTGTTCTTAAATGTTCCCTGTTTCAATATCGCTTCAAAGAGCTTCTTGTGCTTCCCATCAATCACATCAAAAACCTCACTTTCCTTTGCTCTATAGCACCTAATAAGTACCTTAAACAGCTGACTGTAATTGTCAGTGCTCAACAGTATCTCCACCGCTCTTATGTTCATGTTGTTTTGTATGCATTTCTCTATTTCAATACTCTGAGACTCTTTTAGATTCTTTTTCTCTAATTCCTCATTCGCTACTTTCAACGAATCATCTTCAAAAAACGCAATAGCTCCATTTCCACCACTAATAAGCCTTGTAGTGCTCATCATTGCCCACACCTTATCTCGATGTACTCCAATATTCATCTCACATACCTTTTTCTTGATATCCCACACTTTAATCTCTCCTGTTGCACAACTAGTTATCAGTTTCTCACCATTAATGCAAAACACTCCCTTTAACACCCCGCTTTTATGTCCACTAAGAGTCCCTACACAAGAAAACGTATCCATCTCCCAAAGCCTTATTGTGCTATCTGCAGAGCATGTTGCAATCAAGCCTTGTCCAAAGCTTACGCTCCAAATCCCCTTTGTATGTCCTAACAACACATGAAGAACTCTTCCTTCAAAATCTAAAATCTTCGCGGTCTTATCCTGTGAGCATGTCGCTATCAATCTTCTTTGTTCATTCATCGCAACTCCATTTATCTCCTTGTCATGAATCTTTCCCACATATACATTTTCCTTATAATCCCATATCTGAAGAATTTGATCACTTCCTACAATCACAAAAATATTGCTTCCCAAGCAGCATCCATTAAGCTCACTCAAACTGTTTCTCAGTGTCTTCATCCTTCGCAAGTTAACCGTCTTGTTAGTTTTGTTGCTATTAAATTCAGGCTCAATATGCCACAAAATCGCCGTCTTGTCCTTCGACACACTCATAAGAAAGTCACCATAAACAGACAATGATATTATTGCATCCTGGTGTGCTACAACAATCTCCGCACAAAACGCATATTCTCCACTACGCTCATCCACAACTGCATATCTAAGTCGTCCACTGTTTGTTGCGACAAACAATACGTCATTCCATTGCTTCAGGTCCGTTATTTCATCATTGTTTCCAATTACACTTGCAATTGTTTTCATTTCATCATCGACAAAAAATATCTCCTGCTCACTACTAACAATCACACCTTTCCCTATACTTTCAATTGCCATGCCATCCTCATCATCACTTTCTCCTTCCACACTATCCCTCATATCATATGTCGTCTTTATTTTCTTTACCTCGTGTCTTGTTTTATTTCCTTCCTCAGAGCCACTCTCGTCCTCATAACAGTCTTCACTTTCTTCATAAAATCCATTTACATTCATAGAGCTCGATGGTGTCATATGCATTCCACTGTCATCGTCTAAGCTCATTTCTTCTCCTCTGAGCTTTGAGCATCTCGCTTCTCCATCATCCTCACCGGTCAAAATATCTCGCTTAATTTTAAACTTCCCATCATAATCATATACATACATACTCATCCCCTTGCAAACATATACATGCTTCTCATCTCCTGCCATCCTATCACATTCAATTCCTAAATCCACTCTCTTAGGTACATTTTCCCACTTCGTCAGTATCCCTTGCCTTGTAACACTGTACAAAATTCCTTTGTTGTATGCAACTCCAATTATTTCCGGCTCTTCACACTTCCTCTGTATCTTTCCATCATTGCTTATCCACATCTCATTGCAATCCAACGAATAAATTACATCACCAGCCTTCCCAAGCATAAATATGATATTTGCCATTCTATATGACCACACCACCTTTTTATTTCCCACATCAACTTTTGAAACACTACCATCTATCCTCCCAACAACCACCATGATCCTTTCGCTCTGTGATCCAATTCCTTCAATGACATCAATATACATCGCACATACTTCTGCCTTAGATGTGCAAACCGTATCCTTTACCTCTCCACGTGCAAGATCATATACTTTTATGCTTTCATTACACACTACTAGCATTCCTTCTTGTACATCAAAGCAGCTGACGCGTTCAAATGGAATATCCCTGATAACCTCAAAGGTATCCATGTCGGTCTCAATTATAGATCCATTACACTGTGTATATAAACGCCTGTCTTGTATTCTTGGCGTCCCATGTGTAAGTATCGGTCTCAATTGCCTCTTCAGAGAAAAATGCGCCTTCATCGTTTGCTCAAATGGGCTAAAATTATTTATCTACCACTTTCGCTACTTCGCATAAATGCAATCCTAAACACAGCAGACAAACCGGAATCTATTGTACAGCAAAAAAATAACACTTTCACTGCCGAAAAAAACATTCTTGTCAGCCATGCATTCATCCTCAAGAATATAAACTATCTCACATTCATTGCAGATCTGTTTAATCTCCTCATGGCTCTGTGAAGTGTCAAAAACTACAAACATCTCCTTTTCAACGGCAGCAAACATCTTCCAGAACTCAGGCATCTTTCCACAAAAGTCAAACACTGCAGTGCGTGCATTTATACTGCATATGTAAGATGCATGATGCATTATTTCTGTTGACTTCAAATGCATAATCGCCTTATTTGTATAGAATTCGTATATGTCCGTAGGCTCCATCATTTGAACCCTGTGACCCATTTGCTTTATGCATACAAGATCACAATGCTTGTATTACAATGACAGCAAACAGACTGTAAACAATATGCCCTGATGATTCCAATTCTCTATGGCTCACAGACAGGAACCTCAAGGTATGTGTGCAGACTTCTTGAGAGGGCGGCTGTGCATGGATATAGCGAACGCACAATATATGATCTGGAGAGCTTTACATCAGGTAAAGAAAGTAAAACACAATGTATTGTTCAATCAATAGACGAGTTTGGTATAGAAAGACTTCTTGATACAAACATTGTAGTATTTGTGTGTTCAACGCACGGCGACGGAGGAGAACCTTTCAACATGTCTAGGTTCTGGGCATTTTTATCAAGAGATGACCTTCCAGATGGTATCCTATCACACCTAAAATTCGCTGTATTTGGACTGGGAAGCTCTACATATGAAAAGTTCAACTACTGCTCAAAAAGACTGTTCAATCGACTTGTAATGTTAGGTGCAACACCGATCATTCGAAGAGGAGAAGGAAATGCACAGGACAAAGATGGTTTTCTAACTGATCTCAGGCCCTGGGCTAAGGAACTAGTTGAGTGTTTACACACACTCAAATCTGAGTTCCGAATTAGCATGGAACATTCAGTGCCTGAGGAATATGATACAATATTGATTGAGAAGAGCACATTGACTTCGAGCGACCATCATCAAAAAATAGTTGAGTTTGTATTTGACATTCCTGAATATAAGGATTTCTGTCCAGGGGATTGCATATCTTTTCTTCCAACAAATTATAATTATACTGAGTTCATGCAATACAATCAAATTAAAAGCGAAGATTATGCAGGAATAGACGTAGAGTACATTATCAAGAACACAGTAGACTTTAATTCACCACCAAGACAGATATTCTTTTTTGAGCTTAAACACTTTCTAGTGGGAAAGCAATATAGCGAGGAGCACCTTCAAAAGATTGATGAAATAGCAAATAGTTACGACTTGTACTACAGCTATGTGCATAAGCCCCGAAGGACAACTTTTGAAGTTCTAAAGGAATTCAAGGTAAGGGTAGATATCAGGTTTCTCATAGACTTCGTGCCAACGATATATCCAAGGTTTTTTTCAGTTGCAAGAGTAGATGGGAAGTATCACATTACTGTGGCAATCGTAGAATACTACACGTCAATTGCAGATCCTCGCAGAAGCATTTGCTCCGAGTATCTTTTGAGATTGGCAGTTGGTGATAAGGTTAAAGTGGGTATTGGCAGAAGCAATCTATATTTTGAATCTAAAAAGCTGCTGTTTTTATGCACAGGTGCAGGAATAACGCTTGCAAGGACGTGTATCAATGAGTTCAAGAACAAGGAGATTGTGGTGTTTTATGGATTCAGACACCGGGATAAAGACTTTCTATACTGTGATGAGTGGAATAAGCAGAATGTGAAGTTGTTCTGCGCAGCATCTAGAGACGATGGGGTTTACATACAGGATGTGTTTAAGAAGAACCCAGTTGATGGGATTGATGAGTACCTTGTTTTTGTGAGTGGAAATTCAAGACTTAACAAGGTGGTTGAGCAGATGCTTCAAGAGGTGTATGGGAAAAAGATTTCTTTTCAATCGGAGACATGGTAGTGTGCTTTTGAAGATGAAGGAGCGACAAAGTAAAAAATTTGCATTACCCCTAGAATGGTAAGTGAGGACTTTAAGAGAAGCTAATTTATAGGCAATACAACCACCTGGATCTTATGTACAAGCAAACAAGAGAGGAAAGACAAAGAAGGTTAGCCAGGATGCTTTTTTGAGGAAGGAGTGGTACTTGCTGAGATCACCGACGATTTTCTCAAACAATGTGAATGGAAAGACACTGATGACGAAGTCAGCAGGAAAGAATTCATACTTGAACATGCTTGGCAGAAGATACGATGTGAACCAAGCGGATCTTACAGGAAACAACAGTGATGCACATAGGAAGTTTTTGTTCAAGGTTGGAGACATCAAAGGAAATGAATGCATAGGATTTTTTGATGGAATGGAGATAACTTCAGACAAGCAGAAGGCAATGATCAAGAAATGGCACTCACTGATTGAGGCAGAAAAGGATATTGTTGCAAAGGATGGAAGTATATTCAGAGTGTTTGCGATGGCAATTACGAAGAGAACTCAGAATTACATCAAGAAGACCTGCTACACAAAGAGCTCTGAAGAGAAGAGGATCAGGAAGGTGATGGTTGATGTGATCACTGAGGAGCTCTCTGGAATGGATGTGCAGAAGATTATGAAGAAGCTTTCGAACGAAACTATTGGCAAGAGGATTGAGGAGTTGGGAAGTGAGATTTTCCCACTTCAGAGCTGCTGTGTCAGGAAGGTCAAGACAATCAAGAGCTATCAAGCATCAGCCAATCAGGATGCGGTTGAAATGAAGAATTAAACGCATTCGTCTTTAATAATATTTGTCAAGCTCGGGATGTATAAGATCATCACGATACTATACTGATAATGCCTATTTGAAAGAAACACTTTATTTACTTACTGCAGATTGTGCCTGAATTGCAATTGCCACCCATATGTATTTCTACATATCCCCAAGATTCAACTCTTTTAGCTTCTGCTTCACTTTTTCATATGTGTCTTCTGGAGACTTCACTCCTGTTCCATGGACATCCTTGTGGCTGTATATTTCATAGTCATTCCCTCCCTTCATGATCATGTCTCCAAAGAAGTAGATGTTGCTGATGCCTTCTCCATTGATGTGTTGTAGGCAGTATGTCTTATCCCAGCCAGCGGGGAAGCAATCGATCGATATCTGTCCACCTATTGAAAATACAAGTTTTCCATTTTTGAATCGTGATTGCATTGCTTCAACCATCTTTTGCCTGTGGCCTTCTTTCTTATCAAGATCAAAGAATGCATTTCTCTCTTCTCTGCTGCAATTTCTTCCAATAGGGCTGATGTTGATCATTGAGTTGCGATATTCAATGAATGTTCCTCTTTTGATTGGAATATCCATCTTGCTCAGGTATTCAAGCACAAAATTCACAAACTCCTTGTAAAAATCCTCTCCAATCACATCGATAATCTTCTTCTGTGATGATAATGCTCCGTTCTTGTAGAAGCTCACTCCATTCTCTGGAAAACCATAGTCGAATATGTCAAGGACGTCTTCTCCGATTTGCTCCTTCTGCTTATCAAGATCAGATCCGCCGACAAATCCAATGTACACCTTGTTTCTTAATGACTTGAGCATATCCAACATCTTCTTAGATATCTTGGCTCTGGATTCAGAAAGTGTTCCATCCACATCAAACAAAAAAATCGTCTTCAGGTCCTTGCCCATACACTGCTCCATCAACTCTGTTTTATTATACAATGTTTCAAATGCACTAATCCAGAATACTTACAATATCCAACCAAACACAACAATATACCAATAAATGTCAATGCATCTCAGGATTGATGCATAAAAACAAAAGATACATGCATAATCAATCATGATGCTTATAATAGACCAATGCCACAGAACATTAAGTATCTACAACTTCAATTGTTTTAATTATCCAGAGTACCGCAGTGCTATTCTTCACTTTTCTATGGACTCTGAAGAAATACACTCTAGAATTGCATCATACGCGTTGCCTTCGTAACATATCCTGTAAACAGTGCTCATAAGTGGGAAATCATCAACTCTGTTCTGCTTCTTTAGATAATTGAAGACAACAAAAGCAGTTCCAGGCCCCTGCAGCTTCGTATAGCACATCGTTCCCTCTGCTTCATTCAGTTTCAGTCTCTTTTCAGCCATTATCTTTGCACAGCTGTAGTTCCTGCCTTCCATACATGACACAAGCAGATCGCCTATCCCTGAAGACTGGAACAACGACTCAATAGTGGCCATCGGATAGAAAAACTTGAAAAACTTTCTCATCTCTGCAAGTCCACTCCTGAATATCGCTACTTTTGTGTTGCTACAGTATCCCAGTCCTTCTGCAAACCCATATGCCATCGCAACTACATTCTTCAGTGCCCCAGATATCTCCACTCCATACACATCCTTTATTCTAGTCACTCGATATGTGTAGCTATTGAACAGCTTATATATAACATCTGCTGCTTCATCATCAATACATCCCAATGTCGCCTCACTTATCATATCTCTTGCGACCTGATTTGCAATATTGGCTCCCATCACCACACTCACACTTATATCCAACATTTTATGTATCACTCTACTCACCAGATCTATATATCCATCCTCAGTACCTATGAATCCCTTGGTCAGAGACACTCCAATGCAGCTACTTTTTACAAGACCTTTTAGAGGCGCAATTACATCGATATATTGATGGGGCAATGCAAAAACAAGTATATCGGAGTCTGCAAGATTGTAAAGATCACTCTCTGCCTTCAGATTCTCAGGCAGATGTATTCCAGGCAGATACTTTGGGTTTATATTATCGCTGTTGATTATTTCGTTCAGAACCCTCCCTTCAAACTCTTCGTGGCATCCCCACATCCTGACTTCATTGCTGAATATGCTGCTTTCCATCGTGTTGATTGCTATCAGCCTTCCAATTGTTGTTCCCCAGTTTCCGTTTCCTATGATAGACACCTTCTTCGACATGTATGCTGTTTGTTTGGGGTTGAAGGTTTTGTAAAATACCTCGCACAATGCAGAGATGAGTCTGCACATCATGCATGTTTCAACTCTTTTTACCCTTCGGAATGTCAGATCAAAGCAAAGTGCTGATGAGCTATGTGGGAAGCACACGCAACACTGTAGAGCTCAAGATATACAATGAAACACACACGCTTGGGAGTATGCTGTCTGAAAGACTCCTTGAGGATAAAAGATGTTTGTTTAGTGCATATAAGATAGATCATCCTACAGACAGCCACTTGCTTCTGAGAATCACAGCAGAACGGGAATATCCAGTGAAGAATCTATTGTTAGATACACTCAGAAAAATAGAAGAAGATACTGCCTCACTGATATATCAGCTCAAGGAGTTGTAGCTATTGCGCAAGCCATTACATTAGCTTTGCAATCACAAAAACAAGAATAAAATTTTTTTATTTCAGGTGTTACAATTCTGAGGATCATCATTTCTGCAACTTCGTCTCCCGCTGCATATTCAAAGTCCGTATTCATGCTGTTGAATGCAAGCACACATATCTCTCCTCTATAGTCGCTGTCAATCACGCCACCAAATGTTCTTATTCTTGATGGCTGGATTTTTGCAAAGTACGACTTCTGCATCTTCATCATGAACCCAGTAGGTATCTTTGCTCCATGCCTTGCTTGAATAATGCCAGATTCTCTTGCAAAAAGTTTGTATACACCATTCATGCATACAGGCATCTTCGAATCTCCAATCATTTTCATTTCAATAGATTCTTGAAACATCTGGGCAATCACCCGTCAGTTATTTCCAAGTTCAATCATTAGTATGCATATATCAATTAGAGACTTAATCAATCATTAGCAACACATATATCAATTAGAGATCTTTGAGGCATAATATCATCACTTGATTAATACCATTACTTGATTGTTTTTTATGCAACTATTCATAAAATAATCATTTACTAAACACATTCTTTATTCATAGCATAATCATTTGAGTCATAAAATAAAAAACTTCAGTAGCAAGAGAATATAGCATCAGCCTCGGTTTATTCAATCACAATCTCGTCCTCTCTCAAGGCAATATCCCAATTCGTTTGTATTCGGTAGGCATCAGAAATATGAGCGTCTTGTGCATCTGCATATCCTACCTGTATCTCATTAGATGCACCGCAGTCCCTGTAAAAAAGAATCCTCATTGCTTCCTCAACCAGGCTTATGCCCTCTTCTCGTGTTATCTCGTCCTCTCTTCCATCCACCTTACTCCTTAAAAGTGGAAGAACAAGATGTGCTCCTATTCCTGTGCACACCACATTTGAAAAATAGAAGTTTCCAAGATGGTCTACGCATCCAAGTGTCTTTTGATTATTCAGCCCTTCAGCAGTGCATACTGAATCAACGCCCCCAACACAAACACTCAGGTTCAATGGACTCATCCTGCTTCTGGCAGAGTACATTATTCTTTGTGTCATCTTGTAGTAGCCATAAGCATCGATTCTTCTCGGATCCTCTTCAGTAAGTGTCTCTAGTGCCTTCTTCAAGTACTGCATATCGCTTATTTCTCCTGAAACTCCTATGAGTGTTTGGTCTCCCATCTTGAATATTCTTTGCAGCCCCGTGTACTTTGCAAGCCGGCCATACGATCCTTTTGTGTCTGCCCCCATAATAACTCCGTCCCTGTACCTGAGAGAAACAACTGTGGTGCCTGTAACAAAGTTCCTCATTCCTGGGGTATTGCGAATGTTTACACTCAATCGATTGTAAAGTGTTTATGAATATTTCTAGCAATGGAGGCTGCATAACACACATCTTCATTCGCATATGCCCTTAGCTTTATGACAATAAGGAAACTTCCAGATGATGTAATAGCAAGGATATCAGCTGGAGAAGTGATCACAAGGCCGCTTGCAATCTTGAAGGAAACAATTGAGAATTCGCTAGATGCACACAGCACGCATATCACAGTCAGGTTAGAGCAAGATGGACTGTCTCTTGCTATTGAGGATAATGGCGAAGGAATAAACGAGAATGATTTTGGAATGTTATGCAAGCAGTACTGCACATCGAAGATCACAAGTGAGGATGAACTTTTTTCATTGTGCTCGTATGGATTCCGTGGAGAAGCATTATCTTCAATAAGTAGATGCTCTAAAGTGAAAGTGCGCAGCAAGAAGAAGCAATCAGATGTTGGATATGAAGCAGCCTACAATGATACAGAAATGGTGTCAATCAGAGCAGTAGGAATGAACGATGGAACATGCATTGAAATCAAAAATATTTTCTACAACAATAAGCTCAGGGGAAAACATTTTCTGAAGCACAAGGATGAGGTGAAGGAGATGATGTGGCTTTTACGAGGGTATTCTATATTCAACATTGGTGTATTGTTTACACTGATTGTTGCAGGAAAGTCCCAAGAATTCATGAATATAAGTTATAGAAGCAAAGGAAATTGGATTGTTGATAATGGCTTGTATCATGAAAGCACCAATCTTCGCTGGAGCAGATCGATAATAAACTCAAAATTGGCCATACTGCAGAGCATGTGTAAAATTAAAGAAAGATTAGCGCACAGGACTGGAGACAAGTACCTTGTTATTTTTTCTGAAGAAAGCGAAGTGCATAGAAAGAGTATGTTTGTTCTGTTTGTGAATGGAAGGCTGGTATCGAGTAGGAAGATGAAGGAAGCTGTTTTTAAAGTTTATAAGAAGATGATTTCTGAGGATTATCATCCGCTTGTGTACATAGAGGTGGAAGCCGATAAAAGCAAAGTGGACGTGAATGTTCATCCTTGCAAGAAAGAGGTAATGCTTGATGATGAGGACTCGATAATAGGTGAGATATGCACATGCATTTCAAATGCATTGAGAATAAGCGATCACGTACCTAGAGAGATAAGACACTCGTTAGGAAGCAGTCAAAGCAGTGTTTCTAAGGTTTATGCGGATCCAATGTCTCAATCTATTGACGAGTGCTTTGAGGATGAATGCATGATAGATATAAGGTCATTTATGCTCGAATCGCTTTCTAAGATGATGAAAGAGATTGTTGATGTTGATACCGATTTTTTCAAGATGTTATTCTATGTTGGCGTTAAAGACAAGAATACTGTGCTTGTACAATATAACACTGCGTTATTGAACTGCAAATCAAAGCATCTTTTGAAGGAGTATTTCTGGCAAGCACTTGTAAATGGGTTCGGAAATTTCAGACGAAGGAGCGTTAGCATTCCTATAAGCACGGTGATTGCAGACAGAATGAAGATGATGCTCGATGACTATTTCTGCATAATAATAACTGATGATGCAATTGTGAGTTTGCCTGAGATTTCTGGAGTGTGTGTGGATTACCATAGCCTATGGAGTGATTTCAGTGTTGAAGAGGGACCTGAGTATGAGACCTTGGCAGGCGTGATTGAAAAGTTGTCTGCGATATACTCTGAAGCAGAGATGAATCAAAAATTATTTAATTGCATGAAAAGGGAAATAAAAGGAACAAAAGCGGCACTTGAATGTTTTGGACTGGTTGTTACGCTTAAAGAGCTCTACAAAAACTTTGAGAGATGTTAAGGTAAAGTATGTTGAGTGCTAAGAAGAAGGAAATAATATACAGTTAATGAAATGTCACGTGCTTATAGAGATATTAAATATCAAATGAACGAGCCCTCAAAATGGATAGAGAGAGCTATGAGACACTATATGCCAGGTCTATAGAGGATAATGAGGGCTTCTGGAGGGAACAGGCAGAGAAGTGTTTAAAGTGGGACAAGATGTTCAGCAAGGTACACGGAGGTATTTTTGAGGATTCAAAGTGGTTTGAAGATGGGATGCTTAATGCATGCTACAACTGCATTGATAGACATGTAGAACGAAATCCGAATAAGACTGCAATTATATACAATGGAAATGATGGTAATTCTGTATCCTACACTTATAGAGAGGTTCTTGATGAGGTTATGAAGATATCCACTGTGATGAAGAATGAGGGGCTTTGCAAAGGAGATACGGTTGCAATACACATGGCGATGTCACCTCAGGCAGTTTTTTCAGCACTGGCATGTGCACGTCTTGGATTGGTTCACAATGTGATATTTGGAGGATTTAGCGCCGATAGTGTTGCACTTCGTCTGGAGGATTCAAACGCCAAGTTTCTGATAGTGCAGGATGCATTTGAGAGGTCGTCCTCAGTTATAGGCTTTCTTGAGACTGCAAAGGATGTGCTTTGTAGAAAGCCGATTCCAGCACTTGTGTTTGATGTGCACTATAAAAGGGAAGAAATAATGAATGAGTTAAGAGGTGTAGAAAGTAAGGTGATTATTTGGTCTGATATGATGAATCAAAGTGTGGAGTATGTCCCGTGCGTTTCTGTTGGTGCAGAGGATCGAATGTTCTACTTGTACACTAGTGGAAGTACAGGAAGGCCAAAGGGAATTATTCATACAACTGCAGGCTATCTATTATATGCAACGCTTACATCTAAGGTTTGTTTTGACCTGAGAGAAGACGATGTGTTTGCATGTACAGCAGATATTGGGTGGATAACTGGACATACATATGTGATATACGGGCCGCTTTCTAATGGAGTGACTACGGTTGTGTTTGGAGGCACTCCTGTGTATCCATCGTACTATAGACTGTTTGAGATGGTTGATAAGCATAAGATAACTCAGTTGTATACGGCGCCCACCGTGATTCGAACACTTAGGAAGTATTTTTCTACAAATACTATGCAGCATAACTGCAACTTGTCGAGCTTGAGAATACTTGGTTCTGTTGGAGAGCCTATCAATAGAAAGGCATATACATGGTTTAGTGCGAATTTTAATAACTGTCCGGTGGTGGACACTTATTGGCAGACAGAGTCTGGAGGAGTGCTTATTGCGCCGATTCCATATGTGGTGGATAAAAAGCCTGGATGTGCGTGCCTTCCATTCTTTGGGCAGGATGTTTTGATTGCAACGACGTCGTCTGGCCAAATGAATGTTAGAGAAGCAGGACCTAAGGAGCTAGGACATGTCCTTCTCCGAATGTCTTGGCCAAGCATAGCAAGGGGAATTCTTGGTGATTTTGAAAGGTTCAGGAATGGGTATTTTTGCTATAATGGATTTTACTTTACTGGAGATGAAGGATACAAGGATTCTGAAGGACATGTATGGATTATGGGAAGGGCCGATGATGTAATAAATGTGTCTGGACATCGGATAAGCACTGCTGAGATGGAGAATGCAGCATGTATGGATCCGTGTGTGGCTGAATCTGCAGTTGTTGCAGAAGATGATGAAATAACCGGGCAAGCACTTTGTTTCTTTGTAGTATTGAAAGATAAGCAGATTTGTCAAGAAGAGGCAAGAAAGTCGTTGAGAGCAACACTGAGATGCAAAGTTGGAAGGTTTATAAATCCAAAGAGCATTTTTGTGTGCAAGGAGATTCCAAAGACAGCCACTGGAAAGATTATGAGAAGGGTTCTCAGGGCGATTTTAGTAGATGAGCCGATAGGAGATGTTTCTACTTGTATCAATCCAAGTGCGATTGAGGACCTGAAGAATTTAATGCTTTCGGAGTAAATTAAAGAGTTAATTATAGCTTAGGTGTTACAGAATGATATAGCGATGGATAATTTGAAGGGTATATCTGTGGATGAATGCGATGAGAAGTGCAAGTAAGACGGATATTGAGGACAAACGAGTGTTTGTGCGTGTGGACTTTAATGTTCCTGTGTCTGAATCAAAAGTGCTTGATGACTTCAAAATAACATCTGTGATGTCTACGATTAGATACATTCACTCAGCAAATCCAAAGCGCATTGTTATTGGAAGCCATTTTGGTCGACCAAATGGAAGATATGTCGAGGAGCTTTCACTAAAGCCTGTATACGAAGTATTGAATAAAATTGTACTTGATGAGTTTGGTGCAAAGTTGGCTTTTTGTGAGCTGTCTGATCTGAACAGAGTTGATGATACATGGGTTTTGTTAGAGAATCTCAGGTTCTATAAAGCAGAAGAAAGCAGTGATGATGAAGCAGAAAGTGCTGAGTACACGAGACTTTTTAAAGACAACATGGATGTTGCAATTATAGACTCATTTGGATGTCTTCATAGAGAATGCGGATCTATTCAAAGGACTGGGCTACGTTCATTTCCTGGTGTTTTTATGCAAAAAGAGCTGGAGTTTACCAAATACTTGCTTGAAAGAAACATTGATGTGATGATTCTTGGAGGAAAGAAGGTTTCTGACAAGTCAAAGCTGCTGATGTCACTGGGAAAAAGAGCAAAATGTCTAATTATCCTTGGCGGGTTGTCATATCCATTCTTGAAGTATAGATTGAACAAAGAGGTTGGAAATAGCATTGTTGGCGATGTTCCCGAAGGCATGGTCCAGATGATATGTGATGTGTTCGACATTAATCAAACAGAAGTTATCCTACCGATTGATTTTGTGGTTATTAATGATGGTAAAGCTCAGATAATGAGTGAAATACCACCGAGTGGATGTGCATTGGATATAGGACCCGCAACCATTCGATTGATACAAGAAAGAGTATCTAAGGCTGAATCCGTGTTTTGGAATGGCCCGCCCGGTGTTTTTGAACAACGTGGGTTGTCTGATGGAACCAAGGCACTTGTTGGCATTCTTGAGAGTATGAAGATGAGTGGAAAGAGATGTCTTTGTGGAGGAGGAGAAACATCTGCAGCAATTAGGATGTTTGGAAAGTATGAGAACTTTACGCATGTATCAACTGGAGGCGGTGTTTTAATGAAATTGCTGAATGGAGAAGATCTTCCAGTATTAGAGTTTTTATTACATCGGCCTTCATGTGCTTAGCATCTAAGATAAAGCTCAATCAGTGCGCTTCTATGCATTATCTTCCAGAACATCTTTACAGCATAATATGCTTGGTATTCTTGATGAGGCATCATATGAAATAAAAGACATTCCATCACGAAAGCTTGGGCATGAAATAAATGTTATGTCATCAATGCAAGATATGAAAGGATAGACATCCTGGCCCACAACTACTATATCTGGTATACCTTCAATGTCAAGGTTTGGTATAACAAATGGATTAAAGCTTTGTTGCGACAACATTGTTCTTATGAATGAGTTTGTGTAATCAGTTCCTATGAATCGTCCACGCTCTCTTGATTTGAAAACATTGTCTCTTACAATACCCACCGAACAGTACTTTGTTTCTATGATACAAGGATTAGTGGCCATTTTAATTGTATCTTTGTATTCACTGGGCGACGGCACCTCTTTTGGAAGAAATGAAGAGTACAGGTCATTTGCTTCAGGACATATAATAATATCTGGAACTTGTGAAAATGCATTATTTGGCTTAAGCCCGTTCATGAAGCATGCATATGGAATAGACATACATTTTTCCGAAGAAAGTCTTCCCATGATTACAATCAGATCCGCTGGAATTTTCATAATGATCTTTCTTAGGATGTTGCCGTTCATCTCATTAAGCCAGAGATCAGAAAAAAACAGCATTTTGAAACTTTCAACGGGTATTCTATGCATATTTGTGTTTCTCATCTCAATGCTTGGAAAATGTATTTCTGTTACTTCAAAGGCATTTTTAGTAACGCACCCGTCTAATGCAACAAAAATGTTATCACACAGAAAGGCATTTCCGTTACACATGTTCATATCAAGTATAATAATGTCGCCATCATCCTCTAAGACCTCTTTTCCCTGTTTATCTCTGTAATAGCACCCGAATATTGTACAGCGTCGATTGCTTAGAAGATATATGGGTGTTATATCCTTGTTTATTCTTTGCTTGAGTCGTTTATATCTGTGCATGAGATCTGTTTTCCTGTATTGCTGGTTAATTATGGTGTATGGAGTCTGTGTGTATGCTTTTGTAGATTCAATGATTTCCTGGAATAATCTTAAATCTCCCATATTCGGTCCATTTCTTCTCTTATACTCTGTAGAGATGTGCATCAGCATACACTCGTCTGTAATCTTGGTGTTTAAATATGCCAGTGCATCTGAAGAAAGCAGGATACCATTCTTTTTGGTCAACTCTTTGTATATCTTTGCCTTCATGGCCTTGGGAAGTTGTTTGATTTTGAAGAAGTTATTTTATGCATTGAAGTATTTATTGAATGCCTGGGACTCTTTTTGAAGAAGTTATTTTATGCATTGAAGTATTTATTTGGATTTTTTAGACTCTTTTTGAATCTGCTCCTTAAGTGCATTGTATTTGTCAAAGATGCTGAAGTACTCGTTTTGGTTGTTTCTAAGTTGCTTAATCAGCATGTCACTTGAAACGATTTTTTTGTTCAAACTGCTTACTTCGTCTTCGAGCTGCTTGATTTTTTCCTCGCTTCTTGCATTTCCGCTCACAATGTCCTCAACATACTTCTTCTGATTCATGGATTGCTTCCTGAGCAGCAACGCTGACTCCTCCTCTTTGAATAGCAGCGACATCATCTTGATGAACATCTGGAATATCACTGCAAGAAACAACGTAAACCCAGTCAGATACAGATTCCGCTCTGCTTGGTATAGAACAAACGGATTGGCATAATCCTCACCAGTGTATATTTTATATGCTGAGTCAACAAACATCACAAGAATCATCGCCAATAGCACATACAAAATGTGTAGAATCCCTCGGTACAACTTAGATGCCATAAACACCTTGAGAATGCTCTTCTTGAGACCCTTTGATACAGGAAGCAACATAAATGTAAACACACTCATCTCTACAAGCAGCACCGCCTGCACAAGATTCGTTGTAATCCCCATCGACTATGAAATCAAAACAATCACAGCCAAATCCACACTCTGAAACAAATCAAGCAACTTCATCAACACAAATACACTTTAAATCACTCTTTATTTTTCATCCACAAATTCAAGCTCATCAATGAGGCCTTGTCTAAGCCCAACCAATTCATTACGTACTCTTTGTGTAGACACATTCATCTCCTTATATGCATTCATTTTCATTCTGATTTTTCTAAGAAATGCCTCATATATAACATCCATGAGTCTCTTGATCTTAATTCTTTCCATATCTCTCTGCTCAATGGCCTTGCTCACTCCTGCATCAAGCATATGCCTCATGGCCCTTTCCTGCGAGCATTTCCCAATATGCATCATCGCTGCTTTCGAGCATGCAGATGCAACACAAGGATGCACCACCCCACACACAAATGAAATTACGCACATTATTGGGTTCTCAGCAGTTACAAACACTGGTCCTATCTCAGAAAACCCACTCTTTGGTAATGCATTCTCCAGAATTGGAATCCTTAAAAAGTAAAATACACACTCCTCCTTGGACTTTGTCTGCACGTGCTGGCTTACAAGATTCCACTCGTCTCCATACTTGTTGATTCCCTCAAGAAGGCGCAACTCCTCCTCTTTAGACCACATGCTTTCAACCAATGGCTCGTTCACTGCAAAAAAATCAGATCTCAGCACATCATCAGCATATGATCTTTCATCAAAACACTTTTTGCATTTAAATATCATGCTCTTAGTAAAAAACATAACTTCTTCTCCACAATCACATCTTGATTGCTTCAAGCATGCCTTGTAGTCAACAGGCATATTTATGACTTCCTTATTCTTTTCTTGCGTATCTGTGGGGATATGCTTGTCATCACTGCTTTCTCTTGTTCTATTCCTCATTGCTTCTACACTAGCTATCTCTTTCTCAATCAGGCTCCTATAATTTATCAGCCCCCATCTCTCAGCAAATGCAAATATCTTGGCAATCTCACAAAATCCAATATCATTCATTTCTAACGCCTTTCCAAGAGTCATCGGTCTGTATCCATTTTGATATTCACAAACAATCGCATCCCTGGTACGCACATATGCTTCCTTTCCAATCATACTCACAACTTCATCCATACTAATCTCTTCCAGCGAGCTTACCTCTCCCTTTCTATACCACTTCGGCTCCTTCAATATATATGTCCCATCATTATCGATTACATTCACTCCTCCATGCATTCGAAAAGATCGGGCATACTCAGGTGGAATAGCATTGGGTCTCTTACTCCCATATATTTCCTCTATCTCCACGTTCTCCTGCAATGGGAAGATGTTTTCCATTAGGGTGGCTTTACGACAAAATTAAGAGCCAACAAATTTATTCAAGCTCATCATCTTCTACGCTCACTCATACCATGTAGAGCCACAGCGTCACGTGAGCTTTCCATCTAGAATATATCATCGTCATCGATTGATGAGTAATCATCTTCCAGATGGTCATCAACATCAACCCTATACCTCAATATCCCGCCTATGCCTCCAAATCCTTCAACAAACTGCGTTCCCTCAGAGCTTTTGTCACTCACAAACACAAGTGTGCATCCAAAGCCCTTGTAGTTCTCTGCAATCCAATCAACAAACATCTCCTCGTCTTTCATATCTGAGAGACTCTCATATACAATCAGTGTCTCAACTGCACCCATGTCCAAGCAGTGCATCGTCTCTCTCATTGTAAAGCAAAATTTCCCGCTGTCCGTATTGATTTCATTCAGAAACCCTTGTATCACTTTCTTTTCCTTCGAGAGCTTTACATCCTTCAGAACATCCTCACACAGCTCAACCGCCTGATTCAATCCACCCTCTCCTCCATAGTTTGTATCGACAGATTTAATCACTCCTATTCTACTGTCAAGCACCTGAGCTAGCTCATGTTTGAGATCGGACTGTCCTGCAAGGATTATTCCCTCTACATTCATTACACAATTTGTTAGAAACAGGTTCACAGCTATCTCAGCCACCTTCTTGACATATGCATGTCTCTTCTCAACCCTAAGACGTGCAAACCTTACGGAAGACTGTCCTCCCCGTCCATGCTTCTTCGGAAGGTCCACGTGGATCTGCTGCAAGATTGTCTTCACATTTCCTTGAAGAGTTGCAAACATCGTTGTATGCCCGTCAATCACAATAAACCCGTACTTCAGCTCATCCTCAAAAAGCGAAAGCAAATCATCGACATGGAACTTTGAGTCACACATATACAGCGACGTATTAACAGGCTTTATTGGCTCTATACCAACACTCACTTTCTTCTCCTTATTCTGATCCATGAGCACAGTCCCAACAAATATCCCAAGCCCATTCGGCGGTGTCTTTGTGTACTGCTTAAGCTTGCACTGTGCAGATGTTATGGCTCCAAGGACACTCAACCTATTCACCCTAGATTTTATATTCGATGCCGTTCCGTATTCATCAGTAAGCATCTTCGAGACCCTGGATATCTGGTCCTTAGGTGGAATAATAATCGATATCATTGATGTTCCGTTTCCTCTACTATCGCGAAGATTCCGGAGAAGTTTTTTCATCCTCCACATCTCCACCTCGTCAAGCATCTCCTGGGGAGTCGTAATATTTTTATGCAAAGTACTAATGCTATGCCAGGCTTGCGCATGAAAACTATTCCGCACATATATATAACCAGTAACATAGTCAATGGCATAGTCAGCAACATAACCAGCAACATAATCAATGGATAACCAGTAGTATAGTCAGCAACATCAAATACATATTTCAAATAATACAAATCAATACAACTGGCTCAAATCACCTTTTATTACGTTTACAGGCATTTATATTAATCACAACATCATCAGGCTCCTGCTCGCTTGGAAGACTTGCATTCTCAATGCGCTGCTCCTTATATTCAAGCACATTGGCTTTTTGCAGAAGTTCGCTTATGAGATCACATATTTGGTTCTTGCTTTCTTCGCTGCTGCTTCTTTCCTTCTCTGCATTGTAAACCATCACCGCCTTGTTGCAATACTCTTTACTCATTGCAAAGTCCTCTAGAAACTCATAGCAATTACAAATAGATAGGTAAACATCTGCATATCCAAGATAGTCCTTCTCGTATATCTTGTCCATCACAGCAACACATTCAATAAGCTCATGCAATCCATCTCGGAACTCATTGTTTAACAGACATATCTCACCCAATAGAAACTTTGATCTGGCAAGGCATGAATAGTCTTTCAGAATCACAAATGCATTCTTACATATCTCTAGCATGTTCCATGCCGTTTCAAGATCATCTTCCGCCCACTTCCTTTCCTCAAGATTCAGTCCCTTCTTCTCACTGATCCGTGAAACCTCATCCATGAAAAACATGTTTGCATTCATAATGAGTGCATCTGCATACTCAAGGTACAGGTATGGGCTTTTTCCATCATCTGGATTCACAGTCTCCAGAATCTCAGTGTATATTCCAATTCCATGTTCAAACTCTCCCTGGGCAATCGATGCCCTTGCCTCAACTATCAATGGAAAGCTCGTCTCAAGGTCCTCCATACAAGGGACAAAATATTTCTGATATATGCTCAAGATTGCTCCTTAGTGTCAGATGCAAACGCCTTCAGGCATGCTCTGGGATCAAATCCAGGAAACTCGCAGTGGTATTTCCATCCAAGTTCAACAATACTCTGTTCGTTGTCTTTAGATGTGCAAAGATATCCTTGCTTCTTTGCCCAACTGATAATCTGGAAAAACTCTTCTTCGCTTCGCATCACTCCAGCATTATGCAAAAGATTGCATAACCTCTTTTCTTCAATGCATGAATGCTCAAGAATAACAAATGCAAAAATTACAACGATTCCCTTGAAATCTTCTATTGGGATTCTTGGAGGCATCCTCGAAGGTTTTAACCGTCTAATAAAGAACTTCTCTGCATGCTCAATGCCCACAAGTCTACCTTTGTTGATTCCTACTAATTCAAGTCCTAACTTTTGAAGATGTGTGTCTGCCTGCCTTATCAGCATATGCATTTCTTTTTGTGTAATTCCAAGACCGTCTTTAATGCTTTGCTTTCTGATTGGCATTGAAACGCTTTGCTTATCAATAATGATCCTGATGAACTCTCCAACCAATGTCCTGAGGTTGTCCATGAGATGGGTGCCTGGTATTTTTTCACAGATGCTTACCCACGCAAAATGTCATCCAGCTTTGTGAGTCTGACACCGCTGATCAGAACGGATCTTGGTGTATACTGCCACCTGCTTGAAATAGACAACACCAAGATATTGATAAACTGTGGTGCGCCTAAGACGATGGAAATGGCTATTTATGAATCGTTGATGCCGCGAATTCTTGCATGTGATGTCATATTGCTCACAAGTTTTGGCATAAACTGCATTGGAGGATTACCACACATTTTGCATAATAATTATTACAATAAGGTTATATCATCTGTTCCGATTAAAGTACTTGGGAAAATATGCATGGAGGAGCATGTACGAGGGATGGAGCCTCCACTGGATATTGATGTGGAGTGCTTTGACAGGATTTCTGAGATAAAATATCTACAGCCAACGATTATAAATGGAGTTGAGATATGTGCTTATAACTCTGGAAACTCGATTGGCGGATGTTTGTATAAGATTAGTAAAGGTGCAGAGAAGATAGTCATTGGATTTAATGTGAATCACAGGAAGGAGAACCATCTTGATGGAATGAACATATCTGTTATAGGAGACTGTGGCTTGTGCGTGTTCACTGGAAATCATGTGCTAGCAGAGAACGTATCTGTGGTGAAGAGAGATGATGTATTTGTGAGGACGATTATGAATGCAGTTGAGAACAAAAGGCGAGTGATAATTCCTGTGAGATATTCTAGACTTCTTGAGATCTGCCTTGTTCTGAATGAAATGGCTAATCAGAAGGGATGCAAGGTTGTGTGTCTATCTTACCTTGGCAACAAGTTTATTGAGAGAGCGAAGTCTATGGTAGAGTGGGCAGGTGAGAAGGTGTCGTCGATGTTCTCTGAGGAGAAGGTGAATCCGTTTGAATTTGAGGGGATTCGATTTGTGAAGCACTATGTCGATCTTTGTGAGTTTGATGTTTTGATAGTGGTTGATGAGTGGGTTTCTGGATGTATGTTTACGAGTGTTCTACATTGCTTTAATGACAAAAACAATGTGATAATGGTTACAGATCCTCGGCTAAAGCAGATGCTTAGGGATGAATGTACAGAAGCAAAGCTGTATAATTTCAGGCTCCAGCAGAAAGTGAAGGAAGATTTAGAAGATAATAATGAGGAAATGGAAGTTGAGGAGCAGATTGATGAAGAACCTGAGGAAGTGGGAGTGGAATCACATTGGTCAGAGACAAAGCATGAGGTGTGGTGTGAATCTGGACAGGAATGCTTTCCTTCGCTTTCGAGACGACGAGCATATGATGATTATGGAGAATATGTGGATAAATCGATGTTTGTGAAGGATGTTGCAGCTGTTGAAGAAGTCCAGGAGATTTTTGTAGAGGAAGAATCTTTAAATGAAGAGAGAGAAGAGGTATGCAGAGGATTAGAGCTGAAGTATGATGTTGCATGTGTAGAGATGATGGGAGTGTCTGATCTAGGCTCATGCAAGATGGTACTGGAATCGTTGTCTCCTCGGAAGCTTGTATGTGTTGGTGAAGATAGTGATACAGAAAGGTTTTTTTACCACACATTTAAGTACATGATGTGTTTTGAGGATGTGTATTTGTGTAGAGATAAGCTTGTGCTGTCGTCGAATGTTTTGATGGGGATGGTGAAGCTGAGTGATGGATTTGAGAGTGTGAAGTACCAGAAAATAGGAACGGACTTTGTGGCAGGATTCAGAGGAATAAAAAATGGCGATATGATTGAGTGCATTGGAGAGGGGCCGAGTATGATGCTGGGACATCTTGAGATGAATGAGATGCGGAGGATGATTGTTGAAAGGAAGATGAGAGTAGAACAGGATGATGAAGGACTTGTGGTGGAAGGGTGTGTATGGATTAGGATGAGCAATAGCAGCCTGATGATTGATGGAAAGGACGCAAGTGTATTCTATGCGGTTAGAGATGTTATATATAACAACCTTGCATTTATTTAATAGAATGTGAAGTTGATTTCACAGTCACTCGAGCAGCAATAGAAATAATAAATGTTTAACAATTGGGAGAGTGATTAAATCCCTGTGTTTTTGAGATATGTGTTTTTACAAGGCCCTGATGTATGTTGAGCTGTCTAAGAAGGCACATGCTAATAAGTATGGAAAGTATGTGAAGAACGACACTATTGTGATAGACAACGGGGTGTATGAATGCAAAGCAGGATACAGTGGACAGAGTCCTCAGATGGTGTTCATGAATGTGCTCTATCGGCAGAAGACGAGTGCATCAATAGAAAGTTTTCAAGGTGCAGTGTTAAAGACCATGTTTGATGGAGATGTGCTGATAAACTTTGAGGTTCTTGAAAGCATGATTGATGAGGTTCTTGCATATTTGAAGCCAGAAAGGCTTCAGAATTTGATATTCACTGAGAAGATATACAGCCCAACACATACGGAGCTTGTGAAATTTCTTTTTGAAGTGTATGGGTTTGAGAAGATACAGATAGGTGTTGATAGCTACTACTCGTATCTATGGAACATGAGAGGAGAGGATTGTATGGTTGTAGATATGTCGCACACGGCTGTTACTTGTTTGGTCATCTATGGTGGACGAATAGCAGATGTTTACAAAATCAATTTTGGAGGATGTGCTGCCGAAGAGTATCTTTGTATGCTGATGTTTAACAAGTTTTTTGATAACAAGAAGAGTTATGGAGAACTAGTAAAGTATCTCAGATGCAGTAGAGACTATTGCAGGGAGGCGGTTGATGTGCTTGATGAGATGAAGGAAGGAGAGTATTCTAGAAGTTACTTTCTGGATGAAGAGGTCGAGATTGGGCATCAAAGGTGCATGGATGCAAAGCAAAAAAGATGTTCAATGCCAAGCAACCCAGGATCAGTGCCTGAAATCAACACAAATCTACTAAATACAATTGATTCTGAATTGAACGATGAAGAGATAAGGGAAAAGAAGAGACAGAGGATTCTGTATCATTCAGCACTTCATAGGGTCAAATCGAGAGCAGAAAAGTGCCTTGAAAAGCTGAAGATGTGTATGAGCTTAACAGAAGAGAAGATAGAAAGGATGAGTGATCCCGCTGGATTCATTAATGCAAAGAAAGCTGAGTTTCAAAGACTGAAGAGAGAGCTGGAGTTAAGGGGAAAGACTCGAAGAGACGTAAAGAATAGAAAAACATATGAATTCCAGGTGAGATTTAAAGAAGGATTGCTTACCGATGATGAAAAGCTGTTGATTGCAAAAATAAAGGATGCAGAGGACATGGACCAGGAAGTCAGACTTATTGATTCTTTAAGAATGCTTGCCAGTCAAATCAAGGAGCTGGATCCTTATTTTGAGCCCTTCACGGCAGATGTGGTAGATATCCTGAATGGATACTCAATAGGAAGGATGTGTGTGAATATTGATTTGATGAGAATACCTGAGATATTTTTTTTGCCTTCAATCATAGGCTTAGATCAGATGGGACTTACTGAGATAATGGAAAATGTTAGTAGGAAATACAACACAAGAAAGGTGCTTCTTACCGGCGGGTTTTCACAGATAGAAGGAATTGGAGATAGGATACAAATAGAAATGTCAAGTGTATCAGTAGTTGGGGATGTGCAGGTTATTATGGCAGCTGATCCTGTTAATGACGCATTCAAAGGAGCAACGATGTGCAATATGTTTCCTGTGTATACTATAGATCAATACCACAATATGGGTGCTGAGGAGATGATAAGAAGTATGAATAGCAGCACAGATTAGGCATGAGCCTGAAATTAAATAAATGTTTTGAATATTTGAATTGGACTTCAAATGTCTTCTGTATTTGCAATACGATTACCAAAGCACATAAGATTATTATTTGTTCTGGATAATATTGAGGAACGGATTATTGCCATACTAATCATATAGCAAGAAAACTATTACTTGAAATGACTTTATTTATATCTACTTCAAAATTACCTGAAGATGACTTTATTTATATCTGCCTCAAACATATTCTTGATTGTTTCTAACCTTGATGTAAAGCTGTTATCAACAATCGATTTGTAATCCTTCGAGCAGAGAATTATGCCTCCTGTGCCGGCAGAAACCATCTCCCGTATTTCTGCATCCTTACAGTGGTTCTTCACTATTTCCACATCCTTATTGTTGCAGTACACAATAAAGTCATCCTCCATTTTCTTCATACATTCATCAATAAGCAGTGCATTTAAAGGCTTTGCTAAGCATTCTTTCAATACATCTCTGTATATATTCTTGAGAATCTTCACCTTCTCCTGCAGATACTTCTGCCTGTACAAGTTTTCTAATGAGCTTTCTGTCATCACTCTTTTGCTTTCTATTTCTCTTTGCTTCATCATAAACTCGTTTTCTTCTTTCATTGTCTCTTCCTTGATGATTCTTGCCTTTTCGGCATTGTATTCCTGTATTGCCTTTATTTTCATCTCTTTTATCTTTTCATCTGCCTCATGGTTTATAAACGCCATCATCCTATCAATATCCTTGCTAGGTACTTTCTCCATTCCAAGGGTGTTTGTTCTTGTTGTTTTCTGACTGCCATGGCTACATGAATACAAACAAGCGCACAATTAAAATTAACTATTTATTCCACTTCAGACTCAAATATTCTTGACTATCTGCACAATGTCACTATCGTTTAATACATGATCCTTGCCAACCTTCTGTGGATTGTGTTTCACAGAGGTTCCCCACACAAGAGCATACTTGAGCTTAGGAAGAATCCCTTTGTGAATTGCATTACAGAAGTTCTCTACGCTTCGTTTGCTACTTTTAAGAATAACCGGATCGTTGTAATCAATTGACTGCCCCTTAGGTTTTGGATATATTCTGACAAGGTCAAGATAATTCCATATCTTTGCCAATAGCGAGTCAAAGTTCCATCCATGGTTCGCACATATTGGAACTGCATGTGGGATTCTATAGAGCAAGTCAAGCTCCTCAACACTGATTGAGTCTATCTTGTTTAGCACAAATATGCATGGAACATACTTCCTGTTGCCCTCAATCACATCAATCATGTCATCGATGGTGCATGACCCACTTGTAAAAACCTCTGCGTTTGAAATCCTGAACTCTGCAAGGACAGCTTTTACTGTTGACAGATCCAGGCTGTCTCCAATCAAGGTTACTCCACCTTTTTCTCTCTTAGTCACTTTGATCTTAGGAGGTTCTTTGTTTATTCGGATTCCAAATCCTTCAAGCTCCTTTTCTATAACTGCTTTGTGTGAAAGAGGTTTGAGTACGTCTAGGCACACAATGATCAGCGAACATGTCCTGGCAACTGCCAGCACCTGCTTTCCTCGCCCTCTTCCATCTTTAGCCCCTTCTATAATTCCAGGAAGATCTAGGATTTGTATTTTTGCTCCGTTGTAGCACAAAACACCAGGAACCGTCGTTAAGGTTGTAAACTCATATTCAGCAACAGCACTGAATGTCCCTGTTAACTTCGACATAAGAGTGCTTTTCCCAACACTCGGGAATCCAACGAATCCAACCCTTGCTACTCCTGTTTTTGCAACATCAAATCCGCCTTCTCCTGAAGATCCGCCCTTGGGTGCACTTATCAGCTCTCGCCTGAGCTTTGCCAGCTTTGCTTTAAGAATTCCAAGATGGTTGCTTGTTGCCTTGTTCTTCTGTGTTCTTGCCATTTCATCCTCTATTTCCTTTATTTTATCCATTACGTTCATCAAGGGCTTGTTCATGCCTGGCTATATTATGCATGATCTTGATCCTTCTATGAAAGTCGTTGCTGAGTACGATGTAAAAATGGTTGAGTGCGTAATGCCAGCATCGCTTTACAGACTTCCAAAGGCAGAAAAGAATCTTAAGATTGAAGGTATTCGTCTGAAACAAGACTTTGGATACGTGGAGATGAAGATGAAGCTTCCGAAGACCAAATGTGTATCTGTAGCTGGTGATGCCAAAGATCGTTCTATGATAAGTTATGGGAGTTATGGACACAAGCCATTATCTATGCAATGGTATGCCAAGATAGATCATGATGCAAACATTGTTTTTCTTCGAAAGATCGATTGTGTGCATGTTTTTAGTCCGAAATATGAAGACATTGAAGTAGATGATGCAAATAAATGTGACGGTTATCAGCTAAGAAAAGCAGAAAGTCGAGAGGAGCACGAGCATAGGAGGAAGAACATCAACTTTCAGCTCAAGAAGATGAATCTTGAGGAATTTATTGAGCTCGAGTATAAATTGAAGGATATGGATTTGAAGTGCAAAGATGATCAAGTTATTGGTAAGCCTGATAAAGTAAGGAAGACTGTGGGTAAACTCAAGAAATCGATTGAGAACTCGAAGGTAGTGAATTTTTCAGAGATGATGCTGCTTTATCAAGATGAAAATGCAGTAAAGAATGCATTACAAACATACACAAACTTTGTGCATGGCCGATACGTTATTTCTAATGCATTTTATGAGAAGAGGCTCCATTCTATCAGAAATAGTATTTTAGATCTTTTCAACCATAATGAGCGGATTCTGATGAAGGATATTGAGAATTTTATTGACGGGGAGTATTTTCTTCTTGAGGAGCTGTGCAGAAGAGATGGCAAGTATTATTACCTGAAGGGGTTCGATGAAGGGATGAATGTGCTACCTGAGGAAATAATGGGAGTGAGAGTTATGAATGCAGTTCGAAAGTTGCAACCTTGTGTGGTGGAGAAAGTGAGTGAAGAGTTGTTGGTTGATGTGGATGCAGTGAAGATGAATTTACCTGAGGGCGTGGTTGTGTTAGCAAATGGGATGCTTGCAGTGTGTGAAGGAGATACCATGAGAAAGAGGATAGTTGGGATGCTTATAAGCAAAGACGTGTGGAGGAAGTCCGATGTTATAAGAATAGCACAGAATGAGTTTAGTGATGCATCTAGATTTTTTGAGGTGCTGGGTGAGTATTGCGAACTGAAGGGGGGAGTATGGAACATTAAACAATGATTTGCAAAGAAGTGTTTGATGGCTTTGGAGCAAAAATTTGATCCCTGCGAGGCGTTGGGAGTGATGGATTCATTTGAAATCAGAAGGGTGGAGGAAAAGATGGAGAAGCTGTATGATAGCATGGTGGTGCAGATGCCGTTGGAAGGGATTAAGAAGCATCCATTTGATTGGTTTAGGCAGGACATTGATAGAGTGGTGACGGTGATTGAAGAGGTGATTTCTGATTTTGAATGTAGAAGAAGACGCGCTGAAGAAGAGATTAGAATGAGTGTGGACCTATTGAACAAGGAATGCGTACTTATGGAATGTGTAGAGCCACAAATGCCGAATTTGTGTAATCTGGAGCTAATGAAGGCATATGTGGAGAATGAGATAGGAAGAGTGGCAATAGTACGTAGAGGAGTTAATGAAAAGATGGAACGGGTGATGGACGAGATTAAGGAAATACTTGATGAGGTTCCTGATATTGAGTTTCAGGCGATTGTGTGTATGAATGGAGAAGGAGAGTATTTTGGAAAGATGGAAAGAAAAGACGAGGAGTATGTTGGAGAAGTTTCTTTACAGCGTTTGAGAGAGTTAGAAGCAAATAGAGACATGTTGAAGAGTGAGAAGGAAAGAAGAGAAAAGAAAAGGAATAGGTTGTATGGAGAGCTGTGTGTATTTTTGTCAAGATTGAGTGTGACGGATCTTGAGGTACGAATTGATCAGAAGATTTTTGTGCTTGAAGAGCTACATAAGAAGTATAACAAGGAGGTTGAGATGAGAATAAGCAAGGTTGTAATGCTTGAGGAGCAAATAAGGAGGAAAGAGGTCCGTCTGGATGTTGATTGTAAAGAGGTGGCTATGAACTTGAGTGAAGAAAACATTACAAGGCTTGAAGAGTATAATGAATATCTTGGAGAAGAGCAACGAAGACGATTAGATGAGATATATGAAAAGAAGAAGGATGTGTTGAAGAGCCTTTTTGAGATGTTTGGGATGAATATTATAGATTACGAGAGGACTGAAGAGGGAGTGGAAGAGATGACAAAGATTATTGGGGAGCTTGAGAGTAAGAAAGAGCTTTTTGTATTGATAAAGTCACTGATTGACAAGAGGTCTGAGCTTGTGGACAGAATGAATGAGTTTGAAAAGGAAGCGTCTGATCCACGAAGGTTATTTAGATCATCATTTCAACTGATAAATGAAGAGAAGTTCCGAAACAGTGCTTATCCTAACCTTATAAAGATTGAGGAGATGATACTTAAGAGCATCGATGAGTATGAGGAGCAATTTGGGGAATTTATATGTGGAGGAGTAGGATATAAAGAATGCCTTAAGCACGAGATAGATAACAGGATAGTTAATAAGACGGTGTTTATCAACAGGTTTGATTCGCCTAGCAAAAGGAGGAAGTAGAAGTGACATTGAGTATTTGAGTATCTATGATTATTCTAAGCACTTGTTACGAGCTAAGCTGACGGTGTATAACCTAAGTGCTGTTAATAAAGATTTTGATGAAATTAGTTGTTGTAAGATTTATTATGTTTAGGATATACATTTTATTTAAACGCTTGTGCTTTGGGTTCTGGAGTAAGGCTCTGCCTTCAAACCTACGCAGAATACTGCATAGAGTATGTAGGTTGATATGCAACAGGTGGGATCTCCTGCGCTTTTCCAGCCTTTGTATATTGGAACAGTGATCTTGAGTTTGAAAGCTTCGTTTTTTTGGTTGATTTCATTTGATATTTCAATGATATTTTGGTAATTGCCGATTTCGTGGCCGATTAGAAATCCAGGAATGCTGTCCATGGCAAGGAGTTCCTTTCCAAGCTCTTTTGGGAGTTTTTGTGTAATCATGTCTTCTTCGTTATTCGTATTTGTGTTCAAGATGATTCTAAGTCCTTCCGGATTATCAAAGAGCATTATTTGCAGGTTAATGATTATTTGTTTGATCATATCTAGTAGCTTGTTTTTTACTCTTTCCTGGAGCTTTGCATCATTGCCTGTTTGAGTGGAATGCAATGGAGTTTTGAAAATGTCTTCGATGATTTTCTCAATATAATGGTTGCCGTCTTCGAGTAGAATTTCGAGTACTTTTCTGGCTACTGAGAAGTATGTTTGTGCATCCACACGTCTATTGTCCTCTACATCTATTGTATCACAAAATGCCTTTGAGAACTGTTCTTCTGCTATTGTTTTGTCCATAACACCAATGTCATTATTATTTAATATTATTGCTCTGTCCATGGCATCAGCTTTATCATTATCTGGTTGGTCTATGGCTTCAACATTATCATCATTATTTGATAATGCTCCGTTCATACCTTTAACTTTATCACTATCTACTTGATCTATGGCATTAATATCCTCAGTTCTTAATACCGTACGGCATGATGCGGTGTATATAATGAAAATATTCATGAGTATGAATGGGAATGTGATCCCCATGATTGTTTACACATATGTGGATTTTATTCTTAGGCATGAATGCGATTGAAAGCAAGAGTGTGTTTATTGGCGCATGGCATGATCAAGCTCCAATTAATGGTAAGGTTTTTGGATTGGGTGTGTAGGCCAATGCCTGAATATAGTTATGATGAAAATGATTGAATTGATGTATAAATCAGTATGCAAGAGCCCTTGAATGGATATAAGAGAGATTGAGCAAAGTAGACAGCAAGCAAATGATCTTTTCAGACAGAAGAAGATGGGCGAGGCGTTAAAGATGTACGAATCTTCTCTTCTGAAGGCATCTGGATGTGCTTCTGTATCTAATGGAGATACCGCACTTTCTGAGCAGATGTCTTTATTGGCATACAACATCTCTACTGTTCATTACAAGCGAGGTAACTTTCGTAAGTCTCTGTCTTTTGCACTTGAGTCGCTAAAATATTTAGAGAATGATAAGGCAATGCAGCGGATATGCGCATTGTATTTGAGGTTGGGAATGGCCAAGGAGTTTAAGAGCATGTATGACAAGATTGGAAGCAATAAAAAGAACATGTCTGAGATTGAATATCTGGTTTCAAGGATGAAGCTGAATTACAAGACGATTGGAGTGGAAAGTGGACTGGCATGGGATGACTTGCATGAAATGTGTAGCAAAATTGCAAATGGAGATATTATTGCTGCGCCAGTTATAGAGCGTATTTTATCTCAAGGAGAAAGCATTCTTCTTGGGAGGGAGAATGTTGTATATATTGATAGTCAATATGAAGTGTTGATTTTTGGAGATACGCATGGACAATACTTTGATGTATTGAATGTTTTTAATCAAGTGTATAATCAAGAGAATGTTTTTATTTTCAACGGAGATTATGTTGATCGAGGATCGCATTCAGTAGAGAACTTTATTTTTCTACTTTCATTAAGTATCCTACTTCCGAATCGCTTTTTAATGACACGAGGTAACCATGAGCTTTTGCAGATCAACAGGAAATATGGATTTTATGAAGAGATGAACAGGAAATATACATTCAACGGTGATTTTTTGTATCAAAAGTTCCAGAATGTGTTCCAGGCATTGCCAATAGCGGTTGTGGTCAATGATAAGGTGTTTGTGGTTCATGGAGGGTTGCCTGAGGAGCCTGTGATACTTGAAAAGGTGCAAGAGATGTACAGGATGACAAATTCATACACTGATGTAGTGTTGAGAGGGTTGTTATGGTCTGATCCTGATGAGATTGAAGGAACGAAGGAGAGTGAACGAGGAGCAGGTATTATATTCGGAAAAAGCATAACAGAGAGGTTTTTTGAAGATAATGGAATTGAATTGCTTGTTCGGAGCCACCAAGCGGTAGATGATGGATATAAAATGCATCATGATGGGCATGTAGTGACTATTTTTTCAGCACCTGATTATGAAGGAACAGAGGGGTCTGGCGCATACATAGTTGTGAATCCAAGTAGGTATGGTGAGAATGAAAGGGTAAAAGTGCAAGGATCAGTGAGATATGCAGTAAGGAAAATTGATAAATCTGTAGGGAATGAGGTATTACAAGTAAGTTTTGAAAGTGAATGATACCTGGAGGAGAGAAGTGTAACATTAAAGATTTGGATTGTTTAAATGATTTGAAACATGTTTTGTGTTAGAAAACATATTTAACTTGTATTGACGAATTGAAGGGATGAAGAGTAGTTACAGCCTATCAAACGAAAGGATCAGTAAGTTCTGGCATCAGGTATTCAAGGAGTCTGCGGAGGATAGGATAATACTTAAGGAGCTGAGTTTGCCGCTGGCAAGGATCAAAAGACTGATGAAGGTTGAGGAGGGAGTGCGGATGGTGGCATCAGAAGTACCGATTTTGTTTTCAATGGTGACTGAGAAATTTGTTGAAGAGCTTACGCTTCGTGCCTGGATAAACACGGAGGAAAACAACCGGAGGATTCTGCAGAAGTCTGATCTGACAGCAGCGGTGAAGACTTCGGAAATATTTGACTTTTTGATATATGTCGTTCCTAGGAATGACTTTGCTCATGTTTTCAATAGCATTGGATCAGAAAAGATGCAAAGCCGAGAAGACATTGACTCAGAGCCTCAGGAAGCATATATGCAGCAGCATATGTTTAATGAGCGAATGATGATGAATGGGCCGGCAACACAGATTCATCAGCAAGACTTTTATGCACGGGAATGCCGAGGGATTGGCGACGTTCCTGATGCAACTGGAAATACTGTGCATCCAAGCGATTATAGAAATGCCTTTGATATCTCATTTAATAGAGAACATGACTCTTGATATGCCTACTGAAACAGCATCAGGACCTTTCAGCTGATATTGTATTGTAATAAACAAATTGTGAAGTATTAGATAATAACAGTGTATCTGATTTATTTATGATCAGTGATTCAATCCTTGCAAATATAAATATCTTAACTGTTTTAATTATATAAACAATAATAAATCTCATTGTAAACTAAATAATAATGTTATATCAAGCTTTATTTAGTCATTGCTGAACACTCCTTGAACATAGCTATCAATAATATCGATAACTTCTGGAACAAGGATCTTCCTGGTAAATTTCTTGTCTGCATTGTAGTATTCAAGCCCTTTGTAGTTTATGGCCTTTAATCCATTCCTACTCACAAGGCTCTTCATGAATGGAAAGCTTGAAAATATTATACTTCTGATTCCTTTGTTCTTCGTTGCAACAAAGAAGAAGTCAAGTCCCATGGATTTGCGGAAGCTTTCTATTTGTAGCATCAATGCCATTCCTATCTCCTTCAGAGGCACTCCTGATATTTCCTTGCCTTCTCTATCTACCCAGTCCTCAAACGAATACTTAACTGTAGATCCTCCAAATACAAACTTCCTATGACTGAACATTTTGAAGTCTTTCTGTAGAATAAGGCTTGTCTCGTGCTCATAGTCATTGTGCCTTGCACACTTCAGCTCCTTGACTATGCACTTCAGTTCTTTCTTACTTATACCGGCCATCGTTTTTAGCTTCCTGTATTCAAAGACATCAAAATGGCTTGTGCGTCTCTTAAGGTACCCAGTGTCAATAAGAATGGGAATCAGTAAAAGCCTTGCAAATGCAGAGCAAAGTGTTTCCTGATCCATGTCTCTCACTTTGTTTGATCTTTTTGAAAGTGTGCTACAGTGTGTTTTCTTTGTAAGATCGTCTCCCAGGTATTTAGAAACCAGCGTAGTTGCTGATCCAACATCCAGGTCTATGTACATTCTTTTTGCTGGTGAAACATGTGAGGAAAGTGCGTGGTGGTCAATTATCAGCTCAATTTCACAATCATCAAACACATCAGCAGGCTTGCAGTGGTCAGTCAGCAATAATTTGATTTTCTTTCCTGTTACCTGATGCTTCTCGCCTTCAAATTCAAAGTATGCACCAAGTTTTCTTGCCTTTTTAGAAAAGTGTAGTGAAGGCTTTGTAAAAAACACTAGGTCATTGACATCTATCTCAAACTTACTACAGATCCACATCAGTTCTCCTTTTGCCATGAATACATCTTTTTTCATGTTGACCACATGAATCGCATCTTCAGCATATGCTACAACCAGAGAGCTGATGAATGAATCAAGGTCACATGCCTCATTTCCCATTGCAATTGTTATGTCTCCATGCTGGATTCGTTCCTGATTGAGCTTGAAGAATGCATTCAGTCTCTTCTGAAGTAGAGTCATACTGTTGCCCCTGTCCATACTAAAAAACAAAACCTGAAACAGAAAACTGCAGCAAGTGGCACGTTTGCTTTATTTCAATATTATGCATATATTATCACTTGTGATAATGCAGGTTCAAAGATTCACAGGTTCTTGCATTAAATAACACCATCACTATTTTTAGATGCATAAGCCTCCTTTCAAATAAAGGGACGTGAGTACACTCCTTAATCCTCCTTAAACAATATAATAACTTGAAGTGAGGAGACTGTATGTTGAACCTGATTATAGGAAATGAGCATAAGAGCAGACTCATTGCACAGATAGATAGAAGGGCCGAAGAGATACGAAAGAGCAATTTGCACTTGAATGCAGATGATGAAGCGCACTTTGTGATACTTAATCCAAGCAAAGCAATGTATGTAGATACGTATCAAAGAGATGCAAAAGTAAGCATTGTACTGACATGGTTTGCAGTGGTGATGTTCATTGTCTCGTCTGTAATTCTAGTATTCATCATGAAAAACATAGGTGTTATCTGAAGCACATATTACAGTACATAAAGCCAGGTCATAATTGCAATCGCCTTATTTAAGCTAAATAGATGCATCATATGCTATGCATTGTAATGGGAAAGCTTAACAATGTGAATTAAAGGTTTATCATTATGAATACCATAACATGATAGTAAAATTCATACTGCCATAAATGAAACTTATATACATTACGAACAGCATAGCATAACATGATAGAAAAACACATCCCATTATGAATAGAAAAATGCATATCCCCTAGTATGGGAACCGTTTCAAAGAAAAATAAGGAAAGACGAAATAATGATCTGGAGAAAATCAAGAAGTATGCAGAAGACTATCCATGTGTGGCATTCGTTACAAATCCGGATCTTCCGAATATTATGATCAAGAAGATGAGAGAGGAGTTTGAAGGAAAAGCAAAAATTCTTTTTGTTAAGAAGAAGATGGCAAGTGCACTTTACAACATCCCATCTGTGCCAAAGGGAACATACTTTCTTGTATTTGGACGAGAAGCTGCAATGGAAACCATAAAGTCATATCACTACATGGATTTTCTTGAAGAAAATGATGTTGCTCAGCATCGCGGTATCATAGAAAAACAGGCCGTCAGAAACAAAAATATACAGGAACTCCTGCCAGTTTCTTGCAAGGATGGACAAATGCAGCTGACTGAAGACTATGTTGTGTGCGAACAAAAAGATACAATCGATGCTTCAAAGGCAGCCATCCTTAAGTTCTTCGGGAAAAGACTAAAGGAAAAAAAACTACCTGTCCTTTGTATCATGCAGTCCTCAGGCTTGATAAGAGTATCTGAAAATTAAAGATTTATTGGATTTCACTTTCAAAAAAAGACCTACTGATTTCAAACTCAGTAGCGTTGGCTTCGTTCTTTGCTGTCTTCTTGAAAAAGTGTTGTCCCTCGACTTTGAAGGTGTTTGCATACAGAGAGTTAAGTGGTTTTCCTTTGTAATCTTGCAAAAACACTCTAATAAGTGCTTGTGATCGTCTTGTAGGAGACTTCATTACATCCTTTCGCAAATTGATGCATTTCTGTAGATCTATTCCAAGCACTTCTGCAAATGCCTTTGCTCCATCCTCCTGTACAATGCATATTGCTAAAGAAGCCACAATCGATGGGTGCGTGCTTTCTAATGCCCCAGAATTATACGATAGTACAAACAAATACACAGCTCTAAACGTATCAAAATTATTAGGGCATATACTGAATGTCTCAGATACCTTTCTTACCACGCCAGGATCATCAATCTGCAAAATCTCAACAAGCTCATCTATACACGGATACATCATATGTTTGCTCTTAAAACGAGCCATCGAATACCTAATCGCTTGCACTAACGACTTTGTACAAGAAACAAGATCCTCAGGATCCTCAATCTCTTTCCATTCATTGACAAGCCTTGCCACTTCTTTTCTGATAAACAGCCTCTGCTCATCAATGTATCCAAGAAGATCCCTGTTGAAGCATCCCAGGTCCTTAAGCATGTATGTGTCTATGCCAAAATACATCCTTTGTAATACCTCGCTAGGAATGCTTCCAAACATCTTAAGAATTGCAAAGCACCTATCAAACGGCTCCCTTTTCAGAAACACTTCAAAGTATGCATTTGCGTACTGTTGGAAATTCCCAGGTCGCTTTTTAAGATAGAAAAAAAGTCTCATGAGTTCATCATGTGTCCATTCTCCACTAAACTGCTCTTCCTGTCCAAGCTTCATAAGACACTCGGCGATCACATCATTTGCATACGTCTTGTCCTTGACATCACATTGGCCTAGTATATGTTTTAACTGCTCATCAGACAGCTCAAACATCTCAAGAATACTGATTATCAGCTTGCACGGCTCTTTCTCATTCAAGTCAAAGTATTGAATATACTCCACTGCTGAAAAGTCCTTATTACACAAAGCAAGTCCACAGCACACAACAGGATCCTTAAATTTCAATTCATGTCCGTCGGTCATCAGTTCTGCACCTGGTGCTCCAAAAACCTTCCTTACAAAGTGAAGTGCAAGCTTCCTTCCTATATAGTCTCCATTCATGCTCAAAAACTCAACGGCACACTTCGGATAGTTCTTGCACACAACGTTGAAAACCCCATACACCTCACCCTCCACTTCTTGTCTCTGATATTCGTCAATGCTCAGATATATCGAAACAACCTCCGTCAGTACTTCTGCAACAAGTTCAGGTGAGCTGCCTTGTCCAAAAAGTTTCGTCCAGAACTCTATTGATGCGCCAAATGTATACACATCCTTCCTAAGCCCTTTGAACACATAGTCATACATCTTGCATAGATTACGGATCTTCGGCGCCTTGTCCTTCAATCCATTCAAACACATTATCACTCCTTGACACACCTCCATCTTCGATATAAGCTCAACCACGTCCCCTAAATCAAACATGCTCATTCCATCACATAAAAACTCAATCGTCTTGTTTGGAAACTCTGCTCCTCTCCTAAGCACAATTCCACAATCAAATGTCTTTGGCATCATCTTCAGTGATTCTGTGAGAATAGGAATAATATGTTCCGCATGAGAGTCATCAAACAACGGCATGTATGCATTTGCCATAACTGCACACCCTTTCTTCAGTTCGCTCTTCCTCTCCTCGTTGATTTCCTGGCTGTAGTTGCACAGGTACATAAAATTATCCAGTACCATGTATCCCATCTTATCTCCATACGAAAGAAAGTCAATTATGATCGAAAAAAACTCAGGAAACTCGTTGGGCCATTCGTAAAGACCAAGTAGGGCAAACACTTGTGCCGATTTCCTTGTTTTTACATCCTTGACTGTGTCTTTCATAAACTCCGCCTCATCTCTCAAAGATACACCCGCCATCTTTTTGGCCTTGATTCGCTGTTCAACAACCTTCAATGCATAGAAAACAGCTTCCATTGTGTTAGACGCAAGTAGTGCTTTAACAGGCGACAGGTCTGGGTGGTTAATGTATTTTTCAACTTCGCACTCTATTTCGTGCATTACTGAGGGATCGCTCTTAAGTTTGAAGAGGAGTTCCTCAAGCCTACTTTTCATTTAGGGAGGGTCAGGAATTCTTGAATTTGTCTGAAAGCAAGACACACCAATGATACGAATACAGTGAGTGTATGCTGCATATATTGCGATGTTTAATGTAAATTTATGCTTGTTAATACACATAAAACGCTATTTTTGATGTATATGCATGATCATTATTGCACTTTTACATTCTATTAACTAGATGCTGTGTCATCAGTCGTATATTATATTATTCGTGTAATCCTAATAATGTTGATGAACAGAAGATAACATTTGTTAATGGAAATTCCCAAATATATTTGAAAAACATCTCTACCAAACGTCTTTACTAAAGTATACTAAACAATTCTACAACAAAAATATCATTATAAAGATGGTTTACTGAGTTTGTATTACACTCAAATATCATCTAATTACAAGTCAATACATTCACTTGGATTCATATGTCTATATACATACAGTAGATGAAACTACAGAATGAAAGAAATCAAATAAATCAGAAGGAATCCACCTGCAATTATCCCTGCAATCAAATACTTGAAGTTTTTCCAAAACATCTTTGCTTTGGTTGCAGATGCTACTTCTCTGTGCTGTTCAGTTGTCTTCTCCAGCGTAAATGTCTGCTCAAGCAGTCCTTCCTCTACATCAGCAAGCTCTCGTTGCTTCCTAAGTTCATCTTTTAACACATCCTGCAGTTCCTCAATCTCCCCTTCAATCTCATTGGTAATTTCATCTGCCATAAAATATCTTCAAAGCATACACCAGCTACTTATACCACATATTCTCTGCAAAGTTTCAAAAGATTCACAAACAAAAACTCAATGCCATGCAATGCTTTATTTAAAAATGTGATCTGTAAATCACAGATTGTCAAAGATGCTTTCAATTGCCTGATAGTTCAGCTTCCCTGACATTCTCTTCTCAAGACTTCTGAATGCATCAACAATCGAATCATACTCCTCAATCCTTCTCTTCTTTCTATGCTTCTTCACCCCACTCTTCATTCGCTTTTCGCGTTCACTCATAAACTCTCCATACATCTCCTCCCATACAATCTCTCTCTTCCTGCTTTCCTCAGGCGAAAGAATGTTCCTATCAATCTCATCCTCATCGTACGATCCTTCGCTGTCAATACTGCTCTGAGGCGTTGAGTATGGAATGCTTTCGCTGCTTCCTGACTCAAGTTCCTGCTCTTTTACCTTCTCCATTATCACCCTCATCATCTTAACTGCCGGAGGATCCTCTTCCTTCTCAAGCCATGTCGCATTGAACTCCTCAATGCTAAGATTCGCACTCTCCGTGTCTCCAATCTCCTTCAGCCTTCTGTTGATCGTGCTCACAGACACATGAACAGTCCTGGCAATCTCATAGATACTTCTCTCCTCCCCAACTATCCTCGATGCCACCAGTAGTGCTGCTCCACACAAGTTGTTTGGCCTTCTACCAACCACTATCCAGTCCCTTTTCATCCTACTGATTAGCCTCAGTGACAGACTCAGTACATCTTTGCTTTCAAACCTCAGGCGCGACACAAACCGTGGCATATACAGTGACGGATCAATCAAAGGTATGTCTATATTCAACATACTCGTTATCCTCAAAAAACTCTTTCCAATCTTAAACACATCAATCCGAAGCGCATTTGAAAAGTCCATCAGCATGTGTGGCGTTCCCTCCTGTCTGCACACAATATATATGCATGCACTCAGTGTGTAAAGTATAGATTTCCCCTTACTCAGGTTGTGCTGCAGAAGCAGCTTGTACCATCTGAACGAGCACTCAATATGATCTCCACCAAGCCCAAGCGATGCACATATTCCACTTATTGTGTTCTTAATATAGTAGCTCGGATCAACAAATCCTGTACCAACATTCCGTGACTCAATGTCAACCATCTGCCCATTCAGCGTTGCCTTGCATCCTTCCGTGTTGAAATTCAATGCTGCAACTATTCCGCTCTCCTCCTGCACCATCCCACACACCATGCAGTACACTGCTCCATGCATCGTGTCGGTTGTGAATTCCTCCGATGAACAGTTCTGGCACGTTCCCATGGGGTTCCAGCTCCTTTCATCAATAACAAACTAAATTATCAGCCCCTTTTATATGTCCCAGAAATACATTTAATTTCATCAATGCAAAGCATTATTCATACTCCTTGAAAACATGCCGGTCTTTCCATCCACAAAAGTCACTTGCAAAAGTCACAGGCTGTTTAAAAAGCTCATGTCTTTCCTTTCTTCCCTCCAGCATTCCGTTAAACTCCCCATCGCTTATTCGAATCTTCTTCGTTCCCTCCTCTTCTCCAATAAAACTAACAAGTTGAAATTTATATTCTTCATCTTCCTTTTTACTATTTTCTTTTAGGCTCGACTCTATAAACACTTTAGTGAACTCATCAATGCTCAGGTCCTCCTCAAGAGCATCTCTCTCCACCTTGTTAATCTCGCTCAAGCTCCCCCCGCTTCTCATAAGCATCCGAAGCTGTGAATTCTTCGGAAGAACCCTCAGCACATGCAGAATCGACTCCTCGCTCCCCACATTGTATCTATCGCTGAGGTAATTCTTGATCGTAATCTGATAGCGCAGAAACGAAAGAAGCTCTGCTGTATGGTACTCACTTTCCTCATACAGCTCGTCAACAACAATCCCATACATCAACTCAGCAACAACACCCTTCTCGTGGCTTTGCTTCATTCGATGTCCAAGCTGCTCGATGTAAAGCCTCATCACATCGGCAAGCACATTGAGTGCTTGGTCAGTCGTCCTGTCAAATCCACTCTGTGCTAGTATCTCTACCGCTGCTAACTTCAATATCTTAAGATTCATGTTGGACTTCATTCAAACCCAAGGAGTAATTTTTTCGTCTTGCAAAACCATTTCTGAAATACTGCTCTAATGCATGAAGCAGGACTTGCCAATCACAATACAGTATTCATTTACTTTTATTCATACTTGTATCCCATAAAAACATATCTATTCAACTATGCAATCATTCAATGCCTAGTCGCTTCTTAAGCTCTTCTAACTCACTTAAAAGTGTACAAAGCTGAAACTCAAATCTCTTCTTAAGGATGGGATTCAGTGCATTCTCAACCTGCTTCCTCTTCTCCTCCACACTCGCTTCAAGGCTTTCTAGCTCCTTGTTCCGTGGTTGTTTCGGCTTCTCCTCAGTTTCAATAAGCTCTGCATGGGCATCTGATTCATCCCGGACATTCTTATCGTGCACTTCAATCTTATCTACAAACTTGTTTTCAATTTCTGCTGCAAGCGTATCCAGGTCGTCAGAAACCTCCTTGTCATCCTTCGACACAATCTCAACACTCTTGGCTCGGATGTCCTTCTCTAGCAGCTCATTCACCCTCTTCTCAATCTCTTCAACATGTTCAATCTTGTTGCTTCGCTTTCTGAACCGTCTTGCCTTTGCATACTTCAGTGGAGGACTCAATCCACACATCTCGTGTATCTCACGCTCCCTGTCAAAATCAAACCCATCATGTGGATACACAATCACTAATGTTGATATATCTGCAACCTTATAGTACTGCCTGTTGTCCATGCTCTTCTGTGATTCAACAATACAAGGCAGTCTTACAATGATACCCGGGTACTTCTTGAGCTTGTGAGTCAAGACCACCTTTCCATTACTCTGGATATCTATTAGTGACTCCTTCAAGTCAACCACATGTCTGATGGATTCATGCAGTCTCAGTATGAATTGCTGCTCCATGGGCTATGTCAATAACAAGAATCTGTATTATGCATATCCTGAGTGCTTACAATAACTCATAGATGTAGGTGTGCACCTACCCTGATGAAAACAGAAGGAGGTGGCGCAGTTGTCAAGTTTTTTAACGAAGTAGACACATCGGATGTAGAGTCTATCTGCCTTGTAATAGCATCAAAACTTGAGTCTCTGGCCAATACCTGTGAAAACAGAAATGAAATGGCATTTCCAGCGGATACCGTTAAGGACACAATCGAACTGTGTAGCAAATTGAAAGAGAGAACCCCGCATCACAAGATTCCTACAAAGTACATTCAGCATATAAGAGACAATAAAGAATCAAGTAGCTATTTTAATGCATCGCAAGATGCTCTGAAGAATGAAGAAGATCGCATCATCACAAAAAGAAAGATGTTTGCTACGTTCAGGAGCATGATAAAAGACATGGATGCTTTGTGATACAAGAGTGCGTTTGAAGACTATATATCAGTATATTGATTCAAGTGTAAAACAACCTGAACGATGCATAAAAAGCATCAATGTTGCATGAGCATAATTTTAAATAAATTCATAGCAAGTTAATGCATTATTCATGTGTTTGTAGTGAAGCATGCAGAGGTAAGACTGCAGAGACTCCGAATTACTTTGGAAGCCCAAGAGGCCAGGGGAGAGCAATTTTTTCGACAAGAATGAAAAAAAGGAACAGCCCATGATGAACGAGCTTTTTTTGGGCAATGAGTCGAACGATATGAAGATACAAAAACTAAAGAAGTATGTCGAAAGTGAGGCATTCCTTGATGCGTGTTTCTTTCCACACAACTTTCTTGAGGGGTTGGCAGTGTTTGCGATTGGGGTGCTTAGAAACACAGAACCTGAAAAGAAAGCGCCGTTTACATCAGGTGGAAATGAGGCACGATACACAGTGCTCCGGATATTGAGTAAGTTTGTGCTTGGAAAGACGCATGGAGCAGAGCTGGTGCAACTACTTCACGTGACATTAAAGAGTGACAATTTGCCAAATATGATTCTTGCAATGAAGCTTCTGAGTTCACTCAGCAGGTCGGGAGTGATATCTGGAGAGCTAGGAGATATACATGCCGGAGTTGTATTTGGAGTGATGCACGATTTGTTTGGCAACATTGATACGGGAGACGAGGGGTTGATTGAGATGTCTCTTTTTGCAATTGGCGAGATGTTTGATCATTCATATGTGTTTTTTATGGGGGTGGGACGTTGTGAAGTTAAGCTTGAACAGTTTCTTGCCAGGGCGTATCGACATGTAAGGATTGCGATTGACAACCGGCAATTCATGGACCTTGCGGCACACAGAAGGGTTTTCTGTGTTGAGATGTGTTCTATGATATGTGGATTACTGAAGCTTACGTGTGAGAATGCCTCGGTGCTGATGAGAATGGGAACGTATCAGATGCTTGTGATGGATATTGCACTGGTAGGAATGGCGTATTGCCCACCTGAGTGTTTGGAGATGCGAAGGGAAATATGTTACTGCTTTGGAAAGGTATGTGCAGGGAGTAAAGATGCATTTTTGTTTGCAATAGAGAAGGTCGATATGTTCTCTTTTCTGTTTTCTCCGGACATGCTTGGTTCTGGGATGAGCGGACTCAGGGTATTTTTTGAGTTATTTGGGTTGTTTCGGGACGTACTTAGTAAGTCTATGAGCCTAGATTTTGTAGTGCACATATCTGAGGTTGTAGTAACTGTTTGCTGCTCGGTTGAGAAGATATGTAATGAGATTGAGGATGGGCAATTGAGCGAGGGCATTGAAGGCAATGAATGGAAGCTCCGAGTGCACATTGAGCTTATGAAGATGTGCTTGAGAGAGATGGACACAGCACTGAAGCACTTTGTAGCAAGGTCTGTGGATGCTGAGGATATGAGTCCGATTTATGCCAGGAGTTTTTATGATTTAGACACGATATTTACAAGTGTTTGCAGAATTGTAGGAGTGATAAGCAAGGAATGTAAAGAAGCGAATGAGAATAAAGAAAATGAAATAAAACAAGGAAATACAGATGGGGCAGATCGTTCGTGTGCAAGAATACATAGCCAAGGTGTGTACAAAGAGAACAAAGAGTCATTGAAGGAGATGATGTTTTTGTTTGTGTGCTGTTTTAAGGAGGTGATGGGGAGGATCAGAATGGCTGATAAGATCGGAAGTATTGATAGGTTTTCGACCACTGAGATTCATGTACTGCGCAAGATGTTTGAAAGGTCGTTTGATGTGTTTTTGTGTGAGGTTGGTTGGAGTGAGTATGTTGTAGGGGAGTTTTACTCAGTGTTGAGCATGTTGTGGGAGAATGTAGCAATGGATATTTCCGAATGTTTTTGCGAGAGAAGCTTTGAACTGTGGATCAGAAGTGAGAGGTTTATTGGAGTTTGGAAGGCAGTGTGTAAGAATGCAGTTTTGGGCAATCCTGTTGTGTCTTATGGGCTGCGATGGATTCTTACCGAGATTGGGAAAGGAAGGGTTGAAGAAGTCAAGTGGACAGTAAGGCACTTGGTGCTATTTTTTAGCAACAATTCAAAGAAGATAAAACGTACGAATGTGTTTCTAATGCACAGGACTATATCTGTTCTTATGACGAAGGATGTGAGGAACATAAAGTGCTTTGAGGTTCTGTTTGAGATTTTTGAGGCATTCCGAGGGATGCCTGAGAGCAGTGCGTTTTTCCAGAAGTACATCTTTGACAATTTTCTTCGAATTGTTGAGCACCTGATGCGACTTTATGACAGCCAAAAGAAGGAGATTTTTGTAAGGTTGATATTTGCACTACCTGTAAGTGTGAACCTTGTAGAAGCGGATATTCATGTTCTTGTGAGGCCGATCGAGAAAGGCATGTGCCTTGATATGGGCACAAGGATAAGAGCGTTATCTATTCTTATGTATGTGCTTGACTTTTCAAAACATGATAAGATTGCAGGACTTGAAGATGTATGGAAGAAAATCATTAAGGGTGTTTATGAGGGCCTGAGAGATTCAAGAACATCGCTGTTATGTTCGAAGATTTTGGGTAAACTGAAAAGCTATCATAAGATGCTTGTAGATCATGGGGAATGGAATGTAAAGAACATGAACTCTAAAGTGATGCAAATGATGGTTGGTGGAGATATATCAGTGTGCAGTGTTTTTTTTGAAGCTGTTGAGAAGCTCAGGGGAGGATATGAGTGCAGAGAGATGGAATTTAGATCTGAGGGAACGATCGTAAGATTCAGAAAGGTGTGTGGAAAGGATATTGGAGACGAGGAGAGAAGGATTGCATTTAAATTTGTTACAAAAATGTTATGTGGAATGATTGGAATAGAAACAGTGAAAAGGAAGAAAGTGGCATGCGACTTGAGAGAGATTGTTAACGAGATAAATAATTCTGAGGTTGTAGTGCTTGATGTATTAGAATATGTATATATGGGGAAAGTGGAGAAGGATGTGAGATTGGCAGACATATGGATTGATATGCAGTGCATATATGATGGAATTCTTGGACTGTTTAGTTGTTATGAGACATGCTATGAGGAGGATGCACAGGAGCTCTTGCACAGTATTTATGGGTTAGGTTTTATTAATAAGATGATAGTATTTTATAAAGGCAGAGATGAGAGGATGGATATGTTACCTGAATGTGAGGTGCTACTTGATGCACTTGCTGAGTCTTTTAGGGATATTGATAGTAAGATGCCATTCAGAATGTTTTTGACGATGATACAACAAGGATATGAAGCAATAGGAAAGAAGAGTGAAGGATTTTGGAGTGAATTTTACGGAAGCATGTTTTTGAAGTTTGAAGGGTTGTGTAAATTATCTGATGAGAGGAGTAAGGAGGCAGGCATGAATGGAATGTTGTGTTTAGCAGCAGTGATGCCGCCAAGAGAGATGGTGAGACTAAGGATGTGTGTGAAGATGTTTTCGAATGTGTATGGATACTTTATACCACCTGTTGGAGAAGACTACGAACTGCCGTTGAAGCTTGTGATTTTTATACTGAGATATAAGTATGGAATGATGAGACGATGTGCAAGACTGGAAGGAATAAGTGATGATTTAGAGAGTGAGCTTGGTGTATTTGTTGAAGGATTGTATGATACTAACAAAAGAGTGGTTGAATTTTCTAAGCGGGTTCTTTTGGAGGCGATGAAGAATGAAGCATCGGGAATACTCAGCAGACACAAAGGAATTATATTTAAATTTCTGAAAAATGAGTATGTGATTTTGAACCGGACGATGATGATAAGGCATCTCGAGGTATTTGTGTTTTGTGTGACGAATGGAGGAGATATGTTTGATGAGTCTGAAATGAGATACTTGATTGGTAAGTTTATTGATAATGCAATGCATAATGAAGAGCTTAAGGAGATTGAAGGAGCACATAATGGATATGAGGATGTTGGAAAAGAGATGTTTAAAGGATGTGAGTGTGAGAGGAGTAGAGGAGACGATGAAGTTGTTGATATTGGTGGAATATTTAAGAATTTGAGTGAGTTGAGTGCTAGAGATTGTATAGAGATGTGTATGGAAGGACTACCTGAAGTGAAGTGTAGCAGATGTATGAAAGAGATATATTTAAATGGAGAAGCACGGCAACATCAGTTTGCAAACGAAGGCAACGAGCTGATGTATTGGATGAAGGAGTTTTACATGATAGTTATCAAGTATTCGAAGAATGTAGAAGAGATAAGAAATGGGATGGATCATGTAATGAGGCATGCGAGTGAAGATATAACAGATTGCATAAGAAGGATGTATATACAGAGGCCTATTGATGTAAGGAAGATATTGTTTGAGCAAGTGGAGATAATGATGAATGAAAGGCAGGATTACAAGGCAGTTATCCTGCTTGCTGGAATGCACAATGTTTTTGAGATGCCTGAAGACTCTAGAGTTACAATGATGGTTATGAAAGCGCTGAATGAGATGCGAACAGCAAAGGAGTTTTTGGCGATGATGCATGACGAAAGGAATTCTATGTTTTTTAAGGCGCTTGAGCTTGGACTTTTGCTGAAGGGGCAAGAGCAGGTGTATAGCGAGATTTTGGAGACATATGTGGCTTTGGATGGATATGGGAAGGATTATGCAAAGAAAGCTTATGCAAAGATTTTGAGCAGCATAGGAAAGATTGGGACGCAGTTTATTGGATGTATGATTCGAAGGATACATGAGTCTGCAGTGTATGAGTTATGTGTGAATCTGTGTAATGAATCTGATGATTTCAGTGGGATGATGTCTGAGATGAAAAATATGATTGCAGAGAGGATTTCTCAGGCATATTTCCGGATGGAGGGAGTGCGTTTGTTTGATGGGAAGGTGTTTTTGAATGCATACAAGCTGCTTTGCTTGATAGGGTATGAGATGAGGACGATTGATGTGCAAGTGATTCTTGGGATGTATTCTGAGATGAGAAGCCGAGCGAAAGGGGGATATGAAATAAGGAGACTGATAGGAAGATGTATTAGTTTTTTCAGTGTGGAAGATTTTGAGATGCTATTTAAGGATGATCCTTGGTTTGTGATGATTGAAGGGATTGATCCTGAGTGTTTTAGCAGCAAGCTGAGTCTTCAAACGCTTAAGTGTATGTTGAGAAGTGTTGACAAGAAAGACAAGGAGAAGATCCAGCGACTTGTTGAATGCTTTGGAGATAACAAGCACATGCTGATAGAGCTTTTTGTTGGGATGGGGATAAAGAGTGAGGAGCTTTTGAGGTATGCTCGAGAGAATATACAGAATGTGAATTTAAGAGGGGTGCTTCTGTATTATCTTTGTACTTTTGAGACAGGCAGCATGTATTTTGAGATGTCGTTTAAGATGCCTTATCAAGACCGAAGATATACGATATATTGCTTAGAAAGGCTTGTTGATACAACGGATGTGTCAGTATTTGAAGAGATAATGCTAGTTGTGCTGAGGTCTGAGGTACGATCGAAGACAAGTGGATGGATATTATTTCCGTTGATGATGTCTAGGCCTAAGTTGATTAGCAAAAGAATAGGAATAGAGCTTATTGGGATGATATGCAAGCTGATTAAGTCGAATGTGCGATCGCAGGTAAGGATTGGATTTAGGTTGTTTAGGGTGTTGTATGATAGATACTGTAAGTGGAATGAAACGATGGAAGAAGGATACTGCGAAGAAGGAATGATGAATGTGTATACTATGATGTTTGCAGCATATGTGAGTTCTGAGAAGGAGAGTGTTGATGAAATGATTGTAGGATGTAAACTGAAGCTGAACCTAGAGCTTTTGAACCTGGTACCTGAGAAGGTGAATACAGAAAGGATGTTGAAAGCAGTTGAAGAGGAGATGCAGGGAGATAAGTGTGAAGAGTATAAGATGGAAGTGATTAAAGCCATGCTGGAGGTTGTGCCATTGAGTGTTTGGATGATTGGAGAGGTTATGATAGGAACTATGCAACGAATAGTGAAAGGAAAGATGATAGATTATAAAGAGATTTGTGTGCATATTGAGAATGATGAAATCAAGTATACGGGAATGAGCTTGTATAACTTGATGAGTATCTTGTGTGACATTATGGATGCAGAGATGAGCGAGGATGTGGAAGGAGACCTAATGAGTTGCTTGCTGATTCTTAAATTCTTGATTGCAGAATATAACAAAAACAAAAGTGCAAAGTATTTTGAATGGATAGAGAATGGTATTGAAAGGATAACATATGAACTTAGTGAAACTGAAGGGATGGAGAGTGTGATTTGTGAGATGTGTTCGATGTTTATGGAAGCGCTTAGAAATGAGATATTGGGTGTTGAGATGGTAAGCAACAAAGTGTGTATTATGATGCCTGATTTGAGAATATCACTTTCAAGGAAGATGGAGATACTTGATCAACTTTCTGCAAAGGGATGTGATGAGGATGTTTTGGGGATGTTAACGTTGTCTGCTGTGAATAAGTACAAATACAGTGGAGTTTGTATAGGCAATGAAGCACATGAATTTTTTATGAAGGGACTGTGTTCTAGAAGTAAGGAGTTAAGAAGAGGATGTATTGATTTGCTAGATGTGATAGTGCCTCGTAATGAGAGTTTAAGAGTCAGATGGTTGTTGAATGTGGACTGGAAGGAATGCAGAATGGTTGAATATGTATTTCTGGTGATGATGATGTACTCACATGATGATGTTAGAATTACGGTAAAGAAGAGTAGAGGTTATGGGATAGGAGATAGAAGTGTATGGAAGAAAGAATGTGTGGAAGAAGAACCAAATATGTGCATTGAAAGTATAGAGAATGTACTACAGAATGCAATTGAAGGAATTGATGTTTATAGTGATGGGATGAGTGTTAATGAGATTGTAGATCTCTTTTACATCATGCAGGACTCTGTAAGAGAGGTCTTGCCTGAAATTCTGAAGAGAGCGATATACAGGATTGAAAGAGCAGATTATGGAGAAGTGTTTGAGGAGTTTTCAGGGTTTGTTGAGCAAATGGCAAGCATGCCTGAAGTGATTCAAAGTTTTATGCAAGGATTTGAGTGTATACTGAGATATGCAAAGGATGAGTGTAAGGATGGATTTGATAGGATGATTGAGAAGTTTTCAGGTGGAGATGGATGGTATGGGATGTTGGAGTATGCAGACGAGAAGCAAAGAATGAAGATATATGAAAGGCTTTTGGATGAAGACGGGATGTTTGGAATATGGCGCAGTATGTGTATTTTTCCTGAAACGATGCAAGCAAGCTTTTTACAACAGATCGGAAAGGTTAGAGATGCACAGATGAAGTATGAGGAAGTACAGAAGAAGGCGAATGATCGCAAGATATCGTTTGAGAAGGAGGAGTATGGTGAGTGGCAGAAGAGATGGGTTGAATGTGCAAAGGAATTGCAGCAGTGGGATGTTTGTTATGAATATGGAGTGCATATCAAGAATTATGAGCTTGAAAAAGAGTGCTTATGGCACATGTGTGACTTTAGAAATCAGGGAGCATTAGGAAAGTTTAGTGAACTTGAATGTGTAGGGCCTAGGTTTGAGCAGAGATTTTATGAAGCTTTTGGAGAGTTTTTTGTTAATTCGTCTCTTGAGAAGATCCGAGGATGTATTTCTGATGGAATTAAGGAGCTTCGAAGATACCCAACATGCTCTGGGATTGGATTTAAACTGCAGATGTACTTGCAAATTATGATTGAGATGATTGAATTTGAGCCGATGTTAATCAGCAAAGCGGATGGAGAAACACTGGCCTCTGTTCTATTCAGATGGAAGGACAAGGAACCATGTGCTCTTGATGGGATTGGAATATGGGGGATGTTTAAAACATGGAGAGTGCATGCATACTCTAAGCTTGGGATTGTTGATAGAATTCAGATGGACAACAATACTGGCACAAGAGGATATGGAGATTTGCAAATGAATGGAAGAGTCCATGTAGGAATGGCACATACAGGTGCGAAGAGTAGTGGAAATGAAAATGGAATGAAAATAAGAAGAGAGATTGCGATTAGAGCAGGGAATGAGATGGCAAAAGTGCTGAATGCATTTTCGAAAGCAGCGATTGCGCATGAATACAATGATGTGGCGCTATTTCAGTTGAAAGAGGTATTTGATTTGAGTAGCATTAAGGTGTGTGATGCGTTTGAGAAGGTTATGCATGAGCTTATGTGTTTTCTTAGTAAATGCGAATACAAAACAGGATTTGACCAATGCAATCTGACGAACATCCAGTACTTCAATGATATGCAGTGTTCGACACTGGTTGGGATGAAGGGAATGTTCTGTGAGAAGATGGGTAAATTTTCTGAGGCAGAGAAATATTACCTGCAATCTGTACAGGTATGTAATGCGCTTGGTGAGAGCTGGCTTGCATGGGGAAAGTTTTTGATGAGCAGAGCAGAGAAAGAAGAGAGAGTGGAGTATGAAGAGAGTTTTTTGGCGATTCTGCAGGGTGTTATATACAGTGATGGAAAGAATGCGTGCAAGGGGATATTGAAGCTGCTGAGGATATTAAAGAAGGACGGAAGTGTATGTGAAGAAGGCTTGCTTGAAAAGATACTGTATGAGGCAGATATGTCTAGGTTTGTGTATTTTGTGCCTCAGTTTATTGAGCTTCTGGACAAGAAGGATGTAAGTGTTGCTGAGATGGTGCTTGTTAAGATAGCGCAAGAGTATTCACAAGCAGTGGTACGACCTTTGAAGCTGTGTAGAGAGCGGTTGAGGATGCGTATGTATCCTAGGAAGTCTGAGAATGAGTTTATGATGCACATGAACAAGCTGAAAATGAAGCCTGCGAGTGGGAATGAAAGATACGATGCTGCAGAGAAGAAGCATTATAATGTTTTTCTAGAGAATGTTATGCGAGTGTACAATCAGGTGAAGAATAGAAGGTATGGGAGAGAGCTTTGGAAGATGCAGTGCTATATCTATGAGTCGTTCAACTCGTGCAGGTTTAAGGAGGAAGATTTGGTTTATGAGGATATAGAGAAGATTCTGAAGAATGCAGTGCAGCATGTGATTGGCCGAAAGGCATTAAGTGCGATTGATCAAGTGGGAGTTCTTAATGAGATGATATCGCATGTATCGCTTTGTGGAGTTGGTAAGGAACTGAAGGATGAGGTGATATCATGTGTGTTTAGGATGAAGAGCCTGTGCCCTCTTGAGGAGATATCCGATTTGGTTAAGTTTAGAAGCAAGCTGAAGAGGGCTGTTGAGGAATCGTTTTGTAAGAATGATAGGTTTGGCGAAGCAGGGATTAATATGATGCTTCATAGATCTGTACATGAGCATCGGATGTTTGAGCAGTACTGCGAGATAAGGAGCAACTACAAGCGCATGGTGAATATTGAGATGTTTGAGCCAAGGTGGAGCTATTTGCATAGGAAAAGGATTGGTAGAAACCGGATTCATGTTAGAGGAAGTGATGGAAGGATATACAGATATGAGATACGAAAGATGAAGGGACGAAATGGAGGAGAGCTGGTTGTGCCACAGATGTCGTTGATGGTTAATGAGATCATGGGTGAACATGTGAGGTTGAGGAGAAAAGAAGCGGAGTTGAAGCTGTTTGTGCCTGTGATAATGTGTGAAGACCTTGTTGTTGAGTGTTTCAAGGAGCCTGTGCATGAAATGAGTGATGTTTATGAAAGGATGTTGAATAAGTATGGAATGAGTGTGGATGAGTGTGTACTGCTGTATTTGAATCATTTTGCATCGTTGTATGAAATAGATGAAGAGGAGATGGATGTGATTGGAAGGAAATATGATCTTAAAAGCAGGATGTTGAAGAGAGCGACCAGAGATATTACGAGCAAGGGTAAAGGCACGACATGTGAATGTCCAAATGTCAAGAAAGATAGATGTATACAGCATGAAGAAGTAGATGCAAGCATAGAGAATGATGTAAAGGCAGTGATATGTGCGCAAAGAGAAAGATATGCGCTGAATATTGCACTTAAGAAAACTTCATGCTTAGGATGTGGAGAAGAAGGTATAGAGATTGAGCCGTGCACTTATAGATATGATGTGACGAAGCACCAGAAGCAAGAGGCATATGAGAAGATGTACAATACGTTTAGAGATGACAGCAGCATTGAAGAGTATTTCAAGAATGAGTGTAAGAGCTATGGAAGGTATTTTTGGATGAAAGACAGGATGCTTGTGAGCTATTCTATGAATACGGCATTTCTGTATCTGCTCTCAATTATAGACAGGGATGTAAAAAAGCTTGTGGTTACTAAAGAATCTGGATGTTTTATGAATAGGATGGTGTGCAATGAGATACATGATGTGTTGAGTAAAAGGAGGATGGAAGATGGAGTAATAAGCCCTGGATATCAGAAGTTTTTTAGGAAAGAAGGGATAGAAGGAACGTTTTTGTCTGTTATATATCATTTTGCAGAAGTGCTGAATGAAGGAGATTGGTACGAGGATGCATTGAAGGTTTTTGGAAGTAGAATGATTGAGGATTGCGCAGAAGAGATGGTAGAAAAGATTTGTAGAGAAGGAATGGAGAAGGTGAGACATGTTGTTGGCAAAAGCGAAGATGGAACCTACAATGTTATACCGATGGTTAGCAAATGGATGGATATTTTGAATGTTGGACAAGTGGATCCAAGATGGATTGCGTGGCTTTAATGTGATGCGTGACTGATTATGCGTATTAAATTGGTTGATTTTATGCAAGGTGTACATGTGCGATGTAAGTTAATTGATTTTATGTAAGATTTTGTTCATGTGCGATGTAAATTGGTCAAAAGTAAGCATGTGAAGTGACCCATGGATACTGTTTTAGTGAGACTGATTGATAGGATACGTCCAGAGATTGAGCATGATTCTCTTCATGTTGAGAGAAGATTTACAGCAGAAGATATCAAAAGATATCTGAAAACAGTTCTTGGGATGGAAGGTAAATACAGACTTTACATTGCTGGAATACCATTTGAAGGGAGCATTGATAGTAATATAGTTGCAAGAGAACTTGAAGTTGAGAAAGGGGTGACTGTTGAGTATGAAATTGATTATCAAAGCACACCGGATGTGTGTGTTGATCTTGATGATACAGTGATGTTTCTGAAAGTTGCTGATGAGAATTTGAAGATATGGTGCTGCACTTACAGCGGAATTTTGAATATTTACTCGTGTATTGATAAGATGATTTATCAGGAAGCAACAGTGGAATGTCGTGGGATAAGAGGAATGGCGGTTGGAGATAGATTGCTAGCATATGATAGTGAAGGGAAGATTATTAGAATTGATGATGCCAATATATTGCTTGAAATTGCAGAAGATGTGACAAGTATGACATTCAAAGGAGATGTGATTTTCATTGGGACATATAATGGAGGATGCTATGTGTATGATCAAGAGCTTAAAAAGGTGAATGAGTTCAAAACCAAGGTTGTGTTTGTATCAGTAAGTGAGGATACAGTAGAGTTTGTGTGTATTGATGGAAATACGTATGAATGGCATTTTAACGGAGAATGCAAGAAATACAAACTTGGTTATAATGTTACTGCAGTTGACATGAAAGGAAATACAAAGGTTATTGGAACTTCTTCCTCAGGCATGCTTGTTATGAACAATAATCAAAAGTCGTTTATAAAAACAAGTATTAGATTGAGCACTGCACTGGCGATAGGAACTCATGATATAGTAGCGCAGGCATCGCAATATACAGTCTCTATTGTAAACATAGGTAGTGGAGAAGAGATACGAAGGATTGCAGTAGATAAATGTATTATAGGTGTTGGCTGGGTTAAAAACATGCTGGTTATAGCATGTGGATCTAGTATCCGTGGATATTTTATAAATTATTGACATAAACTGATATTTAATAAAAGTTATTTATGTAGTTCTTAATAATAAACTCATTTATGAAAGCATTTTTATTATGGAGTGTTCTATCGTCGCTTTAATAATAATATTAGAATAATGTTGGCAGAATAAGTCGTTCAACAAAGCACCTTTGTCCTCTGTATGTTACCAATGGAACACCAGGAATGGCTCGTATTCGTTGTTTTAGAGCAGTATCTGATGTTGCAACAATGTAGCATCTGTGTGCAGACACTCTGTTTAAAATGCAGTCATCTGCATATGTGCCTTTATGATTGCATTCTAGCCTCTGCACCTTGCCATCTCTCATGAGTGATAATGCCACTCTAAATGGTCTTCCTAACTTTTCAAGCTCTCCAATAACACATTCTGTAACGCACATCTTTATGCTTCCATTAACGGCCTTCATCAACTGATGCTCTATGTCTTGCTTCTTTCTTATACAATCGTTGATGAAGTTTGTATCCACAATAATGCTGTATGGAGGTCTGAACACATGGTTGAGTAGAAATGCATCTGTGTTTCTCGGATTCTCTTCCATCTCTATGTTTTCCTTAACCACCTCAACTTTCTTTCTTTTCATTACATTTATGACTTTTTTGCTCTTTACTGCATGCTTTACTGACATTACCCCTCCATAGTCATGTTTATTTCAATATTTCACACGAGCTCATCAAGCGAAGATTCATGCTCATACAATGGCTCGAAATGACTGTGTGCATAAAGTATTGAGATACTTTGATTGTGATCTGCATATGTATCAATTACGTCCTTTCCAACGTCCACAATCTTAATTGCTATAGGCATGCTATTTGAAAGTGCACAGATCTCGATGCATCCTGCATGCTTGAAGAACGGATTCACGTGTATTGAGCAGTATTCATCAACACCCATGTCTGGAATGTATAACTGGTACATATCTGAATTGCACTTCAGCTCTGTGGACACAACAAGTCTCAGATACGCAACGCAATCATACCATGTGTATAGCGGAATATCTTCCACTATGAGAGTACCATCCATAACGCCTTTCAGCACTTCAACAAATGTTTCATGAAAACCTGAAAAGCCCAACTTTTCAATCCCGCGTGAAATAAACCTCGAATTTATCTGATCAAATACATTCAACAGTGTTTCAAATAACTTATTCTCAGTACATACAAGATCTACAAGGGCCACTGCATATGAGATATACAGACAATTCCCATCACGGATGCATTCTCTGAATTGACTATGTGTTTCCATTATTCGTTGCATCCTGGCAAATGTTTCAGTGTTTATGAAACATCGATGCAGAGATAGGTTCTTCCTAGTGCTTGTTGCAGGTTCAACCGATGTGCTTGATCCATCAATCTGATTGGGTTGTGTGTCTTCTTCCATCAGAAGGGGTGAGTGCAACATTCTATTGAGCAATACAGCGTATCAGAATGCGATCTCTACAATATGCGCTATTTGTATTGTTTGGATGCGATGCATTACGTCATAGCCGATTTATGTATTCTATCAAGACCCATCTGATATGAAAAAAAATGAACTAAGGAACGAAAGCATGTCGATATTCATTAATCTCATAAAGACAACCATTGGATCTGGAATTTTGAGATATCCGTTTCTGTTTAAGACGTATGGTTTATGGTACACAATAGCTCTGACGCTGATCTCTGCACTGGCATCTCTGTTTGGGCTATGGATGTACATCGACTTGAACGACTTCTATGGATTAGATAACTCAATGTCTACACTCGCTAGATACATATATCCGCCACTGCAGAATATTGTGAATGTTACTGTGTCTGTAAAGTGTTTTCTTGTATGCATTGCATATCTTGTTTTACTCAAAAACAATGTGCCTAGAACAGTAAGTGCAATACTTGGGATACAGGATGAATATCCAAATCTATGTCTTTTTGTAATAACCGTGTGTATTTTCCCGTTTGTTATTATGCATAGAATAGACAAGCTGAGATACACATCTCTGTTTGGATTGATTGCTGTAATGGCGCTTGTGGCTTCTTCAGTTGTCATCTATGCTAAATCTAGTGATGTAGTGATGCAACATACAGTTACCAGCAATCACAAGCTGTTTGGCGAGCTTGGAAGCTTTGTCTTTGGATTTACATGTCATCAAAATATTTTTTCTGTTCAGAACGAAATGAAAGCAAGCAACAAATCAATGCTAAAGCTTACTACGTTTCTTGTACTAAGTACAGCGTCTCTTATATACATAGTGTTTGGTGTTACAAGCTACCTAGCTTTTGGCGACAAAATGAAGGAAAACTTTTTTGAGAATCTTCCGAGTGGAATACGAAACACTGTGGCTGTTTTCTATTTCTTTGTAGTTATGATGTCGATTCCACTGCAGATGCATCCATGTAGAACGTATTTTCTAAACTTGTTTGGAGCAAAGTATTCTATTGAAAAGAAGTATGGACATTTAAGGTTTGTTACTAGTTTGTTCATAATGGCTTTAGCATTAGTAACTGCGATGAGTGTGAACAAGATGGAGAGGTTATGCGAGATTATAGGTGGGTCGTTTTCAACATTGATGTGTTTTGGATTTGCATCAGTGTATCATTTCATGGCTTTCAAGCACCGAAGGCTTGAAGTTAGGAAGATCATGGCGCTTTTTGTTCTTTTGTATGGAATGGCAGCGTTTGCCTCGCTCTTTGCTCGCCCATGAGAATGTACCTGACTATTTGATTTATTTGGATTTGTAGAGTTGAAGGTGAGAGAATGCTGGGAATATACAGAAGAATGAAGTTGTATATGTAGATGCATGTTGATTGATGGGATATGCATGTTGATTGAACACTATGGATATTGTAAGCTGAAACATGTGTCTCAGAATGAGTCACAAAGTATAAATTTTCGATATTGTGTGTTTGAAGTGATGAAAGGGATTTTTGCAGTGTCGGTCTTGCTGAACCGAATGATATGCTGGGTATCTGAAGTGGGACAATCTACAATTGAGCCAGTTGTTGATGAGGTAGCATTGAACCAGATGAAGATTCCATTCCTTAGTGGACCTTCACATAGTGGAATTGGCCTATTGAAGAATCCTGCGATAGCTGCTGAAATACAAGATGGAGTTCCACTATCGGCAATTATGAGTACAGTGAGTCCAACTTCAAGCATGGAGGGTAGTTTCTATTCAGACCTGAGTCTTAGCATGGCACCCATAGTAACGTATTTCAGCAAAGAAATCGGAAAGTTTCGTACATGGTATGAATCTGTTGAAAGTATAATGAGTGATCAGATGAGAAAAGAGATTGTTTCTGAAATGTATACGATTCATAGCGAAGACAGTGAGTTGGAGACGTTCTGGGCAATGATTCAAGGGCCGCTGTTAGTGAATACAATGCCTTCACTGAATGAAAGCTTTAAAAAACTAGATTTGATGGTGAATAAAGAAAAAACAGAGGGAAGTGAATACAATTATGAGTTCAACGAGCTTCTGAAAGCACAGACTGATAACGATTTGAATTATCTTGAGGAATCAAAGTTTGCCATAACGAATCTTGAGCTTGGAATCTCAAGGTATGGGATGAGGATATTCACTGAAGTTGTGGAGCCATTTTTGAACTCAACAGTTAATTTCAAGAGTTTACAGAGGATGCTAGGGAATATGGTGGGAACATCTAAAAGCTTATTAATAAACTGACCGTTTCTGCTAAATGTTGATTTTTTATGTTATAAGGCTGTTGTTATGCCGAACGGTGTAAGATTAAAGAGTGTGTTATTAAGGATAAGATAATATGCTGATAATGTTTTTGCTAGTGATTGTTATAGGCATGTTGAATGTTTTTATTGACGAATATTTGATGAGAGTAAATTATTGAGTATGCTTATTTACAATGATTACATCAATGAATGATTATTGAAAGTGATTGATCAAATAAATAAATATATTAATAAATAGTTATACATTCTGAAACGAAATACTTAATATTTGTTGCGGGTGATGTGGCCGAGCGGTCGAAGGCGGCAGACTTAAGATCTGCTATCGTATGATGTCGTGGGTTCGAACCCCACCGTCACCACTCCGTTTTGAACATTATATTTTGTTTTATTTACACTCAGTATGCTCAATACAAGGCATAAAAAGCTTGATACATCAGGCTAGAATAACACCAAAAAGATAAAACGATTTAATAAAGCGTTATTGGGCTTGCCTGGTTCGTCTTAATCATCACTCCGTTAAGACTCTGCTGCCCTTTCTTCAGGTATGAAATAAGCAATCCCATCCCGCACCTAATATTTTCATATATGTGCTCAGGATCCATCCCAGTATGTCCTACCGGGAACGAAGTAACTGCAAAGTCCTTGATTCTCAACTTATACGACTTCTTTGCCTGCTCAAACACTTTCGAAACATCGTCATCATTCTTCATTATATACGGAGTCTTTCCATGTCTAAGAATGTTCTTCAACTGATAAACCTTCTGATACCCAGGGCATAAAATAAAGTACTTATTCGTCTTAAACAGTCTTTCACGTATAGACTTCTTGCTGTCTGCACTGATCTCCTCAATTGACACACACGGTATATCCTTCTCTGTGCATTCCTTCATGCGTGCTTCGTCCGCAATCACAATCACTTTGTCCGCTCTTCGCACCTTGTATGGAAAAACCATGTCCTTCGACACCTTGTTGTCCTTCTTAGCATCATACCCCTTGAGATTCACTTGTATCTGTATTGTATCCACCTTCTCTGGCTTACATCCAGCCTTCAGGCGCTCAATCACTCCAGTTATCCTCTTGGCTTCAAGAAATGCCAGCTGATCATCCTGCTTGTGAATCATTAGCCCCTGCTGAGTAAAAAAATTTAAAGCTTTTCGTTACTGCACTTACTATGGCTTCAAACCATAATTGTATCTTGCTCAGTAAACCCAGCCATAAATATTACGATCCTTTTGTAAGCCAAGCCTTACACAATAAATATTATGCACATAACATATTAAACAACCTACTTTATTAAAATGTATCTATAAACACTGTAATATAAAACAGATATTTGTGTTAATACATAATCAATTACATATCAGCTTCAGATTGTCATGTGTAGTTGCAATGAACCTTATAATGTTGAAGCATATTGTCCTTTCTTGAAAATCTTTTGCTACAGTCTTTGTTCAGGCATTTAAAAGGTCGTAGTCTAGTATGCACAATATAATGTCGTTTAATTCTACTCACAGTGGGCAATTCCATTGTGCATCCTTCATATGGGCAAATGTACATTTTGATTCCGTTCCTTGCCTTGTATGTGAACATGGATGTTTCAAAGTCGGCAAAACATTCGATTTTGTCATCTGCTGGATCTAGTGTTTCTGTAGATAAATGCTTATATGCCTTCTCTTCAAACAATGGCTTCTGTACGTGTTTCTCGGATATGTTTATTTCTCCCAGAACTTCTCTCTTTCTCCTTCTGATTTCTTTTTTCTTCTCATTCAGGCTCTTGTTCATTTCCATGTAATGATTAATTCGTTCTCCGATGATGTTCTGCATTTCTATCTCTGCTTGAATAATCAGATATTGTAAAGATATCAGTTTTTCATCTACTTCCGAACTAGAATTGCCATTATGTGTGTTTTCATCGCTATGTTGTTCTGTAACTGTACTGCTTTTTATTACTGCATTAGTGTTTGAGGTTTTTCCTAAGCTACATCTTTGCAAACTTGATAGAGAACTATGCTTAGCTACTTTACAATGCAGCATGCATACTTCTGTGCATGATGAATTCGATCGATCATCTGCACAGTATTGCTTGATATTTTTTCCTGTATTTGTCGAATATGTATCGACTTTACTTATTATTGAGCATTTCTGGTGATTGTTATACTGTGAGTCTTCAGAAGAGCTGCTAGAGTCGAGTTCAGTATCTGCTCTGCAACTGAGCATGCTGATATACACATCATTGCTTATATTACTGCTCTGTGTTGTAAAGGAGTGTGTCTCCTTATGCTGCCAGCCAATCAATTATTCTGATTTACTCAGCAATGTATTTCAGATTACGCACGATTGTTTACAAATATGCATAATGCTTTATACCATAGACATAATCAATTCAATCGATCAATGTATTTATGACAAGATATTGCTGTAAAGAGTGCTATATTTCAATAAATGTGTTGCATTATTTTTTATTTATCAAATTCAAGCTGTTCATGCATCATTTGTATCTTGTATACTTGCAGCACTATTAGCGTCGATTATAAAGTAATGATAATGTATTTTTGTCCGAGGCCTCGTTAATGAAGTTCTCTATAGCAGACCAGAAAAAGAAGTATGCAATAAAGGAAGATGTTGCTGATGTTTTGAAGCGAATTGAAGATGATATTGAAGAGCTTGTTGAAGTGGATCTTTCAGGCAACTGTTTTTCAGAGGAAGCTATGGAAGAGATATGCAAAGTGCTTGCAAACGCAACAAGCTTACGCATCATCAATTTATCAAGTGTTTTTCTGCTTCTTGGCAAGGAAAGGCTGTGCCACAATCTTGCACTTCTTTCAAATATGTTGAGGAAGCATCGTATACAAAAGATTGATCTGAGCGACAATGCGATAGGATCTGAGTTTCCTGAAGAGTTTGGGATGTTTATTTCTGAGACAAAAAGTCTTGTGCATCTGAAGATGAACAATTGTGGACTTGGAGAGATTGGGGGGAATAGACTTGGAGGGTATATGAAGAGAATTGAAGATAAAAGTGTGCTTGAAGTAGTTGACATTGCACAGAATAGATTTTTTGTGTTTCCAAAGGAGCTGCGAGAAGCACTTGAGGAGTTTGATGGGATAAAGGAGCTGAGAATTCAATACAATACGATTGAAGAGAAGACGATGCTGAGTTTTCTGAATGGATTAGAAAAGCATGTGCTTGAGGTACTTGATATGAGAGACAATTTTTTATCTGAAGAGGGATCCAAAAGACTAGGGGAATTGTATTGTGGATGGGACATGAAGGAGTTGAGAGTTGGTGACTGTATGATGAGAAATAGCGGAGTCAAGAAGTTTTTGGAAGAGGCAGGCAAAAAGTTTGTGCCGATGCACCTTCCTGGTGAGTATACAGGAAGGATTGACCTTGTGTTAGATCTGTCGTACAATGAGTTTGAGCAGGATGCAATGGATGCTTTGAGCGAATTCTGCAAGATCAATGTTGTGAAAGAGCTGATAGTGTTTGGAAACTATTATGAGGATTCAAGCAAGGTGATTGAAGCGGTGAGCGAGCATGGCGGAAAGGTAATAGTAAGTGAGGGACAGGACGATACATCTGATGTTGATGAAATAGCAGAGTCATTAATAGAAAAGGTGGCGAAACTATAAATAATATTGCTGTTTATGCATAGAAATGATTTGGTATATATAGATCGTTTGTGTGTTTATGCATGCATTCTTAATGCTATGAAATAAAGGAAGGCTGAATAATTGTTTTGAAGTTTTGTATGATAGACGCTTGAATGTTTGGAAGAAGATAAAAAGAAAATGCATGCTGGGGTAGGAGGAGTAGTTTCTGGATGAATTGTAAAGAAACTGAAGATGTAGAGACAGATCTGTTTGAAGGAATTGTTATTGATGCTGAGAAGATTGTGGCCAATCGCAGAGTAGATATGGGGAATAGAGTGCAAGAGAAAGACGAGGAGATGCCTGGAAGATACAAGAGGCTGCAGGCGATTCTTGGTGAAGGATCATTTAAGAAGGTCTACAAAGCGATTGATCAGGAGGAAGGGAAGGAGGTTGCTTGGAATGAGATAAAAATGAGTGGAAGGGCATGCGATGGTAAGGAGCGGATGCTATTTGCAAATGAGATAGGACTGTTGAAGTCAATTTCACATCCAAATATCTTGAAGATATTTGACTACTGGTTCACAACAGATAGTTTTATATTTATTACTGAGCTGATGAGTGGAGGAACGCTCAGACAATATATATCTGAGATTGGCGATCTGAATGTGAAGCTGATTAAGAAATGGGGAAGACATATACTTGAAGGATTGGTGTACATGCATAGCCAAGATCCGCCGATTATACATAGAGATATTAAATGCGAGAATATCTTTGTGAATGCAGCACTTGGGGAAGTGAAGATTGGAGATCTTGGTGTTGCAAAAGAGCGAAGGATGAAGCGATACACGGTCGTTGGGACGCCTCAGTTTATGGCCAGGGAGATGTTTGAAGGAGAGGGCTATGGAGAGAAGATTGATGTGTATGCGTTTGGAATGTGCTTGATTGAAATGGCCACTGGGACGTATCCTTATAAGGAGTTCAACAGTGCAGCAGAGGTTTATAAGGCGATTATACGAGGGGTGCCGCCTGTTGTGCTGAGCTCGATCAATGATGTGTGTTTAAGAAACCTGATTATGAACTGCTTGGTGTCTGAGAAGGACCGACTGCGCAGTGTGGATTGCTTAAGACACCACTTTTTCAGTGCAAACAATACATGTAATGGAGAATGCATTCCGTCTGAGTGTATGTCTGGAGTACCTCTTACGGCACCTGCAAGTGACATGGAGATAAGTTTTTTGTCATTCAAGGATGAGGTAATTACATTTCAGCTATTTTTCATGAGCATGGCAAGATTTATTAAGTTTGACTATGATTTGAATAAAGACACAGTTGAAGATGTTGCAAATGAGATGCTTGAGGAGGATGTGGTATCTGAAGAACAAAGAGAAGCGCTTGTAACGCTACTTTCAAAAGGGATTGAGAAGGCAAAGTCCAGATACTTGGGGCATGGAGGAGAGAGAAGCACTGAGAGGGATGATGAACGAACAGTTGAGGAGGGAATCAAACAGATGGATTTTGATGCTATGAAGGAAAAGAGTGGGATTAGGAACGACTTTAATAAAATAAGTGATAGAGAAATGAGCACTGAAGATGCTGAATCGATGTCTGAAATGGAAGTGAAGCCAAACGAATGTGAAGGAATTGATAGAAAGGAAGATCAGGGCTGTTCTGAGACAAGAGTTGGAAATGCATGCAAGTCGCCTCTTAACTCACCTGAGATGCTTGGGAATACGGATGGAGGGATATCTGATGAACAGCGAAGGATTGCGATTATTAAGTGTTTTGATGGACTTGAATGTCCCAGTAAGAAGTATGACAACGATGTGTTGATTGAGGAGTTTGCAATTGATGTGTCTGTGGCAACTAAGAGATCGCCTGAGACAGCAGGTAACTGGATAAAGGTGTTTAAGTCGAATGACATTGACACTGTCTTTGAGTTGAAGATCCTTGTGGATGAAGACTGGGACAAGCTTGACCTTACGGTGTTTTCTAGTAGAGCAATGAAGAACATTCTGTATGGAATTGATAAGATTCCACTACGTGAGAAGCAACTTCCGACAAGCACGGCTACTAAGGACTATGATGGAGAGATGGGAATCAGGGAATTTCTTGAGGAGATTGCGCAGCTAGTTGGAAAGGAGAAGTGTGTGTCTGTATGGGAAAGTAAGCTTCTAGCTCAGGATATACGGACTGTCGAGGAGCTGAGGTCGTTGTATCAAGACGATTGGGATAGGCTAGGGCTTTCTGTGTATTCATGCAGAGTTATTAAGAATGTTATATTCAAGAAGGGAAAGATTGTGTGCTGCTGAGGAATGCGAATTCAAATGATAATAAAATAAGATGAGTTTTTAGATATTCAATGTAATGAGATTAAGATGAGAGTGATTTGGGTATGAAATTCAGTGTATAAGATATTTAACCTTAGATATGATTGTATCAGAGATTCAGTTTAATAAGATGAGTAAGTTTATAAATGATTAGATTTGGGATTTAGTATAGTATTGATATAATAGATGAGAATGATTATGCTGCCCATGGACAGAAGGGTAGATGAATATGATATTGTGCAAACGCCAAAGGGAATGTTAGCGAGTGATTTACCTGCAAAGATAAAATTGGATAAACCATTTGAAGTGAATGGACAGATGTATGTGTGCGAGAAGTACGGAGATGAGGTTATGGGATTGAGTGAAGTTGAAAATGGAAAGAGCAAATCACCAACAATGTGCAAGAGTTTGTATGTTGTTAGAAAGTTATGAAAGCTCTTGAAATCAGTTAGAATTATGCTATTGGATATAAGTACATGAATGCATTGGTTGCCAAGAAATTCCAAGCGCATATGTTTCATGTTTCACAACATAAGGAAGGTATTATGGAGGGGCATGGAGACAAGGATTGAGGAACTTTTTGTGAAGGATGAGCACCGAGCGGATAAAATGAGCAAGACGGTTGATGTTGGATGTGAGTATTTGCATTACGACTTTTCTAAGACGCACCTTACAGATGAGATTATTGAGAAGTATCTGGGAAAGATGAGTGGAATTGAAAGCAAGATTGAAGCGATGTTTTGTGGTCAAAAGATCAACTTTACGGAGGATAGGAAGGTTCTGCACGTGCTTCTTAGGAACAAGGAGATTCTGGATATGGTTGAGAATGGCAACAGTGAAGGATTGGATGGAGACAGGAAGATGGTTTATGATGAGTTAGTGAAGATGAAGCAGTTTGCAGATGACTTTGAGAAAGGAAAAATATGTGGAGTCACTGGGAAACGATTGGAGGCTATTGTGAATATAGGCATTGGAGGGAGTGATCTTGGGCCTAGAATGGTTTGTAATGCATTGAAGCGATACAGCATGAAAGGTGTTACGACACATTTTATTTCGAATGTGGATGCATCGGACACAGTTGAGGTTTTTGACAGCATTGATGCAGAGAAGGCATTATTTATAGTGGTAAGCAAGACATTTACAACGATTGAGACGATTCAGAACATGGAGCTTGCAATGAGATATATGGAGCAGAGATTGAAACGAAGCAGGGAGGAGATAGCAAGCGAGCATTTTGTTGCGATCAGCTCGAATGTGGATGAGGTCGGCAAGTATGGAATCAAACAAGTTTTTTCAATGTGGGACTTTGTAGGAGGGAGGTTTTCATTATGGTCTGCTGTTGGGATGTCTATAGTATTGTATGTTGGGTTTGATGGATTTCTAGAGATGCTAAGAGGAGGAAGTAATATTGATGAGGAGTTTAGGAAACAAAAGGGAAAGCAGAATGCAGAGATTATGCATTCCATAGTTGAGATGTTTTACTCTGATAATGGATATAACAACAAGTGTATTGTTCCATATGATCGGTACATGGAGAAGTTTTATTTGTATTTACAGCAGGCTGAGATGGAAAGCAATGGGAAGCCATCAACAAGCAATGACACGGGTATGATAGTGTGGGGAGGAGTGGGAACGAATAGCCAGCACTCATTTTTCCAACTACTGCATCAGGGCACAAGGAAGGTTCTTTGTGAGTTTTTGGTGCCTCTTCAGCCTCTACATAGTGAGAGGGAGTATCACGAGATATTAGTGTCTAACTGTGTTGCACAGAGCAGGGCACTGATGGTTGGAAAGAAAGATAAGCAGAAGGAGAAGTGTTTTGAAGGTGATCGACCGACGATAACGATGTGCTACTCAAAGCTTACACCAAGAACACTTGGAGCAATGATAGCGCATTATGAGCATAAGATATTCATCCAGGGAGTGTTCTGGGGAATCAATTCGTTTGATCAGTTTGGAGTTACGTTAGGGAAGGAGATAGCCACTGATGTATGCGATGAAATACGAAGTAGGAAGAGTGGGAAGTATGATGGATCGACGAACAAGATTCTGGATCATGTTTACAAGAATTCTGAATAGTTGGCAATTGCCTTAAAAGAAGGATTGGGAATTGATTAAAGCATGATGGTGTTTTCTATGTTGTTAAATTACTATGTTATTAAGTTGTTAGGTCATTCAGTTACTAGATTGTTAGACTAATACATTGCTAAACTATTATGCCACTATATTATTAAATTGTTGTGATGCAGCTTGTGCTGAATCCTTATTTTTGCAGTGCATAACGCATAATGCATAATGTAGCAAATGTATGATTATTGAGAGGGTAAATGGCCCTGTGATGCTTTCCTTCAAGAGCAGAATGAAGACTTTTGCGGGATGGCCTAAGGACTATGGAGTAGCAACACCAGAGAAACTATGTATTGCGGGGTTTATTTGTGTATCTGCTCAAAGTGAGTGTTTGACTGTTCAGTGTGTGTATTGTAAGAAAACACTTGAGTGTTGGGAGGCAACAGATGTGCCTGCAAAAGAGCATTATTCGCATATGAAGACATGTCCGTTGTTTAATATGAACAAGATTTGCAGCAGACTTGCTATGTTTACGGGAAAGGATGATAAAGATGCCAAGTCACTGACAAAGAACGGATTTATAAGATACGATCTTGGAGATGAGCCATATGTATTCTGCTATGTATGTGGGTCATCAGATACAAGCCATGTATGCAAGAAAGCGAGGAGAAGTGCTTATGATCCTTTGAAGATATCTAATGTGTTTTTCTACAGACTGATTGAGGGAGAATACATCAAGGAGGTTGCAGAGTGCTTGGAGTCGAGTTTATATGTTCCAAGTAATCTGCAGGGATTGGTTAAGATGCTTGTGAGTGGAATGGGGATGAAAGCTGCATTAACATTAAATATTGGAGATGCGATAAGTGGATTTATAGGAAAGGTGATGCATGAGATGAATAGCATGATGATAAAGGACATGAAAGAGATCCTTGATACAGGGCATGAGAATGGAGATATTGAACTGATGCGATTACTCGAATGACTTGGCTTTTGTATATGTGTGAGGTTAGCATTTGAATATGTGGATTGTAAAGGCAATTTTTTCACAATTGAAAAGACCCTTAACATGAAGGTAGGTGATTTAGAAACGAGTTAATTTTAGTTGAACATAGCTTACCCGACTAATGGAACACAGAAGATGTTTGAGATTGACAGGAAGCAAGCAATTAAGCTGTATGACAAGAAGATAGGAGATCAGTTTGATGGAGGAGTAATTGGATCTGAGTTTGAAGGAACGATAGTTGAGATAACTGGAGGGGACGACAACCAAGGGTTTCCAATGGTAAAAGATCATTTGACAAAGAGTAGGCTGCGACTACTTCTTTCGAAAGGAGATGTGGGCTACAGATGCAAAAGAAAAGGAACCAGGAAGCGCAAGAGTGTCAGGGGATCAATAGTGTCTGAGGAGACATGCGTGCTGAACTTGATTATTATCCAAGCAGGAGAGAAGGAGATAGACGGACTTACAAATGTAGTCTGTGACGTCACGCATCTTCCACGTAGGGTAGACAAGCTCAGGAAGCTTTTCAATGTTCCCAAGACAGAGGAGAATGTATCGAAGTACATCATGAACATTCTGAAAGCAGAATGTGGTGGAGACATAAAGAAGGTTCCGAAGATCAGAAGCAACGAGAAGATATTGAATAAGAAGAAGGCAAAGGTACAAGAAGGAGCAAAGATCAGGGCAGAGAGAAGAAGAATTTTGGAAGAGGAAAGGGCTGCTTATCTCAAGAAATACTTCAATAAAGCTTGATTTATTTTCTTATTGGTTATTTATTATAGTATTTTTGTTGATGGTATGCGATGATTCTAACAAGTCAATGTCTTGGCATGCTAATCTCATTAGATATATGTTTGTCACTTGATGCAGAAAATTAGTGTATTCGATGGATTAATAACATACATGGACTGATTGTAAGAATATTGCATCTGAAAGCTACAAATCACACCACTCTGGGATTTCCGCAACATACTCAGTATTGTTATAGATGTACTTCCAGGCATGAAGGCAAATGTGATGATCTCGGGTGATGAATGAACGATTGTTCTTTCCTTTGCAGTTCTTGATTATGCATTCATATTTCTTTTTATCTTCAAACTGATCTATGTTTGCATTGCATTCGCTGCTGTGTAAACTAATTGGAAGCTCTCCAGATCCATAAATAACATCGTTCACAATTGGAAAGCCGATGCTTTGAAGATGGATTCTAATTTGATGCGTACGCCCAGTAACTGGTCTACATTCAACTATTGAGTATCCATCACTATACCTTAGTCGTTTGAACATTGTCAGACATTCTTTTCCATTGTCACCTACACGCCTGTATCTTCCAGATAGACATTCTATTTTCTTATCAACAGTCACTTCGTCTGGAAACATTCCACATACTTTAGCAAGATACACCTTCTCTGCTGCTTTAATTGCATCCAAACATTTAGTATGGTTTTCAAATGCTATTATCAAGACGCCAGACACAGGCATATCCAGTCTATTCACACATGCAACCTTAGAGTCTCCAAACAGCGCCCTTGTAATTGAATACTCTCTATATCCACCTGTTGGATGACAGGGGATTCCTGCTGGTTTGTTAACCACCATGTAATCTTTTTCTTTCTTAATCACATTGATGCATGGAATCGGAGGCTCATGTATATGAACTGTGTGTTGGAGCACGTCATTTGGTTTGATTATTGTAGAAGTATCAATCATATTACCATTGACAGTTATCACACCACATTCCAATGCTTGAGAAAAGTATTCTCTTGAACGTGTTCTGAACTCATGTTCAAGAACATCTAGAAGACTTTTATTGTACCATCTTTCCTTTGCATTTGTCCTGTATGTAAAAAAATATTCAGCATCATCAGCAGTCATGCTATTTTATGGGCCGATGCATAATTGCCATTTGTCAGGAATAAACATGCCATGCATAAATCATAGTAGAAGGCAAGGCCCTGTCCATGAGAATAGGAAACGAGCTTGAACTGATCCAATTGACTGGTGTGAGTGTGTTTTCATTGCTGGTATATTCCACTGGGTATCAGAAAACTCTTCTGAATGATTTCCTGTTTTGCATAGTGCCTCAGTACCTTGCAGTCATGTATCCAGACAGTGTGGGAAACATTTACATATGTCTGGCAATGTTGATAAGCTACTCAGGAATTGAAAAGAAAACAAATAGAAATGATCCAAAGACACGAGTAATCGACATGATGCGGTTTGGAGTATCACTTCTGGTTGTCATTGCAATTTATGCAGCAGACTTTTCAATGTTTGATCAGAGGCTTGGAAAGCTCCATTTCTTTGGAATTGGGCTGATGGACATTGGTGTAGGCAGCTTTATTTTCAACGGAGGGATTGTGGGATACAAGAACAAATCGCGAAGGTATTTCAAGTCATGTCCGATTCTCCTTGTACTTGGACTTACCAGGTACTTTGTAGTTGAGTACTTTGGATTGAATGTAAATCCAAGGGAGTATGGAATGCATTTGAACTTTTATTTTCTGCTTGCATTTGTGAACCTGATGTATGCGGTAATCAGATCAAGACACGACTTTGCTGTTGGAATGTGCATTATAACAGTGTATGAAATGGTGCTGAAATCCACAGGGTTGATGCATTTTATACTGTCTGATAAGAGAGAAACTCTGTTTGAAAAAAACAAGGAAGGGATGCTTGCAATTATTCCGTATCTCTCTATATTCCTGATGGCCACAGCGGTTGGCAAGATATGTTTTTCTGATCTAAAGAGGTACATGAAAGGGCTTAGGATGCTGGGAATTACTGCGATTTTTGGGTTTCTGTATGTTATGTTCAGCATGATGAATGAAGCGTCTCGAAGACTAGGGAATGGTGCTTTTGTGTTTTGGATTCTTGGTCTTCACAGTCTACACATGACGGTTTATTTGCTTTTTGAGAGCATGGTTGATCTGCACGTACCTTTAGTGATGCGATTCAGCAGTTCGAATATGATGTTTGTGTTTTTGTTTTCAAACCTGCTGGTTCTTGCAGGGAATGTAATGTTTGAACTGAAAGCGTTTTCTTCATTACTGTCTCATGTGAATATGCTTATGTACTTAGTGAGTGTTTTTGTGATTCCTGCGGTTTTTGCAAATGCATTTGACCTGAGGCGCATTGGTCTTAAGTATAGGGCGTGATGTGATGTGTAATAAGATGAGAAGTATATTCATGCTGATATGATTCTAACATTAACGAGATATGTATTCATGCTGACCTGATCTAGTGTTATTGAAATATGTATTCATGTTGATTTAATGCTAACATTAAGAGATGTATCTGTTGAATAAGTGAGTTATTAAGCATGATGTATATCTAAAAGAACTAAAAATGAATAAATGAGATAGTTATTTGGAAATGGATTGGCTACGCCCTAAATGATGAAAGCAGAGATGATGTGCGATAAAGGAGTGTTTGAAGGAAGACATGCGATTATGCTTGAGAATATTTTCCATCTACTATGCGGACTTGACACGGCTCACCTGAAAATAGGTGTGCGGGATAGGCAGTATGTGTTAATTGCTGACACTGGATATCCACAGCAGCTTATGTGCTCATTTGAGTCTCTAGGAGTCAACATACGAGTGTTCGGCAAGTTTATACAGAAGTCCCAGTACTGTTCAGATGCAATCAAGGGAGCAATTGCAGATTGTATTGAGAAGAAGGTGGATGCATATCTGAAAGATATGGTAAGGCTCAGAAAAGAGATATGCAGCATTGAAAGTCTTGTAGTGGCGGTTGGTGGATGGAAAGACAAGTTTGATGAAATACGAACGGTTATCGATGGAATCAGAGGCATGAGTGGAATGAAAATTTTGAATTGCATTAATGAAAGAATGGAAAATAGCGCATGTTTTGAGCATCTTTATCGGGGATTTATTTGTGCGTGCACTGAGATAGTCAAGAATGAAATTGAGTGCTGGGTTTTGGAAGGTAAAATTCTTAGTGAAGGATTCATGATAAGGATAAATGACGAATGTGGTGGATTTGAAGAGTCCAGATGGAGCAACAGATATGTGCTGGTTGAGGAGAATGTTCCGTACTTTTTGTTAAAGATGCGAGATGTTGTTTTTGATTGTGGGCGAGTGATTAATATTGGCAGAAGCATTACGGGCAAAAATATGTTTAAAGATTCTCGCAATGAATATGATCTAGTTGGGTTGATGGGATTGAATAGATATTTGAATGAGCAACTATTGGAGCTATTGAGACCGGAGATTGAAAGAGAATTTGATGAGATATATAGATACTTGTTATTGAACGATTGTGCAGCTTATGTTGAAATGCTTGATGAAATTGGTGAGGAGGTTTTTGAAGTAGATGAGAGGACAATGGTTAAAATGAATGCAATAAAAGATGGCAAGCATACAACAGGGTTTTGCTTTAAGATTGCACAAATGTCCCTGAATTCTTATGTGATGAAGATTCTCAGCTCTGAAAAGAAATGGAGCCGTGATTGCAGTAGTTCAGTGCTTGAGCTGTTGACAGTGGAATACCATCCACGAGTACTACGTGATTTTATTTCACTAAGAGTTGTTTCTGAGCTTGAGATCCTTTTTAGGTTTTTATTTACTTTGATGGCACTTTCATATCGGATGGAGAGGCTTAAAGGATATAGATTTGCAAGAGTAGCAGGCATGCTGATTGATAGGTTCCGGTTTGCAATATATTCGAGGATGCAGCATATAAAAGTAAAGAATGACATAAACTATGTGATGGAGAAGTTTTTTTCAAACATCAAAAGATGGTTGAGAGAATTTTACTTGACGAATGAGAAGACTTATGGAGTGTGGGGAGATCTGTTTGATATATGTTTTAGGTTTCTTGATGCAGAGATCAGGATGGTGCTGTGTGCAGAAGATGTGAATGAATATGAAAAGGAGTTGATTTATGCTTGTGAAAGATTGAAGATTGAGGTGAGCACGCTTGATTATAACGATTGTTTTGTTCATTTTTTGAATGGAGTTCACTGGGAGAAGGTGTTTGATTGAATGAATGGATAGTATGTGTAGTATGAATAGTTGTGCAGGTGTATAACTGTTGGTCGTGTATGTTGATGTGTATGTCAATGTATGCATTGTTGGTTTATATGTGTATTTGTTAATTCACATATCCAATGGTTAATGTTAATCTGAAAATTAGATCTGCTAATATGTGTCTGCCAAACTGAAAGTTCCATTGTTAATGCGGATTTGCTAATTTGAAAATTATATCTGCTAATGTTAATGCAAAAATTTATATGTTATATATTTTTGATGAAAGATCTTTAAGTACTTATGCCGTTTATAAATATGTCAATTTGTTTTGAGAAGTATATAATTTTAGTAGAAAAGATGAATACGGAGTAAACAAAATATGGGAGGATACAACAATGGCCGATCTGCAAAGAAGGATGTAAGAACAGTCAATGGATTAGGTGATGATGACTTTGAGGCGTATAGATCTATTTTTTTCTGGCATTACGACGATCTTTTGAAAAAGTATTTTGGAAGATTACAGCGATTCAAACTAAGGCAGAGCAAGCTTGCAAGGCTATTTTTTGAGTACAAAGCGCTTAGAACATTAGAAGATGAAATGTGGGTTCCCACTAGCTTCAAGTATAGTGATGATGCAGAACTATTTGTTCCAAAGAGCTTTTACATACTTACTGAAACCATACTTAGCCTTGATTGTAAGGTTGATGGGATGTTTAGGATTGGAAACTCAATTGAAGTAATCAATGAATGTGTGAACACTATAAATGAATGTGTTAATAAGGAAGTTCCGTATGAAGATGCGAAGAAGAATCTTGTCAGCAGTTTCAGTGTGATTGACATGACCACTGCATTTAAACAGATCTTAAGGGAATATCCAACAACGATAGTTCCAGAAGATTTGATAGACACTATACTAGAGATCTCAAAAGTAGATAGTAATGAGGATCGGCTTGTGCTATGCCATATGCTGTTTTTAGCGATGCCTAAGCCTAATAGACATGTTCTTGAGGCAACCATAAACTTTTTATATGCCGTGCATGACATATCTACAAACAAAGGAACTGACTATGAACGAAAGATGAACATTGAGGGAATATCAACTGTCATGATGCCGAATCTTGTGCTTAAGTCGCGTAACCAGTTTGATCTTGACCATATAGAGACTCTTGTTGGCTTCATGAAGGTGTTTTTTGAGAACTTTGCACGAATTGTATGTCTAGATGAGAATATTGCTGAGCTTTGAAGTGTTCAGTGATTGCATGATTAAGAACACACATGCGTTTTGAAGTTGCATTGAATGAGCGACCCTTGATGCAGATAGTCAGACTGGATAAGCGGTTTAGAAGAATGAATTTGTTTGATGTTGGTGGATGCATTGTTGATGGGATTGAGTACCTTGAGGAAATTTTGGAGTCGAGTATGAATGCTACTAAAGAAGACGACAAGATTCTGTATATGCCTTTGATAATTGGAAAACTAAAGACAGATGGATTTACTGAAGAGGACTATAGAAACCGGGTCTTGGTTGTATGTGAGAGTTTACTAGATACTAACTCTGTAAGTAAATTCTTGGAACGTTTTTTCAAAGGATTCACAGTAAAGCAAGTTGGAGAATGGATGGAAGTGGAATTTTGCTGTTCTTCTGATGCATCAAGATGTTTATGCCTTAGTAACAAAGAAATTGTTTTTTATAGACCAAAGAGATACATTGAACTTCCTAACGAGCCTGATGTGAAAATAAACGGAAGCAAATACTGCCAGGACACGCTTTGTATAGAAAATAAGATTATTATTGGGCCATTAGATGTGAACCATGCTGATCTTAGGGATGCACTGGACAGGATTGCACCTCTTAGAAGCTTTAGAGTGTGTGAAAATCCAATGTATTTTACATTTAGCTTTCTGGATGATGATTTCTGCGATGCATTTGTGAGAGTTACAAGCCATATTTATATGAATGATTGTAAATGCCCACTTATATCTAAAAAAGCATATGATGGGTGTGTGTTACTGGACCTTGGAAGAAATATCCCAAGATTTGCACCAAGAAGACTTGCAGGGCGAGTTGCATTGAGTAAGGAGAGAACACGGATTGTTATTCTCCTAAATGTTATTTCATCATGTGATGATGTTACAGAAGATTTTTTGCATGAAGTAGAAGAGCAATGCAAGAATTGTGGAGACATACGGAGTGTGGTTATTCCTGCTTTAAAGCATGGATTTAAAAGACAGCCAGGAAGCTCAACGATTTTCATTGAGTGTGGAGATGTTGAAACATCCGAAAATGTGTATAGAGAGTTTGGAGGTCTTATGTATGACGAACGAATAGTTATTGCAGGATATTATCCTGAGATGAACTATGTGGCAGGTGAGTATGAATAAAACTATTAATTAAATCAGAATGTTGATGTGTGTTTTGAATGTTTGGCTTGTACAAATGGATTTATGCAAGAGATGATCTAAACAAAAGGATGACCAAGAGCAGGATTCCACTGCATGTGATGATGTTCACGTATGCGTCGTATTTTGTTGTTATTTTACTAGGACATGCAAGAGACACATTTGGAAAGTTATTTTTTCCTGGATACCACAGAAAGTATAAACAGGATGATGGAATGCCTCCTCTGTACAGTAGTTTTGAGAGTTTTTTCAGTAGAAGATTATTTCAGAGGATTAGAGATTGCTGGGAAAGGCCTATTGCTGGTATACCTGGCAGAAAGGTTGTGGTTATAGAGCGTGTATCTGTTGATCATAATGAAAGTTTCAGACATACAGGCAAGATGATGGAGTTACTTAATTTTGGATCATATAATTATCTTGGGTTCAGTAGTAATCATGGACCTATCACTGAAAAGGTAATAGACACATTATATAAGTATCCTCTTGTAATGGCAGCACCTTCGAGAGAGGTTGGATGCTATGACATTATAACAGAGCTTGAGCAAGAAATGGCGTCTTTTCTGCACCAAGAGGATTGTATTGTGTTTTCGATTGGATATGGAACAAATTCTGCAAATATACCTGTGTTATGTGATGAAGAGACTCTTATATTGTCTGATGAATTCAACCATGCATCATTGATCACTGGTATAAGAATAAGTAAGGGTACTGTGCGAGTGTTTGAGCATAATAACATGCACGATCTTGAAGAAAAGCTTGTGTTCAACATTTCACAGGGACAGCCGTTTACACATAAAGCATGGAAGAAGATAGTGGTGATTGTAGAGGGAATATACTCGATGGAGGGCACAATAGTGGACATGAAGAAACTAGTTGAGCTTAAGAAAAAATACAAGTTCTACATATTTGTGGATGAGGCACATTCGATAGGTGCGTTAGGTTGTACTGGAAGGGGCGTGTGTGAACATGCAGGTGTGGACTTTGGAGATGTTGATATTTTCATGGGCACGTTTACCAAGTCATTTGGAGGAATGGGAGGATACGTAGCAGGATCTAAGAGGTTGGTGACATGGCTGCGATTCTACAGTGATTTATGCGTGCATGGTGACCAGCTGCCGCCGTTTGCATGCTCACAAATTTTGGAAAGCCTTCGATTCATAAAATACACGGATGAAGGAAAGAGCAAAATTGAAAGACTCAGTGCAAATACTGCTCTTATGAGGAAGATTCTTGTTAGTGAAGGATTTTTTGTGCTTGGAGATAATGCATCACCTGTAATACCGGTGCTTATAGTCTGTCCTGCAAAGATAGGTGAGTTTTCAAGAAGATGCATGGCAGAAGGTATTGCAGTTGTGGTAGTTGGATATCCAGCAACTCCTATTCTTACAAGTCGAGTTAGGTTGTGTGCATCTGCATCCCACAGCATTGAGGATGTACAGAATGCCATGGAAGTAGTCAGTAGAATAGGAGGAGAACTTGGGATCAAAATGTGCAAGTAATGAGTGTATCTGATGTGAGAGATAAGTAATGTAAAGCCAAAATATTACATACATACTGAAGTATTATAAGTGCAATAAAGATAAAGATGCATCTGCCCATGGATGACGAGATTTATTGCATTGACTTTTATGCGAGTACAAGAATATTGCTCTATGGTGGAAAAAATAATAAGTGCATTGCGATGAATGTAGATACTGGGGATGTGGTAGCAGTTGTGGAGGATTTTGATGATTCAGTGGTATTTTGTAAGTTTTTGGATTCTGAGAAGTTTATTGTTGGGTCTTTGGATGGAACAATTTCGCTTATGACGTTTGAGGGAGAGATCAATAATGTCTGTTTAAACGAGGACATTGCAAGGATGAAGATTATAGGGGACAAGGTTGTAGTTGGAACAGAAGTAGGTAATATTCATGTGTTCAGCCTTGACTTGTGCTTTCAAAATGTATGTATTGGACAGCATAGTGAAATACTTGATATGTGCTATGAGAATGGAAAGCTTTATACTTTAACTGCTGACTCGTTCGTGATGTTTGATTCAAATACACATCAGAAGCTGACTGGATTCAAGATTAAAAACGGGCTTTGTCTGGACAAGATTCCTGAGAGTGATGTTATATGCATAGGATCAGAAAACATGGTTGTGATAAGCAAGAACATGAATATTTTGGCAAAGATAGAAGTTGAAGGATTACCTCTTTGTGCATTGTATATGAACAACTACTTTGTGATTGGAGGATGTTTTGAGTATATTTTGCTTGTTAACATTCCAATGGGTATGCGAGTGTTCAAGATACCTCTTGGAACGATTGAGGTATGGGACATAAGAGGAGACGGATTGAATCAGATTGTGTTTAGCACATCTTGTGGACTTGTTGGGCATGGAGACATCAGAGATGAAAAGAGCTTTAAGCTGTTCAAAACAGATCTTAGATCCATTTTTGATCTGTGTTTTAAGGACCAAGTGGTTTATGCTGCAGGAGAAAACGGATACAATGTGATTGATTTATGTGACACCGATGGTTTAGAGTGTATTGGACAAAGGTAACAGCATATGCATCGTGTACACTGGAGCATTCATAGACAGTGATAAACATTTTAATCTACTTTTAGTCTGCATCAATTTCAGGATTTATCCAAATGCATGTGAAAACTCATTTTTGGATATAAGTCCATTTACACTGAGAAGATCTATCATACCTTCCATCTCAGGATCTGTGATGTTTAAGTCTAGCTTTGAGACAGCATCTCTAAGTGTTTGGAGTGATATGTGCTGCTGCCCCTGAGAGAAGAACTCAAAGACAGCATCTATATGTGCCTCTCCCTCTGTAAATCGTATTTGATCAAAAGATATTCTGTCACCAATGTTATTTTTATCAAGTGGTTGTTTAAAGATGCTCAAGCAATATCCTTTATACTCTTCATACCTTAGAAATCCTTTTTTTCCAAGATCGAAGCTTTTTGGAGATGCATGACTAAAATGATCCATAAGGGTTTCATGCTGTATTATAAATCCCTGGTTATATGAGTCAGTACAACCAGGCTGATGAATGCAGTAAACAGAATGAATGTATATGCTGCAAAAACAATTGTACAGTGAATAATACAAATAAATACTTAGGTGTTTCTGCTATTATTGAGCCGGAAGCTGCTTTTAAAATGTGCATTGATAATGAACTGCCAATAAGTAGGATGGGTTATGAACTGTTGCCTGAAGATCTAAATAGATTATCAGATGGTGGACTGTTGAATGACAAGATAATCAATGTGTACTTTGAGATTGTTTCAAAATATTCTGAACAAGCAACATATTCTTTCTCAACATTTTTCCACAGTGCATTAAGAAGTAGAGGAGTAGAGTGGGTACAGAGATGGACCTCAAACATCAACATCTTTGACAACAAATTGATATTGATACCTATTCATGTTCCTGGCCATTGGTGCCTTGTTGTGATCGATGTTGAGGAAATGTTGGTGGAATACTATGATTCGTTAGGAAATGTTGACATGCAAATAGTGGATGTTGTGATTGAATATCTCAGGGCTGAATGGAGCAAAGTGAATGACGATGGATTTAGGATTTCAGTCAAACTGATCAAAGATATCCCACAGCAGCAAAACGGAACAGACTGTGGGGTTTTTATATGCATGTATGCAAGGTACAGGTTAGAAAAGTGTAACAAGTGGTTCTGCTCAAATCAAATAAAAAGCCTAAGGAAGGCAATGCTTAATGAAATAGTGGCCGGAAGGATAATTTACTTAGTGCCGCATGTGATTGGCTGATACGACCGAGTATTATTTGGAATTGTATATACCTTTATGCATTGTTTAAGAAGAAATATGGTAACTAGGGGTGCATGAAGAAGCCGGTTAAGAGCAATAGCGAGACCTGTCAAGAGATTGAAGAAGTCAATGAACGAACATTAATGATGAGGAGGATGCTTGAGTGTATAGACAAAGGAGCTGAAGATGAGATCAATGAAACTTATAGATATGCACCATATGATGAAGTGCCAGAGTTTGTTACTCTGTGGTCAATAGAAGAGACGCACGGCATGCTAAACGATGTGGCCATTATTATAGTTTCAATAAAAGAATGATTAAATATCAGTGTTTTAAACAATCAAGATAATCAGCATACAAGTATTTAGATGTGCATCCACATGTATTTATCACAAACAATTTTTAAACCTCCACAAATGATTTATTCCATAGTTCATTATGATGCATGGCTTGACTAGGCAGTATTTGCCAAGATATAATAGCACAGCAAGATCACTAAATATCGTAGTTTGGGTGCACATGAATCTTTCCATCACATACAAACAGAACACCCTCTTTTGCAATCAAAAACGACAACACATTTTCGGCCTTGACATGCTCATCCAGAAACGCTCTTTCACTTTCAATATATGGCTCACTTTCTGCCATAAATGACTCCAGAAGCTCATGCCTCTCCATCGGATCCCTGGTCTTAATCAGGTATATAAGCGAACTTGTTATTCGCACATAATCCTTGTGATTCACAACAAAGCCTGGGTGATCGTCTGTCTTTGCTATCACTTCTATGTCTTCTCCTTTTACCTCAATCACACTGCTTTTCATTAATCTGTGTGCTTCCTCAACATATTCTCTAGTAACAAGCTCAACATCATGAATCTTTGCAAGCGCTTCACTCAACCTAATAAGGCTTTCCAGATGTCTTGCAGTCATCATATAGTTGCTGCTATTGACCAAGCTATCCTGTCGTATCTCAACATACTTCTTTATTAGTAAATCCTTTGCTTCATCAGTCATCCTTGGCTTTCTTCCTCTGGCATGCCTCAGATACAGTTTCACTTGTTCAGGTGTGAAATAGCTGCTTATTCTCCCAGTCTCACTCAGTGATGCATGATTGTTCAACACATGCATTGCAACATTCTTGTCGTTTTCTAGATTCACATCGTCAATCAATACAAAGTACAGGTCAAACCTTGACATCACAGGTGCACTCAAGTTGATGTTTTGCCTCAACGTCTTCTTCTTGTCGTACCGGCCTTTTATAGGATTCGCTGCTGCAAGAATGCTGCTCCTTGCATTTAATGTTGCATTGATGCCTGCCTTCGATATCGTTATTGTTTGCTGCTCCATCGCCTCGTGGATGCTCACCTGATCCTTGAAGTTCATCTTGTCAAACTCGTCAATACAGCACACTCCAGTGTCGCTCAGCATTAATGCTCCTGCATCAATCGTAAACTCTCCGGTCTCACCATCCTTCACTACACTTGCTGTAAGTCCTGCTGCACTACTACTCTTTCCAGACGTGTACACACTTCTAGGCAGAAAAGCACTTGTTTGTTTCAGAAACTGCGACTTTGCTGTCCCAGGATCTCCAACAAGCAGCACATTTATGTCTCCTCTAAGGTTAGCTCCACCTTCTGCTTTCTTTCCAACTCCGCCAACAAGCATTAATAAAATCGCATTCTTAATTGAATAATGCCCATGAATCGACGGAAACATGCTTTGACTCAGTTTATAATACAGATCAGATGATGCCTTCATCTCATTGATTATTGCAAGCTCCTCATTTGTAAACTCCTCCTCAGTGCTTTTGCAATCTGCATGGATGCACATAAAAACCATCTTATGATTCAGGTCCTTAATGTTGATGTTCCGCTTCTTCTTTGCTTCGCCGCCCTCTCCTTCCTGCATAGGAACTACTTTGCTTTGCGGCATCATCAATTGAATAATGTCAGGAACAACTATCAAATACCCAGTCATCACAATTTTGTCTCCTGCCCTAATCTTCTCAACAAGTTCATTCCTCACTATCACGTCCATGCTCCTTGGCAACGACCCAGCAGGAATCTCCTCTGTGTTTTCCTGAACATGCACTCTTTGCCAGTTACTGAATTTGCTTTTGTTCATATCCAACGTCCACTGCTTCCTATTTGTACATAGATGATTCGGGCATGTCAAAGGCTCTGTGTATTTGAACTCCTGTGCAACATCTCCAATAACACTATTACATATCTTGCATGAAAACGACCCGCTGATCAGCTCAGGCCGTACTTGTGTCGTCCTTGTAACAGTTCCACTGAAGCTTATAAGTTGACCCAATCGTTCGCTCTTGAGCTGTCTGATCTTATAAACAACATGACTGTTGTAAAAAGATGTATACTCCAGTGCACTAGAAAATAACTTCTTGGTAAATACTTCTGTACTCTTGTTGATTTTATCCACGTCGCGTGCAAAGTTTCTCAATAGGTCTACATACAAATCCACTGAGTATGCATTGACATCCTGAAGGTCAATATTAAGCACATGCTCGTTGGTGTATATTGCTTGCTCAGCCTGATGCCTTACTTTAGGCGTATTTTCAAGAAACTCAAGAAACTTCCCGTGAACTTCCTCGGTCATCTGGGATATTTTTTTCAGCCATGAAACCATTCTGATCCAGGCATTCCTTGCAGTCTTCCTTTGTCGAGTGCCTAGGCACCACTTTTCTCACCTGTTTACATGGAGATGCTCTTTTTATGCTTGCACCTAGAAATACAAATGCATATATAAATGTATATACAAAAAGAGATGCAAACCTAAGTGATATCCTTGGCGATATGTATGGTATTCTTATCACTACTGGCACATGGAAGACAAGAAATAAGCATACAGAAACAAAAATCAGTGCTAATCCAACAAATCGTCTATTACGTTTTATTCTTTCCATTAGGGTTATCTTTGCTCACCTACAATCAATAGCAGTGTCTTACTCTATACACATATAGGTTTATGTCTGGCTATTATAAACTCAACAAGTCGTATTACTTTACATTTCCATCAAGTTCATGGCAAACACCGATCCTGCATCCATTAACACGTATAAATCCTCCACTCAGGTTGAATTCTGTTATATGTATGCTTATTTCTTCTCTTGATGGCTTAAGCTGATCTATACATTCTATCTCCAACTCATTATCAGTAGTAGGATATGCAATAAAATGGATTGTTTCAATATCCTTCCATATCTTGAACCTAAATAAGTAGCCACACACAGACATAGGTACAAATCTGTATATAAATGCCTTTGCAACTATTGAGAACATATTTTTTGATTCGTCTGCATATGCTTTGTACACTGATGCACAATTTTGCAGTCTTTTATGCATTCCGTCGAATACAATGTATTCTGGAAACGTGCTTTTATCGGCTAGGCACTCTAACTTGATGCAAACAAACACGCCATCAAAATACTCTTTGATCCTGAATGGAGGATAGATCTCGTATATCTGCGATTCAAGAATCCTTTGCTGCGTGGCATCAACATTTTCGAATTCTCTATACGACAGCACGCCCATGCGATCATTAGAGCTGTATGTTTCGATATAGTTCACAGTCATAATGCTTGATGTGCCTGTGTGGATGATGATGTTAGTAAAGATCTCCTGGTGATCAAGTCCCACAGGGATATGGTATATATCGCCTGGAAGTATGAAGAATGTATTTTTGTGTATTATCTCAATCAAGGTACATCCTGCAATATTCTTTGGGATGAACGACATTCCTTCGTATAGCTTTATCATGTATGGGCAATGTATGTGCAAGGTGTTTTAATAATACAGAATGACAGTAAACAGTGCATGATGTATAAGAGCGTATTGTGTGTAAAAGCATAAATGAGTTTGTAGAAAAAGGTGTGGATGCATGGCGAATGCATAAAATCAGAGTGTTGATTGAGTATTTGAAATTGGCCGAATGGAGAAGCATTTTTGCATTTTTTTATGGATGACTGTCCCCATAACAAATGAAGATGAATTTTACGTACATAACTCCAGTTCCGTTGAGCACGGCATTGATAGATATATCACTGAGCAAGACACAAAGGAAGACCCCAACGATTGTACATCCGCAGTACAACATCATAAAGATACGTGCGTTTTACATGAGGAAGGTGAAGCATGCAAGTAATGAGTTTGCATCGAGGCTTGGAACGATTCTGAGCGACTTTCCAAGACTTGAGGACGTGCATCCGTTTTATGGAGATCTGATAAATGTGTTGTATGACAGGGATCACTACAAGCTGGCTCTTGGGCATGTGAATGTCACTAAGAGTGGAATTGAGAAAGTAAGCAAGGAGTTTGTGAAGCTGTTGAAGTTTGCAGATAGTTTGTACAGATGCAAGCAGTTGAAGAGGGCAGCTCTTGGAAAGATGGCATCGTCAGCAAAAAAGCTTGGAAAGACACTAGAATATCTGGAAGAGGTTAGGATGCATATGAGCAGGCTTCCAGCAATAGATTTAAGCGGAAGAAGTCTACTTGTATGTGGGTTTCCGAATGTTGGCAAGAGTTCATTCGTGAACAAGGTGTCAAGAGCAGATGTAGAAGTACAGGCGTATCCGTTTACAACGAAGAGTCTGTTTGTTGGGCACTTTGATTACAAGTATCTGCAGTGGCAAGTGATTGACACACCAGGGATTCTTGACCATGCACTTGAAAACAGGAATACTATTGAGATGATGAGTATCACAGCGCTTGCACACATTAAGGCACTTGTGCTGTACTTTATTGACTTGAGCGAGAAGTGTGGACATAGCATTGAGGAGCAGATTGGACTGTTTGAGACATTAAGTCCTCTATTGAGATCGAATATGATGATAGTCTTAAGCAAAAGTGATGTTATGAAGCTATCAGATGTGAATGACAAGAGTTTGATAATGAAGTTTCTTGAGGGAAAGAATTATATGGAGATGAGTAGCGAAATGGAAGAGAATGTAGAGGCGGTGAAAGCAATGGCGTGTGATCTTTTGCTTGATGACAGAGTTGAGAAGAAGATGGAGAATGACAACATCGCTGAATATATCCATAGGATTGCGATTGTGAAGCCAAAGAGGCTAAGAGAGAAGGAGGAATCATTTATGTGCTCAAGGGAGATTACTGAGATGATGAATGAGCAAGAAGGATACTTTGTAAAGGATGAGTATAAGTATGATATAGTTCCTGAGATATTTGATGGGAAGAATGTTGTTGACTTTTTTGATGATGACATTGAAAGGAAGCTCAGTGAGCTTGAAGCTGATGAGGAGGCAAGGTTTCCGATGTATTGCAAGACGTATGATATCTTATCGACAGATGATAGGGAAGCAAAGGAACAGATTGTTATTAAGATCGATGAGAGGCAGCTTGTGGGTAGGATAAACGAAAAGAGAAAGCTACCTACAAAATGGAAGCTTAGGTCAAGAAACAGTGGGAGAGATATTGTTGCAGCGCCAAGACGGGACAGCATGGCAATACAGCTTTCACAGCCTTCTAAGCCTTCACCCAAGAAAACCAGGTTTGACACAAAAGGATATTACGATCGTAAGCCAAAGCATGCATATACTGGGAAAAATCATAGATGATTTGAGGCATATTAAAGAGTTAGTGATCTACGTTTTTTAGTGAGTTTATGAATGCATGAATGGAAGTTATGCAATTGAATGTATGTCAAAGCGAGGCACATTTAATGATTTGTTATTTATTCAGGGCATCCAATGATAATTTTTGTGATAAAAATGGAGTTTATAGCTAGAAGGGCTTGATGTGGAAGCAATGCAAGACCTTTTCTCTGGAGAATGGATCATTTGGAGATAAAGAGAAGGAAAGGATCACTGCCATGTGCAGTGGTAAAAATATATACGCAGGTTGTGTTGATGGAAGAATACACTGTTATGAAGACAGGAAGCTATATTCTCTGCAAGCTTTTGAGCTTGAGTTTGATTATCTTGAGAGCTGTGATGTTCCTGAGAAGATTGTAGCTATTGAAAGGCTAGAAAGCGGAGGTGTTGACGAGCTTTTGGTTGTTGGAAACGAAAGGAACTTGAAGGTGATGAGGATTAGGAACAAGGGTGCTACGAGAGATATAATCGAAGGGCGGCATTCTGAATCCTATGACAGTGTATGTGTTAAGGAATGCAAGAACGTGCATCCTTGTATTCTCAACAGTCTTAGTCTGAATAACGATGAGCAGTATTTGTTATCTTCTGATTATTTGAAGATCAACCTGTGGAAACCTGAAAGAATTGATGGATGCTTTACGGTTGTGGATGTCAAGCCACATAAGTATAGTGAGCTGACGTTTGTTATTAATTCAACAAAGTTCAGTAATGAAATGAATATGGTGTTTGGATATTCCACAAGCTCTGGCGGAATACATATCAATGACCTTAGGGTGTCTTCGAAGTCTGTGGAGACTCTACGGATAGAGAGTGCAGAGATGGAAGGAATAGAGGGTGCAGTAAGATCGATCTCCGATTTCCAGTTTGTTGATTCAAACCTGATAGTTGCAAGAAGCCTGAACTCGGTTGCTTTGTATGATCTGAGAGGCACCAATCACGAGGTTTTCACAACTGTTTTATGCAGTAATGCTGATGAAATTAATGCAGTGTATGATTCTGATGCAGTATATGCAAAGTTCCGGGTTTCATGCACAAAAGCATATGGGTTTACTGGTGGATTTGGTGATTGTGCGTATGCAATCAACCTCATTGATGGAGAGAAGGAAGAGGTATTTGTATCTAACCTTCAAAAAGATTCAAAGAAAGACAAGCTTAAGGTGGTAAGTTCTCATGGAAATGGATTTATTATTGCTTGTGAAGATAGAATGATGGAATATCAGCAGTGCAAATAGCCATGTAGATTGCTTATGCATGTGTTGCATATATGTGCTAATCTACTCAATAATATGCCCAATTATTGTTCATCTGTATATCCAGATATTATGTGAGAATTGTGTTAAACAACATATCTTCATATTCCTTCATTAGCATGGTTTGGTTATTTTCAGAAAAGTTTTCAATAAATTACATCTTGTGTTTGTTTTCTTAATCAGACGGTTCAGTTATTCTGTTTGAGTGATTTATACATGAGTTAGCCTTGACTTATCTCCTTATGAGCCAAATTAACAGAAGCAATAACAACCAGAACAAAAAAAACTTGAATATTGAAGATCGTGTCTTAGATACATTCTCCAATGTTTTTCTAAGCAGATCAAGACTTCCAGAAATAAGTGTATCTGATGTACCCATCATTTCATCGATTCTTTTGAAGCTTTCCTCCTGTAATGATACATGCATACTTATTTCCTCCATTATCTGTCCAATTTCACTGATTTGCATCGATATGTTCTGCCTTTCTTTGATTCTTTCTGTGGTAACCTCATTCTCCATAAACACGACGTCTTGGCACTCTCTGATGCATTCAGAGTCAAAGTCTTTTCTTCTTTCCACGATCTCCTGATGTCTGCTTTCTCTCTTTCTTGCTAGCTCTGATAACTTCAAGAGATGTCTTGCTGCTCTGTGCTTTATCATTGCATCAAGATTACAATATGAAGCCTCTTCTTGATCGTTCCTTGCATTTTCACCAGCACAAGATGTATTTCTCATCTCCTTGACAAACTCTCGAACTCTATCCATTTTCGACTGCAAAGTAAATGACTCATACACCTTTCCCTTCTCAAGTGCATTCTCTAGCTCACCTAGCATCTTCCTTGCTGCTGCATCCATTTCGAATGCCTTTGAATATGGAGATTGTATGTCCACCCTGCTTTGTTGTGGAATACGTGTCGATCCAACTATCCTCATGTACTCATCAGTTCTATCCATCGGGGACTACCATCCAGAAATTATATCTGTCTTTGTTTATGCGTAAGCCAAAGCACTGCAACCCATGGTACAGCAGGGATTATTTGCATACTACGATGAGCCAAGCAGAACAAATGATATGCTGACATTAGCATACATTCAGGACAACAATGTTGATAAAGTGGTGTTCAACTCTGAAATGAACCCAGTAGCACTTCCAAAGTGTCCAGAAATGCCTATCAAATACACTGAAGCATTGAAATCGTTTGAGCAGTTTATGCAGTTTTACAGAGAAATAAAAGAAGAAGGCACATATTCAGAAATTATAGCTTATTACAAACTCAAATACTCAAAGCTTTCATTTATGGCTTTGCATTCTAAGTATACATGGCTCTGTAACTATTCATCAATGCCTGACATTGAATATTCATATAATGAGAATGTCTATTCAACAATACTACAATGCAATGAATATGCGTGTAGCAGAAAATGCTTACTTCTCGCGCCAGTATGCACTGCAAAGTTCCTTGAGAAGCATGGCTGTATAAGCAAAGCACGAATGCTTGTTAAGGAAGCAAAAAAAATAGCAAAGGCCACAGACAATCTTGAAACACTCAAAGAAATTGAAAGAGAATATTTGAATGATTACATCTGTGGATAAAACACATTTAATTGCTGTGATTTAATGTATTGTGTTTAAATGTTTCAGTACCTTTGTCTTTCATAAAGCTTGCAACATCTTGCTCAATCTTCTCCGCATTATCTTCTTTATGCAGAACGTAGTCACATATAAACTTCATATAAATAGCCAACATCTTCATTCTTTCCTCTACAACATTCCTGCAGAGCTTCTTCCATTTCTTCTTTGGAAATTCAGGCAAGATCTCCACAAGGCATCTTAACCGACAATGTAACCTAAGAAAGTCGCTGTATCTCCTGTAAACTTTTGTATAACACTTTCCAAACGCCTTACTGTTTGTTATGCACATAATCTCGTATTCCGTGTATCTATCTCTGATTGTTCGTGATCCAGCTATTGAAATCTCCAGAACGTTTTCATCCATTCAGTTGTTTCTGATACGCCACTAATTTTATTTCATGCATGTTTCACAAACACTTCTGTTATAAAGATATACAAAAATCACTCTTAATACGCATAAACTAAACATTCCATCTACATGCTCTCCAATTACATCAAATTGCACATGCTATTGTTAGGTTCTTCTTTCAAATAGACATGTAGTATTTGACAGATACATACATTAATATACATGCATAGAATGCTTCTTTTTCAATTACATTTGTATTTTCATTCATACTTTCTGCAAATTGATCAATTTCATTATGCAATTTTTCTCTAAGCCCTTTCAACTCCATTGCATTGCAGCTTATGAAGTACTCCTTGAGTACTGAAAAAGCAAAGCATCCAAAGATCGTAAGCTGGAACATTTCGCTTATGTCTTCGTAATTTTTTAATCGCTCTTCCAACACATCAAGCTCAAATGGAAAAAGCCTGACAAAAATATGCAGTTCCTGTTGGATCATCAGCTTGAACATCATATCTCTGCTGCTTGTGATACACATCGCTTTCCTCAGACACTCAACTTTTCTAGATTGAAGAACCTTTAGCTCTATTTTGTGAACATGATCCTTGCTTATAAGTCCAATAAACACGCTAAATTCTGGAATCATTAATAATGCTTCAGTAGATTTGTATATAATTTCATTCAGCTTTATAAATCCTGCTTTCTTGACTATTATTAATAATTTGTCTGATTTATTAATGTATTCTGATGCATTTTCATCAAAAAACTGTGTTTTTGCATCCATCAGCTCTTTAATAATAGAAACTATATTCTGAAAGCTCATCCTATCAATTTCTGGCAATTTTCCACTCAACACATCCACCATGTTGTACTTCGCCAACTTTATATCTATCTTGTGTATCTTACTTTCTAATATATGTATTTCATCCAGGTACCTGCGTATTGTGTTGTTAATGGCCTTGAATTTGTATACCTTATCTCGTGCACTTTTTATGCATGCAATCTTTGTGTCCAAATAATGCATGTTTATATCTTCCATGTAACTGGGGTGTATTCTACTGCACTTGTTAGATCTGTCAGCATTGTTATTGCACGGGATATAAACCTGGATCAGAATGCCCTGATGGCAGAAGTTGGATTGATAGGACTAGGCGTGATGGGATACAGCTTAGCATTGAACATTGCATCAAAGGGTCACAAGCTGCATGTCTTCAACAGAACATCATTAAAGACAAAAAGACTTGTTGATGAGGATCAACGAATAATCGCACATTATTCAGTGCAGGACCTTGTGCAGGGAATTTGCGAGTCACCAAGGGTTATTGTTCTGATGGTGACATCTGGAGAAGCAACAGATGAGTTTCTTGATGAGCTTGAAAAGCACCTTGGGCCTAAAGATGTTGTGATTGATGGAGGGAACTCGTCATTTAAGGACACAGTCAGAAGAGGTGCACATAAGTTTGGGTTTGTTGGATGTGGAATTTCTGGAGGAGAAGCAGGCGCTAGGAATGGGCCTTCGATCATGGCTGGATGTAGTAAACAGGTATGGGATGTGATTGGAGAGTTTCTTTGCACAATAGCTGCGGTTGGTGTAGCCACGGACAAGCCTTGCTGCAAGCGACTTGGAAACGATGGTGCAGGACACTATGTAAAGATGGTGCACAATGGGATTGAATACGCAGACATGGGAATTCTGTCAGAGATATATTTGGTTATGAAATCTCTCAGGTATTCGAATGAGGAGATATCCAGAGTATTTTGTGAGTGGAATGAAGGAGAGCTAGAGAGCTATCTTGTTAAGATATGCTCGTTGATTATGAATGTAAAGAATGCCAAAGGATGGATTGTTGATCAGATTGTGGATAAGTCTGGACAGAAAGGAACAGGAATGGAGGCAGTTATATCTGCGATGGAAACTGGAACACCAGTAGTTAGTATTATGGAAGCTATAGGGTCTAGAATGGTGTCAAATGTGAGAGATCTAAGGCAAGAGTTTAGCAGGAAGCTGATGAATGGCAGTAATGATGCAAAGATGCATGAAAGTGAATGTATAAATGCAAATTTACACAAAGAATCATTAAGTAAGGAAACAATGAGAAGATGTGTGTATTTGGCAAGAATGGTGTCGCATATGCAGGGGTTTATGATGCTGATGAAGGCAAAAGTGAAGTATGGATGGGAATACACAGTTGAAGACATATGTGATGTGTGGAGTAATGGATGTATACTTAGAGGAAGGATCCTTGATGTAATAAAAGAAATGGGAGATTCGAATGAGGTTATGGAGTTGAGTAGTAAATATGTGTCATTGTGTAATGAGTATTTGATTGACTTGCGCAAGGTGATGGTTTATGGAGTTGAGAATGAAGTGCCAATGCCTGTGATTTCATCATGTCTAGAGTATGTGTATGGGATGAAGAAAGTGGAGGGAGCAGGAAGCATGATCCAAGCTATGAGGGACTATTTTGGAGCGCATCAAGTGCTACTGAAAGGAGGGAGTGAGTATGTGCATATTGATTGGGATGGCAAGGATGCTAACATGAATTAAATACTTTTGAGACTGATCTATAAAGCTAATGGTATGTGAGAATCTGATTATATGGTTGTTTTTTGTGGATGTATTTGTTACTGCTTAAATTGACAATTTACAAGTCCTTATAATGGCAGATAATGAATTGAAAAGATGCATGAAAGAGCCAGGATACACAGAAAATGATTTAATTAATATATGCGTATTTGATAGAAATCAGAGTAGAAAGTGTGTGGTTGATCTGGGAAATAAATGCAAGGATATTGATTTCGGTGATATTAGTGAAAGCATTCGGAAGCTGCAGTTTATAACTTCGAATTCATATAAACACGCAATTCTTCAGGAGCTTCTTGGAATTCCTGTAATGCAAGTGAAGCTGGATATTGAAGAGATTCAGGGCAGCAAAGAAGCAATAGTTGCAGATAAGTTGAGAAAGGTGTGTCATCTTGTGAATGAATGTAACATTGTGATTATAGATGACACGAGCATTCATATTGATGGACTGTACGGATTTCCAGGACAGTATGCGAAAGACTTTCTTAGTATTGGGATGAAGAAGGTGATTGATGTTGCAAAGAAGGTTGGAGATTTATGCAGATATTCTACAATTATTGGACTTGCATATGCACATGAAGGAGATATTGTTATGAAGACATTTGATGGAGAGGTTACAGGGCGGATAGTACTGAAAGAGGCTGTTGAGCCAAAGTTGTTCAGGGATGTGTTTGTTGCAAGGGACGAAGAGTATTTTGATGTACCTGATGGGCTTGCAGGAATAAAAATAGGACGATACAGGGCGGTTCAGAAGATGCAGCAGTATCTGATGGAGATGAATATCTGTATAAGAGAAGAACAAATGCAGTTTGAAAACAAGCCCCTAAGTGAGCAGGGCAGGGATGATTGAGAATTTAGATGGATTTATTTTCAAGAGGAGGATGCAGCCTACAGCGGAATCTGAGGTAAGGATGAGTATTGAGTCGAAGAGGAGAGACTTGAGTGTGATAAAGAAGGATACAGATGATATATTTAGCTTCAGGTTTGTAAATGAGAAGAGATGCAAAGGAGTGGAATATAAGGAAGACGAGATATCAGGTATATTGAGTGATGGAGAAGGATTTAGTGAGAGTGTGGTTATTAAGGAAAACAAGAAGAAGAATGTAGAGGAGATACACATGGAACTGGATAATGGAGTAGGTCTTGAGGAATTGGTTAAGAAGTGTATAAGATGGCTGGAGAGTAAGAAGAGAACGGCGTATGGCATGAAGATAGAACAGGCGATGTCTGAAGGGTGTATAAAGAGACGAGATGCAAATAAAGAGATTGTGGAGGCAATTGAAAAGATACAATGGACCGTAGATGAAGAGAAGAAGTGGAAGATGATCAAAGAAAGCACGATGGAAATGAATAAGATCAAGATGGAGAAGAAAATGTATGTAAGAAAGGAGAGTGAGTATGAGAGAAAGATTGCAAAGGTAAATGAGGAATTTGCAAGCAAGATGACGAGGCTTAGATTTGTGAAGGAATCTGCAAAGGTTTGGATTGGACGGATGCGAGAGCAAAGTGAAGAGCTTCTTCGGAGGATGTTTGATGCGGTGCATAAGGAGAAGGAAGCAGACACTGTGTTTCTGTTGAAGGCACTATCGAGAGCCGAGAGGTAATGGAACAAATGGTATAGAGACAATAAATATCTTGTGTGTGATGAAATGTATTTGTTGTGTTATAGCTATGCTAGAATATGATGAATAGGCTAGTGTATGCGTTGTGTTATACTAAGAATATGTTGATGGATATGTTGATATTGATGATAAGAATATATTAATGATAATCTTAAGAACATGTCAATATTAACAATAAGAGTAAGTTAATGTCAATGCTATGATAAGAATATGCTATGTCAATAATAAGAACAAATTATGTTAATGTGCTGAATACGCTGACTGATGGAGTAGGGCAGGCGACTAAATGTCTGCGAAGCCGCTATAGCTCAGTGGTTAGAGCGCCAGTTTAGTAAACTGGAGGCCCCGAGTTCGACCCTCGGTGGTGGCTTTTGCTAGATAAATACAATACTTTTCACAATTTGTTTTATTCATTCATTGCTCCTCAAATTCATCATTGATAAAAACATTCGGAGATACCCTTGGAATGGCAAACCAGCAATGCTCAAGTGCAAACTGCTTAGCCTCAGAGTACATCAAGTCATTCAAACTGTTCTTAAGAAAGTGCATAAAGCCTTCTGCAAAGGAATTCATCATCTCTGCAAAAAGCCACGGAATCGGCATTGGACTTTTAGGTATCCTTGGATATGGGATAAAACTCATTCACATTCCAATCAATAACATTATTGTGAGTAAACCAATCAAGGAATAAGTTGAATGAATATATTTCAGCATTCTGCTTGAATAAAATAAACATCCTTGTTGTAGCCATCTATTTCTTCACTCTTCTCCCTCCAAATGTCAGGAACACAAAAAAGAAAAACCCCATAATCAATGAGCTTTTCATAGAGAACTTGCGAACAAATCCATCAAGAACATCACCAAACACTTCTGCAATAATCCTCGTGTATCCAACCGATCCATTTCCATTCTTAATCGTGCATTCCCACTTATTACACAGCTCCTCTATTGCAGGCACCCTTGTATCCGGATGGCACTTATTTATTTCGTAAGATGTCCTGGCATCTTCTATTTCCTTCTTAATATGTAGCTTTCTATTCGACACCTTGTATCTGATGTCTCGTTGTATACTTACAAACACATAAACTACTGCATAGCAAATAAACCCTATCATCACTACATTCAAAACCAGATGCAGGTATCTTATTAGCATCACCGGAAGTCGGACAATATATCCTTCCACATCCCACCGCTTCCTCACTTCTTTGTCCTTTATCACCTCAGTCTTTTTGTCATTCTTCTTCACATCCTGACTCACTAAACAGATCGGAAAATACTCATCCACCTTCCTTTTCTTCAATGGCGACAGATACTCACACTTTGTGTTTTTTCGTTCATTTGTATTTCTCCATCCAATCTCATGTTCAACATCCATAGGCGCTTGCCCCATACAAGGATCACAGTCTATAATCTTTTTCATCGTACTTCATCCCAATTCATACTTGATAAGCACATAAATAAACACTATTCAATAAAACGCCTTTATTCAGAAAATCGCAATATAGGGCTCATATCCAACTTCAACTGGTCGGTTGTTCTCAAGAATGATTTCCATCGCCTCCCTTGGTCCCTTCATCTGCCTCTTGGTTCTTGGCATTACCAATCCTTCTGCCTTCGCCTTTTCAATCCTCTCGTCCATCTCCTGGATCCTCTTCTTACTCTCCTCCTCGCTTCTGCTCTTCCTCACATGCTCAACACGCGCAATAACCTTCTTGATCACGTACTTCCCTCGCACCTTCTTTCGTATAGCAATGTTCAACGATCTTGGCTTCACATCATATACTCGTCCTGTCCTTCCTTGATAGTACTTATACGGCATTCCCTTCATCATAGCAGGATTCACCACAATATCAACAAGATCTCCTATTTCATACTTCTCAAGATACTTGTTAGTTCTTGCAACCCCATGCTTCCTGTGGTCCTGTGAAAACATCGACCTCGTTCCTCTTCGGTATCCCTTACTCCTCATTCTCAGGGTTATTTACAATTCGCAAAAATTTCATTATGCTCATCAAGCATGTTTACCATCTGCTTTATGAACAACAATGCAGTAAATACAATCTCTGCACATTCATTCACTCTTGTCTACCGGAACAATACTCTCTACAAACTCGCCTCTTACAATAACACTGAATGGCATTCCTTCGGGTTCAGAAATATCAGAAAGCACTGCGTTCATATATGCATCATATCCCAGTATGACACCTTCTAGTACGACCCCATTGCTCATCTTAATAACAACTTGCGTGTGGAGCAGCTTTGCAAGGCTCGGAACAGCGTTTCTTCCCATTTCAGGGATATACACAATCGAATTAAACCACTCCGCATAAAGCTCTCGAGTTTATGCATCGCTCTATCCATATAGTCTAGTCTAACAGGCACTGTTCAAATCAAATACACTAATATAGAGTAATTTTTTCACCCTGAATGGTTGGTAGAAACTTTAGCAAGCGAGGAAGCACGCCTATGAATCCATTTGATAAGCCACGTCTGTTAAGAGAGACTCAGCTTGTAGGAATATACGGATTGAAGAACAAACGAGAGCTCTGGGTGATGAACGAAGTGTTTGCAAAGGACAAGGAGCGCGCAAGGATCCTGCTTACGTCCACAAATCCTGAAGATGTTCCTACAAACGGGCGCTCATTGCTCATGAAGCTGATGAAGTACGGGATTATGAGCGGAATTGATATGTGTGATAAGCAAGAGGTCATATCTGGATTGAACAAGGTTCTTGATCTGACTATCAACCACTACTTAGAAAGACGTCTTCAGTTCAGGGTGTTTGCAGCAGGACTTGCAAGGTCTGTGCATCAGGCAAGAGTGATGATCAAGAGCAGATGCATTTCGATTAAGGACCAGATTGTCACTGCACCTGGATTCATGGTGATGGCAGAAAACGAGCCTCTGATCGAGTACAACCCGTACTCTGCATACGGAGATAAAGGCAAGAAAAATAAGGTTGCCTCTAAAACTGACGGAGATGAATAGTAGAACAAGCGGGACTTTAATAATAAAAACACCCTTATTCTATTGGTTTACTTGCATTGGTTTATTGTGTTATTCCAGGACAATATTTAAGTCCTTGCAAACTTATGATTTTTGGTCTTCAACTACTCACAGCGTCCATGCTTCGAGTGTTTATACCACTCATGCATTGTGCAGAATATCCTTTGCTGTACCGAGGCTATCATGCTCCGCATCGATTTTTCAATCTCATCGGAAACCCACTTACCCATCATGAAATTGTTGACTTCAACACTCAGGTGCTTATACGATACCATCATCGGAATGCCTTTGCTTTGATACGCACTGATCCATCCATCAACAAGTCGTCCTCTTCCACTTTCTTCGTGGTAATACGTAGATGGATCAAACAATGGATCAACAGGATCACAATGGAGATCAATATGTACCTTCTCAATCGTGCCTGCCAGATCTACACAGTATTCAAATGGGTTTTCATGTATTTCATGACCATCCATATTAACTGTGTAAAAAGCCATCTTGAATGTATCATGCGAAAAGTATCTATTCTTATACACAGTATGGCACTTCGTGCGTGCATTGTGTGAAATCTCCTCAACAACAAATGCATCCTCCGGAATCATACTATGAAGAATCCTTGGGATCTTCGATTTAAGATGCATCACCTTGTGTGTCCTATCACTCTTTCCAAGAGTTTCATGAACAACCGTGTCATTTCCAATCTGCTCCACCTTGAGTCCTCCAAGAGACTCCAACTCAGTCATAGTGCTAATCGCATGCTTTTGCCCATCAACATACTCATCAGTAGTCATCGGAAGCACTGTCACATAAATCTTTTCCACCTTGCTCATCTCACTCTCCATTTATCTCATGTTCTTTTATTCTCTTAGTCAACAAATAAATAAAAACAGAATATTGCACTGTGACTTCCATTTAATCCAGATTGGCATTGCATGACTCCCATTCATCTTTGACTGTAATCCAATCACCGAGATCATGCATATATTGATTTAAACTTCGGATCAAACAAAGAGTAGAACTTCACTATTTTGGACTTATTCTCCTCGCAAAGATCATAATCACCATAAAGTCTAATCAATGTCAGTATAACATTATTGACAACACTCAGTGACTTAAAAAGCTCTCCAGACCCAACACGGTTTTCATTTGCTATTCTCTCCCAACTCCCATGCTTGAAGAAATCAACAAGATACGAGTTCTTTATCTTATCAATATTATCCACAACCAAGAACGAATAGATCGTATGCAGCGGTGAATGAGACATTTGCTGTAAAGATCTTAGAATTGGCGGATAGAACTCACTGATCGATCTCTTTGATATCGTATTAATCTTCCTACATAACTGACCAATTGCTGGGTCTAATCCAGGAAGTGTACATTCCATATCAAACAACAGCGGCCTCGTCTCAAAAAAGTGCGCCAATGTTGTCATAAAACACATTGGCTCAAATGAGATTACATTGCATTCAAGTAGTAGAGCAAAAGCCAGAATAGATGGATCACACTCTCGATTTCCAATCACAAGGTCGCAAAGATAAGATTTATCACCAAAGTATGGCTCAATCAGCTTGAGCTGATGCTCTACAAGCTCCCTTCTATGCTTCTCACTTCCATACACATCACTCATGTCATACACATTCTCTTCATTCGTTTGTACATCCGCTCCTCCATTTGTTAATCCTACGCCTTTACCTCCCTTTGCTGTATCTACAATCTTCATCTCATCCATTCCCCTCTCAACATGTTCTAGGCTACTGCTACTGTACAGCGTGCTTTGCAATAACGGATTCTTAATCAATGACTCCTTCAAATCAAATCCAACAAAGCTTGTATTAGAATATGTATACACTCCTTTGATATTTGGAAGCAGCGATACCATAAGGTTTTGCACACGGTGTTGAGGTACTCCCATAAATACTACATTCCCAAGTGTATCAAATCCTCGTCGTCCTGCACGTCCTGCCATCTGCTTGTAATTCATTGGGTCCAGCTGTAGCGAATCACCTGCAAATACAACGCTCCTACATGGCATATTTATACCAAGCGCTAGCGTCTCTGTTGCAAAAAGTACCTGCAAATGCTTCTGCCTAAATAGGATCTCAACCAGAGACCGATATCTCTTATTCATGTGTGCATGATGAACTCCAATCCCTCGATAAAGCATATCAATAAACTCAAAACTGGTGTTCTTTATAAACCTTGTCTCCTCATCAAGCTCATAGTCTGTAAGCTTCGTCAATGGATCAATAAAGCTGTACTTGATGTTCTTCTTGTCATCTCGCATCTGGAAGCTCTGCTCTGCTGCTGCAGACTCCTCCTCCCAGCTATTCCTGCTCTTCTCAACATCTCTTGTCCTCTTTGCTTCCTTCATCATCTTCTCAAGAAGCTTGTTCTTCTTCTTCTCCATGTCCATACTTTCAAGCCTTTCATAAACTCTTAATGCAAGCTTGCTCACAAAGTCCCTGTCAGTGTTGAAAACAATGCAAGGAAACATCTTCCGCTCTTTCAGCTCAAGAAGCATATCAAGCATATTATCAAGGAGATATTCATTACTGTAATCGTTAACCACCTTAAATGCCTTCAACGCCTCTCTTGTCTGCATCTTGTATACATTACTGACCTGCTTCTCAGATAATACATCATTCTCTATCATCTCTTGGAACTTCATCAGTAAATGTCTTCCATACTCACTCACATCCTTCTTAGTTATAATATTGCTCTTGAAGAAGCTCTTAGGCATTAATCCACTAATCTGATCCAAATGCTCCTCTCCAACAACCGCACATATTGAATCATACAGGTACAAAAGCTCCTCAGGAAGAAAGCTAATATCGTTTCCAAATCCAAACCGCTTTATATGTGTATAAGAATATGCAAACAGATTATTTATCGCCACTATCTTCTGGCTGTTCGTTCCTACATAAACATACGGCTTCAACTCACAATATCTCTCTCCATAAGACACAAGCTCACACTCTCGCCCTTTACCATTCTCTATCTTCTTCATCCATCCATAAAACCCATCGATGTTTCCAAGCGTTGCACTAAGCACCAGCATCGGGCAAGGTGAGAGATGCACTATCCTCTCAATCGGTATACCCATCTCTTCACTTCCAATCTTGTGCACTTCATCAATAATAATATACCTGACTCGCTCAATAAACCCCTTGGGAGGCGAATTCAGTATCGATTCAAGCAGCGATGGTATTACAATCAACACCTGGCAGTCCCATGGTGCAACACAGAAGTCCTTCATTAGATTGCCCTGTAGAAACATTTTCGAATTAACCTTCGGTGTAAACCTTGCATATATATCTGCTGACACTTGATTCACTAATGCCTTCGTAGGCAAGCAGAAAATCACCACATCAGTGTCGCTCTCCCTCAGCACCTTCTCTATTGCATAAAAGCAAATAAATGTCTTTCCTGCACTTGTAGGCGCAGATATCACCGCACTCTTATTCTCATCTACAAGATCAAGCAGTTTCACCTGCCATTCGTCAGGCTTGAAAAGAACACGTGCATCAAACTTCGAATTCAGACTTCTTTGCAGTCTGTCTCCAGTATACTTCAGTTGGAAGCAAATGTCAAACTCATTCGGTCCACTTCCTTCCTCTGTCACATAATCAAGCTCCAGACCCTTCAGTCCATTCTTCTCAACTATCTCCCTTGCAGTAGCTTCAAATCCACAATCAATTAGCTTCTGCAACACAAATTCAAGTTCCTTCTTCGGTGCCTGTTCCTTACTTCCTATCCTTCCAAAATCCTGAATATACTCAAGACAGCTCAAATAGCATGGAACAACCATTCTTTCATCATAATCATCAGATTTGCTTTCAAATCCCCATAGATCTGTGTAGAACTCAATCTTCAGTAGCAGCACCTTCCTATACATTCCAGATCCATCTGCCTTCACACTCTCTAGTAGACTCCTCTTTCCATCAACATCCAATCCCTTGTACTTACCAAAAAAACTCTTCAGCCATGCATTTTCCTTTGCTTCTTTCTCTGCCTGCATTCTTTTGCTGTTCTCCTCCATTATCATCTTCTGCTTATTTGATATCTTCGGTGCCTTGCTTTCCTTAGATCTCACTATCGGTGCATACAGCACCTTTCCATCAAACAGTGACTGTGCAGACTTCCTAACATTCCTCATGTGCGACATTGCTGATCCAGTAGGCATCTCCTTTCCATTAGTCAGCAGCTCAAGCTCTATTCCTTTGTGTTTGCTTTTTATTTGTTTATGTCCTTCCCCAACTATCATATCATATCTCTCCTCATTCTCATTTACGCTCATAAATACATCTTCAAACAGCATTCTTCCGTCAAAATCATTTTCTCCTTCTTCTCCTCCTTTGCTGTACATCCTAGCAAGTTTTCTGCAAATATTCTCAGGCACCTCATACTCACTCTTTCCAAAAGGCTCAGTTCTCATTTTAAACTTTCTATCCATCTCCTCAAGTGTCATATTTGCTCCAATCCTTTGCATCTCCTCACTAACATCCATATATTCCTCAGAATCACTTTCATTCTCATTATTTCCTACTCCATATACATTCGAGCTCATCTCAACTCTTCTAGGTAGCGGACTGTACACAAAGGCATGCACATTAGGTATTCTAAATTCCATCTGATCCATCACTGCACAGTACAGGCTAATTCCAAGACATCCATACAAAAACTCAATCTCATTTCCTTCTACTCCACCAAGAACAAGCGCCACCCTCTCGTTCTCAACATACTCTTTCACCTCGCTTATATCTATCCCTCCAAACCTTCGCTGTAGATATTCCTTAATCACTCTCCTGTATCCATCCTCCCTTCTAAAAAACAGCATTATTCCACTGAATCCTGCTTTCTTAAGATTATGCAGCATAAACCTAGTCCCATGCAAATACGTATGTAAAGGCACATTTGCATCATTCAATCCGTACTTCATACGCACATTATTCATCAAGGCTTCGCCATCAATCAACACATGCCCAATCCCAGTAAATTGCGCAGAAATATTCGTATACACTGGATGCATCGTCTTGAAATACTCAGAACACTCCATCATTCAGGGTTAAAAAACACTTCATTTTCTCATCAATATCTTTACCAAGTCTATCTAAAATCATATTCCAATATTACTTCAAATTTATTCCCATATTACTTCCATTTCAAACTTATTCAACTGCAACTACACCATCCTTGATTGGCTATCTCTTAGATCTCCTCTTTCCAGTATACTTGCTATCCCTAGGCACCTCTATTCCCTTCTTTCTCAACCGCTCCTTCTTCTTCATGATCAGATCAATCCTTCCAACCCGCTTTTTCTTTTCATCACGCCTTTTCCTCCCTTTCATGGTAAGGACCAGAAAACTTTTCGCATTCCTGGTTCCTTCTCCATCAATCTGTATTCCTCCATCAAATCCTGCTCGCACCGCCTCGTTCCTAAGCATCTCAATCTGCTCCTGCTTCTTTAGGTAAAACTGAAGCACACATCTCCCATCAGACTTGCAGATCGAGTACAGCGTTGTAAAAAACGTTCGGATCCGTCGGGTCGGATTCGAATTGCTCGAGTACGAGTAAAACAACCATTGAATCGCACTCACACTTATCACTCCATCAAACGTCCCAGGCTGGAAATGCAACCCTTCTCCCATGTCCATCCTAACATATCCCTCTCCTCCAGCCTTCAAACTCACACTCAGATCTAACATGTCTCCACTAATATCAATCCCAACCCAAGGATATTCACACTCAGAAAGAACCGCTCCACTCAGTCCAGACCCACATCCAACATCCAATACAAGCCCTCCCTTCTCAACACCAAGCAATTCAACGCATCTCAATGCTAACTCTCTTTGAACATGACATATTCTACTGTTCTGCGTGTACTTTGCAGACTGCTCTTCATCATAATACTGCTCTGCTGGCCCCTCAAGCTCTGGAATACTCATCACAGGGCCTCAAAATCGTCTCAATATCCATCCACACTCCAAAGGCATCTTGCTCATTTTCTATACTTTTCAATACCACAATCACACTCAGCATTACCATCACACTCACCAGTCGACCTTAAATGTCTTTCTTTTCATATCCACAGCTGCAAATTCCCTCTTCTGCTCCATTGCTCCTCTTATGCTCTCTTCTTCACCAAATATGCTGTATATCATCTTGTGCTTTTCTTTTCCATATCGATCATATGATTCAGTACTTGTTTTGCCTATTCCCTCCTGTCCAGGCCCAGCAATGCATCCTCCTTTGCATAAAAATACTTCTGCCATTTTGTATTTTGGCCCATTTGCTCTGCTTGCGTTGAAGTAATTGATCGAGTTTTCCAACCCGGTTATTTGGCATAAAACATCGCCAGAACTAACAATATGTTCCACAACGCCCTCCTTCACAACACTCAGTCTACTCAGGCATTCCTTACCAACAACAAACTCAGTATAGCCACCAGTACTTGTACCAATGTTCCACTGCGTCATCTCATGCGTCTCAACCTCACATTCATCATCAAATTCGTTTATAAACACATCAAACGACAAGCTGCGCAATACACTGTGGAATTCCTTGGTTGTCAAAATCGCATCAAACATAACTAAATCCCTTCCGTTCTCCAATCGCTTGTCTTGACACGGCATCACACTTACAGACTTATTCCTGCTCACAAGCGAATATGCCATCTGTTGTGGCGACTTCACACGCGAAAGATACTCTAGAAGATGTGGTGCTGTTCGCTCCACATACGTAACAACTCCAGGACATGAACTAACTATCAGATGCTCTGTTGCAAGATATTCCTTGTAAATCTCTTCATAAACCTTGCTCCTCACATACGATGTGTCAACTATTTGATCTACGTTAAATGAATTCTTAAGAAACACACACAGGCCTTTCTCAAACATTCTGTAATTGATCCTTTCAGATTGGTATATGTCGAATATGTTTGCTTTTGATTGTGGTGAGATAACAAACGACGTCTTGGCTTCTCGATCAATTGCTGATGATGGGTCTCTAGTCAACACATCAAGCTCTTCTGTAGACACACATCCACTGCATGCAAGGCAATCATCTAGCGAAACTTTTGCTGTGGTGCTCTCTTTTATGCATCCTAGGCCTTCCTTTTGAATTCCATCAAAGAATGACATGTATGGCGCAGGGAGCGCTTCATGCATTTATGCGATGTAATTACAAGCAGCACCCTTGATGGAAATACGGTTGAGCTCGTTCAAAAGAGAGCATTCGCTGAAAGAGTTGTTGTCGAAGGACATGTCAGAGTATTGGGCATCAGATGATGTGTTGCCACATGCAATACAGATTTCATTTTCAAAGGTAAGATATGTTCAGGCCGTGCAGTTGTTTCTGAGCTTTTCACAGGATGATAGCTACACACCCGAGAGGGTTGAGATCAGAGCTGGGATGACCAGGGAAGACATCCAGGCAATAGGATCTGTTGTACTTATTGAACCTGAGGGATTGGTTACGCTCTGTGTTGCAAGGAGATGTCTATACATTCAAGTGGTTATCCATTCAAACCATCAGGAAGGAAAGGACAGTCATGTAAGGCACATAAAGGTGCTGGAATCTTTAACAAAGGAAATATACCACAAAGTATAATTGTATGATTAATTAAAGAATAGAACAATGAATGTATGCATTAAGGCTTGATCTATTTTATGGGGATTTTGCTGTACAAGCAATATCTAATGCTGGATTGGCAGTTTGTGATGAGATATGTAACAGCCAATACGATCCCATGTATTTCTATTTACTTCACATCGATCAGATTGGAAGCTCAAGCATTCTTCTTCATGGCAAAGTGATTGGGAATATCGAAAGATGTGCATTGTTTGATGCAATTGACGGAAAGTTGGTATCTTCTCAAGTCAGAGTGGATGGCGTTCATTCTCCTGTGTTCATGAAGGCTGCTGATGGTAGAGTATCTGAACTTCAAGCAGACATTGAGGCGTTTATGAACAGAATGGATGTAAAGTATGTGCTAGAGAATGTGAAAAAGCAAAATGCGTTTTATGCCAATTTAGAAAGACATATAGACTTGATTAAGGTGGTTTGTGCAAGTAAAGTGTCTTTTGATGGATTTTTTTCTGAGTATTCTGATGCAATAATAACTGAATTTATGAATCCGGTGGAGAACATTATTGTTTCGAGAGGCATTCGTGGACCGTGTGTTCTTTGGATAGATGGAGTAAGGGTTTCTGGCGATGGCTATGTTGTTGATTCTGCTGAATGTGTTAGGTTTGTTTGCAATTCAAAACTGCCTGAACTAACGATTGCAGCATTGGCTGTTAGGGCCAACAACCATGGAATAAATGGATACAGTTTGTTTATGCGAGGAAAGACTTATGATGGGGTGGTTAGATCTACAGAAGCTGAGTATATGGAGAGAGTGGAACGAATTGGATGTGTGGTGCATGCCACGCCTAGTTCATTGTTAAGCCATCTTAATGCATTGATTCGTAAGGAAAGTGTTGATTGTATTGTATATCACAATCTCCAAGGAGCAATTCGTAGGAAATTAGATATATTTGGAAGGATCAGGTGTGATGTCTTTGCTTTTGCATCTGGATGCATGAAAGGTAATGATTATTCGATTGATGAGTTAATGCGATCATTGAGCATGAATGATGGACAAATGCAGATGATGATGAAGGAAAAGCCAATGATGGAGGAAGGCTGGTTTGAATGTTTGCAATGGGAATCCAAGGCGATTGCACAGATATTTACGGGGATGTATGCACTACAGTTATCGAAGGAGATGAGTGAGATATCTGGATACATTATGAACAGGGTGTTTAAGAATATGAGAGCAGAGAGAATTGAGTATACATTACTGCATGAGTTGTATGCCAGAGGATATTTGTTTCCTCCAGTGATGGCAAGAAAAGAAGTAAAGTATACTGGAGGGCTTGTGCTATCACCACAGATTGGGTTTTATGAAGATATTGTTCTTCTTCTCGACTTTAATTCGTTGTATCCATCGATTATACAGGAGTTCAATGTGTGTTTTTCAACGATTGGAGCTGCGGATCGAAGTGGAAGTGTGCAGATGAGTGAAGAGCAGATGAAGATGCTTACTGAGTATAGCAAGAGTTGTGAAGTTGGAATTCTGCCACAGATTCTTGAAGGGTTTGTGAAGCGAAGAAAGGCTGTTAAGGAGTTGATGAGACATGGAGCATCACCTGAAGAAATAATGATGTTAGAGGTTCGTCAGAAGGCATTGAAACTGACGGCGAATAGCATGTATGGATGTCTAGGCTCGCATGGGTCGCGGTTCTGCAACTACACTATGGCATGTTACATAACGTTTAAAGGAAGAGAGCTTTTGATGGAGTCTAAGAGAATAGCTGAGGAGGATTGCGGAATGAAGATTGTGTATGGAGACACAGACTCTGTGATGGTGTACTGTGGAATACCAGGGATGAATGTGAACTATGTAAAGGCAATAGAAAAAGCCAGTGTATTGAAAGATGCAATTAATGGCAGGTACAGGAATATTGAGATTGGAATTGAGAAAGTATTTAAGAAGCTTTTATTGTACAAGAAGAAGAAATATGCAGGCCTGTGGATGGATGGGAGTGGAGGAAGTTTTATTGAATACAAGGGCCTGGATCTTGTAAGAAGGGATTTTTGCGGTGCTAGTAAGAAGATCTGTAAGAAGGTGATTGAGTTATTGTTACTTGACTTTGAGGGTGATGGAGTGCTGGAGAGTGTGTATGGAGATGAGAAGGATATGCGGTTATCTGTTAATGGAGGAATGATTATGAATGATGGAAATGCAAGAATCAGAGAGATGGTTTATGAAGAATTGAAGAAGCTTGTTGATGATTTACAAAATCTTCCCCGTGATGAATATGTGATATACAATACATTGTCTAAAGCGCCTGAGGATTATGGTGCATCTAATGCGCTCCCACATGTTTCACTAGCATTGAGATTGAAGGAGGAAGGAATGAAGTTTGATCAAGGCGATGTTGTTTGTTATGTGATGGGAAAGGCAGTAGGGAATGAGAGTATGGCTAAGAAGGCATATAATTTGAGCGAGTGTGTAGAAATAGATTATGAATATTACATATCAAGCCAGATTCTTCCAGCAGTCTTACGAATATTGAATGTAGTAAAGGGATTCCACGCGGACAAGATCAACGGGATATTTGGAGTGGAAAGTACCGAAAGAGTTGAACCTGGACGAAATGTGAGTTTTCTAACCCCTTGCTGTGAAACAAGCCAGAATGCATTGCCTGTTTGTTTGACATGCTCAAAGCCGATTTCAGAAGCTTTTTATGTGTGTAAGGTAATTGAGATGCTCAGGAAGGAGGTTAGTGCAATGTATAATGCATTACCTAAATGTGGAGGATGTGGAGTGCTGTGCCATATGTATATTTTGAACTGTTTTCATTGTGGATATGAATTAGATGTAGCAGCAAGTAATCAAGAATTTGATGTGTTTCTGAGTGGTTTAGAATCTGCATGTGAGAGTTTGGGAAGTAAAGAGATGTCGTTGCTGATAAGAAAGCATACTAAAGTGTCTGGATATAGAAGAATCGATCTGAGGAGATACTTTGAAAAGGAGATCAGTAGATATGAAAGCAAGTGAGTGTAGATGGTATATATGGATAATATGATATGTATGTGTGATAAATGATGAACTTTTGAATTAAGAGACTGATAAAGGGGAATTTAACCTGATTGGAGACTAATGATATTTGAAAGGCTTGGAAGTGGCAAACATGCTTGGAATATGTGAAAAGCTGAGAAGTGGAATGAAGATGCTGCGCAACAGACTGTTTGCAAGGAACTTCAGGGTGGTGATTCTTGGATCTGAGCAGAGTGGCAAGTCTACGATTGTGTCAAAGGTGTTTGGACAATGGCCGAAAAGCTTTAGGAAGCAGAAAGATGTGGATGTATATGAGTTCCGAGAGGGTGGTATAAATTATACTGTGTATGATGTGAGTGGTAAGAGACCGTTGAAGGCAAGGTGGGACTGCTTGTATAGAAGAAGCGATGTTATGTTGTACTGTATTGACTCGAATGGTTCTGTAGATGATCTTGAGAGAAGCAAGGAGGATCTGCTTTCTATGCTATATAGAAACATATGGACAAGGAGGAATATGCTTGTTCTTGGAACCAAGAGCGAGGTTGATAGAGCGATCGGAAGCAAGGAGATGATTCTTGCAATGGATTTGCTGTCGATTGCAGACAGAGAGATTTCATGTTTTTCTGTGTCTACTGAAAATGATATGAACATTGGGATGGTGAAGATGTGGTTGAAGGAGCAGTATGATGTAGCGATGGTAGATTGATTATTGATTATTCATGAGAAGTAGATTCATTACTTGATTATTGAAGCGAAGTAGATTGATTCTTGATGAGAAAATTTGAATGGTAAGATGTGATGTTCTGGGTATTACAAGAGTTTAGTAAATGGATATGTAGTAGATTCTGATGTGTTGGATTGCTATGTGACACAGATGATGTGGCAGTGCATGAATGCATGAAATAAAGCAAAGTCTATTTTTTCAGTTTTATGCAGCGTATTTGTTTCGATTGTAATCCCCGAAGATGGCAAGGATAAGAAAGGAGATTGAAGAGGGATTGGATATGTCTGATGACTCTTATGATGTTTATGAGCCACAGAATGAGGAAGGTGATCTTGAGGTTGAAGAGGGCGCATATAACGTTCTTGAGTATATTTCTCTTGACTGGCCTGCACAGAGCATTGATGTTATGAGGGGATACACCGTAATGTTGGGGACGAACCCGGCACCAGGAGAGGGCAAGCCTGGAATGATCAGTATTGATCTGTTTCCAACGCATGGAATGAGCAAACCAGATAAGATGGTGATAACGAAGAAGAAGGTGTCTGAATCATACAATAAAGTGCGAGTGAATGGAGAGTCGACGTATTGCTTGTCTGATGACACGCTGGTGGTGCATGGGCCCAAATTTGAGGTGATACATACAAAGCGCTATGATGAAGGTCTTGGATATGGATTGTGCTTCAATGGTTCTGGATGTGTGCTTGGAACTAGGGATGGGAAGATATCGATGAATGATTGGAGATTTAATGAAACAGGCACTGTGAAGGTTCACGAGGGATCGATTGAGGGGATTTGTAGTGACGGGAGTATGATATATTCTGGAGGATGTGACTATGCAGTGGTGTTTTTTGATGTACGTGGCAAGGATGCAGTATTCCGAAGGAAGTTCAGTTCGGACATCAATGCAATAGGATTCAATGGAGACAATACGCTTGCATTTGGAGATGACGAGGGCACTGTCTGGCTGATGGATATTAGAAATCATGAGGTGGAGAAGATAACGAGGCATAAGAGCCCGGTCAGTTGTTTGAGATGGAGAGATGGAGAGATTTTTGTTTCAGGCAGTGATGAGCAGCTGTGCATCTGGGACGTGTCTCTTGATGCATCTGAGGAGGATGGATATCTTCTATTTGTGCATCAGGGGCAAAAGTTCTATAAGGATGTGGCGTTTTGTAGGGGAGACAGTAATTTTGTTATAACTACCAGTGCTGACGGACTGTGTGTGTTCAATCCGATATCTTTTGATTGTGAAAAGGAGATGAATGGAGATGCCTGATGGATAAGATAAAGTGAGAAGGAGATTAGTGAATTAAATGGTTGATGGAAGTTGTATGATTTAGCAGAAGAGGAGTTAATGAGAATTTGCAAGAATGTACGATTTGTAAATTTTTGTTGAGTGGCCCTGGGAATGCATGAAGAGGGAAGATTTGCTGTAGATGAGCAGGGAAGTGAGCCTGAGGAAGCCAATGAGTGGGGACCTCTTCTGAAAGACATGGAGAAGATGGTTGTGAAGACTGATAGATACACGCCTTGTGGACGTGGAAGCATGCCGTTGAACCGAAGTATCCAGGAATATATTAAGTATGGGATTGTGAGTTTGGACAAGTCAGCGAATCCAAGCTCTCATGAGGTTGTTACATGGGTGAAGGGGATTCTTGGATGTGAGAAGACAGGACACGGTGGTACACTTGATCCACAGGTAAGCGGAGTGTTAACTGTATGCATTGACAGAGCAACACGACTTACAAAAAGCCAACAATCTCTAGGAAAAGAGTATGTGTGTGTGATTGAATTTCATGGGGAATGTGATGAGCAAGGATTTAGGAATGCTTGTAAAAGGCTTGTTGGTGCATTATTCCAAAGGCCACCATTGATGTGTGCAGTGAAGCGGGAGCTGAGGATAAGGAATGTGTATGGAATAGAGATAGTTGAGTTTGATGTAGAACGAAAGCTGGGGCTTTTCAAGGTTTCATGCGAAGCAGGGACATATGTGAGAACGCTTTGCACGCATATAGGAATTTTTATGGGATGTGGAGCTGTGATGAAGGAGTTGAGAAGAGTAAGAAGCGGAATGGTTGATGAGTCACAGATATACACGCTTCATGATCTCCTGGATGCGATGTATCTATTAAATACTGAGAAAAGCGAGGTGGCAATCCGAAGAGTGATAAAGCCGTTGGAGACTTTGCTTGTTGGATACCCGAGGATTATGATTAAGGATAGCTGTGTGAATGCTATTTGTTATGGAGCAAAGCTGAGCATGACGGGAGTACTTCGATTTGATAAGAACATTAATGTGGGAGGAGATGTAGTGGTGATCACAACGAAGGGAGAAGCAGTGGCACTTGGAGTAGCGTTGGCAAGTAGCCCTGAGATGAGCATTGCACAGCATGGATTTGTCTGCAAGACGAAGAGAGTGATTATGGAGAAGGATCTGTATCCAAGGAGCTGGGGAATGAAGAATGAGTATGAGGTGATTGAGTGATGTTTTGATAAAGATTTTTATGATTTTATATATTAATGACTGTTGAGACTGGAGAAAAAATTGCCCTTGATGTTTGAGCTTGAACTGGAAGCAAGGGAGAAGGGAAAGGAAGCAAGCAATGCCTCTGAAGCATTATCGCTGGTGAAGAGAGTTGTTGAGAGTCTTTCTGAGCTTGTTGAGCAGGCGGAGATAAAGGTGTCAGGTCGTGGGATGAGCATTCAGGTGATGGATGTGATGCATGTGGCGCTTGCAGATGTGTTTTTACCGGCATCGATGTTTACGAAGTATAGATGTGACAGGGATTTGGCAATAGGAGTGCAGCTGAAGACGTTTGTAAAGATTTTGAAGGGAATGAGTCTTGATGGAGGAGGAATGTTTAGACTTGAATGTGATGACTCTGTGAGTAGCCTGAATGTGAAGAATGCCAGGGATGGAAATTCATTAAATTTCAAGCTGAAGCTTTTTTCATCTGATAGTGAGGCATACAATGTTCCTGTACTTGATTTTGAAGCAACGGCCAGTATTCCTACTGATGAGTTTATGTATGTTCCCAGGCTTGTTGGGACGTTTGGAGACTTTGTTGGGATTAAAGCGGAGCCTGGGCGCCTGGTGTTTTTCCAGACAGGAGAGTATGCCGATGCATCGATGAGCTTTGAGGAGTGTGAGGGGAAAGAGCTGAAGATAGATGTCAAGGAAGGAGTTGTGCAGGAGATTGCAATGAAGTATGTGAATCTTATTGGCAAGGTAGCAGGGATGTGCAAGAGTATGAGCATATCTTTAGGAAATGGAAAGCCTGTGTTTTTCAACCTGTTGATTGGAGAGTCGGCATACATGAAGTTTTACATAGCGCCGAAGGTTGAGAACTGAATGACTGACGCATTCATTGAAGAATATATTGTGCTATTATAATTGCAGGTGCATTTGTGCCAAGTAGGTTTTAATGAATAAACACAATAGGTATATGCAAGTATTATTGACAGCATATGTGATGCTCATGTGCTGCAGTGTTTTAACAGACTCTTTCTTTTAGTACTTCAGAACCTTGCAGTCGTCCTTCAGGTAATATGAATCTTGGCTCGGGCTTGAATATCCTTATGAGACTGTTGTATATATCAATTAGCAGATCGACCTTTTTGTTTGCTTCAATCTTTTGCTTATTACAATACCAGTTCCACGACCACCATGGTCTATCCCTAAGACAACTTTCCTTGTACATTTGATAGTATTTCGGATTTAGGATTTTCAACAAGGTTAATATATTGATCTCTTGCCGGTAATTATAGTCGCGTGAAACCTCCATCCAATATCTGATTGAGTCTTCAACCACCATTGTGTTTTTTCTTCCAAGTATTTCTGGTGTTTTTACATAGAATCCGTTGTAGTGGTAGCCCACTTTGTCCATCATTTCGTACTTTTCAACCCCTGATAACTGGAATATTCCTCTAGGCTTGTATTGCTTTGCGCTTTTGGCTTTTTGCATTTTATATAGATAAGATGTGTTGTACATTACAATTGTGGCCACTGAAAACACCTCGTATCGCCTGCTGTTACAATGGTCGAAAATAAGTCCAAAAACCTCTGTCAAGAATATCACATCGTTTACCTGTGACTTGTCGAGTAGATCTACACCGAACTGCTTCTGTCCCTGTGTACATATTCTGAGCATTATTCGCAAAAACTCTGCATAATCGAGTTCGTGGACATGATACCTTCGGCACTGACTGTTTATTATTTCATACTCGTCTCTCGAGCAAAGGCATGTCCTGACAGCGTAGTTGTCGCACTCTGGTCGAACACCGATTACAACGTTTACAATCAGCAGCACCAGGAAAGTATTCATTATGAGCACGAATAATTTATGGATGTTATATGCATCAGAGTTAATTAATAAATTTATAAACGTCACTTAGAATGTTTCAATATTAAACTGTTTATATATTGATATGGAGTGTGGATATATAATGTCTGTATGTAATGTTGATGTGAAGTAATTTAGAATTATTGAATGGTTGTAGTGATGATTGATTCAAAACATTTTACATGTTCATCCTTTGTGAATATTCATGCGTGTGGAAGATGATATGAGAGATGATACGGAAGACATAGAATACAAATTTATTTTGCAAATGGAGTATGGAGTGTATTGTAGTATGTATGGAGTTGTTGTTGGATGGACGTCAAGTAAAAAATCAAAAGGAAGTGATTATGTGATGACGATCGACGTTGTTGATGAGGAGATGCAAAGGCTTTCCGTCCGGATATTCAGCCACACAGAAATATTTGCAGAGAGTCTGTATGTTGGAGATGTAGTAAAAATAAGGAATGTTAAGCTCTATACACAAGGCAAGGCGATAATGGGCAAAAGAAATGAGATAGATGTTGTGTACAGGCAGGGCAAGCAAGCTGGTGAATTCCCTAGTCGGAGTGTCATGAATCTTGTGAATGTATTTGAGAGGAGCCGACGGAGGTTTGTGAAGCAAAGGATGATATCTGAGATAGAATGTGGACATCGTTTTGACTTCTGTGGAGAGCTAAGCGATAAGCGGCGCGAAATGCACAATCTAGTGATTCTTGAGTTTATTGATTACAGTCATGGAGCTTGCTCGCTGGATATGTGTAAGCACATGAGTTGTATGGTGCTTGTTATAAAGGCATGGGGAGAATTTTCGGATAGATCAGAACAATGCGAGATTGGTAGTTATTACCTGATCAAGAACCTGAAGGCTGATGAAGTTGGTGAGCTTGCAGTTGCGAGCCTGTCGGAGTCGAGCAATGGGGAGATAGTCAAGATTCGTAAGCATTCGCCTATTTGGCAGGATCTTGAGTTAAGAAGAAATGAATATCAAAGAAAAGTTGTTTTTGGATGCAATGGAGGATCTGAGCTACAACCTGACGTGCCTATACACATGAATGATGAAAATAGATACTCAATCAATCCTGGAGTGTACAGAATCAAGGCACAAATAAGAAGATGTGCGTTATTTACGAATAACACGATTTCAATATGTAAAAGCTGTGGAATGATTGAAGAAAGCACGGCTGAAAAGCAGATGCGAACTTGTATGAACCACAATGTTGAACAGATTAGAATAGCTAGAGTGATTATCTGGGATGGATATACAGAGATAAAGGTTGTATGTAGAGGAAGCATAGCAGAGAGAATAATTGACAATGAGATTCGTGGAATAAAAGGTCAGGTATATGAATGTGTTATACTGAATGTTGAAGAAAATAATCGAGTAGTTTCTCATCTAATTAGCATTGAGTGAATGCATGAAAGGGAAGTTTTATCTTATTAGTATCCAGTGAATGCATGAAGCATAAGTTTTATCTTATTAGTATTGAATGAATGTATGAAAGGTAAGCTCTCATCTCATTAGTATTGAATGAATTTGTAAAGAAAAAAACCTTAATTGCTAAACGAATATTTATTCAGACGATGTTTATAATTCTAATTACAATTACATGTTTGAATAATATCTCAATGTACTAGAGCTTAGCTTGTTTGTGGTAAACTCATCCTAAATCTATTGATGCCTGAAGATATCTAGTATTTGTTCAAGCTCTTCTTCACTGAATCTATCATCCATATCTTCGATTATTAGTTGAAGACTGAGAATTGATGTGGGAATGATATTGATCAACTGAATTGCTTCAAATGCTGTCAACTTCATTTGTTGAAGAGTATGTTTTGCTCTGTCTATACTATCTTGGCTCAATGATGAGTTTGAGTATGCAACTACCTTTTCCAAGAAGGTTGAATGATCTTGGTGTGTTTCTGAATGTTTTTGTATGATTGCGAGTGCTTCTGCATTTGAAAGAAGATTGACTTTGCTGAATGGTTTCATGCAAGGGCTTATATGCAATGGCGTATGCTTAGCAAGCAAAAATGATGTAAATTTTAAATGAGCCGAGCCGTTTGAAAAATTAGATGAAGAATACCAAAACAGAAAAGAGAAGGAAGGACAAGTCTGACAGGGCCACTGTTGACAAGGTCCTTGATAAAAGAACGATGAACATTCTTGATAAGATACAGGATAGAGGAAAGCTGGCGAATCTAAGAGGAAGTTTATGCACTGGGAAGGAAGCGAATGTGTATTTGGCGATGGCAAGCACAGACCTTCAAAGCAAGTTTATTAACAATAGGTTTGAAGAAAATAAATGCCAGAATGCAATCATGAGGAGTGAAGAAATGATTGCGGTTGCAGTTAAAATTTTCAAAACATCGATTATGCCATTTAAGGACAGGGAGAGGTATATACGAAGTGAGAAGCGATTTCAAAAGTTCTGCACATCGAATCCAAGGAAACTGGTGAAGGTGTGGGCAGAAAAGGAAGCAAGGAACCTGAAAAGATTGAATGCAGCAGGCATACCATCACCTCGACCGATGTATCTGCGTAGCAATGTGCTTGTAATGAGCCTGATAGGAGAGTATGATTGTGTGGCACCCAGACTGCGGGATGCAAAGATTGAGGATGTTGGGGAGTGTTATATGCAGTGCATAGGGATAATAAAGGAGATGTATTGTAAGGCAAGGCTCGTGCATGCAGATCTGTCTGAGTACAATCTTTTGTATTACAAGGGTGTTGTGAATGTGATTGATGTTGGACAAAGTGTGGAGATAGATCATGAGAATGCACAGAGGTTCCTGATAATGGACATAAGCAATGTGAATGTGTTTTTTGAGAAAAAAGGAGTATTAGTGGCAAGTGTGAATGATGTATTTGAGGATGTAACAGGAATGAAGATTCCTGTATGCATGGAAGGAATGGAGATTGTGTCTGATGTGTTTATTCCCTCAAGAGTCTCTGAGGTACGCAATAAAGAGGATTTTGAGATATTTGGAAGAGAAGTAAGCGGAGATGCGATGTCGATTGAGGAGTCTGAGCATTCTGATGAATCTGAAGAATTTAGTAGTGAAATGAAAGAGAATAATGAAGGAGAATCAACCAAAAATGCATATGAAGAGAAGAAGAAGAGGAAGAGTGAAGTCAAAGAGTTCAACAGACTCAGGAGAGCATCTAGGATCAGTAACAAAGAAAAGAAGAAGATATTCAAGAAGTACGTAGGCAAGAACCACAAAAAGAGATGAGAAGTAAATTGGTAGAGAGGTTGAAGCCCATGAATAATGGAATTAATGAGTGTATTGGAAGGATGAAGATCAGCAGTAATGTAAGATCGAAACAAAAGCACATTGATGAAGCACTGAAGATAGTTAATAGAAATAGAAAGTATAGGAATGATCCGTTGTATGGGATGTTTATCAAGAGAGTAGTTACTGGTCTGTGTGAAGGAATAAATAACTCTGATATTTTCGAAGTAATCAGAGTAATGCAGAAGACGATCAAGCCCAAGTCTAGAATGTCAGGAAAATATTCCTGTATTGAAGAGCTAGACTGCTCGTGGTAAACACAAAAAATAATAAAATAATTCACACTAATCTTCTTTAATCGATGCCTGTAACCGTTCCTTGTGTATAAGATGATTACATCTGATCAGTTTGTCCAGTACGTTTCCCACATTATCACTCCATTTTCTGGTTCCAAAGTCAACCATTCCAGTTTTCTGGTCGATCTTGGCATTTACAAAATTATTGTTCACCATAAACGATATTCTGTTTATAACGTCATCTTCAGGCGTCTGCATTATCATTGCCATGTCCTGGATGCTGATTGATGAGTGGAATTTTGCAATCACTCTGAAGTTGTGTTCATCAATGCAGGAGACGATTTCATTCAAATATTTAGACGTGTTGGTGGCTTCGCAAAACACGTCTCTAATCTCATTTATGACAGATTTGTCTATCACCATATCAGCTAAAAACATCCCAACCATCTTTCTTGATGCTTCACTGTTGTTTTTATCTTCAGCAAGCTTTGTTAGCATTTCCTTTTTCTTAGATACAAAATCTTCCAGTCCACTATCACATGTCGTAAGAATACTGAAAAACGAGCTTAACACAACATACTTGCATACGTTAACTCCAAGCTCACTAAGAGCATAATAGATACACGATGCATCAAAATACTTTCGTTGTCCTAGATGCAGGAGCACACTCAACTCATAGAACTTTACTTTCTCTCCAACTGTTTCTACATTTGTATCAAAATACTTCTTTCTAATCTTCTTCATCGTGATGTCTGCTCTTATCCAGTCCATGTTTAGTATACACAGCCTTAACTGCTCAAGCTGATAGTTGATCACCACAAACTCCTTTAACATAGTAAATGTTTCTACTGGCACATTTATCACCACATCAAATGCATTTTCTACATCATTACCTGCTTCGTATCTTCTCTTGAGATCCTCAGTGATGTATATTCTCTCCTCTTCCATGAATATCTTTCCCTCAATAACATCTTTCAAGATTAAGCTGAAAAACCTGATAAATCCCTCTTCATTCTTTTTCTTGTTGAACAACTCTCCGATCATCCATTTCATTGCCATCTTATTCTGTCCTCGCTTCATGCTCAACATCCTTACAACACTTGCCAATTCTTCATCTGTTGTGCACAACTCCATCATCTTTTCAAATATCTTCTGCAGTCCTTCGTAGTCATTTGCTATTCTACACTTCCTTTCATCCTCGAGTAATGCTTCCATCTCAGGGGTTTGTATAAACAAAACATCATAGCAGACTCCAACCTGATTCACATATAAAGTATGCAAATTATACAATCACATTTATCATCTCAATATCTGCATAATTTCTATATTCTACATTTCCATACATATGCTTTTGATTCACCTTCCATAATCCATTAGGCATCATATCTTTAATCTTTAATCTTTACTTTCTCAGTCTTTTGTGGTGCACAATATACTTTCAGTATCAACGTAAGAACAACACCAAAGATATTAAATGCCACAAACTGAACCGTAAAGTCAGGAATCACAATCCAATCCGTCATTACATCAGCCCACACAACCTGCCCATCAACTATTCCAAATGACCTAATCACAGCACCTTCTTCAATGTGTGGCGAACACTCCCATACTCTGCAGAGCTCCTTCTCACATGTAACATCAATTGTATACCTTCGGTCCATATTAAAGATTACTACCAATGTCTTCTTTTCTTCACATCCTCTTTCAAACACTCCATGAACAGGCATTCCTATCAGTTGTGGAATAACACCTTGTGGATACATTACTGCAAGGAGATGCGGAGATGGATGTGTTGTGGTGTATCTTACTGTACTCATTGAGTAGTTTGTTGAAATGACATCTCTGGAAAAGCACCATGCATATGAAATAAGTACAAATATCACAGCGCAGTTCATCAGGGCATATGCCGAATGTTTCTGTAGTCGTTCAATTAAAAAGTAGCTGGCAGAGACCCCGGATGAATCCATTTTGCGAAGACTCTTCCTTCGATCCAAGGCTGTATGAGGTAATATGCAAGATTAGAAAGAAGGGTGGGAAAACAAAGCTTGAAGGACTAAAGGAATTAGAAGGCTTTTTGGAAACACTTGATGTGAATGGAGACATAGACATGGTGGTTGAAGTAATTGAAGAATGCATTGTGTCTGAGGATGTGCAGATCAGAACCCAATCAATAGATATTCTTTACAAGCTTCTCTGTATAGTGCCTGACAGAAAGCAGCTTGCAAAGGTTGTTTCTGTGTGGCTGTATGGGTTTGTGGAGAATCCAAACTATGCAGTGTCAAGAAGGATTTTCTGTGAGTTTGTAAATATTGAGGAGCTTGAGGATGAGTTTGTGAAGCAATTGGATTTCAAGGAGAATGTAACGCTTTCATTACTCTGTCTGTTGTTATTGATAAAGAGAGGAAAGAAGGATTACAGAGGTGTTTTTGAAGAGAATGTGAAACACCTGAGGCTAAGCTCTAATAAGGAGCTCGAGGAGGTGTACAGGATATGTAGTGTACTTGGTGCAGTTGATGCTTTGTATGAGAGAGTTGTATGCATTAAAGGACATGCATTGATGAATATCAAATGGAGGATATTGCTGGATGTGTTTAAGAGTGTACCTGAATGCCTTGTTGATGATGCAAGGCATCTTGATCATGAGATACTTACCAGGGCACTGTCTGGCAGAGAATGGTGTGATGATGTGATGGTAAAGAGTGTAGACTCCCTGAGAGTAGTTAAGGGTAGGATTAAAGACATTAATGGATATCTAAGCAGATATCTGAGAGGAGGGATGATTGATGGACTGTGTGTGTTTGAATTTACTGATGATATTGGATTTATTGACGAATCTGTTGAGTTTAAAGTTGCAAACCGAGTGATTGGAAATGTGATCAGGATGCATTTTGAGAATCAAGACATGATGGCCTGGTTCTATGAAGTACAGGATGAAACACATGTTATTTGTGAGGATGTAAGTGAATGTAAAGAACACAATAATCATGTTCACATGGTGAATGATAGATTGAAGATGGCAAGAATGATAGCAAAGAGCATGAAAGGGCTCGATGGATGGAAACGGATAGTACGAGCAGATACAATAAGAATGAAGCTTGAACCATGTGAGTTTAGCAATGAAGATGTGGAGAAGGTATTTGAGCAATCTGTGAATGTGTTTCCGAAGCACTATATGCTTGAGAGTGAATTTGGATGTGATGTTTTTCCACTTGTTATGAAGTATGCAGATGAAGTTAGTGAGTTGATGATCAAGCGTGCAGTGAATAAGAATAATATGCATCTTTTTATTAAAAGGTGCAAGGACCTTGGGTTGATACGGCAGCTGATGGATGGAATGAGCGATAGAGATATTCTGGATATGTACCTGATGAGTGAGGTTCCCATGGAGCTTGATATTGACTTTTATTACAGGATTGGAGGTAGAATGGGAATACCGAGGATGGTTGAATATGATGAGGTTGTGAAAAGGTATCTTAATGGTGGATTTATAATGAATGCGATTGATGCAGGAGTGATAGACAGGAGATTGTTGTATGATGCGGTTGTAAGGTGCATATCGCAGATTGAACTACCGATGAGCACTGCATATACTAATGAATTTTATGACATTGATGAATGTTTTTACAAGGATGTAAGAATAAGGGAAGAGAATGGGATGATTAGGAAGCTTAGAAAGGTTTATGTGGATATTTACGAAAACACATTGGAGATGTTTTTGCTTCTTGTTATTGATTCTATGAGTGGGGATGAGCCTGATGAGCTTGATGAGATGTTGAGAAGCAAGAGAACGAGTGGCAGAGAAGAATTGATAGCAGAGCTGCAGAATGATGCTTCGTGGGTTGAAAGAATCCGTGAAATCGATGTGGGAGCGAATATGCATTTCGTGGAGAAGGTGTTTTTTGAGCTGGGAATGAACAGTAGAAGATGTGTAGAGCGGCCTGTTAATGAGCTCTTGATGAATGGAGGAATGCGTGGAGTTGACTATGTGCTTAGGAAGTGTAGGTTTCCGTTGCAAATTGTTCCATTTTTAGACTTTTCGTATCTCAGTAATGAAGGATTAAGGAATGTGGTTGCATCGTTGGTGATGAACAAGAATGGATCGCATGTAGATCTTACGGGTGAATGGGGAGGAGTTGAAAAGCACAGGGTACCTGATGAGGTTTTGGAATTGCTGATTAAACCAGGATTCCAAGGAACTATCAGGATTCGAAGTGCGTTGATAATTGAAATGATTGAGAAGGATGTGGTTATGAAGATGAAGCCTTATGAAAAGAAGAGACGTGCTATATACAATGAGCTGTTGAAGGGTGTTTATGAGGAAGTGAGTGAGTCTATTATAAACATGTACAGTATTTCAAGGGTTGAAACTGAATCTGTGGATGATGAAGTATATGAGGTTTTGAAAGGGTGTCTGCTTGGGTCGAAAATCCTGTTCTGGGATTTACTGTTGAATTCACTAATCGGTGTCCGAAGCATCAATATTAATGTATTTTTTGAGAAGATGGTGCGTGAGAAGGAAGAGTGGCGGGAGTTTGTGAACAAGGCTGATGTAGGCCAACGGTCGTTGTTTGCATTTGTGTTTCCGAATCTTTTTGCAGAGATTCCAAGGATGGATGTTGCTTTGGATGATCTGATCCTGAAAGAGGCGAGCAGGAATATTGCAGGAGTCACTGTTAGGATGCATAAGCTGAGCAATGGATTTAATGTGAAGATAATGTATACGGCAGGGGACATGTGCTTTAGTGCATTGATAGTGATTCCGGTTGATTATCCGCATGGAAAGGCTGTTTTTTCATCTGAGATGGACCGAAAGAGCTTGTTGAACCTGAAGATCAATGAGCTGATGCGGAGATGTTCGAAGTTTATGGAGCTTGTGTGTTTGTGGAAGATCAATATTGATGAGAAGGTATCTGGACATGAAGAGTGCCCGATATGTTATTTTGTGATTGACATGCATGACTCGTCGTTTCCTAATAGCCAGTGCTCTGGATGCAAGAGTAAGTTCCATTCAAGATGCATTACGAAGTGGATTGCGAATGGAGTGCGAAGCAGCTGCCCGATGTGTAGGAAACCCATGGAGAATGTAGAAAGCAAGACGGCAGCGTTTACTGCGAGGATATGGTGAGCATGGATGGAACATGGATGATGGTAAATAATGAAGCATTGGATGATAATACATGAGAGGTTGTTTGTATAAGCTTGTTATTAAAGTGGTTTTGTTACTGAATGATCTCTGAATGGACGACTTGTGATGTAATTACGCATGATCAATTGATATGTAATAGATGTGATGCATGGATAGTTAATGCGTAATATAGTTATGCAATATTTTTTGAAGTACAAAAACGTTCTTGAGAAGCCCAGTTATAAACCTTATTGATGGATGTGCAGAAGCGAGTTGATTTGATGACTAGGAATCTACAAGAAGTGATTGGTAAAGATGAGCTTGTGAGCATTGCAGAGAAGAGAGATCTGAGTGTGTATTGGGGAACTGCAATTACAGGGAAACCTCATATTGCGTATCTTGTGCCTTTGCTGAAGATAAAGGACTTTGTAGATGCAGGATGCAGAGTGAAGATTTTGTTTGCAGATATCCATGGGTTTTTGGACAATCTCAAGGCACCGATTGAGAAGATAAAGCACAGATGTGTGTATTATGAAAAGCTTATCAAAGAATGTTTGACGATGTTGAGAGTTGATCTGGCGAAGATTGAGTTTGTGAAAGGCAGTGAGTATCAAAGATCACCGGAATATGTGATGGATCTATACCGGATTATGGCAATAACCAACGAGCATGATGCAAAGAAAGCAGGAGCGCAAGTTGTTAAGCAGGTGGAGAATCCAATGATAAGTTCACTTGTGTATCCGGCAATGCAGGCACTTGATGAAGAGCACCTGCATGTAGATGTGCAGTTTGGAGGAGTTGATCAGCGCAAGATATTTACGTATGCTAGGAAGTATCTGCCAATGCTAGGATATGCGAAAAGGATTCATCTGATGAGCCCAATGATTCCGGGACTGAATTCTGAGAAGATGAGCAGCTCTGAGGAAATTTCTAAGATTGATTTGATGGATTCGAATGAAAGCATAATGAAGAAGATGAAGAAATGCTTCTGTGAGGAGGGGAATAAGGAGAATGGTCTATTGAAGATTTTCATGCATATTATTTTCCCTGTATTTTGTATACATGACAAGGAGGTATGGATGGAGATAAGAGGAGTAGGACGTGTTGTTTTTGGAACATATTCAGATTTTGAGGACGCATTTGTAAAACGAGAGGTTCATCCGATGGATTTGAAGGAAGGAGCAGCAAGGATGATCGATGAAGTTATTGGACCTATCAGGAGTGAAATGATGAGTGAGATGGACGTTCTGAAGAAAGCGTATGATTAAATTGATGGATTTATTGTGATAAGTGAGCTTTACCCTAGGATGGAGGTATGTCTTGAACGAAACCAAGAGTTTCGAATTGAGGTGGGAGAAGTACAGAGATTGAAGATAATGGTACTGAGTGGGCTTGCAGAGGTGAAGGGACAAGAGCTGCTAAACGAGAGGTGGTATACATTCAACAACACAAGGACGTTTGTGTTTACTTTTTCTGGATGCAAGCTGAAAATTGATGGAGTGTGTGATTTGCAGTATGTCTCTGATGTGACTAATGTTCCATCGATATTCAATATAGCACGCTTTTTTGCAAGCAGAGGGTTTGATTATGGAAAGATGCGCACATTCATGGTGGTTGGGAATGGCAGAAGCACGTTCTGTTTTACTCTGATTAATTTTTTTATACGGCTTGGCAAGAAGGTGCTGTTTACTGAGGTTGACCCAGCGAAGGGAAATGTGTTTCCTGGGGCGCTTAGCACGATGCATGTTGACACGCTGATCGATTGTGTAGAAGGCCTGAAGCTTAATAATCCACTGTCGTTTTACTATGGATCGACTGAGATTGCCAACATGGATCTATATGATGTTCAGACTATGCGGTTGCAAGAGGCAATACAAGGGAAGGGTGTGAATGATTTCCATCTAATACTCTGTCCAGAAGGCACTTCGATGTTTTATGATGCATTAATAAAGAGATTTGAGGTTGATAGAGTTGTTGTAGTGGGAGACGAGAGGATGTACCATTCGATGAAGGTGATTGCAGAGAAGATTATGATACGTAGGAGCGGATATGTTGAGGAGAAGGATGTTGGAAGAAGCATATCAAGGTATTTCAAGGGAGTCAGTGGGGAATACACGCCTTTTTCGTTCAATGTGAAGTATAAGTGGAAGGTTGTGAGGATTGGGGAGATGTATGTTGCGCCGATGAGTGCATTACCACTTGGAACGTCAAGGAAGGTTGGATGCGTGGAAGCATGTGAAGTTGAGGTTGTTGAAAGTTCAGTGTTAGGCATATCTGAGGCGAAAAGTATTGATGAAGTGGCAAGATCGCCTGTTGTAGGGTATGTTGTGGTGATTGATCGCAATACATTTAAGATTCTTTGCACTCAGCCTAAGCTTCCGAAGTATATGTTTTTTGTACAAGGAGATATGCGGCATGTTGAGTATTGACTTGATAGTTGAGAAGTGCTGTATTAGGTTGAATGTAGTCTGTGGTTGATGGTGTAATGAAGGAGATTTGAATTAGTAATAAATTTGTTTCTGTCAGATATATGTTAAGTATATTTCGGTGAATTGCCCTTATGCATAATAGAGGAGTTTTAAAAGATGCAGGAGCGATTTTACGTGACAAATACATTACTTCACATTTGAATGACAGTCTGAAGATTGACAAGGAGTATCCAGCGCTCGAGAAGATGGGAGGGATGGGATATGTGCTACCGAAGGTAGTGGAGCTTGTGTATAATCCGTTATTTCGCAGGGATCTGTATGAAGGGCTTGGGATTGTGCCTCCAAACACTTTGTTGTTGCACGGAGTGTCTGGGGTTGGAAAGACGTTTCTTGTGAACTGTATAAGCCAAGAGTATAAGGTGCCGATAGTCAAGGTGTGTATTGACTCTGACAAGGAACTGAGGGAGTCATTTAGAAAGGCTTCGTTACTTGATGCGTCTATTATATTTGTAGAGAACATTGAATGCCTTGGAGACGATGATAAGAAGGTGATAGTGCAATTATCTGAGTATATTGAGAATCACAAGGGAAAGTCTGTGGTGATTGCGACTGCAAAGAACCCAGCGTTTATACATGAAAGCTTGAATAAGTTTGATAACACGTTGCTTGTTAGGATTCCGAGTCGTGCACAACGTGGAGAGATGTTGGCCAGAATTACTGAGAAGATGCGGTGTGAGCAGATTGACTGGTTTGAGCTTGCTGAGATGATGCCAGGATTTGTCGCAAGAGACATAAAGAAATTGATTAAGATTGCAGCAGCTAAGGCGGTGTTTGAAGACAGCAAGGTTGTAAGAATGAGTGACTTTGTGGCTGCGCTGAAAGAGATGACAAGGAAAGGAACTGAAATAACATTTGACAGCATTGGATCGCTTGAGGAAGTTAAAGACGAGCTTAACATGAGCATAATATTTCCTTCAAGATATCCAGAGAAGTTTCGTAAGCTTGGGATTACAAGACCTTCAGGGATTTTGTTATATGGGCCGCCAGGGTGTGGAAAGACATTACTTGTCAGGGCGGTGTCCAACATGAGCCATTGCAATTTTCTGAGTATCAAGGGGCCTGAGCTTATAAGCAAATATGTTGGAGACTCTGAGAAGGAGATAAGAAAGCTGTTTGATAGAGCAAAGCAGCTGCAGCCGTGTGTGCTGTTTTTTGATGAAATTGACTCGCTTTGTGGAAAGCGAAGCGGAAATGAATTCACAAGTAGAATTGTTAACCAGATTCTTACTCTTTTGGATGGACTTGATGATAGAGGAGATGTGTATGTGATTGGAGCAACAAATAGGATAGAAAGCATAGACAAGGCAATCCTGCGTCCTGGCAGATTTGACAAGATTCTAAAGGTTCCTTTACCATGCAGAGAGGGATGCATCGATATTTTCAACAAATGCATTCAGGGAATATCTATTGAAATGTTTGATGTCAATGAGCTTGACTTGGAAGGACTTAGCGGAGCAGAAATAGCTGGGGTAATAAGAGAAGCAGCAACACTATGCCTGAAACAGAACTTTCATTCAGATGTACTACAAATAACAAAAGAAAACATAATGGAAGCGTTGTATATTATACGGAACACAAGATCGTTTGTATAGAATATATCACAAATGGCTTTATTCTCACTTATTAATCAAAATAAATACATCTATCAATACATTTTACTAATCTTATCAAGAATTCCAAAAAATGTGTTTTTGTCAAATCCTTTATCATCAGCAATTTTTTCTATCTCTGAAATGCTTAGAGTATTAATCAGATCAATATCAACTATCTTTTCTGTTTTTTTCTGCTTTGGACATATTGAAAGAGTATTTGCATGCTGCTCTAGCTCAAGTAGGCTTCTCATTTCATCTTCGTTTACTGTAGATATTCCTCCAATCTTTCCATTCTCTGTCAAAAAATATATCATATTTGACTGTTGTAATGATAAAGATCCACAAGCCATGCTTGTTATACGCTCTGTATCAAAAGAAAGCACTACTTCATATCCACTTCCATACAGTATTATCTTTCCATTAGATGTTGTGACAAGAAGCCCTTCAGGTACAAACATCATAGTATCCACCTGAATCTTGTCTGCATTGATAAACTCTCGTGCCAATGAATTGCATTCCTTAATAAATACAAATACCTCAAATGATCTGTTCATGCATGAACATGCAATTCTACCTGCATTGCTCGCTATTTTATACGGCACAAATCCAATGTCCATCTCGCATAGTTCAACAAGAGACTTTGCCTGCCACTTGTATACACACAACATACGTGCTCTATGAGTCACTACATATTCTCCATCAATACACAGTCCATAAACCACTCCTCTTCGAACAGCTTCGTATGATACCTTAATTCTTTCATTTTTAATCAGAAGCATGCGTATCTTAGACATCTCTTCATCCTTGGACATATTGCTTGCAACTATGAAATACTTCGTAGATAAGGATTTTCCTTCCATTAATATCTCACTCTCAAGCTTAAAAACATTCCTTTTGTTTGCATTCACTTGTACATACGAATTAATAACTGCATCCCTTCCAATGCTCAGGTCAAACTCTACATATCCACATACTTCCTGCTCATCATGATTTGTAATAAATCTGCGCATTATCTTAGTTTTTAATTGCTCTTCAATCCAGCAATGTCTTGTAGATACCAAAAGCTTTGGATCAAATACAAGTTTGCATTTGTATATTCCACATCCTCTTGAAACATACAACTGATCTGCAAATACTCCATATGATACTCCTTCCTGTGAGCATCTGTACAAACAAAATCTATTCAAATCCACAAGTACAGTCATGAATCCTATTCCCACCAGGTATCCAGGCACATAAATAAGAGTATCAACCACAAATCCAAATGAAAACAAACACTCAATGGCAATCTTGCTAACATAATCATTTTCATCATCTCCATAACGCATTCTATAACACATACCAGATATTCCCACAAAAAACACGTCTTCATCTACATCACATGCTGCTTTTAGCATTTCATGTCTTCTTACTTCTAAAACCTTCAAACTATTCTTGTCCATAATTACAAGTTCATCATTATATGTTGACACAAACAGATATTTGTTAATATACAATAAACTCACTTCGTATTTACACTCTGTACATATAACTCTCCTCATTGTTTCAAGACATATCCTCACAATACATCTTTCATCAGTATATATAACACACTCTTGTTCATTATATGCCGTCAATACAATCCCTTTCTCTTCAATCTCTGTAATACCCGTATTACTCACCTTAAATATATTATTTCTTGTATTGAAGTAGCATTGCATTCCATTATAAATATTCAAAATTTCATCAAACTTTCTTTCTTCTTGTATATGCTCTCCATACATCCTTCCCTCGTTCAGATAAGATACAATCAGCCATCCTTCATATATTCCAAACCTTCTTACAGCACTTGCAAACTCATACTTCGGCTCCACACAGATATCAACACCATACATCATAAATTCAATGCTATTCGCAGCGATATATCCGAATCTTCCTTCAAAAAGCTCCAATCCTTGTTGTACTCCTTTGTTTTCAAACACTTTCAGTATCTTGAGACGTTTTCCTATCTTCAGGTAATACGATGCCCCAGCACTTGATGCTGCATAATAGCATCCATTACCAACTGGAACAATCGAGTTAAACCATGTGCCGACATTCCCAAGAACCTCGGTTTTCAGGGTTAATACATTCGGTGCATGCATGGTAGTATTTTGTAAATCCTGCACACTTCTCAACGAGACACGTATGACTTCTCCATCATTCATAGACATCAGTACTCCTCTCTCAGTCTCTAAACCACATTTAATATTTTGATTTGCAAATTCACTTTCAGCCACAAAGCGCCCTTCTTCATAGTAATGAACCTTTCCATTCGCAAATAATAGCATTCCATCACCAATGATCTCTACGTGTTTGATTCCTTTCTTTAGTATCACTCGTTCATTTAGTATCATCCTCTGCCCGTTCTGACTAGATATATATCTCGCCAAAAATACGTCTCCTGAAATATCCTCAATCACAAACTCAGCACAATTCCTAATGCTAAGGCATTCAAGAATCTTATAATAGCTAAAGTCATTTAAATCATTTGCAAATACTAATCCTTGATTATTCATTCGCGCAATAGCCACATATCCTTCGTCTGCAACAAAAATAAACATCTGTGAACATTCAATCCATCTTGTCCATTTTGCCTTGATTGGCATCTGGCCCATATGCACACGCACTCTGTTGCATACTATGGCATACATTCCTTGTGAATACACTAGCAAAATCCCATCAGCGCCTGAGATAGTAACAGGAATTGCAAGCAACACCCATCCGTTAGGATATATTGTATCAATAAGCTTTAAATCCAAACTGCATATATCCACAGCAGATCCTTTGTTTATAAAAATGCATTCCATATCCCTATATATCGCTTTTGTTGCTGAAACAACCGCACTTGAGCTCTTTAGTGTCCTTATTGCATACATTTGCAGAAATCCTGGGCTCACCGTTCGAATTAGAATACAATGCAAGTATTTATTCAAAAAATATAAATAAACAAACGGATGATGCATAAAGCATGCGAATTCACAGAAACAAATGAAACAGTGACAATCATGATTAGCAAAGAAGATGTATCTGGAATGACGATCAGTCCATACATCGATGGTTCAAGAAGATTGGTGTTGTGTGATGACCTTGCAATCAATCTGTTGGGAGACGTCAGTCCAGAGGTAACGTTGTGCACATCAGGGCCAAGGATAGAAGTGCACCTGAGAAAAGTGCAATACAAGATGTGGATAGAATGCACAGGGAATACAACTGGGGATGTAAGTAAGACAGAAATAGAGAATTGGGAGTCAGAGGAAGAATCTGAGCAGACAGAGTCATTGCTTGACTTGCTGAGTAAGATATACAAACGGTCTGGTGATGATGTTCGTAGGGCAATGGAGAAGTCGTTCTATGAATCTGAGGGCACAGTCTTGAGCACTGATTGGGATCAGGTCAAGCAAAAAAAGGTTGCGCGTGAGGAATAAAGTTTTTGGCTTGCAAATCTGCTACTGTTGTGGCAATTACAGAAATGTTCATCCCTGAAACGGATGGTAAGGCACTTTGATGCAATCGGATTGATATCTCAGGGAAAGAATACAGTGTTAATGAAAGCATTTGATGGAAAGAGTCGCAGAAATATTGTACTGAAAAGATATTTAGATCAAGTGAATGGAGGAGCTCATGAGTATTATAGAGAACGAAGCACATTTGAAGCATTGCCACCTCATCAAAACATCATAGGATATAATGGATGCAGAGAGGATGTAGACGGATGTTATTTAGTTCTGGAATATTTTAAAAGCAAGACAATGCAGAAGGTCGTATCTGGCATGGATTTATGCAATTGTTTAGCATGTATGTGTTTGAAGGTTCAATGGCTTGTACAAGTGCTCGATGCATTGAAGCACATGCATAACAATCATGTATATCATTGCGACATAAAACCTGAAAACATACTGATCGCAGGAAGTAAAGTTAAGGTGATTGACTTCGGGTGTTCGATAATTAGTGCACAAGGTGTTGTAAAAGGTAGTAATGTTGTGTTACTTGGAACACCTGGGTTTGGAACGGTGGAAGTTGGGGATCTTACATACAATGGAGACGTGGAGCTAGCTCATATGGATATCTGGGCGTTTGGATGTGTTCTGTACTATGTATGTACGGGCAGTGTTCCATTTGTTGCTGAGAGCATGATTGACACACTCAGAAATGTCAGAAACATTGATGTGGATCTTGAAGTGGTGCCTACGTGTGTATCTAAGATTCTTAAACGCATCTTCACAAAGAAAATTGTTAACAGATATACTATTGAAGAACTGGAGACTGATATTAGAAAGATAGTTGGCCATGATAGACAGCATTTGGCATAATGCACCAATAGTTCGGTTGCGATCAAGCATCTAAGGCAGAGTGTAGCACATGTACAGTGCCTGAATTGATTGATACAGCAGTATGCCAGAAAGCACCTATAATAAGAGTTTAATTAGCTTAGCTGAGGGATCTATATTATGAATGTTATGGGCATGATGATGCATTAGTAGCATGCTAATCATGATGTGCAGCTATCCAATTAATCTATAATGTTTAGAGATATGCTGGCTGTGGGGTTCAGCATCCGGATCTATTTTGTGCAGGGCTGTCTTGATTACAGATGCCTTTGAGCTTGTCTGCCAGTGTGTTTTCTTCGCATTCGAGATTATGAAAGTCGAGCCTGTTGATTGCCATTCTGAGCATGCCAAGACGGGATTCTCTTATTTGCTTTTCCTTGGGCTTGATGAGATTTCTGTAACCGTTTATGGTCTGCAGGATTGATTGTGTGGAAATAAGAGCATCTTCAAGCCCAAGGTCGCTTTTTATGTCTGCTTCGAGCTTCTCGATTTCTTGAATGAGCTCTTTCATAGCGGGGATGAAAGTAGTAGCTTGATATTTAAATGTTAATTATATCTCGAATAGTAGTATGTTGACATCCCGTTTATGTCATGTTTAATAATTTCAATCATGTGGCTTGAAGGATGACATGATTGCTGAAAGGCATGGATGTCTGATACAGTAGAAGGGAGGTGTTTCTGCGCATTATCTGAGTGTATGTGTGATTTTAAATATGTTATTGTACAAATCGGTTAATTTTGATTAGAAATGAAAAGTGCGATAGTTCATAATTAGAAGATAAGAGAAATCCAAGGATTACAATGAGCAAGAGGGTTTGTGGAAGAATAAAGAATGCAGGATATCAGGAGTATCGATATGAATTGAAATAAAAGTGTATTTGTGCATTTAGATAGCTTGTGACACAGTATTATTGATATGTTATATACCAGGTAGCTGATTGAATGTAGATAAGAATAGATCGGTCAATGCATTTATTGAATCAGATAGGGCATAGCCATGCATTAATTAAATTGGTATATATTAGCCTGAGTTGTGTCCAAACAAATGCTATCACAAGGGGAAATGTTAAAGAGTCGATCAAGAACCAGGCTTCAAAAGGAGCCCCAGAACGATGCAGAGAATAAAGGTACATGGTACAAGATCACGCTGATATTGACGTGCCTGATCCCTAACTTCATGCTCAGGTGTTTTGGAATGACAACACTAGAGATACAGCATGCATGGAGAGAAAAGGTTGCGCTGTGTATATGTATATTCTTTTCTTGGGTTGTACTTACTTTCATGACATATGGAATGAACACGATAGTCTGCAGAGGAAACAACAAATACATTGCTTCCAGCATGCGCCCTGATGCATTTAGTGGACGAGTTGTGATAGCAAATGGCGGGATATACTATACGGATGGAAACCATGAGTTTGGAGAAAACCAGACACACATGTTTAACAAAAGCAGTGTATCATGTAAGCTTGCATTCGGACGACAGCTGATGAGTGGATCAATGGACATGGACGATTTGGAGAGAATAGATGATATTTATTGGGATTGGGCAGACATAACAAGGAAGAAGATGATCGTTGTGAACAGCAAAGTATATGATCCTTCGTACTGCACAGAGCCGATGTTTGAGGAGTTCAACGAGAAGTATGCAGGAGCGGAAGGAAAACCTGATTTTGAAGCGGATGAGTGGAAATGCTATCAAGACATGTTTTATGCAGGAAAGGTGGCTACAAAGACACCTGGGTGCCTTCTTGCAGATACGATGTTCTGGATATCTACGATATCGATCTTTGGGCTGATCATTACGAAGTTTTCTCTAGGGCTATTTTACTCATGGTACATGAAGAAGCGAGCAAAGCCAAGTGCAAAGGTAACGCCTTGTGTGTTATTGGTTACATGCTACAGCGAAGGACGGGAAGGAATTAAGAAGACACTGGACAGCCTTTGTAAGCAAGATTATGGATACGACAATAAATTGATTATTGTTGTTTGTGATGGAGAAATAACAGGATCTGGAAATGAGATGAGCACACCGGAGATTGTACTGAGCCTTTGTGAAGTGAATAGAAATGCCGAGCCAAAAAGCTATGTGTCCTTGACACACGGATCTAAGAGATACAACAGAGCAAAGGTGTATGAAGGATATTATCATGTAAAGGAAGAAGCAGAAGAGGAAGGATCGCCTTGGTCATGTTGTGGCAGACAAGATATTTACAGAGAATGCAAGGAATACAAGACCAGGATTCTTGTGATTAATAAGTGTGGAAATCCAGACGAGGTGTTTAAGGCAGGAAATAGAGGAAAGAGAGATAGCCAGGTGATTCTTATGTCTTTTTTCTCAAAGCTTATATATAGGGACAGGATGACTGAGTTAGAGTTTGAAATATACAGGAAGATTAAGATACTAATGCCACACATTGAACCTGAGGACTTTGAATGTATTCTTATGGTGGACGCAGATACTATTGTTAAACCTGATGCATTATCTGTGATGGTGAATGTTTTTGAGACGGACCCCAAGGTGATTGGAGTGTGTGGCGAGACTATGATTCTGAACAAGCTTGAGAGCTGGGTTACGATGATTCAGGTATTTGAGTATTACGTAAGCCATCATCTAAGTAAGACGTTTGAGTCGGTATTTGGAGGAGTAACATGCCTTCCAGGATGTTTCTGCATGTACAGGATCAAGATTGTGACTAATGCACATGGAGAATTGCTTTCTGGGCCTTTGAAGACACATGTAGCGGTGTCTAAGATCAGTAATCCGAAGCAACTCTTTGGAGCATCTGTTGAGAAGAATCTTTGTCTTCCGATTCTTGCACATCCGTTTATTATAAATGCGTACTCTGTGTTTGAGGCAAAGACGCTGCATCAGAAGAATCTATTACATCTTGGAGAGGACAGGTATTTGACGACGCTGCTTCTGAAGAACTTCTACAAGCGTAAGCTTGTGTTTATACCTGCAGCGAAGTGCGAGACGTATGTTCCTGGAGAGTTCAGTGTTCTTCTAAGTCAGAGGAGAAGATGGATCAACTCCACAGTGCATAATCTATTTGAGCTTGTGCGTGTGAACAACTTATGTGGTGTTTTTTGCTGTTCGATGCAGTTTGTTGTTGTAATGGAGCTGTTCGGGACGTTGGTGTTACCGGCTGCAATAGTCTTTACGTTTGTAATGATAGCGGTGTCGATTCTGATTGAACCTGCATGGGTTCCTCTGATTATGCTTGGCGGTATTTTTGGATTACCTGCTGTTCTTATCTTGATGACAACGATGGAGTTACAGTATGTGTTCTGGTGCATAGTGTATGTATTGTCGATTCCTATATGGAACCTTGTGCTACCGACTTATGCTTTCTGGCACTTTGATAACTTTACGTGGGGAAACACAAGGAAGGTAGATGGAGATGGAGAGGAGGATGAAGATGGGGAATTTGATCACTCGAAGGTCAAGGTTCGTGAACTAGAAGAATTTCTAAGCGAAGAATGTAAATGATTAGAGCAGTATAATAAATGATTTGTAATCAAGATGTTTAATGTTGGTTTGCAGTTTATGGAGTACCTGTGAATGTTCTATTATATCCACTTTATATTTTGTCCATATATTAGAATCTGATTAATTTGCATAATCAATAGATGCATGAATGATGATGAATTAGTTTAGTCAGATAATCAATAGATTCATGAATGATGATGAACTTCATTCATCACATAATGCTAGATGGAAGTCGAATGTAGACAATCACAACAACAACAAGTGAAAACACAATCAATCCGATTGCAAGTATTGGTCGGGTCATTTTAAATATATCGTTAAGTAATCGTGAGTTCTTGACTAAGTGTGTCCTTCCAATTCCAATCTTCCGTTGGATCTCAACAAGCTTTTCGTTCTGCAATGTTATTTCGTCAAGTATCATTGTTAGCTCACCTTCCGCAAACTTTGCACTCTCCACTACATCGCCAAGCGTTTGGTCTGACATTTCTTTGCACAACAAACAAAGGCAAAGTTACTTGACGTTTCGAATTAGATTGTTTACACAGCCACTATAAAGTCATGAGATTGTTTGTTTCCATGGGCCCAAAGGGAATAGGCGTCTCAAACCTTCCGAATGTGAAGTATAGGAACTTTTGCAAGGCCGGGATTGACTTCAATATCATGACTGCTGGATCTTGTGGACTAGGAAAGACATCGTTCATCAATCAAATGCTCGGTGCATCTATTCTACCCTCAGATCCATTTGTTGATTCATCGAGCGCAATATGCACTAGCGATGCCCTGCCTGCATACCAGGCTCCAGAGAATGGCAAATGCTTACACAAAAACTCAATTCTTAACATCCAGGTTTCTAAATTCTTTGTGATGGAGAACGGATTCCAAACACGTGTCACCGTCACTGAAGTTGATGGCATTGGTGATAGTGTGAATAATCACGGCTGCTGGGAACCAGTTGCTGATTTGTTGCAAGAAAACTTCAAAGACTTCATGTATCAGGAAAGAAGGAGCGTCAGATCACTCATTAAAGACAAGCGCATTCATCTGTGTCTGTACTTTCTAGAGCCAAATCCAACACATGTAAGAATGGCAGACATATGCACAATGAAGGAGATATCAAAGATGTGCAATTTAGTACCTGTAATTGCAAAAAGTGATCTTCTAAATGATGCGGAGAGAGCAGAATGCCATGCAATAATATCGGGCATTCTTTCTTCAGAAGGTATCGATACATTTTGCCTGGATTCTAAGCATGATGACAATCAGAAATCACAGTGTCCGTATTTTGTAATATCTGGCAATATGGGCTTTGAAGACGGGCACAACCACAAGAGAGAGTATCCATGGGGAATTATGGATCTTGATAAAACTGCATGGAATGACTTTTATTTCCTTGTGAATTCACTGATATCAAAAAACTTGATTAATCTTGTTAGGGCAACTGAAGCGTTCTATGACGATTACAGAGCCCGAGAGATTGGCAAGGCAGTGACTAGTGAATCTGAGGCTCTCGAACAGGATGATATCAAGCTTACAAAAGAAATCCAGAAGAAGATCAAAGAAGACGAAAGGATAATCATGGAGCTAAGATCAAGGTTGATGGAAAAGAAGAGTACATATGAAGCAAAACTCCTCCAGATGCACATCAATCGAATCGATAAAAAATAAACTTGCTTGCTAGATCTTTTATTATTCGTTTGTATTTATTTCATCTACCTTGGTCTTGACTGTCTTTTATTCTGGTTGTTTGTAAACTTTTTGTTATTATTTCTGTTATTACTGCTTGCATTGCCATTGCTTCTGTTATTATTGTTATTGTTTCGGTTATTATTACTTCTGAAGTCTTTCTTATTACTATTCCATCCGCCATCAGGCTTTCTCTCACCGCTTCCTTTACTTGTATTGGCTTCTCTGCTTCTTTCCATTCCATTTCTTTTTGACTTGGCTTTCATGGTATCTCTTTCCTCCTTCTTCTTCTCAACCTCACTTCGTGCTGCAAATCTTTGCTTTGCAATGAACTTGTCAGCATATGCAAGAAGAACCTGCCCTGTTCTGTTTGTTTGTTCAGCCACACTCAATGTAACAGTTACATGCACGTCATCCATCCTTCCAAGAACTTCGTCTACCTTTCCAATCACCTTGGATGATCCGTCCAACACACTTGAATTCGGGTAAGGAATATCTTTTGCGATCAGCTTTAATACAAGTTGTTCTTGGCACACATATAGCACTTTTCCAAGTTCTGTAGTCTCGGTTGATACTTGTCTTTTGCCCTTTGGATCCCTCGCCATATCAAGGGACTGATTTTTCAATCATATACATATAGTGTTTTCTACATTGCATAATGTTTAAGGATATTGTAAATTGACAGTATCTGCTTATTCACATAAACTGTACATCTTACTTAACTATACATCATGCATGCCCTTCACATGGAAGACTCTATGCTTAGCTTTATCCTTGGATCCATATTCATGCTCGGTGTTTCTTGCTCAGCACATCACATAATGCATGTTTTGTCATCAATTTCGTTACTAGCCTTTGTATATTACACAGCAAGTTGTCGAAATTTAGGAGTTCATATAAAGATCCTTGGAGTAAAAGATATCGTTGCATTGATTAGTGGCATTATGATTGAAAGCATTCTTCTTGCAAAGCCTACAAGATGCATGGGAGGACTTGCACTCAAGAGAGCTGCAGCATGTGGGTTATCTTTATCAATTACGATGTTCTGCATAAGCATTAGATATATGAGTAAGTCTATAGAAAAAGGAAGATTCATTCCAAAGGGCATCTATGCATATGCCAGGCATCCATTATATATGTCACTGATGGTTTTCTGGGCATCTTGCTGTGTGTACACATCATGCCTTGTTTCATTTGCGCTTTTTGTATGGTTTATAAACTTCAAGATATTCACAAGAATAAGAGAAGAAGAGTCAGAAAATGAAAAAATATACATTGATTATGCAAGATATCGGAAGTCCACCTGGTCTGGGATTCCAATGTATAGATGATTGATTAAACACTTGATCTCTGCTTTTCTGAAACACCGATGATTTAAGAGGAATTTGTAAAAACACACATACGCAATGCGTTCATTTTTTATGCTGCTTGCAGCTCAAATCTTATACAATATGCAAGCAATGAATTGTAGAAAAGAAGCCGAGGATACCCATCTAAACCACGACTTTGATGGAGTTGAATCTCTGGTCCCAAATAACCTCAATCGAGAGATCCTGTACGAAGGCTTTATTTCAATAGAATCTGTGGTCTTTATTTCAGAGATGAACCAATTTGACCTGGGAATGCTCGAAATGTTTATCAAAAAGACAGTTCTGGCTGTTAAAAGCATCCTGGTTGAAAATCCTGATGCATTCTATTTATTTTCAGATAATTCAGGCATTGCTAATGAATCAAGAAACGTAGGCATTGATGAAAAACTTGCAGAAGCACTTAATGAGCGAAACAAATACTTTGAAAAAGACAAGTCCATGATAGCAAAAAATCTGTGGCTTGATAAGTACAATGCACTCAAGACACGAATTGCAGGCAAAGACCTGAATATACACTATGAGGATCAGAACAAGGAATATCTCAAGATGATGGAGAGATTGACAAATGCAAAATACCAGGATGACGGTGTATCGAGAGCCATAAGGCGTGAGATGTTTGAATTTTACAAGGAAAAGGTGCCGATGTCTGTATCTAGAGTTCTTGACTCTAGGATTAGCTTGAGCATTGGCGGGCCTATATTTGCACCTGGTATTCTTATCAGCTTGCTGAGGCAACTTGACGTGCCCAACAAATCGGAAATGACGAACGAGATTGTTGCAAAGCTTCTTGCACCAACCGAGGAGTTAATAACAAGAATGCAGAAAAAGTCATTTCCAGAAAGAAAGGCATTAGTTCTGGACTTCCTTCAGAGCTGCTTGATGCGTAAAGAAAGTATATTCAGGGACAAGATCGACAAGGCATTTGAAGAACGGACGAAAATACTTGAACTCTACTTGAAGAATGATAAATCGCCTCAGGATAAGCTTAAGGCATTTGATAAGCTTCAAGAAAAAGAGATATGTTCATTGCAGTTTGTGTTCAAAAACATTGAAGAAGAAGACTTAGTGTTAAGACTTGATAAGCTGGTCATAGAGGCATACACAGGTATACTAGAGTCTGGCCAGGCATATGCAAAAGATACGCTCTATGAGCTTTTCAAAGAAGTTTAGTTATGCATTAATGGCATGATCATGATGCATGTCTAGTTTTTGAATATCACAGTATAAATATTATGGTTTATGTAGTGTTGCTTTCAATATATGCGTCGCTTCTTATCGCTGTCCTTATCAAGAACCTCATAGTCAAGACTCAGCAGTGCAGATGATAAAGGAGGAACCTTGATCAGTGTCTCACCATCAGGAACCGATAGTGGCTTTGAGTTGGTCATTGATGATATTTCTGCAAGATACTGTCTTGGAGGTGGTGGGGCGAAGTACTTCCCAACCTTTGTCTGCAATGCCAGTTTCACATCGCTTGAGTTGATCTGTGTTCTGTTTGCATGTTTTGAGAAGAGCAGTGCGTCTCCAAGGACTTCAGTAGAGTACTTGTATGCGAACTCAAGTAGCTGTATGATTACCTTTGGTTCGCATTCTTCTATTCCGAGCGATCTGAGAATCACCGAGATGACTTTTGCATCTCTTGGCGCCAAGTTTTCACCAGATGACATGTGGGGCAAAGCAGTAGCAAATTTGGTTGAGCGTATGAAGCAAGCAGATGTTAACACACCCATAGCTACAGTAGAAATGGGATCTGGAATGCTGTCAAGAATAATTGGATATGTGCGTGACATTGGATTGAATACGAAGGATTCAAAGAGAGACTTTACTACAGAGCATCAAAAGCTTGAGTGCAATGTATACTTTGTTACCAAAGACATGAAGAGAATTGGAGCATATTTATTGAAGCCTACTGGAGACCATCCTCCAAGGTTTGTAATTGCATTGCATGGAAGAGGATGTTCAAGAGAGTGCTATCGCTCTGAGTCCAAGATTGGGTTTCTGTGCAGCATGGGATATTATGTACTGATTCCAGACTATCGAGGATTTGCAGACTCTGAGGGTATGTTTGAGATTGAAAAGGTGAACCTTGACATTATGGCATGCTTTGAGTATTTGATGAGCAATTTTGGAGCGAACGAGATAGATGTGGTTGCGCATTCGCTTGGGACAGGGATACTTGCAGAGTATTGTAGGTATGTAAGGAGCAGTAAAATTGGAGAATGTTACATGCCTCGCCGGGTGGTAATGATATCGCCGTTTACTTCTATAATGGATGTTGTGTCTGAGTCGTTTGTATGGAGACTGCTATGTGTGTTGATGCCGTGGGCAAGAAAGATTGTGAGTAGAGAGATTGGATATGATGTGATGGGAAACATCAAGCATATGGATAAAAAAGGAATATTTTTGTATCATGGGGCAAGGGACGATGTTATTTCTTGCAAGCATGCATATATACTATCGAAGGTGCATGGCCTGAAGCTTAGGCTGAGTGATCATGATCATGTGTCAATTCTTGACGATGATAATCTTTGGCAGGGCGTTTATGCGGATTTTGTGCATGAATGATGCAGTCGCGTAAATAAACACTGATGAGAATAATTGATTTTGGAGACTTTTGTGTAAAAACATTGGAAAATGTGATCCTTATGGAGAAGATAAACATTATTGGCGACTGCATGGAGGCGATCCATCACGAGGCAGTGAAGAGAGGAGCGGTGGTGCCTCTAGATAGATTACAGGAGATGGTTGGTGTGAAGACAAAGCCTTGTGAGTATGAAATTGTGAAGAATATTGCAAAAGGCGGGTATGGCGAGGTTTTTCTTGTGAGAAGAGAGAAGGTGTATGCAATGAAAAGGGTTGCCAAGGAGCTTGTGCTAAAGCAGCCTCATACTGCATTGTTTATGGCGGAGAGGGAGGTGATGGTTGGCAGTATTGGAAGTGAATGGCTTGTAAGCGCCCACCTAACGATGCAAGATGACGAGTATTTGTATTACTTGATGGACTTTGTGCCTGGGGGAGACTTTATGGGTTTGCTGTCGAAGGAGGATGTGCTTGAGGAGAGCTGGGTGAAGTTCTACGCAGCAGAGATAGTGCAGGCCCTGGATGAGTTGCACAAACTTGGATGGATCCACAGGGATTTGAAGCCAGACAATATATTGATAGGTGCGGATGGTCATGTGAAACTAGCAGATTTTGGAAGTTGTATTAGGATGGTTAATGGCAAGGCAAGATCTGCAATTACAGTTGGAACACCTGACTATGTCTCACCTGATGTGCTGTGCTCTGTGAATGAGGAATGTGAGTATGGAGAGGATGTGGACTTTTGGACGCTTGGAGTGATTATCTATGAGATGGTGTATGGGACTACGCCATTCTATTCAGAAACACTGATGGAAACATATAAAAGAATAACAAAGGTTGAGTTTGTATTTCCATTTAAGATATCTGCAGATCTGACTGATCTGATTACAAGGTTGATAACCACTAGAGAGCAAAGGTTTAGGATAGAAGATATAAAGAAACATCCGTTTTTCAATGGAATTGATTGGGAAAGAGTCAAAGAGCTGGTACCGCCATTTATTCCTGAGATAAAGGACGATCTTGATACGTCGCATTTTGTAGATACGCATTTTGATGCAGAGAAAGGAGGAGGCGATGGAAACGGAAATTATGTGCCTTTTGTGGGATTTACATTTGATCCGTTGTTTGTGCAAAGATTTAAGGATATTTTGAGGAATGAAATTACTGCTGATGAGGAGAAGAAGTATACTGATAAGTTGAAGAGCAAGGATGCAGAGTATGAGCAGAGTTTACAGATGCTGTCAATGGAAATATGTGAAAGTGGTAAAAAATTGAGTGGGTGTAATGATGAGTTGTGTGAGGTTGAGAAAAAGCTGATGAATGCAAAGACATTGTTAAAGGAAGCAGAGGATGAAACATTGAAGCATCAAGACGAGCTGAAAATAGTGCTTATGCAATTGCTTACAGAGAGGGAAGAGCTAGATGAGATGAGGGTCGAGTTAGAACGATGCAAGAAGAACCTGAAGAGCATCAATGAAGATATATGTGATGGCAGAATGATTTCTGAAGAACTCCTGCTTGCAGAGAGTAAGTCTGGGGTGAGTAAGCAAGAGATGGATGAAATTCGAAGGAGTTGGCATGCAGTGAAGAACGAGAGTAATGAAATAGAAAGCCTGGTTGCAGATGTGGAATCTATAATTAGCAAGTTATGGATGAAGAGCAAATGGATGAGATCTGAGGTTGAGATGTATAAGGAGAAGTATGGCAGTGCAGTTGAGACAACGATTAGATTAGAGACAGAAAACAAAATAATGGCTGAGAAGCTAAAGGCCGAAGGCCTTGATGGATTGCGAAGACAGCTCCGTGCCAGGATAGCAGATGTGAAGGAATATGAGCAGAAACTGAACCAAGAGATTCTTTTCAGAAAGAGCATTGAAGAAGAGTTAAATTTTCTGAAGAAGGAGAAGTGCAGAGAGCGAATAAAAAATGTTAAGCAACAATTTTCATGTAGTATTGTTGGAGGAGATGGATGCACAGTTGTGATAAGGATTGAGGATGATAAATTCTGGATTGGAGACGAGTCTCAATACAGCTGCAATGTGTATGTTGGAGAGCTAAGACCGAATGAGCTTCATCATCTTGCACAGAAGAAGGTGTCTTTGACATTGAGAATTGTGTTTATGAATGAAGAGGTAAAGAGTGTCAGCTCATCTGGAAGACGAAGTCTTCGGTCATTGGAAGAGGACCTGAATACTGAAATAGCGATTAAAGATGGAATAGAAAAGATCAAGGTGCTTCTGCAAGGAAAGACACTTGATGAAGCAAACATGCAGCTTGAAGGATCAAATAGAAAGATCGCACAGCTAATGACAGAGATAGAAAGAAGTAGACGGAGTACAATAGTGGAGGCAATTCCAGATGATCCAGTTAAGATTTACGAATTCAACAACCATCTGTTCACAAATAAAACAGTACCTCAAGGGACCTTGTGTGACTTCTGTAATGAAGTGCTTTATGGTGTTGTAAACCAAGGGTTTGAATGTAGAGACTGCAAAATGACTGTTCATAAATCCTGCTATGTCCTTGGTGATGTTTCATGTGAGTTGTATTCTGCCCTGAAGACCGGTAAGACATACTATGTTACCATGAGAACACTTGAAGAGAAGGAAAAACTGCTAAAAGCATGCTCTGGATACTGATGAGTACTGGGATGTATATTTTGAAGCATTGGAATGTGATAATGCGGTTAACAACTTAATAGCAATTCATGATGATTAAAGAATTTGTTGAATCTATTTACTTTTGTATGTTAGATAGTTTGGCATTCAAACTGTATATCAACACCTATTTTAATTATTGACCATTAGAAGTGCGTTTCTGCTTCATCTTGATTTGTTCCAACTCCCTGTCAATATATGACTGCAGAGATACTCCGCTTCTTGAATCTGTCCATCCATCTCTGTTAATATCAAACTTTCTTGGGCCTGTTACTGGAGATGAGGCCCATATCTGCATTGTGTATGGCTGCTTGTTGAACACGTATTCTCCAATGTCTTGTATCTTTACTTGGAGATTCCCATCCTTATAATCCTGCTCTGCATCAATGAACTCGTCATCAAGCCTCTCAGACAACGCTTCTAATGCATTATTTGCTAGTTTATGATACAGAACCTTGCTAACCATACCCTCTGTTTCTTGCTTCATAGGGACTCACATACTCATCCATTTATTCAAATCTTTAATTTTCAATAGTTAAATACAACAACCCTACACATCCCAAACTCAGAGTAATATCCAATACATATGCATCTTTCAAACACCTCAACTTTGCTTATCAGGGATGGCGTTGAGAAAAGCGTTCTTATAAAATTTCCATTCTTAAGATCATATATCTTGACCTCCTTCCTTGTTCCAATCACCAGCAAGTCCTCCATTACTGCCTGTGCTGTTATGTGTCCATCTTCTTGAATTTTATACACTAAAGCATTCTCTGTAATGTCCCATTTGCATAGAATTCCATCTGCTCCAGAGCTCAGCAGGTATCGACCATTCTCAACAAACTTTAGCCATATAACTAGCGATTGATGTGCTTTATGTATGCATACCAACTTTCCATCTATTCTAGATACATTCACCGTAGAGTCCAGGCTTCCAGATGCAACATACTCTCCCTCCAGGCACACAGAATACACTCTAAGTGCATGTGCCTTGAGATGGCGTATAAGCCTTCCTTTTCTGTAGTCCCATAGTGCTACACTCCCGTCATAAGATCCACTCACAAGATACATCTCATTCATATCCATGCATCTAACACTCATAGTGTGTCCTTTAAGCACATTCAGGCACAGTCCCTGGAAGTTCCAGATCCTTATCTCTGAATCCCTACTTCCCGTTGCAATATAATTCCCGTAGATCTTCAATGACCTGACAACAGACTTATGTCCAATAAGAACACACACTGTATGGCCTGTCCACATGTCCCATATCCTTGCTGTTTTGTCAATGCTACCACTCACAAGATGCTTCTGGTTGAACATGAACGTCCATACTCCTCCCTTGTGTCCAATCAGTGTCTTGATCAATCTTCCGTCCGTTCCAAACATCTTTATTGTCTGGTCATCCGATGAGCACACAACTCGGCCCATGCCCATTTGTATATGCGTAATATCCATTTGACTTGTTCCAAAGTCTACTCTGCGTTCATCACGCGCCTTAGACACGTTCCTTACCAACGTGTATCTATTTTTTGCATCCTCAATGCATCCTGTAACGCTCAAATGCTCTGTTGATGAAAAGCATCTCCACAACGCCATGTCTTTCCTCATCTTCTCATAAAGAACCAAATCGCTCTTCATCAGTCTCTTCATATCCTTTAGGCCAATGTGCATCAATATCTTTGGAAGCAACTCCTGAGGCATTCCAATAAGCCCATTCACTCCTCCATCCTCAACACTCCCCATTTGTTCATTCACATACATTTCCAGGGCTCAAATCCATAATCACACAAACATCCAAATCCATTTATTCAGTGTATACGCTTGCTTTCTTTCAAACTCACTCAACCACTCCAATCTCACAACTTCTACAAACTCCTTCTTCAGCGCTATCAATAAAACACATCTTGCATTGCTTGCTGCTCTTCCTCATCCCAAGCACATCATGGCAGAACGTTCCTTCAGGAATTTCATACTCATTACTCATATTCTCATCCTCAATCGCCTTCTTCACAATCTTACTACCCTCTCCTTCTTCACCCAGCAGCTTTGCAATCTCCTTGGCCTGTCCAAAATTCCCATACTTCCTCAATACTGCAATCGCTGTAGACTTCGCCAGGCTGTGGTGTTCCTTCTTTAACGGTAGAGATGCAACATACACCGCCATCACAATGCTTTCCAATGGATCCTCCATCTTTCTCCTTGCTTTTTCAACAATAAGCCCAGATATGTATGCACCTGCCAGTCGCCGCTCACTACAATAAACATCCTTATTCTCGTTTCTCTTCATCTCAGACGCTATTCGAGCAATGCATAACCGGAATTCTTCAATTGCTTTGCTGAACTTCCCAGCAGTTGTCAATGCTAATCCACTCTCCATCATCTCATCAATGTTTTTTTCATCCTCATTCATACCATGCGTGCCAAGTGCTGACTCATCAAAAACCTGACTATTCACCTCAAGTTTCTCTAATCCTGCACATATATCGTTCTGCTCGCTCATTATTTCATTCTCATCTTCAAACTCATCTGTTCCTTCTGATATCACTTCTGCCTTCAATCCATCTTCTTTTATAGCCTCTTCTCTAGTCTCTTCTACTTCATATTTCAGTGTCTGTTCATCACTTTCCAAAAACTCATTTTTTACTTCATCTTTGAGATTCATAGACCTCTCTTCTGAAAATCCGTCACCTTTCATACCTACAAATCTTTCTCTTGAGCATCTGTCACTCCTCTGTTTGCCTATCACACCTGCTTCAACAAAATACTCCAAATCTTCCAAGTACATCCTTGCCATCGCACGTGTGCTTTCATCTGCTTTCTCTGCAAGTTTCCTAATCTTTTCAACTTCTTTAGAGCATACATACAGCATAAACAGCATGTTCCACTCATTCAGGTTTTCATAACACTTCTCTGCAATATCTACTCTGCATTCTCGCACTGCTACTTCTGCTAGCCTCCTATAGACACTCATATCTCCACTCTCCATGCAATAGCTCAGGCACTCATCCAATATCCCATCACTAAGGCACAGCTCAAATCGCTGTCTTCCATCCTTAATGTACGGTAATGCAACCGCTCCTTTCTTCTGCCGAACAAGATACGATAGAGGCGCCATCCCAGGAAGCATTCCTCCCTCAATCATCCCAATCACATCTCCTCCATGTTGCACTGCATTCTTAAACTCAATCTCGGTCAGGTCAACCTCCATACACTCAATCCCTCCATCCGTAACAAAATATACCATATTCCCCTCCTCTAACGAAAACGGCAAAATACACTTCTCAACACTCTTCAACACTCCCTTGTCCTCAAAAACATACTTCAGATGCCTCAGCGTCGAGTACACAAACACATCCCCATGGAAAAAACCTCCCTGGATTGTTGCCATCTCACTCACTGCATTCACTGTATCAAGCGATTCCTCACAAACATGAACATCATTCGTCCCAATAAGCGCTACACGTCCTTTTAAACAAACCACATTCACAGGCCTAAATGGAACCCCAATACTCTTCACTACTCCACTCGTTGTATACATGCCCACATTCTTCTCATTCACCACAAAGAATCTTCCACTACTTCCTCTAAACAGTTTTCCTTCTGTTGCAGGAATCTTCTTCTTTTCTCCCCCTTCAACCTTCATCTCATAAATACCGTCTTTATTCTTCACAACCAATATCGCACAATCACAATCACTCTCAGGTTCCACAAAAACTGCCTCTCCTAGCTCTGATAAAATCAGTTCCCCATCCTTTACAACCTCAAATCCATCTGCATACCGCACAAGCAAATATTCACCAGATACATATATACTCTCAACTTTCTTCTTCGGTTTGTAAATAACCTTCTCAGTCTTAAAGTCATTCAGGTACACATTCCATTCTTTCACATAATATACTCCCGCTTCTACCTTGCACACAATCTTTGGCTCCACACACATATATACTTCAAGTCCAGAGTCATGTCCTGCTGCATACACATTCCCTTTAGATGCCGCACACCAATATCGTCCATCAACCCGATACTCAGTAGATTTCCTTCTTTCGACATCAAATATTGAAAACAATCCATCCTCTCCAGTGCTCAAAACACCACTTCCACAACACAATAGCCCAGTCACTGGCCCTTGATGAAAACACATTGTTTCCTTCTCCCACACTGACGTCTCCGTCCATTCCCAACACTTGATGTCCCTGTCATCTCCTCCACTCACAAACATCCTTTCTCCAATCGCTATTGCATTCACTCCTCGCTCATGCCCATCCACTATCTGCTTCACAACAATATCAGGTAGCAATGTACTCTTTTTATTGCCTCCCTCTTTCAATCCCTTACAGTCCCATATACGGATCGATTGATCAAGCGATCCGCTCACAATCATGTCCTCCCCAAGGAACTTTGCACACATCACATAGTGGCTGTGCCCTCGAGCAGTAGCCAGAAGTTTCCCAGTCATCATGTTCCACACCATTATTGTTTGATCATCAGACGCACTCAGTATCCATGGCTTTGTTGGGTGGAAATCTAAAGACCTTACAAAATCATCATGTCCATACAATCGGTTCGTCACTCGTCGCTCAGTGTAGTTCCATATCCTAATTACCTTGTCATCTCCTCCACTCACAAACAGGTCTCCATGCGGATGGAATTGGACCGCCCGCACAGACCCATCATGATCAAGAAACTCATGAATACAAACATTCATTTGATAATCCCACGCCTTCAGAGATCCACTGTGATGTCCAGACACAAGCACTGGCTTGCTTGGGTGGAAACTCAGGCTCTTCACTCGTGCAGTCTCCTGCTCCATAATCTTCTTAATCTCCTTCTCCATCATCACCCTTCATGCATATATTTTTTCAAATACCTGCTCATCACTCATGCATAAACACAGAATCCAACACAAGAACTTTAATTAATCAACTCGCAGTGCCACTACTTTTGATCTCCCTTGCTGTTGTATATCATCTTTTCAACAACTTCTCTTGCCTCAGGATCAAGCATGTCTATGTCTGCATGCCTGTTTTCTGCAAGGTCTTCCACATCAACCTCTTCAGAACCAACTAACAGGCTGTTCCACCATTCATTCCTTTTTTTCGATAATCCAACATTAATCATGCTTCCATCAGCTATCCACCATACACTCGATGCATCCACCTCATGTAAAAGCTCTCCATCAACCACCAATTCCTGTCCATTATTAATCACAATGTTCTTTCCAATCACCTCAACCACAACACATTTTGCATCAAAGTGTTCAGGTATAGGCATTTGAATGCTAATCTCGTTCAGTTCCTGATCCCACGTGTACTTCATATCCGCACACTTGTCCATTTGTTCGGGGTACATGCAAACATTTTTTGTATGTGCATGCATTAAACATTACGAGAGTAACTCAAACATCAGACTCAGCAGCCATAGGCATGCTTAAAACACAAACAAACAGTTTGATTGAAGGGGAATTTATTTACAGCATCATGGAGAACACAGCCATTGCACCAAGCGCACCAAGAGCTATACCACTCTTCACTCCCTTCTTCTTTGTATCTACAGCACTCTTCTTGTCAGCAACTGCCTTCTTCGCATCGGCTGTTGCAATCGGCTTTGTTGCAGCACCTTCCTTCTCACCCACAGGCGCAACAATTGGCACAAACGTGCTTGTACTTGGGTTCTGACTTTCATATTGATTCACCTTTTCTGTCCAGTTCACACTTTGTGTTGCATATTGAATCTCAGTCGGACTGGGTGCGTACATAGGCACTGCAGATGGATTGCTTGTTACAAAGTCTATCATTCCTTCATTCTGTATAACAGATACTGCCTCGTCTTTGCTGACAAGAAGCTCGCCATTGCTTGCCTGTTGCAGAGTGTAAACTCCACTCACAGGGCCTGCTCCGGCCATCCTCTGTAGTACATCTTGTGTAATGAAGAATCCGCCATCTGTTGCTGCTGCTGTAATGCTTGCAATCGTCGCAATGAAGTAAAGTGTCTTTCTAACCATTGTAAACAACAACTTGCAGATATTTATAATGCAAAACAGAAAGAACACAAGTGTATTTTCTATATATAGATTTATGACAGATATGATATGTAACAAGATCCTGATTGTGTGATTGATCAATACATTATCTTAATTAATCTATATCAGCATTTTGAGTATATCACTAGACTAAGCCATAAATGCATGACTCGAGATTTAATTGCAGTATGAGTGATGTATCAATGAAATCAGTGATATATCACCATCATCTGTGATTATCATCACTTCAATACTAATATTTGTATCTTTATATATTCAGGTATTACCTATATACGCCAGGCTGCTAATTATCCAGCCCTTACAATGATTGATTCACATACGCATTTATCAGATAAGATATACAATATGGTAGCTAACGAAGATGAAATGACAATTGAAGAACTAGAGTGGTTTATTCACACGGTGTTCATCAATGTAACGAACGATCAGATTGCACATATTACACAAAACTTCTCAAAAACAATAACAAGGACTGAATTCAATACCATTCTTTTGTCGCTTGCTAACAAAAAGCCAACAACAACTGATGTCTTCAACATATGGAACAAATCAAACAAACACAAGCTTGATGCAGAAGACATCCGCAATGTGTTCAAAAATATTGGAATTACACCCAGGACTGAGTACATACAAGCAATTATGAAGATATTTCCAGAATCAGACATGACCATTGATACACTCAAACAAATGCTCATTCAGGCTCAACCTACTGAATAGATTCTTTTATTCTCAAATAAATGCTCAACACTATCCAATACATGCTCAGAATCCAAACAGATCCCCAAAAACACTTCGCTTCTTGATGCTGAGACTCTTGTGATCTGTACAGAAATTGAATCCAATAGAAACATTGGAGTCAATCGATCGGAACGTCTTTGCATCAAAAATCTCAAGCTCCATCTCGCTAAAGCCTTCAACTAGGTTGTGCAGAGAAAACTCCGTATAGCAGAGCAGCGAGTTCCGCTCAGATACATTATAATCACATATCTGGATCCCAAGGACATCCTTCGTCTTGTCTATCTCCATAATAAATGATTCATTGAAGACAGGATTCGTGCTCCTACGCACAGGCTTTGTAGAGTAAACCTTTGCCTCATTAATCAGGATCTTACAATATGTGTCCACAGAGCTGCCCTGTACTGCTGGTCGAATATACTTTCCGCTCTTGATATATACCTCAAGATATCCCTTCTTAAGCATCGACTCAGGTTTGTACGAACATCCCTGGATCTGCACTTCCATATCAACAGAAAGCCCTGACTCATTCAAAACAACCTTCTCATTAAGCATTCTCTTCGGAATCATGCACTTCCCCACTATCTTATTCGAAGACTGGTTTCCACTCTTCACTATTGCATATATCTCCTCTGCTCCAGATACAAATGTAAATACATCATTCAATTCTCCACTTCTGGTGAATCCAGATGCCTTAATCACCCCATATTTATTTCTAAACTCAACAAACATCTCTTGGTTGTTGGCTCCATGGAACTTCCCGAATCTGGCCTGCATAACCTTGACACCTTCTTTGTCCTCCGGCGCTCCTGTGTAGTTCTTAAGCTCTTCACTCTCAATCCTAAGTGTTAGACTGATGTGATCATCAAACAGAAGCGCTTCTACTCTACTCTCATCGCTACAGCTTATTATATCCTCTCCAATAAATACATCTCCATTAATCGTCTCCTTGTACAACCTGAACTTCATGCTATCGTGCTTCTGCACAGGAACATGCACCGCCCTCTTCACTGGTAGAACAGATGTAAATGTCTCCATTCTAAAGCAGTCTGTATTAGTTTCAACAATTGCATAGTACACACCCTTCTCGCTCATTGAGTCTACAGAAACCTTCATAACTCTCTCGTACTCTATAAACCTGGCTGCCTTGTCAACCATGTCCACATAGTCAATCGAAAATTCTAGCTCCATCCTTCCGCTCTGCGCATCATTCAACTTGTACTTCTCCTTCTTGTTGAAGTGGATATCCTTCACAGGAATCGATACACGACCTATCACCTCGTTTGTCTTGTCGTTCAGCACACACACCGATACCACATCAACCTGTATGTCCCTACAGAAAAACATAAAGCTTTCATTATACAGCGGTGAGTTCGTTGCAAATATCCTTTTCGACTCAAACACATAGAAAGTACTTTTTGAAGATGGCAGCAGCCTTGTACTCGTTGTTTCAAGTCCTGGTAGAATCCCTGAAATCATCCCTCCGCTTGTATCTATAATCCCACTCATCATCAGAGCACCTACATTCACCGTATTCTCAATAAATCTAATCGGAATGCTCGACTCTTCCCTGTTGATTGGCGACACTATCACCGTGCAAAATGTAGAGTACATCGATGTCTTCGGCATCTTATTGCCTTGAAGATCCTCAATTCCAACAAGCGTCATCTTCACTATTCCGCTATTGCTCCGTTTTTCCTGTAGTGGGTAGAACTGCATATTAGTGTTTGCAAATGAATACGTTTGCTCATCCCTTATCAGTCTGGCTTTACTGAAAAACGTCCTTCGTGGATCATACATTCCATTCCTTGAAAACTCTTCAATCTTTCCAAGCGGCAGATTCTTCAGGAAAATCGACCCGCTTCTTCTTCTTGTATTCTTCGATTCGCTTCTCAGTGATATTCCAATCTTCGAGTCCACATTCTCAATAGGAATGTAAAAGTGCTCGTTGTACACAATCCCACGTCCTCCAACATACCTTGTCTGGTATCCTACGCGACCATCAACATCAATCTCCGCCTGTAACCTTTCATCCCCATCATTCTCAACATCCAGGATCTGCAGACATACTACCCCAATAATCTTGCCTTTATCCTTAGATATCTTGTCAACATCAACAACAATTGAATTCGGGTTCACAATCGTGGAAGAAAGCGCCGATCCAATAATGCTCCTAATCCATCTGCTTAATCCAGGAACATCCATCACATCCACTGTCTTCAGAGGAACAAGAGTAAAGTCAATCTCTGGCATATCCATCAGACATACCTCAACATCCTTAACAAACACATTCTTTGAAAATAGATTTGCTGCAATTCTAATCTTCCCCTTGAAAAATAGCTCCTTAACAAGAATCGGGAGATTGATCCCAATTCCATTCTTTGTACCAACCCTGGCTGATAGCTGAATCTTCGAATTCCAGTTCTTCTGGCCTCCCTCAAGATACCTCACAACATCCTTGCTTGTTTCAAGAGGTATAAAAGCAACATCCATCTCCACTGCAAGCGCATGTCCATCCATATTGATATAGGAAACCCCTTCTACAATTGGAGAGCGGCTTCCAAGTGTAAACTCAGTCAGTCTCAATCCATTCAGAAAAGGAGGCGTAACCTTTAAAAGCTCGTTATTCACATTCTGATACACCTGTGCAGACACCACAGGCTCTGCAACCTCCCAAATCTTCCTGGCAATGTAGTTCAGCCACTCAACAGTCTCACCATTGTTCCTTGCCTTTTCCTTCCTTGCATTATGATAAACCAATGACTTCAGGCTCCGAGTAAATCTTTCGATCTTTCTGCCATACACAAAGAAAATCGCATATCCAACAAAAAACAGATTTACAACACTGAAGTTAAACTTTCCTATCAAGTATCCTGCTAGAACACCCACACATATCAGGCCTGGAATTCGGATATAGAAAAATACCCCACTCTTAGGTTGAATATCCAAAATATTGCGGAACTCCTCAACATCCCTCTCATGAACATCCAGGTTGACTTCTTCAGCCCTCCTAGGAATGTCCTCAGGAAGTAGAGGCTTAGATAGTTTTTCCTTTCTTCTTCGGGTCTTTGATAATTCTTCCATTCAGGGCACTCCGTGCTTGTGCTTTATTCCTTGCAGGGTGCCTGACAGCTTGTTCGACGAATCAAAGTAGTCTCTTCAAAACACATGCATCATCCGTGCATGATTGCTCCGTTTATTAATGCATTACCAAACACAAGATATAAATACTCAATCATTTAATGCACAGTATCTTGATTTGGCAGTTTAGCAAACAACTGTATTTAGTGGCATATCAACACCTGTCCAAGCAATCTCCTTGCCCAATGGATTGAACCTAATATCAAGCATGTGCAGTGCAGTAAGCAGCATGCCAACAAACTTAGTGTGGTTGCTCCACATGAAAAATCCGCTCTGGAAGTTCATCAGGTGCTTCACAATTATATCAAGTCTTATATAACTCGAGTCCAGGATCTCAGAAACATTCATGCTGGCCGTGACATACGATTTGTCCTCCTTTACAAATGTCCTGATCACATCCTTGAGTATTTCTATTTTCTTATCGCATGTCTTGGATGACACCAGCACAGAAAGCTTCCATTGCTGTGATCGAGATCTCCTAATGTTTAGGATTGCCTTTTCACGTATCACAAGATTAGGTATTATAACAACCATTCCATCCCAGCACTCAAGCGTGGTATTAAATAGACATATTTCCCTGACAATCATATTTTCTCCATCAATATGCACCCGGTCTCCAGGATCGTATGGATGTGTATATACAATGAATAGAAATGATTCAACAGCCATCTTGATCACAGGCAATGCAGGAACAACAATCATTGGAGCTGCAAGCTCAAGAAGCAGCGGTTGTGCTTTAATATACATAAACACCATCATATATGCAACTGCAATCTCTATGATGAAGAGCGTGGCCCATACAACATTAAGTAGCTTTTTATTGTCTGCAATTGTAGTGAATAGGTTTGCTCGCTCTCCATTAATCTGTCTTCCGTTCTCCTTGAACATGTCATAGTTCATCTCGTCTCCTCTTCTGAATGCAATCAGTTTATACATGATTTGAGAGTGTACCTCTCCATAATGCACTGCAAGTGACCTTGGAGAAATCAATCCTGGTCTGCATGGCTTTTTCTTTGCTTTATTCTTTTTTATCTCAAGAAGAATATCCTTAACATTAACATTAGGTTCAGATTCTCTAACTGTGGCTGGAATCCTCTCGCATGGCTGCCTCACCTGCATCTTTTCAGCAATTACTTCATCAGATGTCAGATCAATTTTCTGGATCGCTTCAAGGTTCCATTTGCATCTATTTCTTGAGTGATTTGGGTACTCGTACATCTCTGGAGTTATATTAAGCCTTCGTCTATGCCTTAGTTGCCCTTCTGTACCTCCTTCCTTCATATCGCTTTCTGAATCATTTTCTTCGCTTCTGCCTTGATCGCTCCACAGTGCAAATAGCTCATCAATAGCGAATGCCTTTGGCCTTCCTCTCGCAAAATACTGATCAATCGTCATATCTGTGCAAAGATCTGCTACTGGTAATCCTTCTGTGGAATGCACTATGTATTTCTCAAGCTTAAGGATATCGCAGAAGTTACCTGTGAGTATCCTGTTTTCAAAGCTTCTTTTGGATGACTCATAAAGATACGCCCTGATAAGGTCTGTGATAAGAAGTGCAGTTCCAACCGCAAATATACCGTAGCCGTGTTCTGGAACCGAAACAGAGACCGTAGTGTACATCAATACAACCCATCCATAAAGCTTCACTATTCTCAAGAGCACTTTTGAGCGAACATCAAGGTTACTTCTTGTGACAAAGCTGCGCAGCATAAAGTAAGATACTAAAGACACTGTGTTGAGCGGTGCATAAATTAAATATCTCGCGTGCCTAGTTGAGTATTTATATGCAAGCAGCAATGCTATCTGTATGGCAGCAGTCAACATGCCTATGCATAGTTCCATTGGGTTGAGGGTATTGAACTAGTATATATGATGCATAGTTATGCTTGATGTGCAATTGGATGAAGAGCTTCCAATTGAATACAGAGTGTAGGTACTCTTATGTATGAATGGCTGATGGGTGCAATTGCATAAACATAATGGGTATTTATGCATTTTGAGTAAGAATACAATTGTAAACCTGAATGCAAGGTATAAGTGATGTTTGTTTGTTGAAACAAGCATAAAAACAAAACATATTAGCCCCTCATGGCAGCAGCATTTGACGAGAAGGATCTTTCTACAGCTATTCTTGAATCGAAGACGAAGAATACACTGATAGTTTGTGACAAGGGCTGCGAGAACCTTAGAACATACCAGGTAGCGTTGAATCCAGCAACACTTAATGAGCTGGAGCTTTTTGAGTCTGATTATGTCAGGGTGTTAGGGAAGAAGAAGGCGGAATTGATATTCAGTACAGTAGCTCTTGAATGTGTGCCACCAAGACATATTGCAGTAGTGCGCGACGGTAGGTTCAATTTACGAGTGAGGATAACAGACACTGTAAAGTTGTACAGGGTTGATAAAGACATACCTGTGGTGAGCAAACTAAACTTTCTTCCGATCAGGGACTCGGCGGAAACAATTGGAGGAAACATATTTGATGAGTTTGTGAAGCCTTTTCTCGATTTTAACTTTATGCCTCTTACGATAGGGTCGATATATGGAATCAGCTCAGGGATAGGAAGAGTGGAATTTAAGGTAACAAAGATGATTGATGCACAGGACATGGACATTAAACACGGATCTGTGACTTCTATGACGTCTGTATACTGCGATGAGATGATATCGAGGGATGATGTTGAAAAAGAGTTTAACATGGTTGGATACGATGATGTTGGAGGATGCAGGGCACAAATGGCAAAGATACGGGAGCTAGTTGAGCTTCCATTAAGACATTCGCAGCTATATTCGAGGATAGGAGTCAAACCTCCAAAGGGAATCTTATTATATGGACCTCCAGGAACAGGAAAGACGTTGATAGCAAGAGCGATTGCAAATGAGACAGGAGCGTTTCTGTTCTTAATCAATGGGCCTGAGATTATGTCAAAGATGGCGGGAGAGAGTGAATCGAATCTGAGGAAGGCATTTGAAGAAGCTGAGAAGAACTCACCAGCAATTATTTTTATTGATGAGATTGATGCGCTTGCACCGAAAAGAGAAAAATCACAAGGAGAAGTAGAGAAAAGAGTTGTGAGTCAATTATTGACATTGATGGACGGGATGAAGTCCCGTAGTAATGTGATTGTACTTGGAGCAACAAACAGGCCGAACTCGATTGATTCAGCGCTGAGAAGATATGGAAGGTTTGACAGAGAAATTGAGATTGGAGTACCTGACGAGACAGGAAGACTGGAGATACTGAGGATCCATACGAAGAACATGAAGATGGACGAGTCTGTTGATCTTGTGGAGATTAACAAAGAGCTACATGGATTTAGTGGAAGTGACCTTGCATCGTTGTGTAGCGAAGCAGCACTACAACAGATACGAGAAAAACTTCCGCAGATTGACCTTGATAGTGAAAAGATTGATGCATCGATTCTTGCATCACTGAGGGTAACGAACGACAATTTCAAGTATGCAATTGAGCATACAGATCCAAGCTCATTGCGAGAGACTGTTATACAGTCACCTAATGTGAAGTGGACGGATATTGGAGGACTTGAGATGGTGAAGCGGGAATTGAGAGAGACTGTTCAGTATCCTGTTGAATATCCAGAGAAGTTTATTAAGTTTGGGATGACGCCTGCAAAGGGAGTGCTGTTCTATGGGCCACCTGGATGTGGAAAGACGCTTCTTGCGAAGGCTGTTGCAACTGAATGCAAGGCAAACTTTATTTCAATCAAGGGACCTGAGCTTCTTTCGATGTGGGTTGGGGAGTCTGAGTCGAACATTCGAGATCTTTTTGCAAGGGCAAGAGGAGCGGCGCCATGCGTTCTGTTTTTTGACGAGATAGACTCAATTGCAAAGGCAAGGACCGGAAATGATGGAAGTAGCGGAGTTACTGACAGGATGTTGAACCAGCTATTATCTGAGATGGATGGAATCAATCAGAAGAAGAATGTGTTTGTAATAGGTGCAACAAACAGACCTGATCAATTGGATAGTGCATTAACAAGGCCTGGAAGACTTGACCAACTTGTGTATATTCCACTACCTGATCTTGATAGCAGGCTGTCTATTCTGAAAGCTACGCTGAGGAAGACACCGCTGTCACAAGAGATCGACCTAAGGCAGCTTGCAGAAGCCACTGATAAGTTTTCAGGAGCAGATCTTTCTGAGATTTGCCAACGGGCATGTAAGTTGGCAATCAGAGAGACAATTGAGTATGAGCTTGAGCAGAAAAGAAAGGGATCTGAGATGATGGAAGTTGAAGATCCTGTACCTTACCTGAGGCCTGACCATCTTGTGCAGGCAATGAAGACAGCAAGACGCAGTGTATCTGAGAAGGAGATTGAAAGATATGAGGCGTTTGCAAGGTCCATGAAGGTTGATATAAGGAAGTTTGAGAAGAAGAAAGAGTTGGACGATGACGGGCTTTATGAATAAAGTAGTGTTGTGTTTGTACAGTTTAGAATACGGTTTTGTTTGATTAATCTGAAGCCCTGATGTCTGGGGTTGATAAGCATCTTGTACTTACGGGTCCAAGTGGATCTGGAAAGTCTACGATTGTTGGATATGTGCTTACAGGTTTTCCATTTAGGTTTTGCATATCACATACAACAAGGATGCCTAGAGAAGATGAAGAGGATGGAGTGGACTATTTCTTCACAACAAAGGAAGTGTTTGAGGAGATGATACGCAATGATGAGATCATTGAATATGTTAATTACAATGGAAACTACTACGGAACGTCTGTTTCACAGATAGATGCAGATGAGGATAGGCTTTTGCTTGACCTGGAGTACAAAGGTGTTTTACACTGTAAAGAGAAGTATCCTGGATTTGTAGTGGTTTACATCGACTGCAAGAAGGAGATTGCCTGTGAAAGACTAAATGCAAGGATGAATGGAAAGAAACGCGATGAGATTGAGGGAAGAATGCGTTTATATGATGAGTTTGGCTCGATTAAAGACAAATGCGATTACATAATTGATAATAGTAATTCATTAGAGGACTCAAAGAGAAGAATTGCGGATATCATTTGCAAAGAGTTTGGATTGCATCCAAGAAACTCAGAGCTGACACAGTAAGAAGATTAAATGAATGATTGTGTTATTTGTATTGTAATTCGTTAAGTTATCAAATAAGAACGAATATCTTATGTATTCTCAATTACACAGAGTAATTTATGAATAGTTTGGGTAACAGTATGCTTTGTACTTTACACCTGGTGATTATTTATTGATGACCGTGCCTTGAAATGTTATTTGTGGCCTGAAGTGAATTCTTCAGTATATTCAGTTCTTCTTTAATTCTGTTTCTTTCTTCAACGATCTCAGGATGCTCCATAAGCAAAGAGCTGTCTATTTGTAATCCTTGCATTATTCCTAACCCTTCTTTGATGATGTAATTGCAGAAGTAATAATGAACTGCCTTGTTTGTGTAATTTCTCATCTCTTTCTCTACAATTAGGAGATATGCGGTAACCAACTCCTTTAGTAGCTTTACTTCAAACCCTTTGTTGTCTGTATATGATGTGCCCTTGCTACTATTGAGCATGCTAAGTAGACCAAACTCATTCTTGGATGTCCTTCGTAAAATCATCTCTATGATTCTTGTTCTATCAAAATCCGGATGATCAACATTTACATGTGATGCTTGTATTAATCCATACTGCCTTACTGCTGCATTGATTTCGGCATGTTGTGTTTCTATGCATTCGCAAACTTTCTGATTTAACATGGCTGTGAGCTCTTCGAATCGTGGACCTGATATTGATTGAATTTCATCAATCATTCTCTTCACAACATAATCAACCTTTCCTATGTACATTTCACACATCTTTGCAATGTTTGTTCTCACCACATCGTGGAACACAGCTTCAGGCACAAAAAGATACGAAGACCTTTTTAGCCGTGAATTCAAGTCATCAAAGCATGAGGCATATCGATTGTTGTAGAACACATCTTTAAGCTCCTCAAGAAACCCAGACTGGTGCTTCACAAAAACTCTTTGTGTGCATTCAGTATCCCTGAATATTCCAAGCACAGCTTGAAGATGTAGCATAATCAATGTCTTAGCATCGTTTGACACACCATCTGCTTCAAGTTCCTGTAGTCTTCTGCTCTTGTCGCATATGCTGTTTCTTATCGATGCTCTAATTCTTGGTAGTGCTTCAATCGCCATATTATGAAATATTTCATTGAGTCTTTGTATAAGGTATTCAGATCCAATGCGTGGATACATCTGGCAATACACAGAATTCTTTTTGAGATACGCTGTTTCTCTGGACAATGTGTCTTGGATACTTAAGCCATCGGCAATGTCCTGTTGACGTCTATTAATAACGCCAACATACCCAAGCATTAATCTTGGATGCTTGTTAGCCAATATGTCCATACAATTTGTTCCTTCGTCCATAAGGTCCATCTTGGTCACAACTCCTAACGTTCTTTTCAACTGCGGATCGGCCTTCTTTGCAATCTTCAGTGCTTCATTCGTTGCAATATCTGTATTTGCATTGATCAATGCAAGTATTACTGAAGATTCCTTGATTGCATAACTCAATGCAATTCTTTCAATCCTTGCCTCAATATCATCGGGCTGGTCACCACTTGGAACCTTAACAAGCCCTGGCAAATCAATAAGGGTCATCTCAAGCATTGCATTCAGTCTAACAAGCACTACAACCGGGGTTTCACTAATCCCTTTATTGCTGCCACACAAGATTGCCATTCTTTTTGCTATCTCAGCCTGAGCAATAGTGAAATCAAATACAGGATGCTCTATGTGATCAAACTGCACGCTTTCTACTCCATCAATGCTTTTTCTTATATGCAGTACAATAGGACATCTTGTTACAAGACCTACTCCGCGCGGAAGTAACTCTCTTCGCAAGATCTGTTCAAGAACACTACTCTTTCCACTGCTTTGTGCGCCTATTGCAACAATTTGTGGCGTCTCTATACCTAAGTGACATACTGCCATGCTGATATTCTGCAGTAACTCGATGCTTCTTGAGTTCATACAAGGGCCAGTGAAACTCAACGGCGTTTGCACCTAGCACGATGCATTGTGCAATATTGCAGTGCTCAGGCACAACCCTGAATGAGGGAGTCGATTTTTTCGGGCAAGGTCCCCATCACATGCCCAAGCGACGAGATTCCATGGCAGATGAAGTGCGAGATGGTACGTTCAGATGATGGAGTTGAAATACGCTTGATAGACACGAGGGACATGTTTACCTTCTACTTAAATGCAATATCACCAAGCGACTTTTATGTAATGAAGAGAGAGCAGGACATTATTGTTGACTATGACAGGTTTGTGAATGTATTGGTGAAAATGCTACATGGGCTACAAAATGGAAGGTTGAGTGGGATATTTTCAAGAGAGACGAATAGATTTGTATTTGTGGAGAAGGACGAATTCAGGAACATTGTGAGACTAGAGCTGCAGTTTTCAAAGCCTGATGAGTCGCATTACAAGCAATATCTGGGAGACATCTTGGGCAGAATGGAATCTGACAACATAAGATTGATCAAAGAAAACGAGATGCTGAGAGAGAAGTGTAAGGGTTATGAGCGTGATGCAAAGGAAAGAAGAAGGTATCTTGAGGAAGAGCTTGCAAAAGCACAAAAGAAGGCTGAAAAGCTGTTTAAGGAGAATGCAGGTTTTATAGAGAGCATGAAATCAAGCAATGAAGATCTTAGTAAGCTAAACAATAGGATATATGAGCTTGAGAAGGAAAATAGTAAGTTGCAATATGATCTTGAAAAGTTAAAGCTTCAGGAAGTAAAGAATGCGAGCCTTGTTGAAAAGACACAGGAAATCGATGAAGAAAATAGAAAGCTAAAGAATGAAATAAACACAGCCAATGAGATAATCAGGAAGTGCATGGATGAAGTGGCACAAATGAAGAGCTCATCTGCAGAAAATGATGAACGCACAAAGGACATTCGGTCAGAAAACAAGAAGTTAAAGACTGAGCTTGACGCACTTAGAAATAAAGTAAAGGACCTAGATGACAAACACAAAAGAATGTCTGACGATTCAAAGGCCAAGGATTCAAGACTCAAGGACCTGGAGATTGAGAATGGAAAGCTTGTGAAGAAGCTTGAGAATGCCCAGAGTGTTTACAGCCACTTCTACAGCAAAAACATTGAGAATCCAGGGCCTGGCATATATTCAGATAATGAGAGTCTATTTTCTATTGTTCCTGAATCGCCTCCTCACTGATTGCCATTTATCAATTGTAGAAATTGCCAAGGCAAATGTTTAATAAAGTTTTTGTTGTTGGGTTACTTTTGGAAGATGATTGAATGGATTGTGGAAAACAGTCTTGGTATGCTTCCAGTCGTGATGGAAAGGCATATGCATCAATATCTATCTCAATCTATCAGTTACTCAGGTAATACATCTGCTCTGCATCGCAATTGCCAGAATGAATGCTCAGTCACGTACATCCAAGCAATATATGCAAAGAGCAGCGTTATACATCCTGCATCTAAATTCATTGTCAGAGGATATCAATGGAACCGTGGCATTACAACCAGGATATGCTTTGAAACAGCACTCTCACATAATCAGATATATTCTACTTTAGACACAAATGCATCCAAAATCACACACTTTACATGTTTTGATACAACAGTGATCTATATGCTCATGGTTACTCCAGAAGCGCCACTTAGAACATTCTACTGCTGCTTTAATGGCTGTAATCTACTAAAAAGCCAGCACATCAGAATATACGAGCTTGTGCTATTTCAAGACACATATTTATACCAACTCGAAGACTGCACTTCATACGAGTTCGTTATGAAACACATAAACACTAAAAGTAGGCATAGCTCACAGCGCAACATCCATTACAACTGGACTGGCATAAATGCTCAAGATCACATCAAACCTGAAGAATGCATCGTCCAATCATCCTTGGATGGACTTAAATACACAGTTCATGGATGTTGTTGTGTATTTTGCTTCAAAAGGTTCCAAAACATTGCATCGTTGGCATTTCACATAAATCACATCCATTCAGGTTACCAATGCGCCATCGATAACGAATCATCCGTACTCACAAAAACAATAGTGCACATCACAGAAGAATCTAATGTGCAAGTTCAAAATACTAAACTTCACAAAAACATCTTTTATGTCTCTAAAAACTACAAACGATACAGAAAGCAGTGGAAGCAGAGCATAGACTTGGATACATTAAAAAATATCTCCAGCAATATATGTGAACACAGTCAATCTACACTCAGTCATCTGCTCTGCAAGAATATCAACCTTACTCAAAATCAAGACTTAAATAATTTGATGACAAAATGGAACACACTCAGGATACATCAGAACGCAATCATACAGGACATGGAGTTCATGATCAACCACGAAAAGGATAATCCAGAAATAATCAACTTCTTAATTGCCTTGTATCATAAATCTATCATAAACCCTGATGAACTAGTAAGACTATTATATCTTTTATTTCAGAATAAATCAAGTATTCAATGATAATCTACAAACTTCTGATATACCTTAAAAAACACCAACTCCATTCAATTAATTAGCATTCCATTAGCTCACGCACGCTGATGTCTCGTTTTACAGCAGATGAGCTTCCGCTTTTGTAACGGAATCTAAACTTTCCATTCTGCTCGCTTTTATTCACTTCAATTACTTCATCATCTCTAATATTCAGGTCCTTTACATCGTACATCTTTGCTATTGCTTTGATGTGCAGCATCCTTCTACCACTTAGGTTGTTTGATTCATATCTGCTAAGATACGGAATAACCATCTCATCAATAACGCTCGGTTTGGGGTCTTTGCACCATTCAGACTTTACTATCTCTACATTCCTATTGCTGCATCTTGCATATCCAGGTATACATATATGTCTTAAACTCTCATGAAGGACATCTATAGCAGACAAATCATCACAAATATCTGCAATTACGCCAAGAACACTTGTGTTATACGGATACGAGCTGTGGCACACTCCCATCAAGCATTCAGAATAACTCTCTTCATGATCTTGCCATCTCAATCTTCCAGATAACACAATCTGTGCAATCTTATACGGATGCAAGCACATCCTCTTCTTAATGCTCATATAGCTTGTCTTTCCCAATCTCTTCACTCCGCATACCTGTAAATGGTTTATTATTGCTCGCAAATCTGCTCCAATGTCTTCCATAATCATTTCAAAAACACAATGATCAATCAGAATACCTTCTCCAACACAAACCTTCTCAATCGCCTTCTTAACCTCATCAATCCCAGGTCTCTTTACATTCACTGTGTAAACCCCTTTCAGGCACACATCATTAGATATCACAATTATTGGATGCGAAGCACTCACCATCGAAACAAGCTTTTTTAAACCCTCAGCAACATTAGAATCCGCATCCTCTACTAAAATAAGATTCTTCTTGCCATTGATCGTTCCACTCATTCCCAACGCCTTGTCAATCCATTCCATATTTGTTCCTGCATTCAATTCAACAATATTCAGTCCAAAAATATTTGCAAGCACATAAGCAAGAGATGTCTTGCCTGTCCCAGAAGGTCCACACAATAAAAGCATCCTTCCATGCTTCGGATATTCCCTAATCCACTCCAATGCTTTGTGGTGCACATCATCACTAAAAACCAAGTCTGTATACCTTTTTGGCCTGTACTTCTCTATCCATGGTATGTTATCCATAAGGGCCTTGTACATCCTAATTGCTCTATTCTAGTTACTCAAGCACACTTCTATTGTCCTGTATTCTTCAGGCAAATTGTCCTTGTAGGAAGCATGTATTCAATTTCAAGCCCTTGCATCGCCCTATTCAGAAACGACAGAAATCTTGTCTTTCGCTTTAGATACAGCTCAAAGTTCTGCCAACTACTTCTATACTGCATATATACCTTCATATGAAGTTTTGAAGAGTCCTCAATACACTCATGATTCAACATCGTATACTCTGTATAATCCTCTGGATGGCTCTTCACAAAGTCATCTATAAGCTCTTTCAGCCTTACAAGCTTCTTCTGATTCGTTCTACTGTTGATCTGGATCTTGTGAGACTCGGCCATGATCCCACTCCTCCGTAGATTCCGAATCGCTTTCTGAGCCAAAACCGTGTTCAGTATCGTTATATACGTTCCATCCCACCTGTAGAACACTGTTGAAAACACATTCAGCTCAGACACCACAAGATTCTCCTCAACATTATCCATCGTCACAAACACTCGATCTCCAATGTCATACGGATGAATGAAAAACAGAAAAATAATGCTGCTTATCACGCTCGATGAAAAAGAGTTCGAAATAAACTGTGTTCCAAAAAATGCAGATATCACTCCAATCGTTGTTATTCCCTCTCCTCCTGCCTTGATATAAAGCATAGTCGCCAAAAGCACGCCTATCATCAATTTGAATGCAAACGAAACCTTGTCGACTGCCGAGTTCATGTGCTCAAGGTTCTCTCTCAGAATGTGTCTTTCTTTATAGCTCTTCTCAATAAACTCTGTAAGACTTCCCCTGCTGAATCTGTACTCCTCATCAACTCCTATCTCCTTCATTAAAAACCTGAATATCTCAGGCTTCTGGAAATACAGCGATAGCTCAGACATCGGCCCAAGCCTTCCATCCCTGCCAAGCATTCTGCTTGCCTTGCTGTTTGCTCTGCTTCTCAGCCTTTGTGATACCTGCATCATATTTCCTCGTATAACACTCGATCGACGCATCAGCCTTTGGAACTCTTTCAGAATCACCCTTTTTCTAGGGAGTCCAAGATCATCCGCATGCTCGTTGCATTCATAAAGATCCTCAAGATACTCATTTATAGAGCTAATCGCATCGCTTTTGTGTGCCATCTCTTCAGATACACCAACTCTGGGCTTATTTGGCCTTTGATGCTTGCCATCCATGCCTGCAAGCAGACTTATGAATGCATCCTCAAGCAATACCCGTCGTATCCTTCTTATATACACCGAATAATTGAAGTTCATCGATATTGCCCTGTGGAATATCCTTACTCCCCCAAGCATCACCGTAGCAACAAGAAAACAGTTAAACAGGTCACCAAAGAACAGATCAAGTCCCTGTGTGTTGTTCATACAGTAATCCTTGTCCCTCAGAAACACCACTGCAATCCCAGTGATAAAAATAATGCCTGCTGAAATATGCTCAGAAACCTCATTTGTGTAATAAAAGAACGTATTCAGACTATTCGATTGTTTCAGCCCTGCAAAGCTTATCTTGAATATCAAAAAGTTCAATGCAATAAACAGAAAAACACCTCCAGAACATACAAAAAAAAAGTTACTCAGGCTCATCATAAACACTCTGTCCAGCCTGTCCTTCATGCTCACTTCAATCGTCCATGTGCAAAATCCAATAAGCAGTAAAGCAACACCTCCTAAGAAAATCCACCCAGACCTCTGCTGTAATGTGCCTGCCGCACTGTTCTTCAGTCTCTCAAAAGAGCTCGACGCCTCGGCCATTCCCTCGCTTCCATATCCGTAATCATTTCCTCCATCCTCCGTAGATGTATCAGACTCATGGGTGTAGTTATGGCTATCGCTGTCTTCAAGATCAATTCTTGCACTGTTCTTTATCATTCCATCCATGAGGGTGCACTATAACAAACATACAATCAACAAAACATTTATTTCCTCACTTGATCTTGCATATCCTCGACTTCCCGTCATGCATAAACACCTTAAATATGCTATTTGCATTATCAAACATTCCATTCTTCAAGGACACAACCAGAAATTGTGCATTTCCAAACTCATTCCTTATTATCTCTCCAATGCTCTGTGTGTGGCTGAGGTCCAACGCAGAGTCTATCTCATCAAACACATAGAATGGTGACGGTCGGTACGTAAGCATAGAAAATATCAGACTCAGTGCCACAAGTGACCTTTGCCCTCCACTCAACTCCTCCAAACACTCCTTCCAGCTGCCAACCTTTACCCTCAACACATACTCTCCTGCCTCCTCATCAATCCTTGCATCTGAATCAGGTATAAAATACCTAAGAAACTTCCCAAGTCGTCCATTAATGTGCTTAAATGCTTTTCGTCTTTCACTCAATCCAAGATCATCAAGTCTCATCACACTCTGATTAATCGCTAGTTTGTCTTTCTCCAGCTTGTGTATCTTATCTTGCAGATCCTCAACCATCAGTTCATTACGCTCCAACAAATCAAAGTTGGCAGGATCCATTGTGCTTCGCTTCACTCCTCCAAGCTTCATCAACTGCTCTTCAATCAGTAACTTCTTCTCCACAATCATTTGTCTCTCTTTTTCACTCATCCTAACCCTCCGTATACAGAAGTACCTTTCATCAAGCCTCAATTGCATTATAACATCCTTCAATCTATTTCCAATAGCTACGCTTTTATCAAAGACATCCCACTCAGTACATGCTTCCTTCATCCTCTTCTCCAGTTCTCCATATACCTTCATTATCTTGTTCTTTATCCTTCCTATTTCTGTTTTCAGTCCCCTATTCATTTCCTCCAATTTTTCTATCTCGTCATCATTCATACTCTTCATACTCATCTTCTCTTCATATCCTTCAACTATTTTCTGATACTCACATATCTTCTGCTCACACATCCTCATCTCCTCATCATTCTTCTTTTTCATCTCCTCAAGCACTTTTATCTCCTCTTTTAACTCTCTTCTACGATCATTCATTCTCTTAATCTCATTCATCTCTCTTTTGGCTGTAATCATGTTTTCTCTCACAACCTTTAGTTCGTTTCTAATATCAATCTTCTCCCCATATACATCAGATATCACACTCATCCTAGCATCAATCTTCCTCTTCTCCTCTGCAAGCACTTTTCTTCGTGCATCTACTTCCTTCATTCTCAGCATCTCCTCATACTCGCCTCTAAGCTCATCAAATTTAATCTTGTTCATTGTTAACCTCTCAACCTCTCTCCCAATCGCCTCAATCTCTTTCCTGCGCACTACTTCCACTCGCACTACATTTTTTCCTCCACTCAACATCCCCCGCGGATCATACACCGTTCCATCAACAGTTATACACATCACCTTATTCTCAAAACACATCTTCTTTGCTACTTCCTTATCTTCAAATACAAAAAAGCCGCCAAATACAAACTCAATTGCCTTGCGAACACTTCCATCAAATCGCAGCAGATCAACCGCCCATATTCCTTTCTCCATCCTAATCGCCTTCTCCACCCCTTCGTCATTCCTATTCACTCGGATCTTCGAAAGCGGTATCACACTAACACTTCTGTCCGCTCCATTCAGCACAATCCCTCCAACCTTCTCATCACTCGTTATAACATACTTCCCTCTCCCTCCCATTGCCACGCATATCGCCTCAAAATATTTCATGTCGCATATCTCAAAATTCTCATCTACTGTTCCAAAAACACCCTCAATAAATGGATAATTAATACGAGATTTCATAACATACAACTTCTTGCGCATCCTTTCTAATTCATCCTCATCAACCCTTAACCTTTCAATTTCCTCTAATTTATCCTGCCAAAAACACGCATCTCCCATCAAACCCAACTCAACATCAATCTTAGATCTCATATGCCTTAGGTTTGCAAGTTCCTCTGCCTTACTTACTACATCATTCAATCCAGCATCAGCATCTCCAAGGCTCTCAACTAACACATTTTCTCTTGCAATCAGTTCATTCATGTCATATTTTGCATTCGCCTCTTTCATCACTGCAAGTTCTTGCTCCTTCTTAATCACCATTTCTTCAACTCTTTTGGACCTCATCTCTTCAATCTTCAGCTTTTCTTCATCCATGGCCGTCTTGGCCCACATTACATCCCCTTCTTCATCCACTCTTCTCATATTCTCAATCATCTCCTCATTCTGTTCAACACGTTCAAATTCATCACTATATTTGTCCATATATTCAATTAACCCTCTAACTGCACACTCTGCATCACACATACACATCAAGTAGCACACCTCATTCAAGTCATCCATCAGGCGCTTCTTCCTCTCATCAATATCCCTACTTTCAACATACCTTGTGCGCTCTTCACGCAGCTTGCCATAAAATGGTGAAATCCTTCTTTGCAGCATTTCGCTGACCTCTCTCAGCTTCTCCTCTTTCTTTGCAATCGCTTGCATAGCTTTTTCCTTCTCGTTCTCATAACACCTTGTTCCTGCTGCCTCACCCACAAGATTCTTCAGATCTTCACTCCTCATACTCAGGATCCGTGTTATGTGCCCCTGCATCACCACAGACGACAACATCCCTCGCGACTGCAGCCCCATCGACATGCAGAACTTTCCCAATGCAGACTGCGTGCACACATGACCATTCAAATAATGCTTCGTCCGTCCATCTGCATCAATCGCTCGTGAAACACGGATCTCATCACAATGTTCATATCCCAATGGACTTCGACTTTTTTCCTTGTTACAAAACACAACATCCACCCTGCACTCGCTCCTGTGCACATTCACAAGCTCCTTCAGGCTGTCTGCACGCAGTGCCCTGGCAGTCTCAAGCCCAAGTGCAAACAAAACCCCATCAAGCACATTAGACTTTCCAGATCCATTCATTCCGGTTATTGCATTGAACGAGCAGTCAATCCCTGCAACCACCGTCCTCTCCTCATAACACTTGAACCCATCAAGAATTATTTCCTTGATGAACATCGGGGATGCATAAAAAAATCAATCAAATCCCCGTGATGGAGACTGTGTTTAGGAATGATCTTGGAGAGGGAAACAAAATAGTCCTGGATGTTTCCCAGATGCTCTGCATTTCATACAGATCAAGAATAATGGCACAAATTGTATTCCAGAAGGTTTATCCAAAGTTTTTCAAGAAGGAAGGCCACACAATTGTTGCGATTGCAAGTGTCTATCTGTCTGCAAAGATAAATGAAGCACTTGTGAAGCCAGATGTGCTATTTGAGATGCTTTCAAGAAGCATGCCAACAGGAGCAGCATTGACCAGAGAAAAGCTTGTAAATGTTGAGTGCAAGATAATCGAGATGATTGAATTCCAATTCAATGTATATCCAGCACAGCTATTTTTGATAAGAATTGGAAAGACTCTGGGAATCGATGTTTCTCGTAAGCTTCTAGTACTTGATGAGATACACGGAGACAGCAGGGCAAACTTCATCAAGTACTTTGATGGAATGTATGATCCTGAGATTGTTGCATTGAGTGTGCTTAGTGATGACGAGATACGGCTTTTTGAGTGCTACTTCAGTGCAATAATTGACAGGGGATTGATTGAAGAGGTGCGATCGATCATGAGTAAGAAGTGAAGACACATACCCATGCATTTTTTTGGTAAGAAGGAGGATGCGATGGCATATTTGAGGACGAGGTTTGTTAATGCGCATGATGTGAATAAGATTATGGTTGAGCATCAAATCTCGTTGAAAAGAGGAGAGTATACATCGTATGAAGCAAAGAAGATCGATGATGCAATCAAGGCTTTTCTTAGAGAGAATGGCTTTGAGATGAGGAATCTGCATGGGTTTTTTCTTGAGGAGGAGCCTGAGTTTCCAATAAAGAAGCTCTTGCTTGCTGTTACTGAGGTGCTTGGCAACAGGGCAATGAATTCAATATGGATATATGTGTCTTACCACTATCATCCGTATGTGGATGCAAAGTGGGAGCCTGAGAACGAGATTCAGCTGCTCAATCTTGTACGATCACTTGGATTCAGATGGAAGGAAATATGTGGGATAATGAACAAGAGCTCGAGGAAGTGCATAAAGAACTACTACCGGATCATGGGATATGAGTACTTAAGCAGTGCATCGTTCAAGATTGATGAGGAAAACATTCCCACGACTGAAAGCGAATGGGATGAGATGTGTGGCAAGTTAAGAACGAATAGGAAAAGGCTGTCTCATCTGATAAATGGATACATATCGCGCAGGCTAATTGTGCCGTTATGGAATGAATATAACAACATGGTTCTGATGGGATATGCGCTTGTTTATAATCATTTCTGCTCTATGGAGATAAGACTTGCAGAGCTTCTTGGGATGATCAATAATAGATGCTTGGAAGGAATGAGTAATGCAGATATGTGTAGAGAAGACATTTCAAAGCAAGTAGATGGATATTTACCAAATACAAGCAAGTATGTGCTTGATGTTGTGATTGATGTTGAGGATGTGTTTTGGAGAAGTATCAAGATATTTATGAGGTTGCCATCGCTGCATTTGAGATGCAGATTTATTCAGATAATGAAGATACATGGAATAAGGACGTTTAGCGATCTGTTTGGTGTTTTTAAGACACTTGCTGTTGATTGCTATTTGTACAAGATCAAGGACATGCTTAAGGAGGAAGTCGGCAGAATTATGAGTCAGAAGGGGCAGGGGAAATGCATGATAATGAATAACGACGAGATGGAGCATGACAATAAATGATGATGAAATAATGCATGAATGATGAGATACGATAAGATTGAATAATACATGAATTATGAAATTAAATGAGATGAAATATGACTGAAAGATGGAAGTCAGAAAGGGACAGAGGAAATGATACATAACTGATGAAATAAAATGATGCATGAATTATAAGGTAAAATGAAATGATGCATGGTAGTGAATGATAAGATAAATGAAGAATGATAACTGATAAGATTTATGATCGTTGATGTGATTGTGAATGAATCTGGAGTTATGTGATGCTTTGCTATGTTGAGTTGTATGACATCTGTGAAAATGTCTTCAAAACACGGTTTTATGCATGAAATAAATAATAATAAACAGTACAGATGATGATTCTTATTACGGTGTTGGTTGGGATTTGTATAGCAAAAGACATATACATTGTGTTCTTTGATCAAGACCCGCACATGGACAAGGTTAGTGCAGCTGGGATTTATGCGGAAAGTATGCTTGGAATCCAGAGTCTACTGGGGGATGATGAAAGCATTGATACGAAGATGGTGAATGGATTTGTAGCGCAGATGAACGAATCTACTGCAGAAAAGGTGAAAATGTATCCAGGAGTCAAGATGGTTGTCAGAGATAGCGCAGTTGGTATTAGTGAACTTAAGGTTTCTGAGGAGCCTGATGATGCAGAACCAAAGGAGCAAATCATGACACAGCGCCATGCACCCTGGGGATTGATTAGGATTGGAGGAGGAACGTCTTTGGCCAATGGAAGCTTCTACTACCCTGCGAATTCAGGCAGAAAGGTGGATGTATATGTCCTTGACACGGGTGTTGAGACAAATCATCCAGAGTTTGAGGATAGAGCAAGATGGGGATCTAACTTTGTGCCTGAGTCTCCTGATGAAGACGAGCATGGCCATGGAACACACTGTGCAGGCATTATAGCGGGAAATAACTTTGGAATAGCAAAGAAGGCAAATATAATTGGAGTTAAGGTTCTAGATAAGAATGGGTTTGGAATGACTTCCAGGCTACTCCAAGGAGTAGATTTTGTGATCAGAGAGCATGAGAAGAAGAAGGATGATGTTTACAGACAATTGGCAGATCAGTATCTTGAATCCACAGAATCTGATGATTCTGGAATCATGGACATAGACTTTTCAGAAAGTGTTTCGGACCTCAGGAGCATTAAGGTTCCAAAACCATCTTTGAGCCAGCTAATAGACATGGCATCGAATGAATCACTGGTGCCAAAGACAGTGGTCAACCTGAGTGTTGGAGGATCAAGGAATGCAGCATTGAACTTTGCAGTTGAGTATGCATCAAAGCTTGGCATACATTTCTCAACAGCTGCAGGAAACGAGCACGAGGATGCATGTGAATTTTCACCAGGATCTTCTAAGGCAAGTATCACTACCGGTGCATCCACATTCAGAGACACTGTTGCATTCTTCAGCAATTTTGGAAAATGTGTAAATATCTTTGCGCCAGGTGTTGACATCCTGAGCTCTTGGATCGGTGGCAAACAAAAGATTGCATCAGGTACATCTATGGCCACTCCACACACAACAGGAGCAATGGCTACATACTTGACATACTACAACTATACTCCACATGCCCTGAAGCAACATCTCATGAGAGATGCGCACAATGTAATAGACAGCACTGTTGAGGATGAATACATACCTCCAGTGTCAGGATCACTCCATCTACCTTCATTCCTGAGTCCAAAGAAGAAGCTGCCGATGCTATCGATTGTGAACCTACTCAGGAGAATCAGCAAGCAATAACTCAAGTGATAATACAGATACTTCCAAAGCAAATAAAAGCTTTATTCAACAAAATGCCGTTATTTTATGCATCATATTTATTAGTATGTTCATGCTTCTTTATCATATATGCTATTAATGATACAGAGGTACTATCCCTTGACCACCAGACAAGGCTTTAGGCGGCAAACCATTTGTGTGAGTCCAACTCTATCGCTTATCTCAACAACCCTGTTTACATCCTTGTAAGATTCTGGAGCTTCTTCAGCTATTCCCGCCTTATTTGGACATCGAAACACTATATTCTGTGTTCTTAGTGTAGAGCATACATCTTCATATGTGAATGTCTTCTTGGAAGTGTTTCTTGCCAGTAGTCTTCCTGCACCATGGCATGTGGATCCAAAGCTCAGTTTCATGGCCTTTTCTGCACCGCACAGTATGTAACTGAATGTGCCCATTGATCCTCCTACCATTACTGGCTGTCCTATCTCCCTATACTTCCATGGGATGTCTCTGTGGTATGGCGGAAATGCTCTGGATGCGCCTTTCCTGTGCACAAGTACATCGAACTCCTTGCCTTCCACTATATGTGTCTCTTCCTTTGCAATGTTGTGACATACGTCATACACTAGCTCAAGTCTAACCTTTGGAAATATTTTTTCAAATGCTTTTCTTGCCTTTTCAGTTATGCTTGCACGGTTTGCAAATGCAAAGTTTGCTGCACTTCTCATGGCTGCCAGATAGTCTTGTGCCTCCTTCGACTCATACTGTGAACACATCATTGAATCTGTTGTACCGTTCTTTGCAGCCATCTTCATCAATGCATCATGACACACTCCATGACCAACGCCTCTGCTTCCTGAATGTATCATAACCACAACCTGATTCTTACTCAGTCCCAAAATCTCTGCCTTGTCTTCATCATACACCTCATCAACGTATTGGACTTCAAGGTAATGATTGCCTGAACCAAGTGATCCAAACTGGTTTAAACCGCGACCCTTGGCCTTCTGGCACACAAGAGAACTGCTTCCTGACATGTGTCCGTTGCTTTCGCAGTACTCAACGTCTTCATCAGATATCATCTTTGACTTAAGCAGATGATCTAATCCATTATCAAGGATTGAGTTGAGTTCATAAAGACTTATACTGGATCGCTTGTCTCCACCTATGCCGGTTGGCAATGCATTATAAAGCTCATCAGCAAGTCTATCTGCATGCTCACTGAATTCTTTCAGGTCTATATTAGTTCTCAACGCTCTTACACCACAGTTGATGTCGTACCCAACACCACCAGGACTCACCATTGATTCAGGATTGTTTATGTCGAATGCTGCAACAGATCCAATTGGAAAGCCATATCCTGTATGTATGTCAGGAAGACCCACGACGTTTCCTACAAGGCCTGGTAATGAGCACATATGAGCCATCTGCTTGATTGAAGATAACTCATCGCCTCTGGTTAATTCATCAAAGAGTGGAATGCGCAGCTTTTCATCCACATATATTATTGCATTTGTTTTCATGCGGCTATCGAATGCAGCTTTTATTGTGATGCTTGACTCCTCTTGCTCGATGTTAATCAGATTACTGTCCATGAGGGTCTGAGATGAATGAGAACGATTAGAGAATGATATCAGATTTGAAGAAGCCCTAAAGTTTGATGAGACTGGTCAAATGGGCCAGTGAGAGAAAGAGACGGGACTTTCTTGGTGCATTTACAATGGATCGGATTGCAATGCATAACAAGAGCGATGATTGCTGGATGGTGATGGAAGGGATTGTGTATGATGTTACGGAGTTTATTGCAGTGCATCCCGGTGGAGCAAGAACAATGATGAAATACGCAGGGAAGGACTGCACACAAGCATTTAACAAAGCGCATGCATATGTAAACATAAGGGAACTACTTGAAAACGACATTGTTGGAGTATTGGTTACACACAATAATTGAAATATTAATGATGTGTTTGTTAAGTGATTGAGAAGATTTGTATGAGGACATTCACATAGAAAGATCAGTACAACAGTGAATGGGAGTGATGATGATTGATTTGGAGTAAACAATGTGATACAAATAGTTACTTTACCCACACTGAATGCTTGAATTTGTCAAAGAAGGCAGTGTGATACATTCTGAGCCGCTACAGAGTATTGACTCATTGACGCTGGAGAGTTATGAGGAGTTAGCACGTGAGAGCAAGAACATGCTGCTGTGTATTTTAATGTGTGGAGTCAGAAAGCATGTTTACTTAGCAAGAAGTATTGTAACAATGAGGTATTTTGTAGCGAATGGGATCCGTGTGTATAAGCTACGGGACCCACTTACCAGAGTTGAGGTTGATGAGATTTTGTATTTTGAGGTTGATGAGAATCCACTGTATCTAAGACGTGATAATGCATCGATTTTGAATACAATATGGAATGGTGATGTGCATAATGAGACGATTGATGAAAATTGCAGTGTGCTTGACTCGAGCATTGAATCTGTGACAGTTAAGGCAGTGTATATTGGAAATGAAGTTGATTTATTGTGTAACAAGGAGATGCAGAAGAAAGTCCTGGGGATTTCTGTGAAGAATTATGTTCAAAGAAGTGTGTTGTATAAGATTGCGAAGACCTGCATGATTTTTTCGTTGATGTTTGTTTTACTGATGTGTTTTTTTTATGCAATGATGATGATTATTGTAAGGTTTGGAGGGATGAAGAAATAAATAATAAGCTTGATGAAAGGATAATAAATGATGTGGAGAGATGTGTTGCAAAAGTCTAATGATGAGCACTTGCAGATGAAAGGAGGCTGTTCTAACATCTAATGATGTCTAACCTTATTTTTGAATTCTTTGATATGCGTTGAACAATGAGCCTCTGATGTACCACGCTTTCGAGTTAAAGGTTTGCCCTTGTTGTGAGTACGTATTCTGCAAGCTGAAGATTTTTGCTGGGATGTAGCGTGGGATAGTAAAGACTGGAGGAAGCAGCCCTTGGATGGATGAGTCTGTGGAGATTGAAGGGGTGTTTGATGAAAGGGTGTGCGTGGAAAGAAAAGTGTTATCCAATGTGATGAATAAACAGGGAATAGGAGTGAAAAATGAAGAGAATGGGATGAAAGAGCAAAGTAAGGTTGTTTTTAAGGATTATGAGAATATGAATAGGAGTGGAAATGTAAAGGAAGGAGAATGTGTAAAAGAGAAGTTTAGTGTAAGGAATGAGATGGATGCAAAGTCTGAGATGCTCTTAAAGATTGGGGCTGAGTTTGAAGAGCTAAAGGAGGTACACAGAAAGGCATTGAAAGCAAGAGAGAAGTTAATGAGAAGGATGCAGAGAGATCTTGAAATGTTTAAGAAACAGATGGAGGCAGAGAAGATTAAGGAGATGAATGAGTTCAGGAAGCGTTGTGAGGATGATTTTTTTGAAAGACGAAGAAAGTATAAAGAGAGATGTAGAAAGAGTGTTTGTGAATATAAGGCAAGTGTTGATGAGATGGTGAAGATATTGATGGCTGATATGGCAAACAGATGCAATGATATGGTTAAGGGGGTGTATAGGAAAAGTGCAGGTAATGGATAATAAAGATAATAAAGTTCTATTGATTTATTTGTGTTCGGGATCGTAGTAGACCCATTTCTTTGTGTCGAGTGGACAAACGTTTTTTGAGCTTAGCCATCTTGCGATGCAGTGAGTGTGGAATGCATGATTGCAAACACCCCATGATACTTTGCACTCTTCGTTAGTTACGGTGCTATTCTGGCATTCCACACATGTGTCCATGATGTGGTTTCTGCAGATTGCACATGTATCTACTTTCATGTCAAGTGACCAAAGAGCAACAAGGTTCCACTTCTTGAGCTTTATGATGTTCTTGTTTTGCATGTGGGCATTGTGTATTTGAATATTTTGGAAGCCCTGTAAGGGAGGAGTCTGGAGTGAGATGGATGGGGACATAGATAAAAGAGGATTGAGAGGAACCAAAAACAAGAAATGTGGTATCAAGCGCAAAGATACAAATGGTACACATAATGGTGGTAATGTAGATAAGTATGAAGCAATGAATGAAATAGAAATGAAAGAGGATGATGGCTTGGATAAGGTAACGAGGAATGGAAGAAGCGAAGGAAAGTTAATGCAGATTAGAACAAGAGATGAATCAATTATGGAAAGTAGAACAGGATATGAATCAAGTATAGAGTGTAGAGTAAGAGATGAATCAATTATGGATGAGATAATGTGTAAGGAACATGGAATAAAAGATGTAACTGAAGATGGGATTGAGTCGCTGTTATTGAGTGATGTGATGGGAGTGGCTGATGTAGAATTACCGATGAATAGTGTTGGTAAGATAATATGGTTTTTTGAGTCTGGAGGAGGGAGAGCAAATGGATTTGTAAGGATTGAAGGGATGCGAAAGAAACACAGATTGAAAACGAAGGGAGCAAGGAAAGGAAGACTTAAGAGAGAAGGAATGGAATCTACAGAGGAGAAGAGAAGGATTGATGATGAGTGTGTAGTACTAAATGACGATGAAATGAAGTGTAACGATGCAAATGACAGCAGATACAAGTATTTTTTACATCGAGTGTTTCCTATGCACCAGAAAGACGATGAACAAGTGATGAAGTATGCAATGGATCAAAGGATGATGCTAATGAAGAGGGCTAAAACGAATGCAGCGGAGATTCCTGAGGTAGAGATAGAAAAGAGGAAGAGCAGTAAAATAAATGAATGCATGAATGGGAAAGACAGATATATGGGAATGAAAGTGATTAATGAAATTCCAGAGATATGCAGAGTGGAATGGAATGAAGGAGAGGAGAAAGTGATTGAGAATGTAGTCTTGAGGTACAGAAGTGATTTTAAGAAGATACGGGAGGAAGTGCCTGGAATTGATGTCGGAAAGTGTGTGTTGAAGTACTATTTGATTAAGAACAAGACACATGCATATATGAAGCACAAGCCTGGAAGGATGTCTGACCATGAGATCAAGCTGGTAGTGGAAGATGAGTGGACTGAGCATGAGAAGGAAATATTTGCAGAACACATGAAAATGTATGGACGAAACTGGGGAAAGTATCAGGAATTGATGAACAAGAGTGAGAAAAATCTGAAGATGTTTTTTAGGTACTACATGAAGTTTGTGATACCTGATAAGAAAGAAGAGACTGATAAGGAAGTGGTGAAATTGAAGATGAAGATAAAGAAGCCTGTTGAGATTGAAGGGATTATGAAGAGGTGGAGCATTGATGAGAGGCAGCTTTTTGCAATATACTTTCCGTATTACAGTAGAAACTGGATACTGATGGCGACATACTTTCCTCAGAAGACACCTGGGGATCTTAAGCAGTATTACAGTAAGTATTTTAAGGGATTGAGTTATAACGAGCAGAGGTTAGAAGCGAGTCTGTATGATTTTGGAAGACAAATGACGACACCGCCTGCAATGCTTTGTAGAAGACGAGGAACGCAGGAAGAGTTTTGCGACAGTGCCGGGATTTTATTTAAGCGATGAAAACATGTATTTTGAATATGTTAGTTAATAGATAATCAATATATCAGTTAATGGATTATGAATATGTCAGTTAATGGATTATGAATATGTCAGTTAATGGATTATGAATATGTCAGTTAATCGATGATGGATGAAAGAATGATGCTTAGGTAGAGAATAGGAAAAGAAAGAAAAAATTGCCCTTGATGGCAGAAGGTTATAACGAATACTTGCTTGAGAAGATATATGAGCTGTTTCCAAAGAAGGAGGCAGAGGTATTTATTGAGGAGAGTGAGAAGCCAAGGCCCACGACGATACGGGTAAATACACTTTTGAAGCAGAGGAAGGATGTGATGAGAATGCTGGCATCGAGGGGAGCCGATGTAGATGAACTGCCATGGAATGATAGTGGATGCGTGATTTTTAGATCGACGGTGCCAATTGGAGCCACACCTGAGTATCTTGCAGGATATTATTGTCTGCAAGGAGCTGCATCTATGCTTCCAGTGCTGAATATGGAGCTAAAAGAGGGGCTTTGTGTTGTTGATATGTGTGCAGCACCGGGAGGTAAGTCTGGACATATTGCAGCGTTAATGAACAATACGGGTGTTTTATATGCGAATGATGTTAATGAGGACAGGATTGCGGGTCTTAAAGGTAATTTGCAGAGGATGGGAGTGAGTAATTGTGTGGTGATGAACATGGATGGAAGAAAGATGAATGTTGGAAAGGTTGACCGAGTGTTGCTTGATGCGCCGTGCTCTGGGACTGGTGTGATATCTAAAGATGCATCGGTTAAGAGCAATAAGTCTAGAAGTGAGATAGATAAAATAGTTGTGCTGCAGAAGGAGCTTATTCAGCATGCATTTGAGATGCTAAGACCTGGGGGGATTCTTGTGTATTCTACATGTTCTGTCCTTGTGAAGGAGAATGAAGAAGTGGTGAATTATCTGGTATGCAAGAATTCAGGAGCTAAGGTTGTTGAATGTGAAGTGGATGTGGGGAAGGACGGTCTTGTGGGATTCCGTGGCCGAACGTTCCACTCGTCATTGAAGCATGCAAGGCGGGTGTATCCGCATGTGCATAATATGGATGGGTTTTTTTATGCAAAGGTGCTGAAGACGTTTGATTAAAGAGTTGATGATAGTGTATTTTGAGCAATGATCTGATGTGAAACATGAGTGTTGCTAATGAAACTGTTCCAGAAGGGAAATATCTATGTTTTGTATTGGGTCAGTAAACAAGAGTGAATGATAGGATGGTTGGGGTTAGTGATTGTTATTGAATGGTGTATGGGGGCGATACCTGACATTATGAGTGGGCAGATGTATCTTCCACCGCTGATGGGAGATACAGGAATGTTTGGATCACCACAGATGGGAGGTGGAAAGGCAGGGCAAGTGCTGACGTTTGGGCCTGATCCAAGTAGTGGATTGATGTCGCCTATGGCGTTTCAGCCGCCTGGGAATATACAATATGCAAGTACCTGCGATTCTTTGACTAATCAAAATGAGCAGTTCAAGAGATGTGTGACTAACCAGATCAAAGATGTCAAGGCTGTGGTTGACAACTGCAAGAAGGTGCTTGGGGAGGATGCAAAAGAGTGTTGTGTGGATGATAGCTGTCTTGATGTCATAAATAGGAATCTTGATGGGTGTTGCAGCTCTAGAGATTCCAAGGCATGCAGAGATGAAAAGTGTCATAAAACGATTGCAGACTCAATCGTGAACAACATGAACACTGAGCAACTTAAGAAGTCGTTGTCTGATGTATTGAAGTCAAGTCTGAAAAAGATAGGAAATGGACTTTTGGAATTGACTTCATGCACCAGAGACAAGTGTGGGAGAGATGCTTATGATGACCGATCTATCGGACCTAGCACAAGAAGCAATTATGAAGATGCAGATGAATACAATAGAGTAAGTTCAGGGAATATTACAGATAATGTGCCAAGTAAAGGCGTGATGCTGGTTCCAGTGGAAAAAAAGAAGTATGACCAGATGTTTGGAATGCTAGATGAGGATGTCAAACGAATGTCAAGTAGCAATAAATCAAATCAAAGGCATGTGAGTGATCCCAACCGCACAGAGTATTCAATGAGAGATTCAGATTACACACGAAGAGATACACAATCAAGAAATGCACAAGATTGTTTATCTGGTAACCGTAGCAAGGAATGTGTTAGAATGAATGATGAATGGCAAGAATCCAGCGATGATAACAAATTCATGAGTGACTCTGATGATGATATGAATTATACAAATACAACCCGTTCAAGGAAACATAGAGGCAATGAAAATATTCAAAGGCACCAGGATCCAGTGAATAAATCTACGCCAAGGACCACACAATCTCATAGAACAGATATGCCTAGGAAAGCAGCACCTGCTCCTTCCGAATGCACTAGAAAAATGTGCAGCCAAGAGAGTAGAAATGATGTAAATCTTGAGTGTACAGATTACTGCAAAAGAACAGGCAGAAGTAGTAATGCAACATATACCAATGAAGGCAGGAGTAGAAGCATAGAAGATACAGATGCATTAGCAAGTGATTCTTGCCTAGATTAGACGGTGGCTACAATTAATTGTGCAATTTGTTGCTTGGCAAGCATCAAATCCACCAGTATATCTGAGTTGTAAGATTCAAGTATTTATTCCCAAGTAGAAAATAAACAAGATTATTATTGATGTTCAATACATTATTAAATATGATGAGCGGTTGTAATGAAGTGCACAATCAGGTGCTTTCCATTTGATTATGAATGCTGTTTGTAGTTATTTTGGTTTATTACTTGAGAACCCAAACTCGATATGGAACTCTGTTTTCCTCTCTGTTGGGATCGGCATTTCGTCCATCTCTTCATCTTTCAAATCCACAAGTGATTTTGAGCTTAGCTCGATTTGTATATGATCTGGAAGCGATGCATCGAGGAATGCATCAGTGTAATATGTGTGATCCATGTAATAGGGTTTATGCATTTTAAACGTTGAAATGTGCATATATACATTATGCTTGTAGTTTATTGCTGAACATTTGCATAAAATTGGATTGTGTTCTTGATCCATGGACGACCTTGTAGTTCCGAAGAAAGCAGCAAAGCATCAGTTTCCATATGAAGAGCTTGTACTCAAGGAGAATGAGGAAGCGTATCCGATGTGGGTGAATTACGATGGTCTTATCATACTTGAGACATTTAGAGACTGCTCTAGACAGGCAAGCGACTTTCTTATAGCAATTGCAGAGCCTGTAAGCAGGCCTGTCAAGATACATGAGTTTCAGATCACTGCGTATTCGCTTTATGCAGCAGTCAGTGTAGGGCTGACAACAGGAGACATTATAGAAACGCTTGATAGGTTTTCAAAGAACTTTCTTCCAAGATCGATAAAGGTGTTTATTACCGAATGCACGCTGAGTTATGGGAAGGTAAAACTTGTTATGAAGGCAGGAAAGTTTTTTCTTGAAGCAAGTAGTGAGGATGTAAGTAACATGTTATGCTTGGATGCGGTGATACAATCGTATGCAGAGAATATACAGAGTGATGGAGTAGTTCGTATAAAGACTGAGTGTGGGGAGCTTGTCAAGAAGAGATGTATAGAAATAGATTATCCGTTGATTGAGGAGTATGACTTTAGGAACGACACAGTCCTAAAAAGCCTTAAAATTGATCTTAAGCCAAGCGCAGTGATAAGGTCATACCAAGAGATATGCCTGAATAAGATGTTTGGGAATGGACGAGCCAGGTCTGGCATTATTGTTTTGCCATGCGGGTCTGGAAAGACAATAGTTGGGATTACGGCGATTAGTACAATCAAGAAAAGCTGTTTAGTGTTATGCACATCAGCAGTGTCTGTTGAGCAATGGAAGCAGCAGACACTGCAGTTTACGAATGTTTTGCCTGATAATGTGGGAAGATTTACATCCGATCACAAAGAATGGCCTAAGGATGATTGTGGAATAGTTGTGACGACATATACGATGTTGGCATATACTGGAAAGAGATCTTACGAAGCACAGAAGATCATGGATCAGATCAGAAGCACTGAGTGGGGCCTTCTTGTACTTGATGAGGTGCATGTTGTGCCTGCAATGATGTTCAGAAGGGTGCTGTCTATAGTGTCTCATCATTGCAAGCTTGGACTTACAGCAACTCTTGTGAGAGAGGACGACAAGATTGAGGACCTGAACTTTCTTATTGGGCCAAAGCTTTATGAGGCGGATTGGCAAGATTTGAGTGCCAAAGGGCATATAGCCAGGGTCTCATGCGTAGAGGTGTGGTGTAGAATGACTGGAGACTTTTACCGAGAGTACCTCTCTCAGCCAGCAAGGCGAAGAAGACTTCTTTCTATTATGAATCCTACAAAATTCCAGATGTGTGAGTACTTGATAGACAAACACGAGAGCAGAGGAGACAAAACAATTGTATTTTCTGATAGTGTTTATGCGCTGAAGGCATATGCATTGAAGCTTGGTAAGCCGTTTATATATGGACCGACGGGGCAAACAGAAAGGATGAGGATATTGAAGCAATTCCAAACGAATCCATTGATCAACACGATATTTCTGAGTAAGGTTGGAGACACCTCGATTGATCTTCCCGAGGCAACGTGCCTGATACAGATAAGCAGCCACTTTGGTAGTCGTAGACAAGAGGCTCAGAGACTTGGAAGGATATTAAGAGCAAAGAGGAGGAATGATCCGGACTTCAAGGTGTATTTCTACTCTCTTGTGAGTAAGGATACGGACGAGATGTTTTATTCGAATAAACGACAGCAGTTTTTGGTTGATCAGGGATACACATTTAGTATTATTACAGAGATACCTGAAGTATATGAGAATGAAGGATGTGTGTATAAGACACGAGGGCAGCAGAAGGAGCTGTTGGCAAGTGTTCTGCTTGCATCTGAAAGAGAGCTTGAGAGCGAAGAGAGTGGCGAAGAGGAAGCAATATACAATGTATCGAAGTTGAAGAGCCTGAGTGGAGCAGACGACATGGCATACATAGAGATGACGCCTCAGCGCCATGTTGATGGAAAGACAAAGCGAAGCAGGAAGTAGGTGTTATTTGAATGATTTGAATGCATCTGATGGATGGCCCATGAAGTTTTCTGTTGAGGAGACTGAAAGGCTCAGGAGGATGATGAGATCACAAAGTAAGAATGAGGAGATAGCAGAGCTCTCGAAGGAGATTGAGAAGAAAGAGATGGCGATGATGAATAGCATTTCTGAAGACTACCTGAATATAATAAATAAGTGTAGCTCTCTTGATGTCATCAAGACTAGACTGTCGTCTGCGATGAAGGTGAACAATGAGTTTGGAATGGAGATCTCTGATGGTGTCTTACAGTATAGTGGAGTGATTAGTGAAATGGAGGAGAATGATTTGCTAGATACTAGACTTGATATGCTGATGGAAGAACTGAAGCGAATACTTGAGTTTGTTGAGTCTGCATTGTATTATGAGGACGTCAACAAGGATGAACGAGAGGATGCTATGTACTACTTTAAACTGGTGCAAAATGTTCATTTGCTTGAGAAAGGCCTTTGCATATTCCGAAAGTATGTGTTTTTTGCAAATGCAAATCAGATATTGATGAAAGTCAAAAATGGCGTAATGTCACTGATGATAAGAGATGTGGACCTGTGGGTTGAATGGGCAAGCAACAATGTTAAGCAGGCAGGGGAAGAGATAAGTGAGATGTTTATGACTGATCAGAAACGAGGACATATATTTGGAGCGCTTGGCTCACAGAGAGGATTGTTTGTTAACAGGATGCTTCTCTGTGTTCTTCATGAGTCGAGACGCCTTGGGATGGATCCTGTGATTATTGAGAGAATAAATGAGAGACGAAGAAAGGGAATTGACTACAATCTTCGAAGAGATGATCCAAGGATTGTGATGGATGCAGCAGGATTTGTGTTGTGGAGCCATTACCTGACTGATCTTGACGATGGATTTAAGACGCACAATAGATTTGCTTTTAAGGCGCTTCAGGACAATGAAATGGTGCAAAAGCCTGAGAACTTCATGAAGGTGAAAGATGGACTTGTTTGCTTAAGAAACCTTGCGATGTATTTAATGATTGACTCTGAGGACTTGGATAGAATTATTAGTAATGTTGCTATTGGATATTTTGAGAAGCAAGGACATATTTCAGATGGTGAACATGATGCAGCTGATGTGAAGATGATTGGAGAAGCAATTAATGTGTTCATTGATGAATGTTATGAGTTTGTATCGAATGTAACACAATATTCTAATGAACTTGATGAAATGCTTGGGAAAAAAGTTGATGAGTATTTGTGTGAGCTTATTGAGAATAATCTTGACGATATTAAAGAGTTTGGTGAAGCAGCAGCAGTTGTTAGAAGGACATTGGAGCACCTGGAGCAGAAGAATAACTTCTATAAAGACCGTGAATATAAGTGTGTGAAGCAGCTTGAAAGAAACAACAAGAGATTTGCAAAGGAGATGCTTGATGAGAGTATTAAGAGAGTTGATGAATTGTTTGAAGAGATCTTAACAAATAGAGATTTTGGGATTTTACTTCTGGAGATGTTTTTGAAAACTAAGGAGGCCAAGATTCCTGATGAAATGTGCAATAAAATTAAGTATGAGCTGGTTATACACATCAAGGATGGATTTATGATGATGACCACGAATGAGATGTCTCCACAAGACATAAGGATGGTGAATGGATATCTCTGTAGTTTCTATGGATACTTGAAGGGAGCAGAACCTGAGCTACAAAGCATTCTTACTGAAGCCGTAGAAATGTATAAGAATGAAATAAAGTAAGTGTGGAATGTATTGAAGATTTATGATATTATTGAAGAGTTGTTTATTGTTTTATAGACAGATGCATTAAACTTGCTCTGTGGATGTTGCAAGCGTGATTTATTTTTCCAATGACCTGATGAACTTTTCATCAAATGACACTTCTACAGATACCTTTGACCATGTGTATGGATCAAACATCACGATGGATCTTTTGATGTGATCCACCACAGCACTGGTAGTCAGGAAAACAAAGCACTTGTATATTTTACAGAATATGTACTTTCTCTTAATGATGTTGTTGTATGCTTTGAGTTGCAGCTCGTCTCCTGGAAACGAATAGAATATGTAGAAGACAGTCTCTTCGTGCAGATTGTCCATGTTCATATCTTGTATATTGACTTTGAATGTGCCTTCGACTGATGCCTTTGGATAGCAACTTGGAAGCATTTTTGATAATAAAGATTGTTGTTTTGATGATTGTTGTGAAGAATAGTACCTATTCGTAGCATTTGCAACCATTTCCTTTATCTTGTCCTTACTTACTTCACCAATGCTGCTCTGTTCTTGTTGTATCTGTTCGAGTCTTTTCTGTATGTCTGACATTTGACTATTGAATACTGGGGCATGAATGGATTCAAAACACAGACCCTTTTGAGATGAATAGGAGTAGGCAGGAGCTGATTACTTGGATGAGGTCGCTTGGGATAGATATTTGTGGGATTGAGGATCTTGGAAAGGGTGCAGCAATATGCCAGGTACTATCGATATTGTATGAGGACTTTCCTCATGGGTTTATTACGAAGCCGAGAGAGGAGCATGAGTATTTGAGGAATATGAAGATATGTCAAGAGTTTTTTGGAATGAAGAGCATCAAGCTGTATTTTCCAGTGGATAAGCTTGTGAAGTGCAAGATGCAGGATAATCTTGAGGTTGCGCAGTGGCTATGCAAGCATTATATAAAAGTGATGGGACATGATGTAAATAGAAAGGTTATTGGTGATGCAGTACCAATGATTACAAAAGAGATTGAAAGTATGAATCGTTTGTGCTCTAGCGTTACTGTTAAAAAAAGTAAAGAAAAAACTATTGATCATAAAGAAAAGAGCATAAACAGTATCAAAGAAAAGATTATTGATGGTAAAGAAAAGAGCATAAATAACAATAAAGAAGATATAAGAGAAATATACAAGAATACAGATATGGAGAATGGATATAAGTATACTCTGGAAAATGATGATATTTCTACAAACACGAGTCTGTTAGATAAACATGAGGATATGAGAATAGATCTGAATACATGTAATGATCGAATCAAGGATGAGAGGATAGGAAATCTAGAGGAAGAGGTATTTAGATTGAAGATGGAATTAGAAGATTCAAAACGCGATGTATATAAAAGAGATATATGTGATTGTACACATGGAAAGTCTGGAGGATTTGATGAAGAAGAGATAAAAGAGTTGCTTATAACATTTGAGAAAGAAAGAGACTTCTACTTCAAGAAGCTATTTACAATAGAGAAATACTTTCTTGAAAGAAATGGTATTGATGAAGGACTCAAGAATGATGTTTTTGAGATTCTTTATGAGGAATGATATAATTGGATGAAGAGTAGATAATTTATATTTAAGGTTGTGCGATGCTTTTAGTATGCATGATTTAATGAAATAAAGAATTTCATTGGCAAGAGGATGCTGATAATGCACGCGTGGTAGTAAACAAATGATGGAAAGCCCGATTAATCTAAGAAGACAGGCATTTCTGTATTCTGTCCCTGCATTGATGATAACAAGCCGTTTCAGTGAATCATCACTGTTTGTGCTTTCGATTCCATCTTCTATGGCTGCATTTGCTATAAGAGATATGAAGATGAAGATGTGTGTGTCGAATGTGTTGTTTATTGCTTCACTAATGTTTCCTAGGATGTATTTTGTATGCTATGGGTTTTCAATTGGAACAGTATACACTTCGATAGGAAGCCTGTGCCTGGGAAAGATGAGAAGCGATGGGTTGAGAATAGGGATAGTTGCTGAATCTATTGGATTGTTTGTATCTTTGTGTTATACAATCAACCCGGTAGTTTGTTTGGTTATGGCAATTATGCAGTTTGTAAACATTTACTACTTGGATCTTCCACCTGTAGAAAGCCAAGACCATAGAGAAGCATACAGCAAGATGAACAAACTTTTGAAAGGAGCATCGTTTAGCGACAGAGCAAGTGAGTACAAGGCAATAGTTGGGAAGGAGAATGATGTGCTGATGTTTCGGGCCGACTTTCTAATGCCAATGATGATGAGCAGTTTACCGAATGTATTAAAGGCGGTGGTGTGCTGTACGTCGTTAGTGTTTATCAAGAAGTCTTATTGGATGTGTTTTATGATGTATTCGTTTGTTATTTTGTCATCTAGGTGGATATGTGCAATTCTTGCTTTTTTCTGTGATTTTGTTCCTGGCCATCCAGTATATCGACTGGTGAGTGCACAGGTTTTGCATATGGCATTGAAGTGATAGCAAGCAATCAGGTCTGGAGTGATCTTTATTGATAGATATAAAAACAAACAGAAACCCCTTGAAATGTTGTCACCTGGTGCATACAAGCGGCTACTGAAAGAAGAGGAGATGCTGGAGAAGTCTGCAGATGATGAAGGCAAGCTTTTTAAGGCGTATCCGTCTGTCCACAAGAGAGAGAAGAACTACAAAGCGTGGGACATATACTTTACACTTGGAGGAGATTCATTATATTCAGGAAGGATTGTTAAGGCACAAATGGAGTTTCCTGACTGCTATCCGCTTCAGCCGCCGAAGTTGACGTTTGTGTCACGAATGTTCCATCCGAATATATATGAGAACGGGCAGATGTGTATATCGATTCTTGAGGAAGACATTCCGGATCCTACAGGTTACGGCGATTCGAAAGACAAGTGGGCGCCAGTGCAGAATATTAGGACGATTTTGTTGTCGATTGTGATCATTCTTAATGAGCCGAATAGATCGTCACCTGCAAATGTGGAGGCGTCTGTGATGTCGAGGGACCATCCTGATGATTATGCCAAAAAGGTGATCAAGATAGCAAGGGAGGAGCATCAGAAGCTGTTGATTTCAGACCAAAGGGCCAAGGAAATATCACTAAAGATGGAGGTAGATGATCAAGATGAGCAATGAATAAATTAGTCCATAAGTATTTTGTTTGTATAATTTGTATGGTGTATATCATAGGCAAAGAAAAAGAGCATGACAGACGCAAATAGGTGTGCATAGATGATGTGCTTATAAGTGCAGCATTACAACAGTTTAAGTAAAAAGTGTCAGGTACAAAATACATAATATAATCTTTTATTAATCATTTCTTCATGCTACTGTGAATTGGTTATATTTATGTCATTCCTTTCTAATCAAGCTTCTTTAAATAACGGTTCAATGCCATATCACTGATTCCTACTGCTCTTTTGTCAAGAATGAATACGATTGCTTTCATTACATCTTTCTTTTTTATCTCCTTGCCGTCTATCTCGATTCTGTTATTAAATCTACTACATTTTCTTTTGTTCACGAACACATTGATTGTGACGTCCTGAATAATTGTGTTATTGCGACCACTTCCAAACAAAGTGTCCAGAAGATGTCGTAAATGATTCATGTCCAAAATATACGATCCAGGAGGAATAGTAGTCACTACAAATAAGGAGTTTGTTTCATGCCTTGACTTCCTCAGCGCAGTTGACAATAAAACTTTATCATTACGCTTCGATACTATGTTGATCTCAAAAATAAGATTACTATCAATGTAGATCTCAAAAGGAAGGCCAAACTTCGTATACATTCCTGCATAATTCTTCTCAGTCTTGTTTGTATTGTTTCTTTTTGGCATAAGCCTTGATATGAATGACACAAATGGCATTTCACACCAAACATCATGAACATTTAGAATTCCTTCATTCCATGCATTGAATGATCCTGCAATCATTAAAGAAGCATTCCAGTTCTTGTATTCATTGGTTCCAACAAATGGATTATGATAGTCTTCGCATTTCAACATTTTTCGTCCATCAAGGCGTAATACATTAAGTGATGAAAAGTCGTACCTGATTGCTTCTGAACATTCAATATCTGAAAAGCAAAACTCAAATATTTTGTGGCCATTCTTCAAACCACGATCAAATTCCACTTTCGTCCCACGTCCAGTCTCTTTCCATGGATTCTTCTTTTTTGATTTCACACATGCATTAATAACATCCTTGTCCACTCTAAAAACCATTCTAACTCCAGAAGGCACCATTGAAAAAGCAGGCGAATTCAAAAAAATGTTCGGCAATCTGCAAAATACAAACTCTTTCATACGTTCGTCGTTTATCCTTATAAACCACTTGTTTCTATCTATACAAAATCCGTTTACCAATCCTTCAACACCAAATTCATTGATGCTCTCAATCTTCACTATTGTTTTCTTTCTATTTCTATTTCCAACTTCTTTTTTTCCAAAAAGCATAGTCATATCTTCCATCATCTTTTTATACTCTTCAGGCATAAAAATTGCATCTTCACACTCATTCCCATTAATCATCAAAATCATTCTAATCGGATCATGATGCTCTTCAACTGCAGATACACACAACTGGATCCCATACTCCACATTCCTCTTATACTCATCTCCACTATCTGGCTTTGTATAAACTTTTATCGATAAAATATGTCCATTAACATCATCATACTCAATTATATTCTTGACTAATTTAACCTCAATGCTAGGTACATCAATCAACCCTATATATCCGATAACCTTCTTTGGAACACACATAATGCAATCAATCTCATAAGTATCAACAGAATCTTTCTCATTTCTCTTTTTAATGCTAATGCTAGCATCAATGCCTTCCTTAGACTTCATCTTGTACTTCTCCTTCTCTTTATTAATACTCATATATGCATTCATCAATGTTTTTATGTTGCGTAATGTCTTGTCATCCTCATTCATCACAATTACAAGTTCTCCATTCATCAGCTGCATCGCTTCCTTGAGATTCAAAATTGTCACTCCAATCTCAATAGGTTTACTTCGCTCCAGCCACACACCAAGACTGCCTCTCCATACACAACATATCTGAATTGAATTAAAATTTAGCTTTACAGGTGCTATATCCATCAATTCTTGTTGGCTCATTCCATTCATTTTCATCAAACTGCTCTTAGAGCATATTCCAATGCTTGTATTTGCTATCTGTATCTCATTCCTGAAACACAATCCCTTCTCAACATCAATCCGCCCATCATTTATATCAACATCAAAAAAATACTTTCCAGACTCCTTAGGTTTCGTATTATCGTGCCTTACGTTCACATTTCCAATAAATCCTCCTCTTTCTTCTTCATAAGAAACATCGTCATACTGCTCATCATCCGTAGAATCGTCTAAACCCCCTTCTATCTTAGCTTCAATTGTGTTATTTGCTGCTCTTTGTTCATATTCAATATCAGTATTGCCTTCATCAGGTTCTGCAATTGTTCTGTATTTAGAATCCATCTTCATACCACTTTCTTTACTAGATCTTCTGTTCTCCAGTAATTCCATAATACTCCTCAACTCATTATTCTTTCCTTCATTCGACTGCTTAGAATGTTTTTCAAAATGCTCCAGTATCTTTTCAAATGAATCGCTTATCTGCGTTCTAATCAATACACGTCCATATAGGCATCTAGATAATGGACCACATGCCACATACCATGCCTCAAATGCCTCAATGCTGATTTTAACTCCAATATCAAGGTCTTTCATGCAATAAACTGCTCCTGAATGAACTAAGCGTACATATTCATTTGTATAGCAATCACTAATCGAATTAAACTTTAAAATCGTGTCCACCACCATCTCTTCATTTAGATTGTATATACAATGCTCTATATCAAATGCATTGTTTTCACCAGTTGGTTTTCTGTCAATAAGCTTATACCTTCCTAGCCTCAGGCGCATCCTTCCATTGAATCCAAATGAGACCTTTATATCATTCAAAACAAGTCCCAGTATATTCGAACAATTCATAACAATATCAATTCCAGGTGCCTTTACAGTGGATATCAACCCATTAACAAGATTCAGCATGTGCATATTCTCAGGATTCAACTTCAAGACAACACATCCTTCCGCATCATCTATAGATGAATTGAACGATATGAGGTGCTTCCGATTAAGAAGCATTATGAATGTTGTTCCTGTGTTACTCATGCTTATCTCTGTGTCATTGCTGACAAGCGGGATTTTCTTCTTAGCCATCTTCAGGTTTATGCATTGATCTTCATCAAATAAAATAGTTACGCTGCTTGTAGGCGCTGGCTTCCACGGCTTCTGCGGCTTGGCCTTCCTTGTAAGCACAACATCGTAATCAGTGTCTTCTCCAGCATTAATGCCAAAAGTCAGTCCAACATCCAAAGGATCAATACCCAATACAAACGGGCTGAAAAATTTTATGCTGTCTACTCGGAAACCTGTCTCTCTACCTTTCAATGCTGCTATAATATTGTTCTTTACCCATTTATGCGCTGACCTAGTCACATGGAACTCAATTCTCAGTGGATTTTCAAAAAACGAGTCATGCAGGTCGATATAACCAATCGAAACCCTCACTAGGCTTGTCTTTGTGCCTAGAAGTATGCAGATTCCTTGACTCCTTATTGCAATAAATTTAGGAACCATAAGCCGTGTGTTGTTAACAAACAGATACACTAACAAGCGATTCTCACTTGTCTCAAAATGAACCTTCTCGAGCTCAATCCGTCTACGAGACTTAGATGCTGGACTGTCGAGCGAAAAGCTCAACGAGCGTTTGAATGGAAATCTGATGAAGCATATGCGTGGATACAACCTCGAATCGACCTTCAATGCAAATTTGGTACATAGAATCGCCATTCCCAGGTTCTTCTTGTCTATTTTATCAATGTATATGCTTCCATTAAACACAACATTTTTTCCTTTTTTCAGGCTCACCGCAGGTACAATCAATGTTAGTAATAATCTCTCTTCATCTTGGTCAACGCTAACCAGGCTAATCTGAATGTTTGTAAAGTTCACATCAATTGGAGACCTACTATTCGCAAGTAGAACATCTACATCGATCTTCGTCCACATCCTTGTGTCATATACAATCTTGTTCAATGAAAGACTGTCTATGTCAAGCGAATACAACCAATACGATGTCATTAGCAACCTGTATATCACCAGCACAGAAAATACATACAGTGAGTACAGTATCAGCCGACGCTTCTTCCGACGAAACCTATTGTTGTTTATGTACGGTGCCTTTAGCGATGGAAACTCCTCCAGCTTGCATACAAGCATTCCTGGGGTTTATGGTTTGCATCTTCTCACTGCAAATACAGCACGACGTTTGCTGTCATGGAAAGCCCTCGAATTGCAAGGAATGATTGAACTGTCAAGGGACGAGATAAACCAGCTGATAGCAAGGTATCTTGAGGATGAAGGATACATATACACGCTGTTTACATTCAAGAATGAAGCAAGTCCAGACACTGGAGTGTTCAAACACACGCTTCCCTCTGTTATTAGCAAAGGAGTGCAGTATATGTATGGTGTGAAGCATCTGCAAGAGGGTGAAGTTGTTCCATGCAGTGCCAAATTTTGTTTGTCTGAAGCACATGTGTGTAGGTTTGAAAGCTCAAATGAATCTGAGTCAAAAAAGGGCCTTAAGCTTAATGATGGCAGCACAAGTATATTAATCGACAAGGAGATGTCTATGAGTACTGACATACTCAATAGCGAAGACGTACTAGATGGATATGTTGATAAAGTGAGTATCGATGTTATGGATATAGACATGCATTTAAACGAGCATGTTATGCTTTCATGTTGGAATAGAGACTTTCTATGTGTTTATACAAAGACGCATGAGCTTGTTGGTGTTGGACTAAATGGCATTATGTGGAGAAGAGATATTAAGGGAATATCAGCACTCTCATGGAGTGGTGATGATGTTGTTGCAGGGAATACAAATGGAGAAGTTATAACGATCAATCTGCTAAGTGGTAGAACAAGAAGTTATGCATGTCATGAAAAGAAGATTACTGGAGTAAAACAGCGTGGAAAGGGAATTATTTCATCTGGAGAAGATGGAAAAGTGGTGATGATGAACAATGGAGTAACAGAGATGTGTGTTTCTTCTAAGTCCAAGGTGACTGAGATAGTTTGGATGAGTGAGTATGGCGTTGGATGCGCATTAGACGATTTCTCACTAGTTTATGTGGACATGAATACTCAGAATACATTCACTGTTGGCTTCCACAGTAACTGGATTAGTCACATAAGTCATAGGGAAGGCGTATTGTCCAGTTCGTCGCATGATGGATCGATTGGTATTTGGAGCAGCACATTGATGAATGGTCATAGAATTCAAGCACATGAGGGCGCAGTCAATAGCCATGCATGGATCAATGATTCAGTTGCCAGCTGTGGAGCAGATGGGATTCTTAAGACCTGGAATGTTCATAAAGGTGTATCTGTCCATGCATCAGACTATTCCGATGGTATTGTGTGTGTTGATTGTACATCTCAGTTGATTGCATGTGGAACATCGGCAGGGACTGTTGCTATTACTGATTCTAGATGTGGAGAGATTTACAGATGCCGCATGAATGGAGAAGTCTCGAGTGTTTTATTTTCTGGAGATGGATCATATCTATACTGCATGCTTGAAGGGCATTCAAAGCTATTAAATCTCAGGTATATTTGATACAGCTGTGTGCATCTCTGTGCAGGAATCACTTGTGTTGTTTGATTGAAGAGCCACACTGATTATGTGCCAACATGCTTTGTAATTACAAGAGCAGTAGTATCTTTTGCTTCCTTTGATCACTTTCTCATCACCAACTAAGAAATAGCCTATTGAATGCATTTCTACTCTGGTTACCTTTTCGTTGTATACTTTGGAAGACTCATCACCTATCATCAGATACACAACCTCTTTAGATAGTTCTTTGATCCCTATCCACTCCATTAGGTAAATTAGGATATATTTCACGCGATCCTTTAATAATCATTACTAATCACTTCTAATCTAGAACAATGACTATGTATCGGCAGTATATAAGATATGAAATGAAGGTTTGTAAATAATATAGTGCTTGAATAATGATACACTCGCGATTTGATGTAAAATTACATTAACAGTCTGGTATACAACTATTAAGGTAGATAATACAGCAGATGGTTTAATCAAATCTCGACTCTCCAAATGATATAGGATCGACGTATCTGTGAGTGATTTCAATCCCGTCAATTATACGCATGTCTTCTTGCTTGAGAGCCTTCAGATCCATGTTTTCTTCTAGATGCTTTCTAGACGTGCTTTTAGGAATTACACATACTCCCTGCATCGTAAGGTAGCTCAGTATGATCTGCGATGGTGAGCATTCGTATTTCTCAGCAACTGTTTTGATTGTCTTGTCATTGCGTATTTTTAGGCTACAATCGGCAGTGGAGCCAAGAGACGAATAGCTGACTATATGAATATCATGTTCATGCAGAAAATTAACAAGAGTCGTCTGCTTCAGATACGGATGTAGTTCAAACTGCGAAACAACCGGCTTGATTCTGCAAACTTCAAGAACCTTTTTGGTGTTTTCAATCCCAAAGTTTGATATTCCTATTGATCTTGTATAGCCTGCATCAACAAGCTCTTCCATCTTTTTCCATAATGGCACAGGATCAAATGCACCTAGTCTAAATCTATCCAGGCCAAGTGTTACCTCTCCATTAGCATCAGGCTCGAACCTGACTGGCCAATGGATCAAATACAGATCAACATACTCGAGCTGCAGATCTTCCAGTGTTTGCTTAATAGCAGTCATAGGATCATCATGCGAGTCATTCCAAAGCTTAGATGTTATAAACAGGTCTTTTCTTTCGACTAAGCCTTCTGAAAATATGTTCTTCAGGATCTGTCCTATTTTCTTCTGATTTCCGTATATATGTGCAGTATCAATGTGTCTGTATCCTAGCTCAATTGCATTTCGTATTGAGCATTCAAGAACACCTGGGTCAACGAGACCCCATGTTCCAAGCCCGATTGTTGGAATATGTTCACCATTACTGAGCTTCTGTGCTGGGAGAATCATTGTGGGATAAATGTGTGTAGATTTATGGAGGTGGTGTTTCTAAATATAGAAGTTGTGCGTTTATGCTAGCGATGCAGTATACGAGATGGATAGTTAACGCTACCCCAGAGGCATGACTGAAGATTACAAGGAAAGTGTATTCCAGATGATGTATAAATGCAACCGCCCGACTGTGAAAGCTGAGATCGTAGCGTACTTCAAAGGAGAGATTAAGCCGAGTGTGCTACAAGATATACTTGATACATTAGAGAATGAAGGGAGCTTGATAACGAAGATTTATGGAAAATCAAAAGTGTATCTGATTAATCAAGATTTGTTTAATTACGATGAGGAAGGAGAGGAGCTTGATAGAGAGTTGAACGAGTATGAAAGTAGGCTTGCAGTGTTAAAAAGCGATGCTGAGCTGGTTGAAAAGGAAGTTGAGATGTTCAACAAGATACTGCCGATTGAGCAGATAATTGAGCAGATTGATATGATTAGTGCAAGGATTGAAGATAACAAAGAAAGACTGAATAACTTGCAGAATAATGAGATTGAGGTTGATAGCAAAGATATGGCAGCAGCGAAGAAAGGATATGAAAAGGCTATATGCACCCTAAAGAGGATGAAGAAGGTATTTGATGAGGTGATAGACAAGTTGTCAGAAGGACTGGACATGAAGAAGTCGCAGCTGTATGAGGAGATTGGAATTGAAGTGTAATGATTTATTTTTGAGTTGCAAGATCCCTTGATGCGAGAAAACAAGCCGATAATCATAACAAAGACAAAGCAGGATGGACAAGGAAAGCCAAGGACAGTAAATACCGAGGAAGTTGAGATGAAGATAGTTGACAGAAAGATGGGGGAGACAATTATGAATGCTAGAGCAAAGAAGGGGCTTTCCAGAAAAAACCTAGCACAGAATATGAACAAGAATCTGTCCATAATTGACAGTTGGGAAAGATGTGAAGCGGTCTATGAAGAAAAGATTGCAAAAGAGTTTGAGAAAGCTCTTGGGATTAAACTCGAAAGGAAATGAATAATAAACGATGTCTTTTATGGATTTATTTATTTGCCTATTTCTACTTGGGCTATATGATTGCTAGAACTGTGCATGATTTATTATTGGCATGCTGTTTGTCATGTTGCATGAATTTGTATTAAAGCAGATCAATATCAGTTGATTCAATTGACTCATCAGGTATAGGTGTAATAATGCTTTGGATTAGTGAACAATTTCTGTCACGCTGTTCATCGTAATAGTTTTCAATGAAATATTCTCTGTTGTTATTATTTTCTATGCATAATGAGTAAACCAAAGACATTGTTGACTTGTAGTGTATTTCACTGAATTCCAGAAGATTGAATATTCCAAGGGTTTTGAATGCATTCTGTACATCCTCTATGTGCCTACATGCATCAGAAAGCATGATTGCACTTGAATTGTATATCTGTTTGTCATTCAGCAAGGCGATCAACCGCGGAAACATTCCCTGGATTCGCGGATTGAGCACTGCTGCGCCATTAGAAAGAACAACTGAAAGTTCACATACAAGAGAATTCCTTTCTTCTGGACACTCAGATGCATCAATGTCATTCAGAGTATCTTCAGTTACAAACGGATACGGATTCACAATCCTGTCAATGCATTCCTCATCCTCTTGTGTCAGTTTGTCCCGCACCATTGGGGTATCTGAATCTAACGATTATGCAAACCTAGTTAAATCCACAGAATGTTTCCCTGGATGTCAGCCATAGAAAGACTGCTGACTGAGCATGATAACTTAATGAAGAGCAGAAAATACAAGTTTTATGCAATTCCGCTTGATAAGAAGCCAAGGGGATATGCTGCTAGGTGGGAATGCGGAATTCCAGGACCTAATAATCCGTTGTATAATTGCTCATACTATACTTTGTATATTGACTTTCCGAATGATTATCCATTTAGTCCTCCACAAGCAACATTCAAACACGAGGTGTACCATCCAAATGTATACTCTACAAATCAGGTCTGTCTAGATATCATTGGAGACAGATGGAAGCCAAGCATGAATGTGATGAATATTCTATGTGGAATACAACAGCTTTTAGAGATGCCTAACACTCGAAGTCCAGCAAATATTGATGCAAGCAAGTGCTTCAGAACAGATCCTGAGAAGTACGCAATTAATGTAAGAGAGAATATCATTAAGTATCACTCAAGACCTGAATGGAAAGGATTGTAATTTTTTATTTCAAACAGATGCTTTGAACATGTTGCAGTTGCTGTTGATAAGCTCCTTAAACTTTTCTATCTTGCTGCCGATTATCTTTGCATCGCTGCCAACTGGCTTCATGTCCTGGTCAACCATCACCATCGTGGGGAATGCAGATATTTGGAAATCTGCACACATGCTATTGAAGAATGGACAAGTGGAAGATAATGTGCCGTTGATCTCGAAGATGTCGACATTCAGGTCTTTTTTGGACTGGTTAAAATCTGTTTTGTATCTGTTGATGTCATCTTTAAGGTATCTGCATGGAGCGCACCCTTCGACAGAGAACTTTATGAACACGGCTCTTTTTGTGTCCTTTATCTTGCTTTTTAGCTGAGCAACGTTGAAGCCACTGCAGTCATGGATACTGATTGGCATTTGTAGGGGCAAGAATGTTTTGAAATCAAATAGATTGTTTTGTGACAGGATGATGTGAGATGAGTGTGTCATGAATTGATTATGTGTTTGTTTGAGTGTGTTTGAAAGAGAGTAGAGATGCGTTTGGAGCTGGGATGCATTTGCATAGATGTTAACGAATGAAAAAATTTACCCCTGATGAGCGAGGTTCAGGAGCTAATGGTAGAACCCGAGAAAACGACTACAATTGAGGATGCGCTTAAAAAGGTGTGTATGGTGTCCAGAACGTACTGCAAACTTAGCAAAGGAACCAAGGAGACGCTCAAGAAGATCCTTTCTGGACAGATGAGATTTGTGATGCTTGCAAAGGATGCAGATCAGAAGATAAAGACAATTGTGATGGATCTTGCAAGCAAGGCCAATGTGCCTGTGGTTCTGATTGAGACCAGGGCTGATCTTGGAAAGATTGTTGGTGTTGTTGAGATCAACGAGGAGGGAAAGAGCAGCGGCGGAAAGGGTTGCTCGGTGGCAGGAGTCCAGGATTACTGTGAGCAGACTATGGAAGCAGGGTTTGTGCAAGCAGCGCTACTGACGGGGGTTTTGTCTAAATAAATCTTGGTTTACTTATTTGTGTGATTGCTAATGAAGTTTTGCGGGGTGTGATTGATTGAGCATAAAGGGATATAGGGGAATGAAGGTATATACGAAAAAGCGAGGGCAGTGCAAATGAGCCAGGCCAGCATATCAGGAAAGAAGATGGTGATATATGGGGTTTTGTTTTTTGGTATGACGCTTGTTATTATTATCATAGGGTACAAGGTTTTTGAAAAGCAGTCTGAAACTGCTGAGTCGTCGAATGAGACTCCCAGGGCTGCTCAAAGGGTCAGAAAGAGAGTATCTGGGGAGTCTATAAAACCAATACTTTTGGATGAGAATGGGGATGAGGTACGTATGAGTTTAATTTCGATGAACTGGGATGACCTAAAGGCCATAGCAAGAGCAGTGAGTCACGTATACAAGGATGGGAAAGGTGCAACGGAAGGAATTAAGAACTTTATGATAGAAAGTAAGACGCTTCGTGGACTGAGTGACAATATGATAAAGGTGATAAATGGGCTGATCAAAAGGATTGATAGCTCAAATACTGGTGATGGTACAGCAGTGGGACTTTTGACTCATGGCATTATGATGTTCAATGATGAAAAGATGAATGCAACTATAAATCTAGGAGAGTCTTTGTTGATGAAGTATCAGAAGAAGATGATGCAGAGAAAAGCAAGGAAATAAACATGATTCATATATTTAGGTTTTAGGTGTTATTTGTGTTACTGCCTGTTATTAGATATGATTTGATTATATCAAGAGATACTTTGTTAAATAAGTTTCCATTACTGGCAAATGCGATTCAGGCGGTTTTTGATGTTTTGATGTATAAATATTGTTAAGGAGATAGACGCATTTAGTAAATGTTTTTGACAAAAGCTGTGGCTTGATAGAAGAAGTCTCCTTTTGCGATTGAAGTAAATTGGATTCAAAGTACTTAAGCAGTTTTTTATCAGATACGCAGATGAGTCACACAAATGATTGTATGAGCATGAAGATGAGCATCTCTAAACTGTTTTATGTGATGACATTCATTCTGTCTATAATGTGTCAATCGGCAAAACCTGTGAAATCCGTAACAAAAGCACCTGCAAAAACTGTAGAGAAACCATCTGCAAAGACTCGTTCAAGACCAAAACCAACCCCCGAAGAGATAAAGAAATTTAAATGTCCTTACGCCATAGATAATGGAATATTAGACAGTGAAACAGAAATAGAAATACGGTGCATGCCTGAAAAGTGGTGGAAATTCAACGTAAATGATACAGAGCCCATACTTCTGGATGAAATAATGGAAAGAAAGGATATAGCCTCATATTATGACAGTTATGTAGAAATGTCGTACATTGCCAAGGATCTTTCTAGTGATTTTCTTATGCTTATCAATGCACTTAAGGTTGCAGAGGCTCAGCTTCCAGCAGAGCTTAAATCCATAATAATGCCTTTTGTGAAATTCTTTGGTAAGTATAATCAGCAGGACTACTACTTTTTCATTGACTTAATCAATTGTTTGGTGTTCACAGCTTTCCATACACCTGATGGGATTCAATATGCGCAAAAGGAGATAGAAATTCAACACAATTCAAAAGTAGTGGCATAAATCAAATAAATACATGATTTTTAGTTGTTTTTATATTTAGTGCAGTAAAGAATGTAGCAATCAAATATTTGAGAATGTCTGGGGTTTCACAAGTGCGATGAGAAGTGATGAGGTTAGTGAGGAATTGAACAAAAAGCTTGATGAAAAGTGTGTGGAAGATATAAATGGCTGTATACATACTAGAGGTGAACACAAAAGACGTGAGCAAGAAGAGAAATCTAATGGAGATGAAAGCAAACAATTTGCAGATTCTGTTAGTGAAGATAAGATGACAAATGAGTTTGGCAGTGTTTTCAAGACGAATGTGGACATACAGTGCTTGAAAAGCAACAAAAGCATTTTTGAAAAGATGTCTAAAGAAGACGAGCAGCCTAAGCAAGCGAAGGAGTCTGGGTTTCTGAAGATGCATGTGCAGAAGATTGAGGAGCCAGTTACTGAGACAATTCCAGGAGTTGTTTTTCAGGCAAATGTGAATCTGCACAGGTTCCGTGAGGAATGGGAAGGGATTGGACCAGGGATTGTGTATGTGACTGATGTGAATGTAAAGCGATGCTTCTTTATCAGAGATGAGGTGATGCAGACTGCATTTGATTTTCTAGTGAAATACAATCTGCGCCCTGAGAGGAAGAAGTGCAGGGTATTTGTTGTTATCCGAGAGATGGACGACACAAAAGCAATTGAAAGGTTGTATTGCATTATATTCAAAGATGAGAATGAAGCGAGCAAATTTGTTGAAATGATTAGAGTTTGAGATGTATGGAAAATATGAGATTACTGAATCAACAGTTTAAGATGGATGAAAGAAATCACAATGTTAATGTTAATGAATCAACAGTTTGAATCAACAATTAGAATGTGGGAAATTAAAAGGATGAAATTACTGATCTGCGCATCAGCCAGTTTGAGATGGATGAAATAAGAAATAAATCAGAGTTAATGAATTCACAACCTAAACGTGAAATAATAAAGAAATCAGAGTTAATGAATGCCCTGTACATGAATAAGATTGTAGATATAGGAGAGTATCATAAGAATGTATGCCTTGAGTTTATTCTAATAAAGTGCCTAGAAATAAATAAGACAAAAGACAACGATGCAGTATCAACATGGCTGGTTGGGGATGAAAGCGGAACGATTGAACTTGGCTTGTGGAACACAGTTTTGAATGCTGGTGATGTTATATGCTTGAATGGAGGATACACTTCGCTATTCCAAGGAAGAAAGAGACTGTTTGTGTCCAAAAGTGGAACAATTAGCAGAGTCAGAACATTTAGAAAGATATTCAAAGTGAATGAGGAGCACATGGAATTCATGAGTTCTGATTCACACGCTTATTGATCAGCTTTATGTGCAAATCAATAGTAAAATGCAAATCTCTGCATAAGTATAAATAAACCGAATGGAAGAATTTATTGAACAACAAACTTAAATGCACTATCACTCAAGAAATCGCTGGAGAAGCCTTCTGAAACTCTTTGGGTCTGAGATCTCATATGCAGCAGATGATGTCTGGAGATCGCTTTTACCAACCTTCACTGTATATCCCTTGCACACTTCAAACATCTCTTCATCTGCAACATCGTCTCCAGCACATAAGACGAATCCTTCTTCAACACTTTCCATTGCAAATGACTTTTTCCCATTTCTAATCTCAACTATGTGATTCCCTTCCTTGACGCAGTCTCCAAATGCCTGCTTAAGCAACTCAAAAAATGCCTTGGCCTGCTTTACACCAATTAGAGGAGAAGCATTTCGATAATGGAATGCATATCCTGTCTTCTTGCTTTCAAGCTCGGACCCAGGCGTTCGCTGCAAGAAAAATTGTGCCATCTTGAACGCAAGCTCTTTTTGTGGAAATGATGTACGCTCCCTCCACTGGCCATCTACTCTGTGACATGCTCCATGCTCTGCAAACACTTCAACTTCTTTCGGGAAAAAAAGATCTGAGTCTTCAATACTTCTTCCAGTGGATATAACCACTCTACATACCTTACTAAGACTAACTAAAAGCTCCTTTATTTCCAGTGTAGGTGCTGCCATTGGAGGATATGCAACAATGTCAGTAACAGTTCCATCATAGTCCAGTACCAATGTCTTTGTGATGCTATTCTTGAACTCGCTTATCATTTTGATAATTGTTGGATCGTCAGATCGTTCAGGATCAATTTTTGCTGCTTTTCGTCTTTTATTTGCTTCTCTGCTTTCAGATGAACTCTTGGCTATAGGAATATCTGCCTGTTGCACCATCTCTAACGATCGTCGCACTCTCAGATCCTTCGGATTCAAATCAATTACATGGTTAATCCCAGATGCATATAACAGGTTCCTTATGAAGTTTTCTTTCCATTCTAGTTTCGATGGAATATCAATGAATTTATGCAGGTCTCTTCGTTCTTCATTTGTCTCGCCATTTATCTTATATTGTATTTCTTTGGCAACCTGCATGAAATCATGCACATTGCTCTGAATAACAGGAATACCCAGGAACAGGCACAAATCAAAAACTTCTGGACAGTGGCACACATCACAGTTCTTCAGCAACGACAGAAGCTCAAGATCACTTGTTGGCATAAAAAACTTTGTGCTCACATTATGGTTCGCTTCGAGATACTGCCCAAGTCTCATGACCTCAGTCAATCCATCAGGCTCTGCAGGCCTTATGTTCAGAAAAACAATAGTAAGTTCTTCATTATTACACGAAAGATATGATTCAACACCAAGGAGATGCGCTTGGGAATCAGGTGGCGCAATAACCATCTTTCCTTTCTTGAATTTACATTCTCCATCAGCTACTGTTGGTAAGCATTCAAGAACCGCATCCTTATCAAGCCCACGCCTTCCAATTCCAACTGATGGAAGCTTCAGATCTTTGTATTCAGGATTTCCAGATACAAATCCAGTCTTCTGTGAGACTAGAAGCTCAAAGCATGCCTTTGACTCCTCATCATTAAACTCAATGTATTTGCTGCACAGCATTGATAATAAGAGTCGTTCCCAGAATGGGATGCATCTGAAGAGAGATGAAAAAGGAATAAGGAAAGATATTCCTACAGGTACATCCTTCATCATCCCAGGAAGAAGAAGTAGACTATTGTCCTGTATCCACACAACATCACCTTCTTCATAGATCTCCATTACCTTTTCACAGCACTTCGAGTTGTAATCTACATACTCATCAAACAGCAATAAATGGTCAAGGTTCTTTTGTACAAGATCATAAGTATGTCCTTCAAGCGTCCTTCCCACAATGCCTGAATACAACACTTGATCCTCAAACACTGGGCAGCATTTATATCTTCTCATTGCATTTGCAATCATTAAGCGTTCATCTTCGCTAAAGCATCGGTGGTTCGAAAGCCCAATACGACCCACAAACCATACGTCATGGTCATCTAGCATATCAATCGACATAAAATGAGGTTTTGCAAACATACGGATTGTGTCGGTGCTTGCCTCTGAAAACTCAATTTGTATTTTGCTTGATCTGTCTCTATGCGAAATATTCTTCAGCATTGCAGACATCGAATGCTTGATTGCTATGTCAGCATCTGTGCGAGATGCAAATATCGGCAGTTCATCACTAACTATGATAATCTTCATTCCTTTAGGTGTCCAGATGCTCTAAATACCCAGCAATATACATTCTAACAAATCGGATTCTCACATACCAATCCAGTAGCTAATCATTTGCTTGATGGTTTTGGCAGCTCTGAACAATTCATCTGCTTCAGAAACACAATCACTTAACCAATCGCTTATTCTTCACATCAATCATAATGCATTCTTCTTGTTTTGTTACTCGTCGTTTGGCTGCTTTGTTGCTCTGGAAGTATTCGGTTTGCAGTCCATACATCTGCAAGAATGCATTCGTTGATTGTCTTGCATTGTCGAGTGTTGAGAAGTCCATTGACCTTAATGAAACAATCATAGACTCAATATCTGCGATACAACACCGTTTTATGCAACTTTTCTTATATACTTTTGTATTCCCATACACAAGAGATCCTTTGACAAAATCAGTCCTGCATAGAAGTGCATCAAACATCTCTGTAATGCTTCCGTTCAAATGCCTTGAAATCTTTTGCTTTGGATCGTCTTCAAAATACACAAGTTCATCTTCATGCTCAAATGGATATGAAATTCTATCGTAATTATTTGACCACACATGCACACTTCCATGATGCTCTTCAAAGATCGAAATCCAGTAGTTCAGCAAGTCTTCAGGCATTCTAACTCGTTTGTCTTTATTCAATGAACTGCTGCCAAATACATATTCATTTTTTGGATAACTAAAGCATGATGTGATTCTGGGATTTATGCACTTCAGAATCGAAAGCATGAATCTTCGCGCATGACCTTGCTCATATCCTGTAGAATCCATGCACTCAACATATACACGATCCTTTACTATTTGCAACACAATAACAACAAGAAATGTATCATGATTCATCAACAGGCAGACATACTTTCCACCTGCACGTCTAATATGAACGCCAAGTGTTGAACTGCCTTGTGCATCTTCCATACGCATTCTTACCTCTGAATCCATCTGGGGCATATTCAACTAATGATTGGCTCATTTAACGAAGCAATAAAGCAAATGAACAATTCTATTTCTATAATAGAAGAATGAATCGAAATCAACTAGCCAGGAACGCCCTTGCATGGATTGGGTTGCAGAACTCAACGCCAGAATTGATATCCAAGACGCAAAGTATATCTCAATGGTGTTTAACACATCCAGACAATGGCCTGCTGATATAGACTGCTCAGTAATAAATGAAGTCAAACAACCGTTCAGCGCTCTTCTCAAACTGCACCACGCTATTCATGTTGAGAAAGCATATGGACTACTTGAACAGCTTAGTAATGGAACAATAAAGCACCTTGGAAAAGAGCATTGGGCTTCTTGTATATCAAAGACGATATTCTATGGAATATTCCAACTGAGAGTACCTGCAGGTATCAGGAAGATCAGTAGATTGCTATACATCTCGCACAAGGCTCTGTTGCAGGATTGTAGCAGTACATTTTTTTACATCACAAACATGCTTCTTGAAACATACAGAGATACAGGAGAGCTTGAGCTTGCTGAAGACGTGTTTAGAAACATCAATCCACCAGTCAGGAAAACCAGAGAATACTTTACGTTTTACTTCTATAAAGGAGTGTTTGCACTATACTCAGAAATGTTTGAAGAAGCATATACGCTGTTTCAGATAGCATTTGCATATAGAAGAGGGCAAAAGACAATTGCACCATTTTATTTTGTATCATCCTTACTCACTAGCAGATTCCCTAAGTACAAGTACCTCCAAAGGTTTGACTGTTTATATCTGCTTGAGTTGGCGTGCTCAATAAAAAAAGGTGCATATTCCAGCATAAACAGTGGTATTGATTTAGCATTTGCTAACATCCAGGATTATACCATTTACAGAGTGCTCACAATACACTGTCCGCTTATATGTCTGTCTAACCTAATGCATCAAGCATACATGGATCATGGAAGCGACAATAAGCTTGAGATACAGTGGATTGCAAATGCAATTGGAGACTCTGATCTCAAGGAAACGATATGCTTGATAAGCAATCTAATAAGTTTGGGACGGATCAAAGGATACATATCAATTGCCAAGATGGTAGTGGTGCTAAGCAGAATAGACCCGTTTCCCTCTTCAGTCCACTAAGTATCTGGTGATTTATAAATAAATCGATTTTGCAAGTTGATACGCTTTTTTACTTTCTACTTCGCAAGCTCTGCTGATAAACCCAGGCTATCAATAGATACACCTTTCAGGTTTTTGATGAGATTCATTGCATCATCTTTCGATGCAACTGTTACAAATGCAAATCCCCTGAATACGCCTGTCTCCTTGTTCATAACAAGATTTGGGCTCATGAATGAAACATTTGTATTAGCATCAATCAGTCTGTATAATCTCTCTCTAGTCATGTCCAATGGAAGATTCGAGATTTTTACGCTGCAGGGCTCCTGGCGGTTCATTGTTGGCGGTATGTATGCATTTGATACAGTCGGTGCTTCAATGACAGGCTTGTATGGCACTGAACCTAAGTCGTTTTCTTTTACACTTGAGTCTACTTCTGTGGTGTATAATGCAAATGCTGGCGCTGTGGTATGCTTCATGACACGTATCTTGCTGGAGTCTCCAAATGGCTGGATATTCTTTCTAGATTTGATTCCTTCAGTATCTGGCTCAAACTTTAGTATTTCCATTGGGATTCAAAATTGTTTGCTTTTGTGCCAACCATTAAGATTTATGCTAAGCATTAAGAGTTAAATGAAATAGCTGATTAGGAAGACAATTGAAATGATAAAGGCATGTTCTAAAATGCACGCCCACCATTATTTTATTATACATGTTTCAATATGTTTATTTACATTCCCAGATGTTCAAGCACAAACTGAGACACTTTCTTATTCAATGCCTTGCATACAATTCCTCCTGGTGCAAGAATCCCTCCGTTTTGCACTTTCTTGGTAGCGCAGTTCGGGTAGAACATCTCGATACATTCATCCATCCATATTGATGGACTGGACTCTTTCCAAAAAGGTCTTTTGAGCATTACATCTCTACTACAGCCTTCATCAACAATTGGATCAAATGAATAGTTATAGTAGCCTGGAAAACGACGTTCGTTGCATGAGTCGTGGCGTTGTGCTGGCGCACAGAGACTCGGATTGCTAGATGACTCTGCAGGTCTAAGAATATCATTAGGCATCCAAGAATCATCACAATGAAGCTTATCTGTTGTCTCAGATACATTTATTTTTGTGCACACAACAGTGTTTCTGGAATTATCTGAATTTGCTTCTGAAGAGTCATTATAAGTGTGTGCAAGAATCTTGCCTAGTCTTTTATGTCCTTTGTGCACATCTTTAGGATTATGGAGTGAAATGTTTGGAACATGAATGAAACAACATCTTTTGCCATATGGACAACTGCCCTCCTCCCAGAATGTCTTGCACGTTTCTGTCTTGTACTTTGGATGTCTTTGAACATATCTTAGCTCAGCTTCGCTGTGTGCAAACTGACATTTGTCTCCGTATTTACAGTAACCCACTTCAGAATGACTCCTGCACATTTCTGTCTTATATAGTTGGTATTTCTTGTTATAGTGTGTGCTTTTTGTAGAGCTGGTGTATGTGTTATTCGTATCAGTATTTGATTCACGTAAGTTTATGAATGTTTGTCTCTTGTTGTGACTATTTGTTTGCTGCTCTGTGGTTTTACTCACCAAGACTACTGAAGACTGAATATATGTGCTTCTGCTTAGTTGCCTTGGCTTATCGATATATACAGAACACATACAAACATCAGTCAATTGTGCAAGGTCTGTTCGCTTGTTTATACACTTACATTTGTGCCGAAACTCTACGTCAGGATCGGATATCTGGATGCTGTTTGTTTCAATCTGCCACAGGCTCTCCCTGTTTTTCCCTCCAAATTCATACATGCACCCTGTTATTGATGCTCTGCTTGATTTGTATCTGATAGAACATGATTAAGAGATAAATACCTTGATCGATCAGTTAATTAAATCATAGATACAGATTATGCATCAGTAAGATCAATAATGCCACATGCTCATTATTATGAAATATTCAATAATGATCGCTATATCTTGGTTATTATGAAATATTCAATGTACGTATTAGTGTATACTGGCTACTATAACACACAATACATATTACTATAACACAAATGCATGAATTTATGCAAGCATCGCATTATCTACTTGTTACAAATACTATTGTTCAACAGTACCTTGTATATTCCAAATTTTCTTATTCACATGCACACCATTGTGCAAATTGACTTAACTACCAAATTACATCCATATCAGCACGTATTGATATAAACCTGAACTGATCAATTCATCAGTGTAATATATCTGCTCATCAACAACACTTCTAAATCTATCATGCATACATCAAATTCAGAAATACGAATGCATTAAAAGAACATTCTTCGTTGCATAAACATATATATTCAGGGCTCGAGACAATTTCAATGAAGATCGTCGGATTACTCATAGCTTGCGTTAGTGCAATCAGTGCAATGACAATCACATCTATCAAGGTTAGATGCGAATTTAAAGACAAGCCCTGGCTTGTGTTCACCGAGGAACGCTCTTTACTTCCATACATGCTTACTACTGAGAATCTCCCTGCAACAAGAGAATACCTTAGAGCAACTGGAATTCAGAGAGCATATGTCTTTGGATGGAATGGAGAATATACGAAAGTCATCCCATTTGTTGTTGAGGCAGCAGCAGGCTCAGTCACGCCATTCATAGCAGACAGAAACACTGCAGAGTACATTCTGTGTGTTGGTGAATGCCCGTGCCCAATGGCAGGTACCCAAGGAAATGCAGTACAGATAGTCGGTACTTCTAATGGAAGGTCTGTCATCCGTGTTAACCCTGGAAATAACAACAGTGTGAATCCATGCTTTGAAGACAAGAAGACACGCAGATGTGAAGAAGAATCTTCATGCAGCGAGGCAGGTGTCAAGTGCTACGACTTCGTGTCTGTCAAGAAGGAGAAGTGCGGATTCTCATCTGGATACAGGAGGTTCCCGAACAGGAAGCTTGAAATCACCGAGAGCTTGAAGGACTATGTGTTTGACATCAAGACATTACACAGGAAAGGAGATACCATTGTCAATGTGACCTCAAAAAGCAACAAGGAAAAGATTGAGAAATTCGTGATCACGAAGAACGGAGAAATCAAGGGAACGGACAACAAGAAATGCAAGATTGATCCTCTACCCAGGTGCCTGAAGAACCCAAAGAAACTTTACAAACTCAAGCAATGCATTGAGGCAAGATTTAATGGCATGAAGGTGTGCATGTACGTCAATGACAAGTGCGAGATATTCGTAGTAGTGCCTAAGGGCGATGCATGTGTGGCCTACAAGGTCATAATCAAGGGAGATGGAAGGAAAGAGAAGATTCGCTTGGGTAAACAGATCAGAGGTAACAGGCTCCGTGAGTTGAAAAAGAATGGACTCTTTGGTGTTGAATTTGCTTCAATCGATTGCAATTGATTGTAAATAAAGAGAGTCTGTAAAAGTTTGTGTGTTGATTTGTATGTAAATGTATATGCCCTGAATGCAGCTTGGACATTTGCTTGTTGGCCAGGTAATCATATGGGTTTCACTTGGGATGCTAGTGGCAGCGTCGGAAGGGAAGGCTATTCAGCGAATTATGACTATGATTGCAAATGCATCTTTCTTGCGTGTGTCTGATTCAAAAGGTGTTTTTTGCTTTTTGTTTTCATTTGCAATAATAGGATTTGGATTTATGCTGGAGGTTGGGCGCTCGATCACAAAAATAAACAAGAATGAAAGGATGAAGTATAGGATAATGAAAGCACAAAGGGGATTTGCATTTATGTCGCTGGTTCTGTTCATTAACTTTATCAGTGCATACATATTCAAATCATTGAATGTAAGAGCAACGAACCTACTGGTGCTAGGACTTGTGAGCCATGTGATGTGCTCGATGTCGTCGTTTTTAGGCATGGAGGTATTGAATACTTTCTTCTACATGAACTTTGTGCTGTCAAACATTGCAGTGCTGCTGCTTACGTACATACTTGGTACAGAAAGAATGTTTGTAGCATTAGGGAGCTGTTTTGCAAAGTTCAAGGCATTTAGTTGGTTTTAATGAATTAAAGTGTTTATTTGCAGGATGTTGATGTATGTGATGTGCTCAAAGTAAGTATGATTGGTGAATGATTTAAATGATTGGATAAGGCACTTTGGAATGATGATAAAACAACACGTGGAATACAAGGCATGAAGCTTCTGGTTGTAAGTAATCGTTTGCCACTGACAGTAAAGAGAGGAGAGGATGGATTTGAATACAAGCAAGCAAGTGGAGGACTGGTTACGGGACTCAAGAGCATAAATGATAAAATCAGGTTCAAATGGATTGGAAACATAAGTGGTGCAGATCTGTCTTCAGAAGAAAAGGAAATCATTAAGAAGGACTGCTGGGACAGGTTCCATTCAATCCCAATCTTTATAGATCCTGAACTGAATGATCAGTCATACAACGGATTCTGTAATGCCATTCTATGGCCAATGCTCCATTCGTTCAAAGACGATATAACATTTTCAATGACAAATTATAATGCCTATGTTGAGTATAACAAGATCTTCAGCAGCAGGATATGCGAGATTGTAGAAGACGGCGATGTTGTATGGGTGCATGACTACCATTTAATGTTGCTTCCAGAAATGCTAAGAACCATGTCCACAAAGACATTCAAGATTATGTTCTTCCTACACACTGCATTTCCAAAGGCTGATATGATAAGAGCGCTTGAATACAGGAGACAGTTAGCAAGTGGAATAATGCACAGTGATCTCGTTGCATTTCATTCATTTGAATATGCACTCAACTTCAGAGACGTGTGCATTGAAAATGATGTGGAATGTCTGGGTAGAATAGACGCTATTCCAATAGGCATTGATCCAGAGATGTTTAGAAGTGTTTTACAACAACAAATAACAATACAGAGAATAGGAGAACTCAAAGAAAAGTTTAGAGGTAAGCAGATTATTCTTGGTGTTGACCGAACTGACTATATAAAAGGAATGCCACACAGAGTAAAGGGACTGCAGAGATTCCTTACAAAGCATCCTGAGTTTGTTGGAAATGTTGTTTTTATGCAGGTTGGCGTGCCAAGTAGAACCAATGTCAAAGAGTACTCTTCATACATCACAAAAATGAATGAGTTGGTTTCAGAGACGAATAGCATGTTTGGTTCTATTGAGACTGCACACATCTACTTCCTGAGCAACAGTGTTGACATAAACGAGTTATGTGCTTTGTATGCAGTCAGTGATGTACTGCTTGTGACATCACTCAGAGACGGGATGAATCTCGTTGCTCTTGAATACATTTCATGTCAGAATGAAAATAATGGCGTTCTTGTATTGAGTGAGTATGCTGGTGCTGCAACAACGCTTCCTGCATCTCTTGAAATGAATCCGTGGAACACTGAGGAAATAGCAGACACAATTCACAATGCATTGACAATGCCTATGGATGAGCGTGTTGAAAGGCATAAGATCAATTCGAATGCAGTAGACACATTTACGTCTGTGAAGTGGGCAGAAAGGAATCTTGATGGGCTTTGCGATGACTGGAGAGACTCTCTAATGCTTTAGTAAAAGTTGTATGTTGTATTGTGATGATTGAATAAATCGATTGTTTCCATTTGTTATTGTGAGTTATTATGCCCTTCGAATGATTTTGTTAGTTTCACTTATAGCTATGATACAGATGGCATCTGCAACCTTGTTCCGCATGGATGCAGGGACAAGCGTAGAAAGCTCTCAGAAGCTCAAGGGACAAACTGTAGTGCTTATGCAAACACGGCTGCTACACCGTTCATCATTTAGGCATGAGTGGAAGGAGGCAGACGGCATCAATGCTGGTGTTAGACTTACCATACACAAAAGCGACGGAGACTATGAGGAGGCAGATGCCGACCAAGGAAATATGGTTTTTAAGGACCTAAAGCACGGTGTGTCAAATACGTTCTTTTACACAACTCCTGAGACTGGATACTACACCATGGTGTTTTCTCTTGATCCAGGTATTAAGGGAGAATTTGCGCTTGAGTTGTTTATTTTCGCAGGAAGGGCGTGGACGCCATCTATAGTGTCTGGGACAGACTATCAGATGGAATGGCTGTCAAAGAAGATGGGCGATCTTTTATACTTTGCAAAGAATAACTTTGATCTGCAGACTCTGGATGATCACGATGAAATGGAGTATGTTGATTTGTACAATAACATATTCAAGCTAGTTAATAGAGTTGTGTTATTGAAGATCTTTGCAATATCAATCACACTGGCATACATCGATAAGAAGTCAAGAGACTTTTATGTGTCCAAGAGAATAGTGAAGAATTAAACATTGTCTTTCTTAAGATTTATAATGTACTTGGATATTGAAGAACTATATTGTCTTTCTTAAGATTTAATACTTTTATATCCTTGATTTACAGCTTTTTGCCCTTTGATATGTCTATGACCGAAAATCCCGGGGCTTGCTTTCTTTCTGGTTCTGTATATGTTGGAGAGCCAAATGGAACAAACTTAGGAAACATTACTTTCTTACGGATGCTCTTGATGCTTTCAGAAACATCCTTCTGTCGATGATCAAAGCGGACAGACTCGAATATCTTCAGGGCCTGTGCATCACCAACATAATAGGATACCTTGTTAAATGCATCTGTTACAGTCATGAATGTGGCCATGAATTCATCTATAATACACTCAATCTCATTTGCATCTGTGGTACAGAAGTAATCAATTACTGACTTACGCCTTGCACGGCTTTTCTTATGATCATCAAGGATGCTTCTGTTTAGGTATGTAGGAACATTCAATGACGGAGAGTTTGGTATTGACATTGTGTGTTTGTTGTCACTTTGTCTTGTATCTACAATCATTCCATTTGGAGCAAGTATATCAACCTTGCACTTCACATTTCTTTTCTTGAATGGATCCATCACTGGCATGTCGCAATCGCCTTTCTTTGGAATGCTGCTCAATGTAACATCTAGCTTGTGAATCTTTGTGAGATGCGCCAAAAGCTCTGTTTGATATGTAAATGCATAACACTTATTTGCAAGGCATTGATCAAACATGCAACAGTAATGTGCATTCCTGTAATGACTTTCAAGATCCTTGAAGTTTCTATAGTACTTATATTTAAGTCCAACCATATCGCATATCTGGCACATTTCATGCTCTATATTACAATGCTGCCTTGCATTGTCTGCATCATAGAGATAACTCTTGCAATGAACACAAAACACGTGTCCGATGAATCCTTCTTCTCCAAGCATTCCATTTCTGTGGTCCTTGATAGTGGAGCTTTTGTACAGCTTGAATTCATCCCAGAAATCCTTTCTTCCATAGATGCATTCAGAACACAGAACAAGTCCGTGCTCAGAGTAATGTTTTCTGAGCTGTGCCAGTGTTGAGCATGTTTTAAGACACTTTTGGCATTTGCTTGATAAAAGATCTTCGACATGCTTCTTAACAGCATTACTTTCATAGACAATCGTGATGGATGTCTTTATCTCCTTTAGTGGTTTGTGAGTTTCTGATTTATTAATTGCTTCTGATGTATTGAATCGAAGCGTCTTTGTAGTGGTCTTGCACAATGGACAGTTATGCTGTTTGTACAACACCACAAGTCTTAATGAGCATCTGATGCATATGCAATGGCAGCAATCGTAAGATGCATATATTTCAGAATGGCAGTCACATATCTGGCAGTCCATGGGTGTCTGGTAGTTTGATGAAATGAACAAGTATATGATAGAATATCATGTGAGAAAGAGGCAAAATGAATTGCAAGAATTCTAGACTGAATTTACACAAAACGAAGATGACAGGACTCGAACCTGTGAGGACAGAGTCCACTGGTTTTCTAGACCAGCGCCATAACCACTCGGCCACATCTTCTAAACATTATACAAGAAGGAAAACACAGTCATGTAAAATGAACATCGCATATATCTTATCGTAAATAAACGTACCGTATAATTTAACATAACTTCTAATATAAATACTTTATACATAACCTTTTGTTATAAGTTATTCTATGCATGAATGTAACATATTTGCAACCCACTAATGATGCCCTAATATGGATGCAAACTCAATCCAAAGGCCATCATCAAGAATAAGATTGCATACACAGGAAGACTATTCACATAAGATGGATGACAAACTCAACCAGGATCAAGCAAATTCCGAGTACATCATCACAAAACGATACAAAACATACTCAGACAAAGAAAAGATATACTGGACACCGGAAGAAACGATTGCACTCGTCAAAGGCATCGAGGAGTTTGGAAAAGGTAACTGGAAAGCCATACTAGACAAGTATAAGAATGTTTTCCATAGCAACAGAAGACACACACACCTGGCTGACAAGTACAAATCAATGAATAACAACACATCATACTACAAAGTACAAAATATGCCAATTGTTCATACAGATGAGAACGGAGACGATCTACACAATGCACTTGGAGAAAGAATCGTATACTCCGCAAAATTCCCATCTGAAGTTGCAAGAACAATTGCATTAAAATCTCTGTCTAAAGAATCAGAAAGCTGCTTAATACATCTCAAGCACGAAAAAGACAGTGAAATGGTGATGGACAAATACTATGCATCTTTCAACAGCGGTAGAGTGCGAATCAGAAAGGTATGCAGCGCAATCCTTCAAAAACCACAGAATACTGTAAATGAAGATAAGAAAAACCCAACATTATAAATTACTATAAATTCATTTATTTCTCACTCATCCATCGTAACCGGAATCCCAGATATAAGCTCGTTGCCAACAACAAATGTTTCTTTCTTCAGCTCAAGCAGGATCGGAGACTTGCATATTGGGCATGTCTGCTGCCTTTCACACCACATCTTCAAGCATCCAAGGTGAAAGCAGTGGCCACATCCAAGGTTTTTTCCAGATGCCAGGTCATCTCTGCAAATCGCACAGAACCCATCTCCAGTCCCATCCGTGCATTTCTCAAGATCTTTGCACAGCTTGATGTATCTAGCAAATGTCTTTATCTTCGAAATAAGCGCATCAAGTATTCCAAGTGCAGATCGGAATAAATTCAAAGGCAGCCTGTAACTAAGAGACGTAATCCCAATAAACACAACATATGCCACAAACGTAATACTCATGTACACAATATCAATATAAAAGTTGATCTGTGATCGCTTTTCCTCATCTTCATAAAACGACATATTCATCACAAATATGTTCTTGATCGATGCTATCACAAGAAGCATATACTCAAAAACAAACAAAATGTGCCCGCTCATGCGTGTCATACATGACATCATAAACATGCATCCCACAATACATGAAAAAGCACATATTCCATAAGCGAGGTAATATTGCTCTTTCGCTGCTTCTCTCTTGATTCGTATTCCCAGCAGCCAGCTCAATGATTTGATACAAAGAAGCATTGCAAACAACATTCCATTTTTGAAATTGATGTCGCCGTCAAATGTAGGCACAACAAGCAGAAAATCAGTCAGAAAGTACAGTAGAGACTCATGGAAGCTGGAAACTTCCTCGAGCCTAAGGCTCTTAAACACGGACCCAACGATCACATTTGTCAAGAAACACATGACAAATATCAAAAGGAGTACATGGAGAATATGAACAATGCTGTTATTGGTCGTGGTCGTAAGCACGTTATACATCGTTGGGCTTCTGTAGCCAGCCTTCATCGTACATACTGCCAACAATACAAGGTGGGCAATTCCATACGACATGGCACGCTTCATATCAGGGTAAACACACATGTTGCCGATCAAATAACAAACTTACTGAAACTCAAAACACAAATATCCATTTACTTCTGTTGAATGTCTATTGAAACCACTTCAAAATTGGGTATTTCATAACTTTCATCATTCATCGGCTCCATTCGTCTTTTCCAACATACATGGCATACAGATGCATACTTCTCACTCCCAGGCATCTCAATGTCAATCGTTGGCCCAGATGTGCTAGGCTTACCATCTATATATCTCAAATGGAATCGTGCATTCTCCTTGCACATTCCACACAGCACCTGAATTTCATTCAGTTCGTCACTTAATTCAATAAGGCGCTTGGATCCATCAAACAAGCATTTCTTAAAGTCTGTCAGAAGTCCATAGCACCAAACAGACACCCCGTGCACATCAACAACCTCTCGTAAACTCTCAATCTGCCAGGAGCTTAGAAACTGTGCTTCGTCAATAAACACAATATCAACTCCTTCGTAACAGACATCTCTTGCAAAATCAAACTCACTTCCAACACTAAGATCACAGTTCATCTCCATTCCACACCTTGACTTTATTATATCAACCTTACATCTAGTATCTGCTTGCGGTTTGATCAATAAAACTACTTTCCCACAGGTCTTGGCGTGCTTGGCTGCCAGAAGCATGTTGGCGGTCTTTCCTGCAAACATTGGCGAATGAATAAATCTCAATCTTCCTCTACTCATTCAATATCCAAGGGATCGCACATTGTGCTACTTAACACAAACATTCACTCTAATCAAGCATTTATGCATAACCGAAGATTTATCAGATTTTACATTCCATACATATTCTCAGCAAAAACACTGTTTCATAACACTACATATAAAACATACAACAGAACACATCTATAAATGCCAGATTATGAAAATAACCATTCAAAGAAAATAAACTGGGGACTCTCACAGATACTACTCATTGCTGTTCTTTATGCAACAAGTATAGCATGCGTCTTCATAAGCATCCAGCCATTACTGGAAATGGACTTCGAACCTAAAAACTTCATAGGCATTTTCATTGCCTTCTTTCACGGCTCATACATGCTTGGGTTCATGTCAATACACAAGAAAAGCCAATTCGTGTTCTGGGCATCTAGCTACACTCTTCTATGCATAACAACAATCCTTCTGTACTGTTACAACGACCTGTTCTTGCAGTCTCCGGCATCATGAGTAACAACACAATCAATAAACTTAGAAAATATTCAATTAAGATTCATTCAAGCTTCACTATCCGAAAGACATATCTCTGGTATTCCTCCACAAGTAATACACTCTCCCGTGCATTCAACTTCTCCCTCTCCAAAAAAATTCACCTCCTTTGCATCAGGAATCGCAACCTTCTTCTTCAGAAAGTATTGCCCCAGCTCCTCAAGCACCGCATTCGATTTCTTTGCATTAAAATTCCCATGAACTATCTTAATAAACCCACTGTATATTGATGAGTAAATCCACCTCAGCGTGCTTGGAAACGTCATTGCAAAAAATTTGTTCAAAACCTTCTCCTTTTTCCTTCCTATTGCCAGATCTCTTTTCAGCCTAACAGACAGAATCTTAGATGCGCAGTGCCCCATAAACACCTTCAATATCTTAAAATCTCCCATATCCATCTTCCTATCAACAAACTCCTCTTTAATATCTTTACTGCTGTTATACGGATCAAACTCTGCAATATTGAATATCTTCTCGTTGATCGTGTTGAATGCAAAAATTCCCTCAATAATCAGCACTCTTGGCTTTGGATTCGGCCTTTTCTCATACTTTACTGTTGGATTGTACTTCACCTTATAATACACACTATGCTCAATATATGGCTTCTCATCACGAATTGCTTCCAACACCTCAAATACACTTTCCCAGTTCAGCGAAGCAGGATTGTCAAAGTCGTATTCCTCATTAAAACTTATGGAGTCAAAATAAAACGCATCAAGTGCAAGTATATGTGAGTTTATTCCATTCTCACCCAGCATCCGATGTATACTCTTTGCAAACGTGCTTTTTCCAGATGACGTTGCTCCTTGTATGCATATAATGTATCTTCTGCTAGGATCATAACATCCATCAAAGTATTTGTAGATTACCTGCCTCAGATCCTTCACCCCTCTTCGGCATTCAGTCACATCGTTCAATTCTTCTTCAACCATGTCAATTCCTGCGTCCTTGAGCCATCCCTTAATACACATGTTTAAATATTTTTAAAACGGATATTTTTTACTATAAACTTGAAATCGGCTTGAAAATGTTGCTCTCAGCAATCCGCTTCTTAAGACACTCAATGTCAATTGCATCTCCTCCAAGCTTTTCAAACCCAATCACCTGGTCAACAAAGTATCCGTCTTTGAAAAACCCAAGAAACGGAAGAACACGAATCTCAAGCTTTTTAGCAACAACAGGGCATATATCTGCGTCCACCCTGTAGAATGATATCTCAGGAAAGCTTCCTTGTACCTCATCAAGCATCTTGTCCATTATTGCACAGCGTTTGAACTCTGCCTTCTGAAAATGTACTATCATTGTCATAGTCTTTGTTTTCTCTATCAGCTCCTTTTCTGAACATATCGTAACCACCTTTGCAGAAAGCTCCTGCATTCTTCGCTCACGGTATCTTTTGAACACTTCGTCATCCAGCACCCAGTCAACCTCATCAGTTTCTAAAGGCATAGGATGATCTGATTTTTTGCTTAAGGCTTGCTGCAAGAGCACAGTTACAGAACATCCGAGAAAGCTCGATTTGTACAGAGCATAAACCCCTGCAATGGATAAGCTGAAAAACACACTTAAAGAAGCTAAGGTACATCATGCAGAACAGAGCGTATTTCCTTGCCTTGAGGTATGCAGAGCATCAGAAGTACCCAGGATATTACCAATCAATACATTGGACAACTTGAACGAGGTTCTCAGAGAGTTTGAATTTCCAATCATTGAGCAACGAATGCTTGATGATCACCTGGCATTGATAGACGTTCTTAACAACCTAAACATTGAATACGGGAGATACGGACTGCAATTTTCGGCAGAAATGGACAGTCTACGCAGCAAGCAGGAAGAGCTGGCTTTAGTTGCAGAATGTGAAAGAGAATGTGATGTACTAGAAGTTGAACTCGCAAACATAAAGCAGAAATACGATGAAGTCGAAGAGCTCAGTCACTACAACATTGAAGACTTGAAACATAGGCTGTGTGAGCTTCGAAAGTTATTCAACGATTCTGAATATGAAAAGCAACATGGAGATCTAATTGAAAAGACACTTGGATTTATGAGACTAGAAAATAATTGTGATGAAAGCATTGCAGGAGCACTTAGATACATAAAAGAGTCAAAAACATACACATCATGTATTGAAAGGATGATTGCTGAAAACACAATTAGATCCGCAAAAGACTCACTGAATAAACATATCTTTACAAAGCTTATTTCACAGGAGCACGTCCAGTTATGCGATCTTGAGCATGCTTTGAAAATCGATAGACAGGGTCTGCTCAGGATAGTTTATGGTTTGCTTAGTAAAGGGATCATCATATTTGATCGAGCAAAAGACAGAATATCAATCCAAAGATAAAGATAATCAGCATCAATATCCTTACAAAATTACTTAATGCAACTCTTATTGTTCAAACAACACAATACTACATGCCATTAAATACCATTTAATTTTATCCAGAAATATTCTCCAGGCACATACACAAAGTTTCTCATTAATTGTCATAAACAGGCTCCACTGTCTTTCCACTCTTTACTTCTCCATGCCCGATCAAACGCCAATGCCCTTGAACTTTCCTAGAAATCGCTATTCTTTCTCCGATCTCACAACATGCAGGTTTTACAAGATCAAGCGAAAGCATCTCTTCACTCATTGCTCGGATTACTCCTCCTGTAGTCGTGCTTCCTATGTTCACCAGCACCTGCTCATCATTTTTTAGTTTTGTACTGCTTTGAATACTTGTCTTCTGAAACAACTTATAATTAACATCAATTTGGCAGAATATCGATGGCAAATGTCCTAGCAGTCCCATCACCTGTCCAACTAACTTATCAGCCTTACAGAAAAACGGATCCATAGTAGTCCCGACTCCTATAAGTCCTCCAGGACATGCTTCTTCAAGAGACGTGCTCTCTGCCTTCAATGAAACCACCTTAGAGACAAACGGCCTGCATACAAATTTACTTCCATTCTTAGTTATTGATCCAGGTCTTATCTCAATCTCGTCTCCTGTCTTCAGTAAACCAGTAACCAGACTACCTCCAATAACTCCTCCGCATAAATCTCTGACACATGTGCCTGGCCTGTTCACATCAAAGCTCCTAATCACAACCATCTTGGGATGCGCTTTGTCGTTTCTGATAGGCTCAGGAATGTAGTTCACAATAAAATCAAGAATTGCAGGAATATTCACACCTACTTGGGCTGCCGTTGGAACCACAGGCCCAAACACATTCGATGTTTTCAGAAACTTCTGTATCTGCTCGTGCTGCTCTAGTGCCTGCTCCCGTGAAACAAGGTCTATCTTATTCTGCACAACAAGCATCTTCTTCAAGTTCATTATCTCCACCGCAAATAAATGCTCAATCGTCTGTGGCTGAGGACATGGCTCATTCGCTGCAATCACAAGCAACACTGCATCCATTATTGCAGTCCCATTCAACATAGTTGCCATCAGCACATCATGTCCTGGGCAATCCACAAAAGACACATGCCTTACAAGCCTAAGAATTCCCCCACAGTTATTACACGGCAACTCATCAGGTGTAGAACTACTAAACGACTGGTAGCAGTTCGGTCTTATACATTTGGAATCACATTTGTATATCTTTGCATTTGCATATCCCAACTTTATCGTAATGTTTCTTTCAAGTTCAGTCTTGAATTTAATCGTGCTTACACTGCTTATTGCCTTCACAATCGTAGACTTTCCATGTGCAACATGTCCAATCGTTCCTATGTTAAGCGTGGCTTGTTTCTTCATTACCTCAGAAGCATCTCTCATTGTTCCAGGGACAAAAATGCAGCAATAATTCGCTGATAAAAAATTGCCTTAGCCAACTCTATCAGCACATTAACAAGACCAAGTCATAAAAACACACATTTTCAAAACACAGGAAATAACCAAACTCACTATACATTTAATTACATCGATTCCTAGAAAATCCATCATATGCCTTGCATCCTTCAAGATATAAATCCCAGCATTTTTCAATACTTCGAGATATCCCATCAAACTCACTAATGCATTGCTGGTAGAAATCATTCACATTTTCTTGTGATTTGGAATACTTCTTATACATATAATCCACAGATCTTTGATACGGAATCTTTAATGTCTTGGATGCATGTTTGATGTTTGTCTTCGTAATAGGCAGTTGCCTGGCTATGAAAAACTCCTCAAGCGCAACTATCTGGTCTATAGAAAGAATCTTGTACTGTCTGACATTCTTTTTCCACACACTGCTCTTTTCGCAATCACTTCCAAAACTCTTTTCTGCATACTCATTGTCATTCTCGCTGGCAAAAAGTATGTTGGACAACCTTATATCATCTCCAATGCCAAACATACAGGGAGGTGCACTCTTATTGCAAACCTATGCTATCTATGATTTCCTTATTAGGCTTGTAATATATCTAGGTACTATATCATGCTCATAAATTCAATCATCACAAAATATACAATCCCAAGCATAGGCCTTCATTTACATCTCAAATCATAATTGGATTTTGCCCTCAAATGAAAAATGTGGTTATTGTAGGGCAAGGTCCAGCTTCATACATGTGTGGAATATACATCCACACTGCGAATTTGTCTCCAATGATAATCAAAGATAGTATACAACAAGCTCAATCCTTCATTGGGTTTGATAAGGTTGCTGGTGTTGATGGAGTCGGTGCTCCAGATGAGTTTACTAATCTGCTTGAAAAACAAGCAAGAAATATGGGAATAGATGTTGTGAATGATTCAATCACCTGTATATCAAGGGCAAATGACGTATTCACAGTAGTCACAAGCAATGCTTCATACAAATCAAAATCTTTGGTAATCGACAGTGCTTGCCTGGAGAAAAAATACAGAGCTGCCTTAGGTGAAACAGGTGTATTTTATACCAGTGACAAAATTACACACAATGAAGCAATCATCATGGCTGGCGCTGGCTGCAAGGTCTCGTTTGATGTAAAAGAATTCATTGAGGCAGATACAAGCAAGTAATAATAAACAATCTATTTAAATAAGAATATGCTCTACAATTTATGCGTCATTCATAAGTCTGTGTACATCCATAATGCACGCATTCAAAGAATCGTCTTCATGAACTCTTTTACAAAGCTATGCCCATCAAGCTTTACTACAATAATCCGCTTGTCTGAGTCAGATTCAACAAGATGCCCTCCATCCACACAGAACTTCAGAACCTTCTGGTAGTCAGAAAAGTTCAGGAAATTAGAATACAAATATCCAGGAACCATAAATATCTTGTTTCTCTTCGATTCCCATATCTCTATCTGACTACAAACAGTCTCTGGCAGCTCTCCGATCTTGATGCTGGATTCTAAGAAGTGTATTATTTGTCTTGCTGTGATTCCCTTGTCAAATGCTGCATTCGTGCTTTCTTCAGTTATCATCCCCTTGATTAGGTTCGGAAGCCTTGCTACAACATCACAGAACAAATGAATAACCGATTTTTCGTACTCAGAGTTAGTGTATGCATAAATTCTGTTGTTTGTTTCAACTATCACAAACTCTCTCTTACTACGCTCAGAAGCTTCAAACATCCGCACAAGATTCTTTCCAATAGCTAACTTCTCTCCATACATCTTCAATATTCCAAGCGCTTCAAAATACTTCAATAGTCTGATATTCACCACTGATATCTGATCATACAGCACTCCAATACTTTTTGTGCTCAACTCAAAAAATGCCTCAACTGCAGCAACTTCCTCCTCAACAGAGCTCGCAAAATACTTCAACGAAAGCAACACAAGACACCACATCTGCTCCTTCTTTGTCTTCAGTAGAAACTCAAATCCTCTGTTCGTAATGTTCTTTTGTTTATCAAGCAGTCCTCCAAAAACAACAATCTCATTGATTCCAAATGCATGACTCTTAAAATCCTTATTCACAATAAACTTTAAAATCGATTCAAACATCTGATTGCTCTTTTCTTCATTAACAGTAATTGTTTCATGTGCCTTCCTGTAATATTTCTCCATAACAAGCATGCAGAATCCATCCATCAGAGATCTTCTAAAATCCTCATCCAGGTATATATTGCTTCCCCTCTTCTCAATCACATGCACCTTCAACAGTGTCTTCAATATATTTTTCACTCCATCAACTTCCCTCAACATCCCAATCGAAGGAGACTTCAGAACAAGATCCATCACAAATCTTCTGGTGTCCTCGTCAAAAATCTTCAGAAAAGAAACCGCAAATATAGGCGCTTTGTACAAGCGTGTCTTCAAATCCTTCGGAAGCACTCTAAAGTACTCTACAACATCAATTGGATAGGGCCATGTCTGTGGACTCTTATGCATATCGAGCTTAGAAGGGCTGTGAACAAGTAATTGTAAATACCGTTGCAATATCCATTAAAAAATCTGGATTCATGTCTACAACAATCATCTAAAACAAACACTTCGCTTTATTCGCTATAGATAGTTCCACCAATCCTTGCTTCATGCAGTCATTTTGTGTAATCAATCTCAGGAAGGTTTCCCACTCCTTCACACATCGTGTAGACATGCGTTGCCACATTCAAGCATAAAAGATCCGTGTTATCACTGTCTGAGCACTCTGCATATATCCTTACCACATTCTCGGTGCCTGAGGGCCTTACAAACGATCTGCCCTTGAAATTCGCCATCTCTGCATCAATCATTTCCTGCAATCCTTTAGGCTCAAGAACTCGATTGTTCAAATTAACTTTGATACTGTTCTTATCCTTGATTACAACTGTGTGCAGTCTGCTCGGATTCTCTTTAAACTTACTCAAGTCATTCGCAGATGCCATTATTCCCTTGAAAACCAAGAAGTTTGCAACTGCATCTCCAACACATGGATCAAACAAACCAGATACCGCTTTTAAAATCTCATGGTGCTTGCTGGTTCCTTCTGCAATCTCATCAAAAAACGCCTGTGAAAAATACACGCTTCCATGCCCATTAGGTTCAAAGTACACCCCTACATCAAATGCTCTTGCTGCATTAACAAAATTCTTTACTCCTGTCTGTGCCAGCACCACATCGAATGAATTGGAGCGCAATAAGCCAATCGCTGCATCATTCGAGTAGTGAGATAGCACCACACCCATACTCATTTTCGAATCAATCGCATCAAGATGCTGCTTGATAAAAAACGCCAGAAACACCGCTTGGAAATCTCCATCAAATATCCTTGTTCTTGTCGGTCCTGTAAAAAACATTAACCTGTCTGCATCTCCATCAAACGAAGCACAGATCTCATCCGTAGATACACTGAATCCTGCAGACTCCAGCACTTCAAGCTTCGGCGCCCTATTCTTTGTCTTCACAAAATCTGCTCCGCAATCAAGATTTAGTATCCCATTCGCATCATTAAGCACTCTGCATCTCAAATCTCCTCCAAGACTCTTCTTTAGCTCATCAAGCTCTATTCCTGCAACACCATTTGCAGTATCCACCGCCATCTTGAAGTTAAGCCCCGTATTAGATACAAGTTTCCTGAAGTTGTTCACCAGGCTCGCTGTGTATTCCTCTTTCTCAACAATTTTGTCCTCCAAATTACTTCTTCTTACCAAAAAGTGAAGTTCAGGTGTAGTAACAACACCATAGTCATCAACCGTACAATTCAGCTTGCCTAAAACCGATGCAATATTCTTACAGATGCTTACTCCACTTTCTCGAGTGTCTCTTCCAAGCACCACATGCCCTCTTACACCTTCCCCTAACTCCGTCTGATTGCTGAAACTCATCAAAATCTTTCTCATCACCCTTGGAAGATCCTTGTCTTCACAATTCACCAACACATCGCTATGCTGCTCCCACTTCTCATCAAGCATGTTTCCTGTGTGATCAATTATCTTGATTCCATTGTGTTCCACAGGATTATGACTTGCTGTTATCATCACTCCAATCACTTTTCCTGCAAGCGTGGTCGATCGCAGATATGCTATAAGCGATGCCCTGCACATTATGTTGTTCTGGTCAGAATCTTTCGACCGGTATCCAGCTGTTCCGTAGTATGCTGGCTTAGACGGTTTTCTGAGATTGTCGTCAGACAACAGGATCTTGTCCATTACATAGGGTCGCTCAGGTTCTATTTATTTCTTAATGTGCAAATAGATGCAAGAATCCAATCATTTTGGCCATTCCACTTCTACTGGATTGATATACAAACACACAGCTATAATTTGTCTTTACTAATGATTGGCATCGATTTTAAACCATTCATTTCGAATCAGGTTTCTGTCAATCAAGCCTTGACATGTAATATTCCGTGTATCCTTGATTCGATTGTTGAGAATAACCTATTGATAGTATGTTAAAGCCATATAACACCATTCATAAATCTCAACCATTATCACATCTATGTAAAATAGCATATTTACACTAATTAACATCTCGAACCCAAGGATTCTCTTCTTTCAGCAATATTCTGAACTCAACTTCGTTATGAACATCTACATTTAAACACTCTTCTTCTATTTTCAAGTCACTAGCGGTGTATATATCATCTTCAACTAAAACCTCGGCATTTGTGTTTAATGCATGATCCATCTCAAGCGCACTCGAAAGCGTAAAAAAACGAACCTTCAACTCACAAATGCCAAAGAAACTTGCAAACCCACTCTGTCGTTTTCTGTTTATCATAATCGTCTTCTTCTCCTTCACAAGCTCATATACATTCTCACATGACTTGAGCGATATCACTGGATTCAGCCTACATCGTGCAAGCTCCTTGCTCATCACATCATTAATCTCAAAAACAGCTCGTTCACATTCACTAATACTCGCATCTTCGAGTTGGTTAATGCATAAAAGCAGTTTCCTTTTATCTTTCTCATGCATAAATTCTTCAATCAATGCGTAGACCTCCAAAAAATGCACATGCTTAGTAGAAGTAACCACCATGTATGCTTGCATCCAGTCTCCAGAGTATCCCTTTTTGATTTTGCACAGTGATGCATTCACAACAGCTATGCTTTTTCTGACAACAATGTTCCTTACAGAAAGTTCCTTGCTCATACCTTCTATAAGAGTCTCAAATGAATCTTCTATTTTATCGTTTATCTTCAGATTGTTGTTGTTTTCTAGTTTAACCTCTTGAATAAGATCAGATTTAGCATCAAAAAACTTCTCTACGCTTGTATGCATGTCTAAATCAATGTATGTTATGCTCGCAAGATCTGTGTACATCTGCTTTTGCTTCTGTGCAAACCTAGTCACCAATGATCTAAACTCACCTGAAACATCTTGCAAAAGTGCATTAAATCTATCCATTTTCATGCGAATAGCACTGCATGCTTCATTATCGCTTATGAGCACCTTCTTGATTGCTATTCTCAACTCAGACTCCGTTATCCAAGGATCGTGCTTTCCAGACACCCATGCATCAACATGCTTGTCTTTGGCTTCTCTAAGTTTCTTCAGGCTTTCAACAGACTTTTCATAGACCATTTGCATTTCTTCTTCAATCGACCTTATGCCTGAATCAATCCTAGATACAAGCTCTTCCAATTCTTTCATAACAGTATTGCCACATAAAGCACAAAAGTCATCAAGAACCACTTGTTGTTTCTCACACATCTCAACACACTGTGTAAGCAATGCATCGTTCCATTGAATGTCCCTGGGTATCTGAATCACCCTGAAAAGAATCTCAGATGCCCTTCTAGATGCCTGTATCGCATGCTCCAGGTACCCTTTAAAATACACACACTTAGACTTCTGTGCCATACATACGTCCTTGATACTTTCTATATCCTCCATCCTAACTGTTACTCTATCCATTTTTATTCAGATCTAATACTCTTATGAAACACAAGACACAGCTCTATCTAACACTTCTGTAAACATAAAAACATCACTCTAAAGTCTATGTAAATCAATACAAAGTCTATGCAAATCAATACACAAAGAATCAACACTACATCATATAAATTTATTTGTTCAATATAGTTCGTACACAAACTCACAGCATCTCTATATCTATCTATCTCTATTACTTCACTGTAAACTTAACTCAAGCACCTCCAAAGCACCCCTTCAACACCTCAATACACTTCATTCGTATTTCTTGATTAAACGGAACTGCTCCCATGCCATTGTAGCACAATGCATTTTCTCCACACTTCGATATAACAACCTTCCATCCATTGATAAAATCAAACACAATCGTACTATCAGCCATCACAAACAGAAACCCAGACTCAAACTTCTTTATCTTCACAATAAAGCATGGCTCAATATTCATAAACACAAATCCACTATCAAACGTCCTGATAAAGTATTGCAATGCCTTGTATGACTCAGCAACCTCCTCAGGTATCTTCTCAATTAGATGCTCCTCTTTATAGAACACTCTTCGTCCATTCTCAATTGTGGAGTTCAAGTAGATAACGCTTCGCTTGTTTGGTTTTAGCATCAAATTCCTATGATCTCCAAAATATATTCCATACACACCTGATCTCAGTACATAACCAATTCCCCTCAGCTTAGTCACAGGAATGCTGAATATCACATAGTCTCCATTAACACCCCTCTCTTGCGTTCTGTTGGATACCAGGCTTTTGTATATCCTCATCAGAAAGTGCTCCTTTCGTGACAAAAATCGATGACTGAGGATGTGCTCAAGCGCAGGCCTCTCAAGGGGGTTAGTATTCAGAATCTGCGTAATCAAGTCGATTGCCTCGCTTGAAAGATCGCAATCCTTAGGAAAGATATAATTATTTTGCTTAATCATTTTGTATATATCTTCAACATTCTTCTTTTGAAACGGTGGAACACCCACAAGTAGAGTATATATAATCACGCCCAGAGACCACACATCAGCCTCAAACGAATGCCCGCTTGCCTTGCCAAATAGAATCTCCGGAGCTATGTAGTTTGGAGTACCGCACATTGTAACCTTCTTCTCTCCATCCTTTATTACTGCACTCAATCCAAAGTCTCCAATCTTCACATTCAGCTTTGCATCAAGAAACAGGTTTCCAAGCTTCAGGTCCCTGTGCACAACACTCATGGCATTGTGTAAGTACATAAGACCATCGACAGTCTGCTTTATGAACTTAGCAACATATCTCTCTTTAAGCCTGCCATTTCTTTTGAGCAATGCATCCAGCGCCCCCCTTTCACACAGCTCAAGAACCATAAACACATACTCCTCGCTTCTGAACGATCGATACATCTTCACAATGTTTGGATTGTCGAGCCTCGAATGTATTGCTATTTCGGAGTCGAGCTTTTCATGCACCTTCTTGCTTGTTATATCTTTCAGTCGGACGATTTTCATTGCATACTGCTCTCCGCTTTCTATCGCAACCAGATAGCACTGTGCATATGCCCCTCGTCCAAGGAGCTTCTTGAGAACGTACCGTGTGTGGTACTCAGGATCGACAATAACGCTTCCAAGCTCCATGTACGACTCAATCTTTGCCGGCATGCAGGGTGGAATTTTTGGTCGTTTTGCTTTTGTTTCTAGCAAGTAACATAAACGCATGACACACACCCATCAGTTTGGATGACGTCGCTTTCAAAGGAGTATCTTCTGAAGGCATTGATGAACCTGGTGCCCACTGAGGAGCAGATGAAAACAATCGGACTGTTCATAAAGACATTTAAAAAGGATCACTCAGCAATATTGGATGCATGGATGTTTGTATATGAAAGGTCCAGTGCATACCATCGGCTGAATATGCTCTATCTTGCAAATGAGATTATGCAGACAACAAGGGATGCCGATGCATACTCTGTAGAGCTGAAGATAGCATTTAAGACAGCAGTTTTGAAAGTATTTGAACAAACAAAGCAAGCTGTCGTAGGAAATGCACATCTGTATAAGAAATATTGTGAGCTTGAGAATGTATGGATACAACGGAATGTGATGGGTGTAGAGAGCTGTGGATTAGATCTTCCAGAGCTGATCAGAAATATCGAAAGAGCATTTGGAGACAAGACAAGGCTGTGTGGTGTTCTTGAGGATGCTCTTGTAAGAATAAGAAGCGGGCAATAAGTCGTATGAACAGCTATGCATAGACATATGATAAATTTATGATGAAACTGTGCACTGGACATTGGCGACAACTAAGCCAGGTATTTGAGACTCATAAATGCAGTTTTAGATATTGTTTGAATAAATGGAGCATGATAAACAGACCTTTTTGTCGTAATTTTTTATCCCTGAGCTCTTTATGCGTTGTGAGTTTATGTATGCAGGCTGTATACGTAAATCAAAGGTATCTGCAAAGTATGGAAACGGGATGGCGTATGGGTCGATGTCGAATGTGATAGTGACTGATGAGAGAAGGGTGTTGGATGTGATTTATCTTGATGGAGAGGTGAATGCTTTAGAAAGTGAGCATGGGATGCTAGTAGTTGGAGACTGTAAAGGAAACGGATACGTAATAGATAATAAGAGAAGCATAGTGAACAAATGTGAGTTTGGGGATTGTATAGTTGCTGTTGGAGTGGTTGATGCAGTTCGAGTGATGTTTTGTACGATGCTTATGAGTTATGTTTATGATGTTACCTTGGCAGAGGTAAAATACAGCATTGTGAATCGATGGATTCCGACATGTGTGACATCATTGAATGGGAATGTTTTTGTTGGATGCAGAGATGGGCGGGTGATTATTCTTGATGGGAGCGATCGGTTTGATGTTGTAGGAGAAGTTAATGCGCATAATGACAGCGTGCAGGATATAAAATCCAAAGTGATTGATGGGAAGGGACATATCAGTACTGCATCACAGGATGAGACAGTGAAGATCTGGGGAGTGAATGCACAAGGAAAGAGCATTAAGCATATTCAGACTTTGAATGGACACAGTGACTGGGTTTTTGGGCTTTTTTGGAAGGAGGATGGAGATTTATTGAGTAGCTCTGGGGATTGTTCGATAGTTCATTGGAAGAGGCAGGGAGTGTGGATGAATGAGATGAGATATGGTGGAGAGAAGATGTTCCTGAATGTTTTAATGATTGGGCAGTTTGTGATTGGGCAATCGTACACGGGTGGGTTTTACAAGTTTGGAGATGAGCTTGAGGAGTTTGTTTCAGGGCACACAGATGAGGTGCGATCGATTGATTGGAAGGAGTCATTTATACTTACAGGATCGTTTGATATGACGTCAAGAATATTCTACAGAGGCATGGAGGTGGGAAGACCACAGACACATGGATATGGAGTGACAGCAGCAAGGTTTTTGAATATTAATGACTTCAGTATTGTCAGCTGTGCTCAGGAGACGATACTTCGTGTGTATGAGCCAACGCAAGTGTTTTACATGTGCTGTGTTTATGCAGAAAGCAAAGATGAGGATGTGTCTGATTTAGTTGCAGGATTATGTGTTGAGAATAATGGAAAAGATGTAGGAGGTAAAAATAGCAAGGCTAGAGAGACTGTATTGAATGAAAGGATGAGTGTGGGGGATTTCTTTGAAAATGTTGATGAACTGAAGATGTCAGCGGTTCGTGCTGAGTTGTCTTTGACTAACGAGGTAGTTCCTGAGTTTGAATTTGAGTGTTTGAATGAGCAAGTGTTATCTGTGAGTGTGTTTAATGAGATCAAGAAGGTTTATGGGCATTATTTTGATGTTAGTGATGTTGCGGTGAGCGAGCGCTTTATTGTTTCATGCAATAGATCTCTTCTTAAGAAATACTCTGGAATTTTTGTGTGGAACAGGCAGTTTGAAAAGATGAAGTATATTGAGGAGCATGATTATGGAATAGAGAGGCTGAAGTTTTCATGGGATGGAAGATATCTTGCAGCAGCTTCTAAGGATAAAAGTGTATCTGTTTATGTGGTTGAAGACGAAATAAAAATGATTAGAAGGTTGAAGGATCACAAAAGAGTGGTCTGGGACTGCGCGTTTAGTAGAGACTCGAAGTACCTTGCAACATGTTCTCGTGACAAATGTGTGATTGTTTATGCGATGCCTGATATTGAGAAACGATGGAGCATGAAATTTGATTGTGAGGTGACTTCTGTGTGTTTTTCACCGGTGCTAGATGTGTTGGTTGCAGGCCTTGAGTCTGGAGAGGTTATGGAGGTTGATGTATGTGAGAGTGGAATGAGTATGCTGAGTAGGAAGAAGGAGCATAGTAGGAAGGTGAATGTGGTGATGTTTAATCGTAACGGATCCAGATGTGCAACGGGAGGTGCAGATGGGCTTGTGAAAGAGTTTGTGATTGATTGATAATGGAACAAAAATAGCCCTGGGCAGGAATGTCGAAGATATACAAGCTTGAGAACGAGATGCAAACAATTTTGTATGGAGAAGAATGCAAAGGGTTTGAGGAGACACTTAACAGGGTGTCGTTTACGATAACGAAGTACAGTGAGCGGTGCCTTGAGTTTGATCTTGTGAATATTGACTGTTCGTTTGCAAATGCGTTACGAAGGATACTTATGAATGATGTGCCTACGATGGCAGTGAAAGAGGTTTTTTTGAGGGAGAACGAGAGTGTGTTTGCTGATGAGTTTCTGGCGCATCGTCTTGGACTTATTCCGTTGGAGATTGATCCAGAGAGGTTTGATTTTGTTGAGGATGAGCTGAATGAGAAGAATTGTGTTAAATTTGTGCTTGATGTGAACAATAACGGGAAGGACATTATGCATGTGTATTCTGATGACATTTTGTGGATGCCAATTGGTGATCAGAAGAAGGAGATTGGAGAAGCAAAGTTTAGTAGCAAGGTGCTGCTGTTTAAGCTTGCGCCTGGACAGCGGATTGAGGCTGAGCTTGTATGCACGAAGGGAACGGGAAGTATGCATGCGAAGTGGAGTCCTGTGTGCCCTGCAACGTATAGACTGATGCCACTGATTGAGATTGGAGATGTTTTTGATGAGAGTGCATACAAATTACAGAAGTGCTTTTCACCTGGAGTGATTGAGGTGAAGGAGTGCGATAGACGGATGAAGGCATATGTTGCGGATGCGAGAAGTGATACGATGAGCAGGGAGGCGCTTAGACATGAAGAGTTTAAGGGGAAGGTGTTTATTGGAAGACGTTCTGATCACTTTTTGTTTAGCATTTACACGACGTTTTTGGATCCGTTATATTTGCTTAAGAAGGCCATACAAATATTTATTGAGAAGAGTAAGGCATTCAAGAGTGAAGTGAGCAAGTGGAATGAGTAAATTAAGATGAAAGAGGTGAGTAAAATGAAGTGAGTGATGAACTTATGTTGTTGTGACGAAAGAAAAATGAAATAAGTGAATGATGAAGCTGTGAGTGATTTAGTAAGTAGTGACAAATGTGAAGTAGTGAGTTAATAAGTAAGTTAATAGTCGAAATGCGTTGTAGTGAAGTTATAGAATGACATAATAAAGTGATGTAATGCGTTGAGATTAATGCATGACCTGTTATAAAAGAATGAATGATCTATAAAGTTAGGTGAATAAATGGTTAAGGTATTTTATGGAGATTTTTTTGCCCATGAATGATGAAATGGATTTTGTCTTTGTGCTGCCGAAGTGTAAGGAAGAGATATGCAGTGACGTTACTTGGCTTGCAGAATGACCAAAGGCGAGTACTGCAGTACCTGAATCCCAACGGAAAAGATAATAAGAACATAAGGCCTTTTTCTGAGGATGTGTGTGTGGTTCATGGGATGGAATTGGTTTTGCAATCGCTTGATGATGATTCAGACCTGTATGAGATAAGAGGGATACATGTGAGTCATTGCGCAGCAGTGATGTTTTCGGTTGATGCAGATGACAGCGACTCAGTGGAAAAGTGTGTGTCATTGCTGAATGAGGAGGTGATTAAGACTAAGGATGTTGTGGTTGTGTTCTGTAAGTCTAATGTATATGGAAGTGTGTCAGTGGATGCATTGAGACGAAGCTGTGAGGAGATTGGGCATGGGAAGATTGAGTTTGTTGTGTATGAGGATGAGAAGATAGCAGTGTCTGTGCAAAAAGGAGTTGACTGGATATGCAATCGATTGGATGATTGAAGTGCCTTATGTTGCTTCTGATGGTGTAAATAAAGCCAGGATGATATCTATGATGTTTGTTTATAAGACTGTTGAGAGTGAGTTGGGCGATGTATTAGAGTTTTATATTGGAAGCATGACGATCCCTGATGATTATAAAGATAGTCACGAAGACAAGTATTACTGGAGTAGAGACTATTTCTGACGATCAGGATGGATGTGATATCGAATATGAAAAGGAGTATTTGTTATGGTTTACGAATGGTGAGGTGACAATGTGTGCATTCAAGAAGCTGTTTGAGATGGAGAAGCAGATAATGTTCTATGTTGATAATTTTGAGTTTTTTCTGTACAAAATGCGATTGTTTAAGGACTGCACGTTTGAGTTTGTTGAATGTGACTCTGAAGGTGACGATAGAAGGATTGAAAGATACATTGATATGGAAAATAAATTGGGAGGATGTGATGTGGCACGAGGAGTTGAGGTTTCATTCAAGCCGGATGTGTTTAGATCAATACGAACTTCGCTTACAAGGCCAGATGTGTATATGTGTGAAGAAAGCATGAGTACGGCAATATATGCAAAGCTGAGCAAAAGATACAAGTATGAAGATTTGAAGAGGATGGTGAAGGATGATTATGCAAATGCAAGGTTTATGAATATATTAGACTTTGATGATGATTTTGATAGACATCTGAAGAGTCTTGTATTTGCAGGTGTTGTGAAGATATATGGAGGCATGTTTGGTAGATGGAGTCAATAGCTGGAAAGTGATTGTGAATATACTTGTTTATTTATGTTGTTTTGTTATTACGGATTGCTTGAACCTGTGCTTTGATGATTTGCTTTCATGTGAAGAAGAAGGTCTTCTCTGCCATCCAATATAAGCTTGCACTTTGAGCATGTTCTAAATGCAACAGGTTCTCTTTTGTATGATTTTTTAGGTTTTTGATGATCCGATTGGTTTGCTTCGTTAAGAACGCTGCTTGGAGTGTCTGTATCGCTAGGTGTTGTTGTTTGGTTATCTGGATTTACAGGTGCTTGTGTATCTGGATGTATTGTGATTATTCCAGCTATTTGTTCTTGGATGTATTTTCCCGGTGTGTCTGATATTGTGCTTATCTTTATGAGATGTTTTTTGCTATTGAGATGGTTGAGTAATTGGTTTCTACAGTGAAATCCTTTGCTACATTCGTTGCAATTGAACGGATATACCTTTGAAGTGTTACATCTTGGTTGTTTGTTCAGTGATGAATGGAAAGAGGGTGTTGTTGTGTGGAGAACTATATCCATTCGTTTATCAATGCTTCGGACCATCCTTGCTATTTTACGAACATTTAGGCAGAAAGTATTTTGTTCCTGTTCGGTTTCAAACTCAGCCTGTGCTCTGAAGTTGGTGAAGAAGTAATAGAATTGTTCGAAACCCGGATCGTCGAATCTCGGATAATTTGTGATTTTGCAATAATTTGCAACTCTTTCGAAGAAATCGCCTGCATACTTCCTGACATCTTGTTTGAAAAGCTCTTGTGTGTATGCCTCGAAAACTGGCGGTGATTTCATCAATATGTTGTATGCTTCGTTTACCTCAGCAGCGTTTATAGATGTGTCTTTAGCATGATTTTTGTGTGTGTCTGGATGAATTTTGATTATAAGTTGTTTATACCTTGTCTTGATTTCATGCCGTGTGGATGTTGTGTCTAAGCCAAGTATTTCGTAAGGTGTTTTTGTAACCTTTGAGTGTTTGTTTCCCATTAGAGTAGGGGATTTTATGCATGAAAAGTCAATTGTCTATGCTAATGCATGAATGAAGTGGAGAAACAATAAATGTGTGATAAAATGTATGAATGAAGGATTTTTTTGATTGAAGCACCCTTGGACTAGTATGGAGGAGCGTTCGTTTTCGCTTCAATTTAATCCTTTGCAGAGGATTAAGACTGTTAAAGAGTATGAGAACGAAATTGAGGAGCTCCGCAATGAGAATTTTGAGCTGAAGCATCAAGTGCTGCATTACAAAGGACAACAGGGACCTACAATACAGGAGGACATTCAGAAACTTCTTGTTGACAGCAAGCGGTCGATTGACATTCTTGAGGAGGAGAATGAAGGACTGAACAAGCAAGTAGAGGAGATGGCAGAGAGAATAAGGAGGATGATTAATGAGAAGGATGAGATGGAGAGAAGACTTGGGATGAACCTGAGTGAGTTTTGTAGTAAGATAGCGATGCTTGAGGAGGAGAATGGAAGGCTTCTGAAGCATTTGGAGGGCATGAACGGAGTGAATGCAAAGATAAGGATGGAGAATGAGAAGCTGATTGATGAGAACACAAAGATCAGAGAGGAGAGTGCGATAGTGAATGAAAAGTTGAATCAGAGCAGAAGTGGATTAGAAGAGCAGATGACTGAAGTTGTTGAAGAAAGGATGATGATTGAGAAGGAGTTGCTGTCTTACAAGAATGCAGTTTTGAATTTGAACAAGGAAAGGGATCAACTTGTTTATGAGCGTGAAAGAGAGAGAGGAGAGTATTGTGGAAGGATTAGTCAACTACAAGCAGTGATTGGAGATTTTGAAAGTCGAGTTAATGGAAGTGAGTGTGAGATGATGAAGATGAGGGAGCATTATGGAAAGATGAAGAGTGAGTATGATGAGATGTATAGACAGAGACAAAGCGGTGAGATGTATATACAGGAGATGAAAGAAAACTACATGAGGGAGACTAAGGAGAAGCAAGAGCTTGCACTGAAGAATGAAGGGATGAAGAGGGAAATTGAGCAGTTGAAGGATGTTAGAGCGGAGCTGAAGAAGAGGATTGAAGTGTGTGAGAATGAGAAAAGAGCGTTGTGCTATAAGGTATCGCAAGATAAAGCGTCTGATGATGAGATTGATAGATTACGAAATGAGATGAGTATGCTAAGGAAGGAGAAAGACGAGATGCGAGAAGGGATTGAGAATTTGAAGAAGCGTTGTGAGGGATATGTTGAGGAGCTTGAGAAGTCTAAGGATCTTCAAGGGATTTTGAAGGGATTTGTGCAAGAAAAAGGAAAGGAATGTGATAGGAAGATACAAGAGATTGTAAAGATTGCAGATGAGGTAGATGACAAGGTTTGTTTGCTGTGGAAGATGATGGGAGAGATGAGGAAAAGTAGAGGAGATGGAGAATTGGGCAGACAGGAGACTGAATTTTTGCATAAAGAGATTAGCAATTTGAAAAGAAAGATAGAAGAGTATCAGAAGATTGCAAGGGTTGATGATGAGGGAATGAAGTTCCTGAGAGGGCTTGGCATCAATCCTAGTGCACATCTGAATGAGGTTGTGATTAGATTTAGGTGTGTGTATAAGGATGTGATGAGGAAGATGAGACTGATTGATAAGGAGGCGAATGAAGCAATGGGATTTGCAGAGAACAATAAGGATGTAATGCATGAAAGAACGATGAAGTATCTTGAGGAATTTACAAATGAGTTTAATATTGCAAGGAAGGATCTTGAAGAATGCAAGAAATATCTAGAGAAGAAGGGTAAGGAAAATAAAAACCTGAAGGCCAATAACCAGTATCTTGAGAAGAGGTTTGATGAATGCAAACGCAGTGAGGAGAGAATGAAGAGTTTGTATGTGATTATGGCAGACAAGTTGAAGAAGAAGGACGAAGCCATATCAAAGCTTGAGATGAGGATAGGCGTGCTGTGATACAAACAAAGATCTCCTAATGTTATGCTAATGACACATGAGATGAGCTGTTCTAATAAGAATAGCGTGTGATTAAATGTGTATTTTATGAATTAATTTTGTTGATGTTCATGTATTTGTTATAATTAAAAAAGCACAATATAGAGTTTAGAAATGATGCTTTTGGGTTGTGTATTAGAAATTAAAACTATACCAGAAATATTTTTTGATAATTAGATAAGTAAATATATATACAGGAGCAAGCTTGATTTATTACGCTGCAATGATAAACAACATTGCCACAATTCCTGCAACTGCGGTATGCAAGGAGTTAACGCCCTTCTTAGCACCCTTAGTTGTTTTTGTACTGTCAGTATTAGTTGTCTTTGTATCATCATTTGATCCTTCGGTATTGTTACTTTGATTACCGGCTTCTACATCTGTTGGGTTTGGGTTTGTTGCACCATCATTTTGTGTAGACGCACACATAACTCCAAAGATTAATGCAGATGCAACTATCAGTCTGCTTATTCCGTTCATTGAGGGTCTGTTCTGCGTCGAATTTAAGCATTTGCGAACCTAAATGCAATTATAATTTAATATACCTGACACATTATTAGATATAAATTCCCATATTTGGATGTAGCTTATTTACCTCATTGCATTATGCAATCTATTTGAGCCCAGTCATTCATCTCAATTCCGCATATGGCCTCAAATTGATTCCATTGACATTTATTTGCCATACATCGATTGATCACTGAACAACCAATAGTACCTGAAAAATGTAATACAAAGCTATTGCCATTTTGTGTGTTTACTTACTTGTATTTGAATTGCCAGTAATACACTAATACAACATTATTAAACAACCAGCTATCCTAAATATGTTTATTTCTCCACTTCGATCAGTTATGCAGATCGCTCTCAGGTCCCCATCCAATCTTTTCTCCGTTATCTTTTGGATTGATAAATATACTCCTTGTCTTATTGAGTGCTGCCTTCATGTTCATATACTCCTTTATTATACTTTGTTTGTAGCTATCTGCATCATTTGGTATTCCTTCAATACCCTTGAGTTCGTCCTGATTCGCGCCCTTCTGCTTGATCATCTCGTTTGTTGTAAAAAACTGCAATAATGGAAATCCAAATGACAAGTATATCTTCTTGAGCTCATCCATTATCAACTGGAATGATTTGTTCAAATGTTCTGTTTCATTTTTCATCTCTATTCCCATAGTTCTAAACGCTTTTACCTTTTTCTCTTCAAAATCCTCCTTACGTATGATCTTAATTCCATGTTTTTCAAGGCATGACCCAATTGTAGCCGCATTATGATCTGCCTTGCTAATCATAATAAACTGTTCATAAGTTACAGAATTCATCAAGGCAGCCATTGCAATTACATAAATAAGCTTGTTAAATCCTGTGTGCTCTGTTAGGCATTTATACTCAAGCGAAATCTTCATTAGATAATCATATGATGTTTTAACAAACTTAAGATAATGGTTTGGACAACAGGACACATGCAATCTTCCTGCACACTTAGAAAATGAAAAGTGAAGATCATACATTTTCACATACACAAACTTCAATCCCACTTCTGCATCAAACACTATCTTGTCTGCACGGAGTTTAATCAGTATTTTTTGAGCAATCTTCTGGTACTGGACAATCTCATCACTTCTACTGTCGAGTGTATATAGATTTGCCAATTTTGAAAGGATGTGATCGTAATACAAAACATCCACCAATTCTTTCATTATGGGTGAGTGTAAAAACAATAATAGGTACTTATGTATACTCTGTAATTCAATGCCTTAATCATGCTTATAATTTGATGTATGTCTATACATGAATCTGTAGTTTATCAGGTACTTTCCACAAGATATGTACATTAAACTATTGGACTGTACCATAATTGCTCCTTTACCCCTTTCTCTTGAAATACATATAAAGGTATAGCAAAGGTTGCAATCATGACAGAAAACACTGAAGATACGGAACAGATCCGAGCGCAAGATTCAAAGTTGTTTAAAATAGAAACCGTAATAGTTTTTGTATTTTTTATTGTCAGATACATTTTTGTAGCAAAATTACAGAATTTTGATGAATTTAACTCTAAAACTATTCGAGATACTATAAGTTTTTTTTTAGTTTTACAGTTGATTTTACCACCATTAATAATACTCAGGTACTTATACTTATTTAAATGGGAAAGAATATCCTGGTTTGAATTTTTTTCAAGTACAGTATTCAATATATGCATAGTACTTATACATATTTGCGTTTCTTGGGTTCTTATTGTTAATATTAAGCTTCCAGACAAGCTGGAAGATGCAATTTTGGTACCCCCTGAAAACATCTTGAAGCTTTTATTTATGCTCGGATTCCATTTTTGGTATATGATTCATGAATACACATTTAGGTTTATAGTGCTGATGACCTGGGCACCATCGAAGAATATATTTATTCTAAAGATATTCCGTTTTATTGTTATATCGTTGTGGATGGCGTTTGCGTATTTGATGTTTGCAAGTGCACTTGAATTATTAGATATAGCATCAATAATCGAAAAGTCACTGAATTCAGAGCCACTTAACAATCAAAGCCTTGATTATTATAAGAAAAACATGATTACTGGACCTGGTCCTGATGATTCTTACAAAGAAAATCCTAGTTATATACAAAATGATCTAAATGCTAATCCATATTATGAATTTAAACAAAACTCACAAACTCAAGCGATATCTAAAATAGCAAATATATCTAAAGAAGCCGATCTTTCAAGAATGGCAGGTGAAAAAGAAATAGACAAACGTATCGATGGTACTAGCGATCAACTTGGAAATCCTGATAATAAGGAAGGCGCAAAAGAAGAGGATATGCATGTCAAAAGCCTATGCCTTGATTCTGGCGAAAACGATGTAGATTCTGGTTGTCAGGCAAAATACAAATAAAAGGATCAACTCGCCTGATGACCTCACAACTGGCTACACTGAATCCTGATGATCCAAAGGCATATCAAGAAAAATATCATCAGGATGTGATAAATATCTAAAATAGGATCTGAAGGTGAATAACATTATGATAACATAGACAAATGTATTGTATTTGTAATAAAAACCATTATGTATAATGTATTATATTTAGTAATTTTAAAAGAGATGTTTTTGATATGGCATATGAGTTATTGAAAGATAACATTGGAAATTCGGCTCCTTTATAAGTATATAAATGCAAGGAAAATAAAATCCCAATATGATTCCGAGGACAATGATGAAGATAGTGGCAGCATGTATATTGATGAGTAAAGTATACAGTGAAACACTTTCTAGTGATAAAGAACGAGAAAATGAAGAAAGACAAGTAGTTGAACAACAAAGTAGTGAAACCGAAGAGGCATTAGATGATCCTGAAAGCACCTTTAACGCTGAAGATGAAGAAAAATGGGTTTTAGATCATACTAACGGCTCAATCTAATATAGAGAATGGTTCACTAAACGAACGCAAATAATAAAAAATTAGATTATTATGTTATAGTGTATAAACAAGTAAAAACCCCATATAGATGAAATTGATTAGGCTATTGAGGAAATGTAGGAATGAAGGAGTTGAAATCGAGACTAAGGATAAACGAAGAATAGCTGGAACAGTTCGTTATGTTGACAAACAGATGAATGTAGAGCTTAGTGATGCGATTGTTGAAGGCAAACATATTGGAAGTTACAATATACGAGGAAGCTCGATAAGATATATTATATTTAGGGAAAATATAGACTTTAAGCAATTACTTATAGATGACAGGCCCAGAGTCAAGACAGCTTCTGATGAAAAAAGCACTGAAGAACCTAAGAGAAGGAAAACACAAGTGTAATCGTACTTAAAGTTTATTTTTTATCAAAATCTTTCTTTTTCTGTACGATTATTCGTTTTCCTTTCAGAACGGAGCCGTTGAACAGCAATGCCATTTCAACAGACTTTTCTGATGCAAAATCTATTGTTGCATATCTCTTGAATCCGCTTCCAAGCATGTTTATTCTTGAGATGATTCCGCATGATTTAAAATGTGTGGAGATGTCTTGACTTGACACTGAAGTGTCCAGATTCTTAATGTACATAGTGAATGCACATTGTGGAGATGAATCGAGGTATTCGCCTTGCATGCGCAGTAACTTTTCTGCATCTGTTTCTCTATCCATTGCTACGGTGTGTAATTCAAATATTTAAGTGGCCTGTTTATTAATGTGTGATGTAATGGATCATTATTGCAATAAGCAGTATGCATGGAATAAAGTAACAAATGTAATATCTCAATATGGCCGAACGAATGAAATGGCGTAGTTATATATTTGATATAATAAAAGCAGATGAATAAAAAAAATGTGATCCGTAGCAGAATGGGATTGTGTATATCAAAGATTGGGGTTTTGCAGATACTGAAAGTGACAAACGGGAGTATATCGCATGTGAACGGTATTCTTCCATTTGTGCACTCTATAGCTGGCTTCAATGCGAAGGCGGTAAACAGCAAGGACGATGTGTTGACAATCAACAAGGAGTGGGAGGAGGAAGCACTTGTGCTCGAGATACTTGACATGAGGAACATGGAGACATTCTCGATTGAGATACCAAAGAAGAACAATGAAAGTCTTGGAATTGCAGTGAAGTTCCATGAGAGCCCGGTTGCTCTTCTTTCGATGCAGGTGTTACGAATTCATCCGAACTCGCCTGCAGAGAAGTGTAGAATGGTGGTTGGAGACTACATCCTTGGGATTGAAAACATGTATTCGTTTGATGAGGAAGATCTACTGGAGACGCTGCATTCAAAGAGAGGGCAATCTGTGCCAGTTGTAGTATATAATAATGATCTTGGATATGTGAGGATTGTGCGCATTGAGATTGGTGTGGAAATCCTGTTAGGATGCCAAATCGGAACTGGAGAGTTGTATAGAATTCCATATCGTCCAAGAAGTAACCGTCTTGAGCTTAATGCAGCAATTGTTAATAAAGATGTTGATGGACTGGCTCGGAGGATTCGTGGAAAGGAGATCATTGATCGTAGGATGAGAAGTGAGATAGCAGAAAGCAAGAATTCGTATCCGGTGTTCCTGAATGAAGGAAGGAATGGCATGCAACAAAAAGAGCTTATGCATGATGTATATCGATTACATGATAGGAAGTTACATGAGACAAGACCATCAAAGAATGTTTTGCTAAGCATTGAAGATGACCATGAGATATCTGTATATGTTCCTGATGATGTTATGTCAACCGAATCGAAAGAAACGAGTGATTTTGATTTTCATGATGATAAGAGTAGAGATATTATAGAGATATTGGGTAATACAAATCAGGATGATAACTTTGATTTTGAGCATGAGTTGCCTTTGGTATGTAGTATCAACACAAGTGAATATGCAAAGGAGAATTATCAGGCTATTTACACTAGATTAGATGAGAATGCAGGATATTATAACCCAATAAATACTGAAAATGTTTATGAACCAAACACAAATAGTATGCATGAACCTGATGAAAATTCACAGAGTGCATCTAAGTATGAGATGCAGCAATGCCCACTGTGCTTGAAGTTCCATGAGGATGAATTTCATGGCACGGAATCTCAATATGGGGAATTTCATGGCATGGGATTCTATGATGGTGAGATAATGGAAGATTCACAGCATAAGTACGGATATGAAGATGAGTATTCTGTAGAGGATCAACTAATTGGAGAATTCAATACACAAGAGCATTTATGGAATCACAATGAGAGCTTGGAGAGGTATGATACAAAGGAGCATTTATTGGAGCATGAGGTTGATCTTGAAAAAAGTATGCTTGCATCAGAAAACAAGATAGCTCAAGACATTATGGAAATGAAGATCCAAAGTGACATAGAATCTAACAGCACCGAGCTTTCTTGATGAATGATTACGTGATATACTTGGTCTATAAATGTGATACTAATGATGCTTATAACACTAAAGAGCATTAAAATATCTTCACGTGTACATGAGTATTTGTTTGAATGGATAAATGCCCTTGAATGGCAGAAGGATTTAAATCGAAATATTCAGATACGAATCTGTTTTTTGATGGACGGAAAAATCTTTACAATGCAAAGGACTACATTAATATGAGAGTTAAGAAGGAGAATAATGCTGAGGAAGTATTTAAGAAACAGTTCCTTAGCAAAGAAGATAAAATGGTTGCATTTTTGATTGAGAATAGAGATCTAAATAATCCTGAGATTAAGAAAGTAGAAACAAGCGAGTATAGATTAGGCAGATTTGTTAATTGACCTTGTGCGATTGTTTATATTATATGGTAGTAATATTGTAATTGTACTAATATTACATGGAAATAATCTTCATATTACATGAAAGTAATATTGTGATGATTTGAGCACACTGGTGCTTTATGAATAAATAAAGATTATGATAATACAAATGTTTTACTGCAGATGTTGTTTTTTGAAACATCATAGGTTTCAATTATGGAATAATTGTTATAGAGTGGAGATTTGAATGCAAATAAAGCTTGAGGAGGCTCTTCAGCAGGAGTATGATGGATATTTGAATAACTGCAAAGACATTTCATGCAATGCAGGGCTTAATAACTCTACAATATGTTTTGTACCGAATCAACACGATCTGTCTGGAGAGAAAGTTGAAGTGTTTAATATTGATCTTACAGCTGATGAGATGTGCCTGGTTGATGGGTACTTCTTATTGTACAGAAACGGAGCCATCAGAATATATAGATATGACACGAAATTTAAATGTGTAAAGGTCAGAAAGATAGAGTCGCATCTCTTGATTTTCCTAATAAAACGAGGAAGGATAAACAAGCAATGTAGGTTTCTATTTTACAATGTGCTCTTGAATTTGATTAAAAGCAATGAAAAGAAGTATGATCAGAAACTGAATGATATTATGTGCAGCATGTGTGTTGACTGGATTACAAGCATAAAGTTTGGTATGAATGGAGAGATTTTGTGTGTATACAGGAATAGAGAGAGCAGAGTGTTCAATGCAAAACTGCAGGTCATATCGTCTACAGGATTTTCATTTGTAAAGGATTCGAATGTTGTTGAGAGCAGAGAGCAGACAGTAACTGTAAAAAAGAATGGATTAGAAATAACTCGCAAAGACAGATCGTTCAAGAATGTACTAGCGATTAATGAAATAAAGCAGCATTCTGCAATAGCAGATATTCTTTTTCTGCTCACCAATAATGGCATAAAGGCGTTGAGATTTGGAAAGTAAAGCAGCAATGGATATAAGCATGATTAACAGCCCTGCATATGTCACTGCTGAATGAGCTCAAGGATATCAAAGGGAAGTATAGTGCGAGTGTTGTTGATCATTTTGAAAGACCAAGAAACATTGGATCGTTAGACAAAGCTGACTCTCGTGTTGGAACAGGAATAGTTGGTGCACCAGCATGTGGAGACGTGATGAAGCTGCAGATTAAAGTAAGCAGAGACAATGTAATTGAAGATGCGAAGTTCAAGACATTCGGATGTGGATCAGCAATAGCATCATCAAGCTTAGCAACAGAATGGATCAAGGGAAAGACAATAGAAGAGTCGCTGAAGATATCAAATAAAGACATAGCGAAAAGACTGTCGCTACCGCCAATCAAGTTACATTGCTCAATGCTGGCAGAAGATGCAATAAAGTCCGCAATCAAAAACTATCTTGACAAGAATCGTTAAACTGAACAAACATGTCATGAGCATGAGTATGAACATGAGCAACTACAATATTAAATAATTATGTTTCCTGTGTATTATCTTGTAAAATACCAGTGTTAATATGAATGTATAAGAATTGGTGAGCCAATAAGCATATTATTAATCACAGGTTGTTCTATAGACATGTATAGTTTGTATATTGTGGTAGTCTATGTATTTGGTATTTCAATGGATTGAGTAGTTTTTACTCATTATACCTTGCAGTATTGATGTAAGGTTGATTATTGATCCCATGGAAGGAGGTGAGGAAAGCATTAGCTTTGTAGATCAACAGTTCCTCAGCTCAAGGCCACTTGATGAGGGAAACATCCTGGAATACTTTTCTGGATCGCCTTTCTATGACAAGTCGTGCAACAACGAGATATTGAGAATGCAAACACAATTCAGAGGATTGGAGTACAACAAAGCCACACTTTCGACAATGGCAGGGATTTTCTATGAAGTCATGAGCGTCAACACAGAAAAAACACTATTCATTATATCCAAAACATACAATCACATAACACATGTAGAGATGCTCGGCATTTACTACATAATGCATGGATATGTATACTCAGCACCTACAAACTATTCTATCTACAGGAGCAGAATGACAGACTCCATGTGGATGCTGAACTCTTTCGTAATCAAGATGATGGAAAAGAAGAAATTCAATCCATTTTCAATACAGAGAAAAAAACAGAGCACAAGTAAAATTGAAGATAACAGTAACCTTGGATTTATGATGGATGTATTCAATGAGTTCAGAAAAAGTCTTGAGCCAAAAAGATAGGAATAGGAATGTTTATTTTTGAGGCTTATCAGAGATTACAGGAATATTTTGCATCATCTCCTGCATCCACTTCTTCAGATTACAATAAATCTTTATACTTTCGTATGCCTTCTTGCTAGTGTTGACATACTTAATAATGTAATTGTATACTGTGTCCTTAGCCTTTGCCGTGTCTATCCTGTGAAGAAGATTCTTCAGTGTTTCCTCTAGTCTTTTAAGTTTGTATATAATATCCTTGAAGTACTCCTTTGCTCTAAGTATGTTTGCTTCCACATCAAACAGCTTGTCAGACAGAATATCTTTTCTTTCTTCAATATCAGTCATCAGCTTTTGTATATCTTGTAACATTGGATACGGATCTGGAAGCTTAGGAAAGATTTCATTGCCATTCACCATGTCATTTGGATCTAAATACGGAGCTGATTTTGTATTAGACATAGAAAAGTAATACGGATAGTTCACGTTCATCTTACTTGCATTTAGCGAAGCTTGCATAAATTGATCCTTAGCATATTCTTTAGGTATGAATCCATTGCCATTATGCTGTAAAGACATTGTGGGCTTAGCGCCTGGAAAGTAGATCGTACATTCTGGTGGTGGAGTGTTTCCTTGATACATGTAACATGCCTGGGCTGAAGCCTGCGGTGCTGATAATGGCGTCGAAGGATCAGCTTTTGGAATCATAGGATTCATGATCGATGTAGTGCCCAGAACTGCTGTATTTAATGACTCTACTCGAGGAATGTACACCTCTCCCTTCCCTAATCTGAATGCTACACTAAGCAGCATCAGCTTTCTAATTAGCATTGTAAACTAATCTCTATGGTGTTATAAAACAATTCCTATCGAAACACTTGTTTTAGCCTTTTTGATGTTTTATATGCTTAGCAAATTGTTTGTATATCATAAACGTATGATCCAAAGCATAACGAAACCAAAATACAAACCAATCAATTAAGAAATCACATGCAACTAGAAAACAGCAAGTATCTCTTCAAGCATATATGCCAGCTTCATACAGCAATTTTCAACAGAAAGTTTATAGCTGGATACACTTACACAAATATTATCTTCATTTTCAATGCCTCGATTCTCTTCAGCATCCATAATTATAAAAAAAACAACACCATTTTCAATAGAAGCCTTCATATCATCAATGTTTATCCTATTTCCACGAGAACAAAGCTTCATGCGCATGCTTTTTGGTGGCAAATGGCTTTCTATTGGATTTTTTATTACCTTTGCAAGAAACACTCCATTTGCTGCTTTAACAGAGTATCTTCGCAACAGATAATGCATTACTTCATTGAACTCACTAGGATCATCAGGAATGTCAAAAAGATGACTCATCTCGATTAGAACGTTTTTTGTAGAGTGGATGTATATCTGAAGATTTCCAGACTTACTCAATGCTGACCCAAGTATTGATTTGAGAACCCTATGCAGCTTAAACATGCCAACACACTCCTTGTCCCGTTCATCAAATACAGGAACCGCATCTTCTAAAACAACAGTTACTTTTGCACTCATCACAGGGGCCGCCATCACGCAATCAAATACTAGCATTACTAAAGAACACCATAGCCAACCTAAATAATTCACAAGTAATACAAACCAAAATATACATCTAATTTGATTTATTTGTTTGTTATTTGAACGAGAAGATATAATTTGAACACGACGAGTCTTCTGCATGTTCCTGATAATACTCCTTTTGGTATGCTTGGTCAAGACAATCCCCAAGACTTGTCAGGTTTCCGTCGAATATTGTCGTGTGCCTCTCAAATGGAACATCGGTAACACCAATGTTATCAAAAAATCCCTGCTGGGATCCAAGAAGCTCAGAAATTGAATTGATGCCTTTTCCTAGGCTTGCGGTGCGATTGGCATTGAATGGATATTTATTCCTGGGCTTACAGTTTCTCTGTGTGCTCTTATTGCTTTGGAACTCATAGTTAATCTTCCAGAATGAGCCTTTACCCGGATTTACAGATGTCCTTGGGACTTTGTAGAACGACTTGTTGAGACTCAGGTTGTGCCTAATAGAGTTTTGCCAGCCCGTTTTCTTGAGAGAAAAGTATGGATGCTTCAATGCAATATAAGAATATATTTCTTTGAGTGTTAGCATTCCTTCTACACTGCTTTCAATCGCCTCTGTTATCAAATCTGCATATGACACTCCCGGACGTCTTCCCTTTCTGCATTGCTCATCCATGCTTTCACAAAAGTCCACTCTAGTATCGTCATCTGCATATTTTGATATTGAATTCATACTACCATACTTCTCATCCTTCCCAAACATATAAACAAACGAAAAATGTTTACTTTAATGAGCTTGATTGATTTCATCTATCAACTAAATGATTGCTTCCTATCTCGGATCAATACATATATCCAGATCTCCTAATCTAACACAACATTACACATACAACAAAAACCCAAATGTTTTAATCAGAAGCATTTTCTGTGAACAATCGATGGTCCACATTCCTGATACTCGGCCTTTGTAACCCACATCTGTTGGAATGTAGACAGCGATGCCAATATCGATCCTCCTATCCATACACTGTACTTTCTCTCAGGTGGTGCAACAACTCCAAGCTTGATCGTAGGCGGCGCAAGTGCCTTGATCTCGTTGTGGATCCTCTCGGCAAGCCCCGGATACATTGTTGTCCCTCCAGAAAGAACAATATTTCCATACAACTCCTTCCTTATGTCCACATCACACTTCATGATCGAGTCATAGATCGTTTGGTGGATTCCCTTCAACTCCCTTCCAGTAAGCTTCGGCTGGAACAAAAGCTCAGGTGCTCTGAATCGCTCGTTACCAATCGATATCATCTGCCCATCAGGCATCTCATATGTCTTTGTTATAGAAGCCAGGTGCTCAGTATTCCTCATGTCCTCCTCGTAGTTCAACGACACATAGCAAAGCTTTTCCTTAATATCCCTCACTATCTCTCTCTCAGCAGTCGTTGTAAACGAGTTTCCGCTCTCTGTCAGAATCAGCTGCAAGTAGTCAGTCAAGTCCCTTCCTGCAAGGTCAATCCTGCTAATTGCATATGGAAGCGAATATCCCTCATATATCGGAACTACATGCGATACTCCATCTCCAGAGTCAAACACTATTCCTGTCGTTCTTCCACTTGCATACAATGACAAAACAGCCTGAATCGAAATGTAGAATGACGGCACATTGAACGTCTCAAACATAATCTGTGTAATCTTCTCTCTGTTCGCCTTCGGATTAAGCGGTGCCTCGGTAAGAAGCACCGGATGCTCTTCAGGTGCAACCCTCAGCTCATTGTAGAACGTGTGGTGCCATATCTTCTCCATATCATCCCAATCATTCACTATTCCATGCTCAATAGGATACTTTATCTGCAAAATCCCTCTCTTTGTCTGTGCCTCATCTCCAACATATGCATCCTTCTGTCCCATTCCAACCATTACTCCTTTGTGCTTCGGTCTTCCAACTATACTTGGAAACACCGCCCTTGGTGCATCATCTCCTGCAAACCCAGACTTCACCACTCCAGATCCAATATCAATAACAAGCGCTTGGGCCATCTCAGACATTGGGGGTGTTTTTTTTTTTCTTTATGTACGCCTGACGCCCAAACACAACAATTTCATATATCCTATCCACTATCACATACCAAGCCCCAGGTGTTTCCTGATCGCAAGGTATCTTTGTGCAACTCTGATCATCTTTCTCCATCTGATAAACTCTAGCATAATCTTTGCATGTCTCTCATTCTTCTCCATATATGCACAATATTCATGCAGAAAATTCGAAAACACATACAAATTCTTCTTTTCAAGAAATATTCCTTTGTTGACAGGCATGCGTCTTGAAAACCCATGGAAACATATCCTATAAGGAAACCCAAGCATGTATGCAATTTCCCTTGCATAATCATTTCCAATATAAACACACTCTTTTGGAATAAAGTTCACATGGAAATACTCTTGATACATTGACTCTCCAAATCCCTCTACTACAAGATCCTTGCCTTGCCATGGTGCATACAACCTAACAGCGCCTTGCACCTTCTTTACAATCCTATAAGGCTTGATTCCTTCAACATCCTTTCCAACTTTATACAGCTGCTCTTTGGTTTTCAGCCTCACTACACACTCTCGTAGATACACAGTTTCTCCCTTGAACTTTTGACTTGCTGTTCTTTTGGGATAGATACATTCATTCCATCGCAGCATTGATTCAACAATGTATCTCGGGTGTCTTCTGAACATTTCTACAGTCTTAGGAATAATTCGCATTCTTTCATTGTCAAGATCATCAAAACACTTAACCATTCCATTCTCATCCAATTCAATTGCTTTGTAGATCTCTGCTTCTTCAATCTTTCTAATTGCATACTTCACTGCCAGGCGCTGTTTTGTGCATGATGAAAAATAATACGATTGATCCACTACTCTGAACATTGCATCAATAGACACCACACATGCATTGTAAATCTTGTGATGCTTGCTAACCATGTTCAGAACCTTGCACTCTACAAAACACTCAATCTCATCCGCAAGAACAATGTATATTCTGCTTGCAATACCAAACACAGTGCACAGCCTAAACAACAATATCATCCTCAGAACCTCATCTTCAAGCTCTTTTTTCTGTGCATATATTTTTAATCGCTCAAGAATATGAAAATCAATTGTCTCATTAATATCAGGTCTATCTACTTTCTTTAGCACTCTTACAAATACCCACAATATCTTGTGTAGCATCTCAATCTTCATATCATTCATACTCTTCATCACAACATCGGGCTGCTCAATCTCTTCAGCTGCATGTTCCTCAACTGCCTCTTCCCAGCTGTCATCTTCATCAATCATCTAGGGAGGGATCGCACATATTATCACACATTTCCATCTACACTAAACTGGACAGACATACTTAAAAGCACCTTATGTCCTTTCATTCTATCATAAACATAAAACAATACATCTTGAATTTTTTATTCATCAATTCGCCGCAAACCTCAACTGCGCAAGCATACTACAGCTCTTGCGCTCCATCCTTTTCATGATTGCCAGCAGATGCAACATTCTCCTCAGGCTTGGCATCTTCATCCTTTTTCTCTTCTACATCATTACTTCCAGTATGCCCTGCAAACTGCTTCATAATGTCGTCAAGCATCTTCTTGATGTCCTCCTCAGTCAGGTCAAATGGCTTGCTGGCTGATTCCTCTCCATTCTCTTCATTAAGCGCAGACGAGCTTCTAGACTCCGTGCTCTTCGGTGTCATTGCTTCATTCATCCTGGTGTGTAACTTATCTTTCGCCGTCTCAAACGCTTGCTGTGCTTTCTTGAAATATACCAGGCCTTGCCTGTACATGTTTTCACAGCATCCCCTTGCTCTGTTGACAAGAGCTGTGTAATTACATTGAGAAACCTCAGGTGTACACATCACAACTAATGGCAGGCACATCATCACAATGGCTCCAATCTTCATATAGGGGTATTATTTTGCAGAATTTAACACACGTACATTGCGCCAAACTTCCAAATCACCTCATATACACTCCCCACAAATGGCAGAACCAGAATTCTACTTCGAAAAGTACATTACAAATAGACTTGGATTGCGCGAAGAGTGTGAAATATATTGCATGCCATACCAAACAAACTCTTGTAAAAACAGAAATTGTTCAAAACAACATGTGAAGCTCAGTAGCGCTGTTGTATGTAAGCACTGGTTACGTGGACTTTGTAAAAAGGGAATTAAATGCGAATTCATGCATGAATACGATCTTTCAAAGATGCCTGAGTGTTATTTCTTCAGCAGCTATGGCGAATGCATGAATCCAGAATGCAATTACATCCACATAGATCCAAACAGTTTATCTAAAGAATGCGCTTGGTATAACCGCGGTTTCTGTAGAAATGGCTCATCATGCAAGAATAAACACATACGGAAAAAATTGTGCTACAATTACTTCCTGGGATTCTGTCCAAAAGGTCCAGACTGCGATTATGGCCATCCAAAGTCAAGTATGAATCCTATGAGAGAAGTATCACACAGTGACATCATCCAGAAACCATCAAACCTCGCTGCTTCATAAACCAAACAAATTAACTTCAGAAAAATCCAATAAAACAATTTATTCAAGAGCACATCTTCTACCTTTCCTTCTTCGCCCTAGTACTTCCTTCATCTTGTACATTCTTTTAGAGCCTTGGCACTCTTTTCGCAAAACTCTAAATGTGCCTCTGCAACCTTCTGTAACACCCCTGAAATTCCTTTGTTTCCAACAAAAAGCTCCATCTCATTCAACGTCTTCAGCGCACTGTTCTCTAGCTCCTGCTCCATATCACTTTCCTTCTTCGTCGAGTCTGGCGTCTTATTGGACTTGGATCTCCTTTCCATCTCAAGATCATACCTCAGATTCACTATCTTCTTACGGCTCTTATCAATCATATTCGACTTGTCCCTCAACTTCAATATCTTGTTAATCTGTTCCTCAAGCTTCTTGTTCATCTCATCCTTCAACTTAGATATCTCTGCATACGCCTGATAGTACTTCATTCCAATATCACTCAGGCCAGAAGACACTCCGATCTTAGACAGCTCTAGTCCAACCATACCATTCGTCTCATATATGTCGTGGTTGCTAAAATTCCCAATCTTCGACGTCGAAGAAATCAGGTTCACCTTCGAATACACTGACTTCATCGTGCTGCCTCCATACTCATACGTCTTCAGCCATGAAATACTCTCAATTATCTCCTTCAGTTTATCCCTGAACCCCTTGTACACACTCTCTGTATCCTCATACCCATTCACCAGCTTCACCTCTGTATAGTCAACCTTGTTCAACTTCATTGCAATTGACCTTTGTATGTCCTTCATCGTATCCTTGTCCATGGGCTTCTTCTCAACAAACAATTTATATTAATCGCCCCTTTTCATCTCCATTCCTTTCTCACATCAATCACATTCATATACTAATCACCTGATAATACATCCACATATCAAACGCCCCAGCATTTTATCGAGCCAATCAGCTCATATACATTCAGGCATATAAGGTACACTTCTCATCTAGTGTCTAATCCATCATCAGATGTACAGTGTTATAATCATATTAAATGACATCAGACTGGTTAGATATGTCTAAAAAGTCAGAATAATAATAATTCTTATATGCCTGTATCTGATCATGCATCTTTTCTTCATCAACCTTGTCGCTACTCCTTATTTCCTTAAGTTTTCCCTCTAATCTGTCAAACCTTTCCTGCAATGCATCGGTTTTCTTCAGCATCGAGTGAAGCGTAGATGTTGTGCGAACAGTCTTTGGAGACGCCACACTGCTGTCAGACTCAATCTTCTCATCCTCCTTCAAATACTTTACATTGTTCACGCTCTCAAACGGATCAGTCAGTATCCCTTGCTTAATCTTATCCTCTTCATTCATATATCTTTGATTCTTTCCTGATTCTTTCCTGCTAAAGCCCATTCTATCCTTACCATTCACATCTATATTCACATCATGTGTTAAGCTACTGTAGAAGCTTTCAGGAAGGTTGATATTGATTCCTGATTTTGTTGCTCCGATCTCGCTTCCTTTTCCAATAGGCACATTCAATCGAGAACTTATACCACCTATTCCGTGCTCTATTGTCTTTCGCTTCCCTATTATGTCATATCCATTCTCCGCATCTACTTCCACACTTTCATATTCATTCTCAAGAGTAACAGGCATCAAACTTTCAAATTTAAGCTCTTCATCATTTCCATATTGTACTTGCCTCTCAGAATTTTTGCTCAGCGTAAACTCATCTTCCCCATCATTCACTGTCTTAAAACTTTCATTTCCGTCTCCATGGTTCTTGTTTTCTTTAGTGTGCTTACCAGCTCTCAATTCGTATATAATCCCTTGATACTCTCTGCTCTGCTCTAGTAATTTCTCCACTTTGCTCATCAGCTCATTCGTGATTCTGTTGCTTGCTTCAATTGTTTTGCCTCTTTCATCTTGTAGCCTTGCGACCTCTCCTTTCAACTTATCTGCCATCATGCTCAGGTCATGCACCTCAATCCTCTGTTTCTCATTAATCTCCTTTTGTTGATTGCTTCTGCGCCTGTACTTATTTAGTCTTTTCAAATAACTCTTGTCAGATGCTCTGCTTGTTTTTTCATCCTCGACAGCAGTCACTTCATGACGTGCTTCAGGATCATATTCAGGAATCAAAATTCTATTTCCACTATCCCTTATCATCTTTGCTAGTTGGCTGTTAAGATACTCATTCTGGCTGTTGGTTGCCTTGTAAAGCTTTTCATAATACGAAGTCTTCTCTTTCATTGTTTCCAGCTCATTCTCTATTCTTTTTTCCTTTGAAATCAACTTAGAAAGCTCAGAATTGCACAACTCAAGCGCATCGTCCTTTATATCAATTTTCTTTCTAAGCTGTTCATTAACCTTCTCAATCCCAATAATTCTTCGACTCAATGAATCCTTTTCCATTTCTCCCTGTTTGATGACTTCCTTCATCTTAAGTATTTCCTCAGATCTGTCCTTAATGTGCTCCTTAAGAACACCTATTTCTTTTTCATATACATCGCACTTTTCAAGTGCCTTCTTTCTCAGCACCTCAAGCTCACTGTTAATCATTTTGAAGCTATCGCAATTCCTCTTCTCAAGATCTGCCTTTTCTTTAAAACCTTGTATCTTACTCTTCTGATCCTTAATAATTCTACTCAGCTCCTGATTTCCACGGTTTGCAAACTCAAGATCGCTCTCAAACTTATTTATTCTGATTTCAAGGTTAGTCTTCTCCTCAGATAGCCTCCTTATCTTTTCCTTGTACCCTTCTTCATTCTGCATCAGCTCACACTTTTCTTGAGATACATCCTTCAGAACCCTCATCAAAGACTCACTCACAAGCGACATCTTAACCTCACTGCTCAGAAGAACACTTTTCAGTCCATCACTGTCGCCAGCAGTAAGATTTGAGTTGATATCAGCATACAAACTCTGGAGATTTGTCAAAAGACGAATTAGCAACGGAAGACTGCTTTCATCTGTGTTTTCTCTATCCAAAGTGCTCTTTATACCTGGTTGCCTATCAGCAAGACACAGGAAGTTCTTTATCTCATCGTTGATTGCATCGTAATTGTTCATCCAGGGACATATTGATGCAAAGAAAGTATGTGTTTGCAGCATGACTGACTGGCAGAAACAATATATCAATGACATCCATGAAACAAGACGAATATCATAAAAATGCGATGTCCGGGAATCGAACCCGGGCCGACAGCTTGGAAGGCTGTTATCATACCACTTGACCAACAACGCTTACACTAGAAGCATCATATGATTTTGAAACCTTTATAAGCACCATGCAGTATCTTTCTATCCCATATTACTTCTATACATATATACAATACTTTCTATGCATTACATTATACCATATTACTTTATATGCATCACTCACATTAATTCTACGCATATGTATCTATCTACTTATCTAAACACAGATAAATTTACACCACGTATCTTTCCATACCACATATACATCATCCATCTTGCTCTCTATTCTCCATCATATATCATCAATTTACCATGAATGGCTCTTGAAACACACTTCATATCAAAACAGAAATCATCTTTCCATACATCTGATTGAACACATCCCCGTTTGATTAAACATATATATTTTTGTTACACAAAGCATGCATGGAGGAGTTCAAGAAGGAACGAAAATTTCATGATGCATGGGCATTCATCCTGTACATCATCCTTACACTCACAACAAGCATCACACTCGTGAAGGTTTCCACAGAAATTCCACTCGATGCAGACGTCATCCTTCCAGCCTTGGCAGTAAATGTTGGCATCATGATTTTCATGCTTACTCTGATCTATCTGGGATTTAGATACGCTGCTGACGGATTGATATTCACTGTAAATGTCTTGATTCCAGTATTGATGCTCATTGCATCAATCTTCACAATGAATCCGGTTCTGATATTCGTTGTTGCAGCATATGCATGTGTCTCCTTGCTGTTCTACTTCTGGAGCATCAAGCCAGTGCTTCCACTCATGACCATATCGATTCAGACAGGCGCAAAAATCATTTCTGCAAACCTGTTCAAATGCATTCTACTGATCATGCTTTCTGTATTCCTAATTATATTCCAGGGAGTTGTGTTCACCGGTGTTATTGGAAATGGAGACGATGGAATAGTCGCTTTATCGGCTATTATGTTCATACTCAACAACATATGGACATTATTCAACATCATGTACCTAATGCAGACAATAATATCTGGCATAGTGGTTGGGCATCTTTTAGATGGTGAAGGATCATTTACAGAAGCATCACACAATGGACTAATGGCCCTTGGAAGTATATCATTTGCAGGACTTGTCATCAGCATCATCAAAACAGCAAGGATACTTGTTCAAAACAACATGGATAGAAACAGAGAGACTGGCGCAGGAAACATTCTCAATGCCATAGCGCTTGTGATCCTAAGCTCACTCGAATCGCTGATAAACACAGCGAATGAGCTGGCATTCCCATACCTTGCATTGCACGGCACAAATTACAGAGATTCAATGAGTGGAGCATTTAACTTGATTCAGGAGAGACAAGGTGTTACGTTATTAACTAACATAGTGATGGAAACAATTGTTGTGTTCTGTTGCATTCAGTTTGTGTATATCCTGATCCATGGAGACGTGTTATTGTTCAAGGCATTAGGCATCGACAAGGTTTCTAGTTCTATGGCTGCAACAATTACAGCAATTGGATTACCAGTGATTATCTTTACATACAACTTCCTTTCTGTGTTTTCATCATCAACACTTGCATTGGTATACACATACATTGAGTCACCATCACTGATTGAAAAGTCAGAGCCTGAGTTTGCAAAGGCCATGGAAAGTGCTAAGTAACTGTTACTAATTAAACCGAATTAACTATTCATGCATTTATTTTTGAACTAATACTGCCAATACACATTGAATAAGCATACTTCACATATCTGAATAGAGTTATCTTGGTTTGTTTTTATTCCTGAGATGAACGATGGCAAAAATGACAATGATGAATACCATGAGTTCCATGAGGACGAAGCAATACACAAGTATGTAGAAATGCTGAACAACATGGACACAATCTGGAAAGACAGACACAAAGTGATGAACAAACACTTTGGAGAGTTATACATCTACAACATAGATGACCTGGAGGACAAGTCTGCAACAATCAAAAGACTCATCAATAGAGAAGTATCGTATCCAAATGCGTTTCTTGCATCCTCTTTGGGGTTCAATAAGAATACATGGAACAGAGAGTACGAAAGGATACTGAGAGAGATTGGAATGGACAAGCGCCCAGTGCATACAACCTTAAGAACGATGCTATTGTTTGAAAAGCTCAAATGGCTGGTTGTATCGTACCATGAAATGAAGAGCAAAAGAAGAGGCTAGGCGATGAAAATACAAACTAAGATTTACAATATATCAGCTGCTTCGATTGGGATTAGCATTTACAAAGCTAGTAAAAAATCACATGCCTGGATTATTCAGCAGGCATATAATAAATGAGATTTAATGCATTATGCATTACAGTCTTGAGATATGATTGGAATCTGATATAGCCAGATTTGAAACCCATTTAATGATGTTTACAGGTGTAAGCACAGAATGCTCGAGACAGCGATTGATTGAGATATGTGAGAATCTCGTGAGCAACAAAACAGTTTACAAAAGGCTCGAGGCTCTGTTTGAAGAGCTCAGGAAATCACCTACTATGGCATTTGAAGTTTGGAGTCACGATGCAATGCCTATCTTTCTTCTACAGGAAGTGATTGCACCATACACAATTATCAACACAAACAAGTTTTCTGAGGAGAATAGCTCAAGACTGTGCATGGTGTTAAATATACTGCAGATACTTGTTGGTGACACACAAATAAAGCATGTATTTGTGGATGCAAGGTTTCCATATTATATATACAGGTATCTTATGATATCAGACATTGACTCAAGACATGAGGTGTTGAGAATTTCATCATTAGGAGTGATTGCATCTTTATTGAAGAATGGAGATCAGTATGTGCACAAGCATTTGAAAATAACAGAGATTGTTCCTCTTCTTCTGAAGATTGTTGACATTGGACCGGAGGAGTCGCAGCTTCTTTCTGCAAATGTATTTACAGCAATTATAGGAAATGATGATGGCCTGAGCTATGCATGCCAGACATTCGACAGATTTTCTGCAATTAATATGATGTTCAACTCACTGGCATCTCAGTCTGTTGGATTGAAATCTACTGAGCTACTAAAGGCAGTGTTGAAGGTGTACATAAGACTCTGTGCAAAACCACACATACGAACACTTTTGAGCTCTAAAAGACCTGACGGACTGTTCTCTGCAGACATTGAGCGGTTTGTGTCATCTGATCCTGAAGCCAAGGGACTGTTCCGGAGGTTTGTTGATCTACTGGGGTGATGAATAAGATAGATGCTGAGGTGAATAAATTTATTGTCCGTTAATGATTGCAGAGCAAACAAAAAAAAGCAGAAGTGGTCCCTGGAAGATGACAGATCTGTTAATGAAATATGAAAAACTCAAAGGAGAAGCAGCAAGGATTGAGAATGAGTATTTGAGCAGACGACGAATTACGAGGCTGTATAGCAAGGAGCAGCTTAAAAATCCTTGGGGAGTGGATTTGTATCTACTGCTTGATCTTGACATGTACAGGACGCAGAAAATACCCAAGGATATTCTTAGCCATGTGGTGAAAGTAAAGAAGTATTTCTACCATCCTGATTTGCCTGAAGGAAGTAACGAGGCTTTTGTATTGGTTAAGATGGCAAATGAGATACTCGGGGATCCAAGGCTACGACTGATATATAACTCGAATTTTTTCGACGATGCAATTCCTGAGGATAGGATATACTATAGCGATGAGTTTTTCCATGTGTTTGGGGAATGTTTTGAGAGGAATGGGAAGTTCAGTGTGCGGCAGCCGGTTCCACAGTTAAAACCAAATGACGATATAAAATCTGTTGAAGAGTTCTATGAGTTCTGGAGCAACTTTAAGTCCTGGAGAACGTATGAGAATCCTGATGAGTTCTATAAAATGAATTTACAGGACAGATCACGATACACAATGAATCACCAGGAGCAGATGAAGCAGTCGAGGAATAAGGACATCTTGCGGATCAAGAAGCTAGTGCAGATTGCAAAGAAGCGAGACCCAAGAATAGGTAAAAGCATAGTTCAACAGGTCATGGAGATGAAAGTGAGCGAGTGGAGTGATCAGGAGATTGCAACACTAAAGCGATTGCTGATGCTATTTAATAAGACATCTAAGAACAAGTGGGAGGTGATTACGGAGAAGCTGGTGGAAATAACGGGAACCAAACGCAGTGTTGATGAGGTGATGAAGAAGGTACAGGAGATTGGAAAGAAGTAGCATCTGCAACCGTTATTGTGATAGGCTTGGCTTATGATGGAGGGGTTTTAGAATAAAATAATGGTCTTGAAGATTTGAGGATGATATAAAATGAAAGATTATGGGTCCCATTAGGGGTATGACGAGCATGATCTTGAGTACAAGAGCAGCATCTGCAAAAATCAGATATCTGATGAAAGACATTTCTAAGCTTGTGAAGGTTGAAGAAGAGCACAAGTGGGATATGGGGAATGATTACCACGAGCTCAGGGAGCTAGCACGGATGAATGAATGCGACTCAGTGATGTTTTTCCAGTCAACGAAGAGGATGGATGGACTATGGATTGGGATTTTAGACGGGACGTCTATTTTTTTTAAGATGCATAATGTGTCTACTGTGCGTGAGTGCAATTTTCCGGTGAATGTATTTGTGGACTGTGGATATGTGTTGATGTTCAGCAAGGAGTTTGAAGAGATTGAGCATTTGAAGTATGTGAAGGATGTTGTTGAGCATGTGTTCAAGTCTAACGAGACGAAGGACAAGGCGCTGTGTTTTTTCTATCTTGATGGAATGATATGGGTTAGATGTTACAAGATTGGGGAGGATATGGAGGAGATTGGGCCAAGGGTAGTTCTTGAGGTTGTGAAGGTATTTGAGAAGTGTTTTTCTGGCAATTTTCTGTACAAGGCAACCAAAGAGCACAGAGGTCAAGAAGCGGATTAAAATGATTTTTGAAAGTGTGTGTTAGGGTGTTAGGGATTGATTAGAGGTTAGATATTGTGGAGATATTTAATTTACTGGTTGATAAGAAAGATGAGCAAAGGAAGGAAAATAGAAATGGAAAACAAACAGACGATTTGGAAGCCGAGAGAAGATGTGAAGATGGATAGAATGCACTACTGAATATGGTGGTGTTTACAGGAAGATGAAAGTGCAGTTGCTGAATATAAATGATAGAATATACATTGAGCAAAGTAGAGATGCAAAGAAAAGTAGAATATTTAGTGATGCAGACGATGGCAAGCAAGGTGATGAGGTTTAGTAAATTTAAAAGCAAAAAAACAAAGCCCTCAACACATGAGTTCCAAGAGTGAAAGTGTAGCAAGCTCGATTAGTAGCTGTGATGAGTCGAGTGAGAAGGAAGTGATGCCAAGGAAGCGTGGAAGGCCTCGCAAGAATGATGGGACACTGGGAAGACAGGCACGGCAGAAGGTGAATCCGATGCTTTATCAATCGCCGCTTGGGTATCAATATATGGCACCATCTGGAGTGATGAGAGTACCTTTACAGTATGGATTTGAGAACCGATTTGATTTTAAGCATGGATTTGGAGGATATTCGCATGGTGCAGAGATGAAGATAATGCATGGAATGGAGGAAAGGAGGCCTACAAGGAGTGTCAGTAAGGAAAGAGTGCAAGAAAGAAATGTTTATGTGCCTGAGAGGAGACAGAAGCGCAGTGCAGCGATGGTTCGACGAAATAATGCGCCTGATAGTGAAAGCAGTGTAAGTGAGCAGAACGAGGAGGAGTCTGACGATGGGATTGAGAAGCTTTTGAAGTATGATGAGGAGAATGAGAAGTATTTTGTGAAGTTTCGCAACAAGAGCTACCTGCACTGTGAATGGATAGATAAGGAGGTGATAATGGCAACGAAGATTGGAGCGATGAAGGTGAAGAAGTTTAAAGCGACAGAAGTACCGTTCAATCCGGACTTTCTGAAGGTGGGCAGAATATTGCATGAGGACTATGATGGAGAGAAGGTATTTTTGGTGAAGTGGAAGGGGCAACCGTATGAGCTATCTACGTTTGAAACGGCAGAGAATGTGACGAAATGTGAGCTATTTGAGGAAGAGCTGCGAAAGTACAGGGACAGAAAGAAGATGCGCAACATGAGAGTTGGGATTGACTGGAGGCCACCTAGGGAGAACTTTATCAAATATGAAGAGTCGCCAGTGTTTAAGGGAAGCAACCGACTCCGGGAGTACCAGCTGGAAGGGCTGAACTGGTTGTTGAACAGATGGTATTACCGGCAGAGCTGTATTATGGCGGATGAGATGGGGTTAGGAAAGACTGTGCAGTCTGTTACGTTTATCAATACGCTTTTTACGAAGTATGAATATAGTGCGCCTATTCTAATAGTGACACCTCTGAGTATTATTCCTCATTGGGAGCGGGAATTTGAGGCATGGACAGATTTGCGGGTGTTGAAGTACCACGAAAGCAGACCAGGAAGGGCGTTAATTGCAGAGTATGAGTTTGTGCTTCGTAGGAACAATCTTGAGATCAGATTGTTTGATGTGCTGATTACTACGTATGACACTGTGATGGCTGAACAGGAGCATCTGAGCCAGTTCCATTTTTCAGTTGGAATATTTGATGAAGCACACCGACTTAAGAACTCTAAGTCTAAAGCTGCAAGCGTGCTAAGAACGCTGAAGTTCAATCACAAGGTGTTACTGAGCGGAACGCCGATTCAGAACAATATATCTGAGTTGTGGTCGCTGTTGAACTTTATTGATCCTGGCAGGTTTGCGAGCCAGCTGAGCTTTCTGGATGAGTTCAAGATGGAGAATATCAATGATGTTGAGAAGCTTCAGGGGTTATTGCGACCGTTGATGTTGAGGAGAATGAAGGAGGATGTTGAAAAGAGCATACCTTCGAAGGAAGAGACGATTATTGAGGTTGCGTTGACGATGATACAGAAGAGGTTTTACAGGGCAATTCTTGAGAGGAATATTGAGTTTTTGACGAAAGGAGGAAAGGAGTCTGCGCCAAATCTGCTGAATGTGATGATGGAGTTGCGTAAGTGCTGTATCCACCCGTACTTAATTAAAGGGGCTGAGGAGCAGATTCTCAGCGGGTATATGAAGAAGAAGAAGGAGAGGAGCAAAAATGAGGGAGATACTGAAGTGCCAGCTGGGGAAGGAATGGCAGCTGAAGGAGAAAATCAGGAAGTAGGAGTTCTTGGGGATATTGATGAGTATTATAAGGTGTTTATACAGAGCAGTGGAAAACTTGTTCTGCTTGATAAGCTTTTAGGGAAGTTAAAGGAGGGGCATAAAGTTCTTATTTTTTCCCAGATGACAAGATGCCTTGATTTGCTTGCGGAATACCTTACGTATAGGAAATACAAGTATGAGCGAATTGACGGAGGGGCAAGAACAGAGAATCGGCAAGCAGCTATTGACAGGTTTAGTGATAAGGAAAGTGATGTTTTTGTGTTTTTGTTGAGTACGCGTGCAGGAGGAGTGGGAATAAACCTGACGGCGGCAGACACTGTTATTATTTTTGACTCGGATTGGAATCCTCAGGCAGATCTACAGGCACAGGCAAGATGTCATAGGATTGGGCAGACAAGTGAGGTGAAGGTGTACAGACTGGTGACTGAGAATACATATGAGAGAGAAATGTTTGATAAAGCGGGGTTAAAGCTTGGACTTGATAAAGCAGTGTTACAGAAGATGACGTTTGAGGAGCAGAAGAGCGAGAAGACAAAAAAGAAGGATGCGATTGAAGTTCTTCTTCGTAAGGGAGCATATGGAGTTCTTATGGAGACTGATGATGCATCGAGTAGAAAGTTCTGTGAGGAGGACATTGATCAAATTTTAGAGAGACGTACGAAGATAGTGAAGCACAGCGATGGAGGTAATGTGTTTTCGAAGGCATCGTTCCAGGTTGAAGAGGATGTTGATGATCCTGATTTCTGGGAGAATCTCCTGAGCAAGAAGAGAAGTGAGGAAAGTGAAGGAAGGGTGCGAAGGCAGATGAGAAGACTTGCAAGGGAAGGAGGGCTTTCTACTGAGGAAGTGAATGAGATTGATGAATTATTGAAGATGGAGCTTGAAGACAAGGATGAGAATGTGTTTTATGAGAATGAATGTTTGCTGATATTCCTGGGAGTGTTAAGGTATGGATTCAGGTCTGTTGGGCTTGATATACTAAAGAGTGGAAGTGAAGCAGCAGATAAGGGAATTGTTATTGAGCAGAGTAAGCGATTTAAAGAGACTGAAGGGCACTTCAAGTATATTATGAAGTATAATGTTGATCAGCTGCAGAGCTCTAAAGTCAGATCTGATTTTTGTGATAGCATTGGAGAGTTTTTGGTGGATAATTATGATCCGTCATTATTTTCTAAGTTTGAGCATGTGTATAAGAAGTATGGAGAGAGATTTTTGCTCCGAGTGCAGGCGGTGATGATGCTTGTATCGCTTGTGAATACTGAAGATCTTATTGTTGAGAAGGTGAGGGGATGGAGTGGAGAAGATGATAAGAGGCTTGTTGAGCTTGTGTTGGGATATGGATATGATTGCTATCCTGAGGTTGTGAATAACAAGAGTGTGGATGATATGAATCAAAGGGTACGGAAGATTATTTCGACGCTTAGTAGGAAGAAGGAGATACGTGAGAATGACAATCTGTTTCACAAGGCAATAATGAATTTTGGAAAGATTACTGAAGAGAACCGTGAGAGTGTGGAGAAGTATTTAGGAGATAAGAATGTAGAAGGGCTTGAGGAGACTATCAATGGAATAGTTGAGGAGACCAAGAGACACAAGATGAGCAGCTCAGAGGTTGAGTGTTCTGATAGAATGGCCTGGTTTGATGGGGTTAGGGAGATGGAGAAACTTCCTACTTTAAAGAGAGGTATGCTGCCTAAGAATTGGAATGTAGATATGGTTTATGGCCTAAGGGATGAGCTGTTGAAGAATGGACTTGCTGCATGTATTGAGAAGTATGATGTTAATGAGGAGATGCTGGTGAAGAAGCTTGAGGCGTTGTTTTCTTGCAGTCGGTCTGCGTAAATAAAGATGTTCTAAAATTATTTGATATGAATGATGTGTCAATGGATGAGTGTTTTACTTTACCCTTTTATGAATGCCGGTAAGTATTTAATTGTTTTTGATATAAACGGAACATTGATTAAGAGATACCGTAAATATTCAGAAGAGTTAAAGAGATATGAGTCTATGGGAATAGTGGCGGATAAGGTAAGTGGTGCGTTTGCTTTTTATGACAGACCTCATCTTGATGTGCTTTTGAAATTTCTAAAGACACATGAAGTGAGCTATATTTTATGGACCACGGGGATGGAGAAAAATGCAAAGATTTTTGTGGAGCATCTTGAGAGTCTAGGATTTGACGAGCACATTGGAAGTTATTCGCAGATAGACTGCAAGGCAGGGAAGTATAAGATTGATTCGTCCGCGGATCTGTGGGTGAAGGATCTTGATATAGTTGCTAAAGATCATGGATTTGATGTTGAGCGATGCATTCTTGTTGATGACAGCCTGGACAAGTCTCTCTATAATCAGAATCTGATATGCTGCAAGGAGTATGATCCTGAAAATTATGATGATGATGGAATAATGGAGATATGCAGGTATTTGGACGCTTTTATTGGATGTACTAAGGAGTGCATTATGAAGATGATGCATAACACTGCATGATTTTAACTCTGTTGTTTGTGATTATACGGAGTGAGTAATGACGCGTGATAAATATTTGGAGTGAGTTTTAGAATTTAAATGGGGAATAAAACCGTTGCATGAATAGCGAGAGGATTGAGGAGATAGAGAAGTTTTTAGTGAAGGATAAGGAATGGAAGCATATGGGAGAGGTGGACAAGAGCAAGAGGCCTAAAGACAGTTTGTTGGCTCAGAAAGAGATTGATTTTAGACAAGGGCCGCCTCTTGTTCCGTTTTCATCGAAGCAGAATGACGAGATTGAAAGAGTCACGTTGAAGAGGATCAGAGAGGGCACATTTGACAACTATGAATACAAAACTAAACATGTTGTAGAGGTAGTCGATGCTGTGGACGATGTCAATGAGGTTGAGTGTGAGGAGACGAAGGATATTATTTCGCTGTATAATGAGATTGAGGGAGACTTGATGAATATGGTTGATTTTGGGAATAACGGATTTGTTCCGGATGCTGAGGTGAGGAGTGTAAGAATTGAGGAAGCAGGCATTAACAAAAAGAAGCAGAATACAAAGTGTTTGGATAAAATCAAGAATGTGACAGTTATAAAGAAATGAGTGTGCAGAGCGATAGTAATATGTTTATGCATATATGTGTTTAAAAATACAAGTAACAGGAATCTGTAGAATGTTTGATTGTGGATTATTTCCAAGTCATACATGTGTTGCCAATAAATATGATTTTGGAGGGAATGAATTTTATTTTTGTTGCGAGTCGTCTTCTGAAGAATCCGAGTCATTGATGTAATGGTTTGAAGTGCGTCGAGCTTTAGAATCGAGAATTTTGATGAGATCCTCGGCTGCCATATGTGAGATGTCTTCCCTAGAGATTCCAAAGTCATCTGAATCCAAGGATGTTTCACTCAAGCTATTTTCATTGATTTGATCTGACGTACTGGTTGAAGAGTCTTCGTCTTGTATGAAGTTAGGTGTACTTGATGCGACGTTGTTATGACTGTAGATGCTGCAATCTTGTTGGATGTCTTTGCAGTTGCATTTGTGATCGATTTGCTGAGGCGTGTTTTCGTATATTAAACCGAGATCGGTTATTGCAGACTCTGACGCTTGTAGGATGTGTAAACACAGATCCTCTATTTGATAGTATATCTGTTCTGGTGAGAATCCTTTTGTATGCAGCTTTTGATGTTTATGCTTTACAGAAATTTTTTCGAATTCCTCTGTTAAAACTTGCATGATTTTCAAGCCCTGAAATGGGTAAGATTTCAAGAAGGACCAGAGAGCTGAAGAAAAAGGAAAGACATCCTATTGTCAAGCTTTCTCTTAGCTACCCGCTTATAAAAGATGTCGAGGAGGGAGAGGTGATTGATATTGTTCATGAGAGGGGCCGAGGAGTGCCTGTTGCGATTGTGAGTTTTAAGGAACACGACAGCTTTGTTGTTGCAACAGAGGGCATCCAAACAGGTCAGAAGATCATGATTGGAGATGAAGCGCCAGCTTTGATTGGCAACATTACTAAAATTAAGAATGTGCCTGAAGGAATGGCGGTGAACTCTGTTGAGCGAGTTTATGGAGATGGAGGGTCTTTTTCAATGGTTAATGGAAGTTATACGCTTGTTGTGAATCACAGGAAAGAGAGCAACGAGACTATGATAAAAATACCGTCTGGAGAGAAGAGGCTGATTAGTAGCGAATGCAGATGCATTGTAGGAGTTGCTTCTGGAGGAGGTATCCATGATAAGCCTCTGCTGAAGGCATCTGTTGCACACTACCGAGCAAAGGCCCGTGGACTTGTATTCCCAAGGGTTAGAGGAGTGGCAATGAATCCTGTTGATCACTTGCATGGAGGAGGAAATCACCAGCACGTTGGAAAGCCCACTACGGTCTCAAAGAAGGCACCGTTTGAGCAGAGGATTGGACTTGTTGGAGCCAGACGTACTGGTCGTGCATGTGGATCAAAGAAGAATCTTCATTAAAATCTTGAGTGATGTTTTGGTGCCTGTGCGGTATATTTTGGTAGAAGTTGTGTTTTAACCCATGAAAAAGATGTATGATGATGTAGATGAGGAGGACATGAATGAGGATGAAGGACAGATGCTTATTTCGAGGCTAGGTACTCTGAGGAACATTTCTATAGACATGACTAAGGAAATAGAAAAGCAGAATAAGAAGATGTCTCAATTGGACCAGTCGTTCCAGCTCTCATTAAGCAGGATATTTGCAACAATCAAAAGTGTCAAGAACTCGTCTCCAAAGCGGTTTAGATCGTGGATTTATTTTATATTTGGAGGACTGCTGCTTTCTCTTTTATTCTTTGTGTTGTTCATTGCGATTTGATCTTCATGAAGGATAAATGATTAACAAATATAGACATAATCATGGAAAGAAGGGTTGTGATGTTTTGTATTGCATGCCAGAGGAAGTTCAACACAAAGAAGGCATACAAAGCTCATGTTGAAACTAATTCGCATCTAAAACATGAAGATGAGTATAGGAAAAACAAGAACCAAGTGCTTGAGAGGAACACAAGCAATTTTATTGCTGATTTCCAGTCTTATATTTCTCAGATCGTAGAGTACAAAGAAATGGGACAGGTATATAAAGATTATCTTAGCAAAAGCAGGTTTAGAATTGAGGGGACTTTATTTAAAAGCATAGAGGAAGTGATTGAGAAGATTTGTAGTGGAATATCTGTTTTAAGGCAAGATGGAAAGATTCTTGTGAAGCAACTACCCAAAACTAATGCCGATGCATTCAAAACAGCGCCGCTTCTTAATTTGGAAAGATTATCACAACCTTTCAGAATACGAATTGTTGATAAGAAGATAATAAGAAGATTACTGTAATATCTATAATTTATTGTTACCTTTAAGGAATTAAAGAGTACCTGTGATGCTCATTCTATAAAGTATATGACGAAGATGAATTATACAAAGCATGTCCATTCTTATATGATAACATAAATAAAAAATTAATATAAATAGTTTAAGTTTTCTATATGGCTTCGAGTTCTAACCTCCTGAACAGATTGCCAAACTTTGGAAGATATTCATTTTCCATCCTGTGGAGCATGTCCCTGGCATATATGTATATGTATCCTTTTTTGTTCAAGATAAAGAAATCGATCTCTGAACATACTTCTACGTAGTTGACATTACTTTTCTTCATGTGCTTGGCAACACCGAAAATGAAAGCTTCCAGTCTATCAAAGTTTGCCATAGATAGACACTTCACTGTCTTTTGCACACAGTCCAAGCTTCCTTCCTCATTTATTGTCCCAAACTTTATTATGTTCTTACAATCTGTCTTTTTAACAGTTCCTTCCTCTCTAGGCAAGTAATTCAACCTTGAATCTACAGCACGGGTTTCTATAAAATGCTCCTTTATTCCATCTTCTTCAATAACAGCCCACGGCCTGATAGTTTGCATATTCATTGTACTTGCGTTACTATTCGTAGTATTATTGCAGAAAAGTTTCTTTATCTTTGATATTACGTATTCAAACATTCCTTCACTATCCTTTACATCTTTGTATGGTCTGGATTGAAGATTCTCAGCTTCTATCTCAGAAGTGCCAGACATCAGATCTATCATACAACTATCACTTGTGTTTACATCACTCCTGTTGATTCCGCCATAAACACTTCCATTCATGTCATACTTCAACGAATACATGTCCTTTTTTGGAAATCCATCAATCGGATTCACTTTTACATCGTTCAGTTTAGGTGAAAACATTATCTTATTACTGTCTTTCGTCCTTAAATATATGTCATTACTCTCACCAGATTCTTTTGACTTTCCATATTGAGCAATATCTTTGAATCTAAATGGCGCACTATCAGACACACACGAATTCTCCACAACTGCTCCTAATATCATAGGTGGATTGAGCAATATTTTCTCAGATGTTTGACCGTTGATGCATGCAACAATGCATAAACTGCATACGTCCTTTTCCCACCTTGACAGAGAGTAATGAAAGTTTCCAAATCGCATTATTGCAAAATCTATGATCTTTGCATTCAAGAATCTTCTTGCAACGTTCCTCAAGCTTGCTTTTTTGTTCTTCGAGCTGTATGTTATCTTATTTTCTGGCGTGTATATAACCGATTCTGCTGGATTGCGAACCATCATGACAAGTCCTTGGTTTGTCTTTGATACAGCCTTCACGACACTACTGTTCTTCAGAAACCGCGAGCTTCTGAACAGATTGTGAGTGTCTGCCAGTGGAAGCATGTCCTTTCCAAAAAACTTGAACTCGTACGGATCAATTTCATTCGGAAGCATTAGGGTTGGACCATCAATTACTTTTATTCTTATGAGCCACAAACAGATTGCCAGAAAGGAAACTTGGGGTATACTGAATTTAGCATATCCTATTGGTGTATTTTACAGCTTTTGTAGTTCAAGTGCATAGATTGGATAGTGTAGTAAGCATTAATATGATTGGTTTTAATGATGTTTAATTAAGTTATGCTACAGATCATCATGGCTGAGGAGAATTCTACATTCACAAACAAACCAGTACAGAACGACAGCAATGGCTCTAAAGACAAAGAGGTACCAGATACAAAAGATTCAAGCAGCAGTTCAGATTCGAGTACATCATCAAAATCCAAAGCAAGTAGTTTAAAAATAGAAGAAGGCCCAAAGCTTATTGTGCCGGTTTTTGAACAGCGTGAAGCTCTGGATGAACAAATACAAGCCCAAATAATAGTTACGCTGTCAAAATTCACTGATAAAAGTCCACCTACAAAGATTTCAGAGTCACTCAAGAGTATGCTTGATAGCAAATTCGGAAAGGGTTGGTGCGTGTTTGCAGGTGCACACTTCTCAGGAAGCTGCACATTTGAGGAGAAGTACTTTGCACAAATAACATTTGGCACATACACAATAACGCTCTTCAGGATATTCATTCCCAATCAATAAATATTTCAGTGTAAATGTAAATAAAATCCATTTAGGCAACATGTTTAATGTTTTGTCTGCTCAACAACAAGAGAAAAGTCAATTATTGAGGACATTTTGCTTTTAGTATTAAACTCTGCCACTGTCTTTTCTCGAATGTTGACGTCTTTGAAAAGCACCCCGTCGTCAGAAACCAGGTTCAGAGTGCAATTTGTGATAGAGAGCACCTCTGCACCATTCGTCTGTATCCTAGATACCATGAATCTATTTTTGTCCATATCTGTTAAATAGACGTTTTCTGAATCATCATCCGGATGTGCCTTTGCAAGTGTGCATTCTATCTGACCATCAAGCTTTAGTATTTTGAATGTCATGAGCTCTTTGCATTCATGACATGTGACGCATAGGTTGACCTCTTCGCCCTTTTTATTAACATTACTGTCTTCGCTTGATATCACAACATTTTTTTCATGCTCTTTACCGCATGTGCACCTGATCCTGATTGGATATGACTGTGCAATGAAAACACCTTTTATATTCTCAAAATCGCCTTCTACAAACACATTAAAACGCATGTAGGGTGTCATGATGTTGAATTTATGCCATACATTTCAATTTCCAGCTATATAAGATTGTTATTTGGCAAATGTTTCATTGTTATTTTCAATTTATGCTCCACGAATGAAATTTAATCATGTTTATTGATATGCAAATGTTTGAGAGGGGTTTGTATGATGCCATAGCGTATATATTAATAATATTGGAGGGGTAACTCAATGCCTGTGATGGACTGTAATCATCTATTAAAGCTGGGAATGAATGCAAAGAAGCTTTTGGAGAATGGCAAGGGAATTCTTGCGGCAGACGAGACGCCTTGTACATTGGGGAAGCGATTTTCAAATCTTGGGATTGAAAACACTGCAGAAAACAGGAGGCGATTCAGGGAGCTTTTGTTTGGGGCTGAGCAGATTGATAAGTACATAAGCGGAGTTATTTTCCATGAAGAAGCGCTTGGACAGACTGACAATAACGGATCGATGCTAACAGGCGTGCTTTTGAAGAAAAACATTGCAATTGGGATAAAGCTTGATAAGGGATTGATCGATTATAAGGAACGAGAGAAAATATCTGTAGGATTGGAGGATTTGGATCTGAGGTGTAAATCTCCTGAATTCAAGGATGTGACATTTGCAAAGTGGCGCTCTTTGTTTTATTTTGACAATGAAATTCCATCACAGGACTGTATTAATGATAATTGCGAGGTCTTGGCGAAGTACGCAATAACATGTCAAAAGAATGGCCTTGTTCCAATTGTTGAACCCGAGATCTTTTTTGAAGGAGATTACACAATTGAGAGGGCATTTGAGATGTCCAGAAGGATTTTGAGCACTCTAGTGATGTATTTGAACTATGAATCTGTATACATGCCTGGTTTACTGATCAAACCGAGTTTTGTGACTGCAGGATCAATAAACAGCAGTGAATGTACACCGAGGAAGGTTGCTTCTTTGACATTCAAGGCCCTTCTATCAACAATTCCCTGTGCAGTGCCTGGAATTGTGTTTTTGAGTGGAGGACAAGGCACAGAGAATGCAATGAAGTATCTTAATGCTCTGAATTTGGAGAGGGGATGCAGGACATGGGCATTGAGCTTTAGCTTTGCAAGGGCGCTTACTCAAAATGTTCTGGAGGCATGGGCAGGCATTGATGAGAATGTACCTGAGGCACAACGAATACTGCTTGAGAATGTGCTTATGGCATCAAAAGCATCAAATGGAGAGCTTAAAGTTCTTGATGCTGAATGCATTGATGAATAAATGCATGTTTGCTGTGATTGTCTAAATATTGTGATATTTGAGTTTCATGTGTTGATGAATAATAGTTTTGGAGCATCCCTGAATTGAATGGAGGAAAACAAATCCAATGCAAACGATGAGGAGATCATAAGCTATCTGGTACAGAGCGGCTTTACAGAAGAAGAGGTTCAAGCTGCGATGAAGGAAACCGGATCCAAAGACATAGACTTTCTTGTTGATTCAATCATAAGCGCAAACCAAAACAAATCGCACAAAGGAGTCAAGCAAGTCAAAAGAGAAAGCACACAGGCAGTTTCTAATGAAATATCGGAGATTCAAAAGCAACGTAAGGATTCAATGCTAAGAGAAAGAATTTATAAAGAGCAGTTGATAAACCAGATAAAAGCAGATATGGCCGAAAAGTTGGAACAAGAGCGTATTGAAGATCAGAAGCTACTAAATGAAGCAATAGAGAAAACAGAAGATATTTCAGACTGCAAGATAAAGCTATGGCATGGAGATGGAACATCATCTATCCTTGGGTTTTCAAAAGAAAGCACTCTGGATGATCTTTTCCTGGCCATTGAGGCAAGACTGAATCGAAAAGGATTTAATCTGTTCCGAATGAACCAAACTACTCCGATTGAAAGGGGAGCCAAGAAAATTTCTGAGATTCCCTGCTTGTATCCAAAAGGAGTATTGTTTGTTGACGAATAAATCGAGATTTTAGTTTTTGTTTATTATTTAGCGTAGCTGTGTTCACGGACTACAATTGATTGATCCACTGAAAGATTAAAGCTGAATAGATCACCCATAGCATGGAAAATATAGATGTAAATGAAGGACTGAATATACAAGGAGTGGTTCTTGAACTCACGATCTTTTTATGTATCGTTTTATTGGGTTCATTGATATGTGCGAATCAATTCAACTTCTTATATAATTTTTTTATTCCTATAGCTTATAACGTAACCTTTTTGCCATTATTCATATCCTGGGTATTCACTTTGTGGAATAAAATTGTAAAGGGCAAAAGCATGGCAAAAAAGATTTTGCTATTCATGTTGCTTTTTTGGTTGATTATAGCTACCATTTTTTTTCCTTACATGATATATTCTCGAATTGTAAAAAACATTACACAGAAGATTTCTGAAGAACACAAGAAAAAACAAACCTATAAGAATGTATACAGTTTTATGCTTACACACATCATAGTAACATCAGGAGGCATGTTTCCTGGGCCACTGACTATAAATCGCAGTATTGAAGTTTGGATCAATGTGATTGCAGTAGCTATTCTTATGTATTCAATTGTATATTGTTTAATGAACGACTCTTCTGATAAGCAATTCTATCGATTTCTTATGATAGCAAGTATACTCAGCACATCTATACTGAAGGTATTTTCAGTTCTAAAGTATTTCATTCCTTCACTTCAATGTGAAAGATGGGACAAGTTCAATTTCAAGTCTGATTGGCCTCAAATATCTACATTTGTATTTTCACTAGTTGTATTTATTGTAATTACAAGCACAAACAAAAGTCAAAATCAGAATGAAAAATGGAATAATATATTTGGATATACATTCAAGTGAACTTAAAACTTCTGTTGATTAATAAACATCAAATATTTATAATTAAACCACTTTATTCAATATTCAAAAAATCATTATCTGTATATCTAGTACGGGTCGGGATCCAGAGATTTACATTCTTGATCAAATTGATTTGCAATTGCATCAATAATAGCATTACCAGCTTCACCTGGTTCATGATTTCCTTGAACATTGCCATTTATTATTTGTTCAAGATCACTCCATGCTTGATCAAATGTGTTCGACGGTTCAACATTTATTTTTCATGATCATTTGATGTACCTGGTGGTGCTACAAACTTTTCATTTTCTAATTTATCTGTTAATTCTTGTATAGCTTCGAGTATAGTATACCCACTGACTCTGATTGATGCATTTGTTCATCATTACCTGACTCATCAAACTTTGCATTTGAAGCTATTTTTGTATTTTCAGCCATTATTTTATCTTGTATCTCTTTCATTACATATCTCTTGTTTTCAAAATGCACAAAAAATGCTCTTCTGTCTTTTTCTAAATTGGCCAAATTAAGATACTTATATTTGCTATTGCCTTCATTAGAATCGTTATTTTTCTTAGCCTGGCTTGCCTTAGAATTACTATTTTTCTTAGCTTGACCTTCATTAGAATTGCTATCATCCTTGGCTTGCTCTTTATTATCATCGCGATTTTTTTCACGTTTGATGTTATTTCTACATCCAGCCATATATGCAATTTTTCGTTCTTTTCCAACATATCAACTACATTTGCTTTAATACGCCCTATATTGTTGCCTGTTAAATTCACTGCCCTTAGATTTTCCATCATAAGTACAGGTACACATTCTTTATAGGAGTTTCCTTTTGCATCAGTTTTATTTATAGTTTTCATTCCACATATCACTTCAGGTATCTTAGCAAACCCACAATTCTTTAAATCTATCTTCTCTAGTTGCTTCATCTTTCTAATGCTCATAGGTAAATCTCTCAATCCATAATTATTCCGAAGAATAACTTTTCTTACATTCAATCATATGCAAACACTCCAGTCCATATTTAGTCAAGTAATTATTACTCGAAACTAGTTCATTCATAATCACAGGTTTATTGTAGCATAGATCCAAAGTCTAGAAGGTATACTCACCATGTTTGTATTACTCAGGTCTATGCGATTAATCACTTTTTTACCATTTATTATTTTATTGTTTGGATTATAAAATGCATTATCAATTAACATACTCAATGCGTTCAGTTCAACTTGTTTATACACATCATCATTCATATTTAGTGTTGACTTCAAGTATTCAAAATTCAAATACATATCACGCTCGATTTCTTGTGGTCTTTCAGTTTCATTTGATTCATTTAGTTCTATTATGATATTTTTTATTTCATTATATAGATTTTCAATTTTTTCATTTAGATCTTTTATTTTACTATCTACTTAGTTTGGATTCTCTTCATTACCTTGTTCCGTCTCTAAATCTTTTTTATTTTTAATCGATTCCAAAAGGGGTTTTTGTTTACTCAATATTTCATTTGCCTTCATCTCTATCCATTTTTCATTACTCTTTATTTGTTTATTCTTTTCATCAATTTGTGTTTCTTGTACATCTGTTATTTCACTGCTATTTTCTTTTATATATTCTATCTCATCTTTTAATTCTTTTGTATGTTGTTGTATATTACCTATTAATTGATCTATATTAGTTATAAACTGTTTCAGATTGTATATAATATCAGATTTTATATATTTTATCTTATTTAGCATTTCTTGTTTTTTTCTCTGGCTCAATATTCGATTTTTTTATTTTTAATTCTTCCTTATATATCATTTTTTCAAATTCATTCACGCTCTCCATATGCTTCTCTATTTCAGGATTTATTTCTTGTTCGCTCTTTTTATTAAATATTACTAATACATTGTCAGGTAAAGAATAAAGGTCTCCATCACTTATAAACATTTTATATCTACTACTAAACATCTTTGGTTCATTCTCATATTTATCTTTTAAGTCTTTCTTTTTATCTTCATATTCATCCTTCCATTGATTCATAGACTCATCATCCAATACCTTGCCACTCTTATCAACAAACTGATCATAATTAAAATACACTTTCTCAATTGAATTTATAAGTAGTATATCTCTGATAAACTGTTTATGCATAGGTTCATCCTTAGACAGCTTAACTCCACTATTGCGTAGATCAAGTATACGTAATCTCTCATGAGTTTTAAATTTTATAATCTCATTATTTAATACATTTCCTGCATCATCAGTTTTACTTTCAGTCACATAATCATAAAATGCTTCAAAAGTAATTCTTTTGTTTCCTCTGAGAATCAACACCTCCAATGTTTGAATATTCAATATGCTCTTAACATCATTGTCATTGAACTCATTTATGCTAAGTTAGCAACTATTAGCTATGGTGCGTAATCCTGCATATCACCTGGCAGGCTTTTTATACCATTGCTACTGACATTTAATAGCTTCAGGTTTTCAATACACGAAGGAAAATATGATATACCATCTTTGGTACTTTGTTCCTTTTCTAATTTATTAAATAATGAACTAATATCTGCGATGAGGTTGTTACTCAAGTCAAGTATAACTATTTGATGTTTATATTCTTTGATTTTGAGGCTCTCTATCAATATTTCCTATTTCATTTGAACTAAGATTTAGTACAATAATACCAGTTATACCACTAATCTTTGGGAAATCGGTTATCTTATTATTTGAAAATGTCAATGCATGTAGAGCTCGTATGCTGTTAATGCCTTCTATTTTTGTCAATTTATTGTATGCTATATTTAATATGCGCACATTTCTAGCAAATAAATTATATCGATCTCCACTCTTTACATCAGTTGTTGAAGTCGTTTTGTTCTTATTAGTGCCCACATATCTAAGTTTATTGATATTATTGTGGCTCAGATTAATAAAGCGTAGCTTTGCCTTTACTAAGTGACATAATACATTTACGATAATGCTATTTCCCAGTTTATTGCCTCTAAAATTAGCACCGATCATATTTTCATGATCAATATAATTCTTAATACATTTATATTTTGAGGTTCATGATAATTTTCATAACTATAAGTTATCTCTTTTTTATTTTTATCTTCATGTTTATAGCAACGGTACAGTATATAAGTATACTTGTTTTCTACATTAGCAGCAACGACTGCTGTTGATGGTAATTTATCTGTTGAATTGGCCTTAGGCTTACTTTTTTTAGGTTTGCTTCCTGTAACATTCTTGCCATTACTATTTCTTTTTCTTTTCGGAGCCTCTATACTATGAATATAAATGCACTGCAACTGTATCATTCTTGATATCAACACCATCACTACGTGCACATACTCCACAAACTACATTTCTACATGTCATTTGTATATGCCATAAACAGCATATTCATTTATATATCATGCATCCATTCATCTATTTATCTTCCTTTCTCATTGCTCTTTATTACTCCTTTATTATATCGAATACCTCACAGATACATCCAAGCATATCTCTTTTACTTCACACACTTATACAAATACAAACATCAAATTAATAATTATTAGTTTTATTCCTACTCAGTACCTTAATACTGTAGTAACGTACTACCTATTATAATAGCGCTTCTTTAGCTTTATCAATAATCACATTAAAATGCATGCTCTGCATCAGGCATCCCACTACCGTTGATAAAATCATAATAACTACTCCAATTATATTCACAATAACAGCACTCTTAGACTTACCTAATATCTTATTATCATTTAAGCTCTTTTTCGTCATGTAAACAGCGATGCATGTTATTGCCATCAAAATACCGATTGCCATCATCACTATATTCATCACACCCATATACTCTCTAATCTTTGCATTTGCAAGTATTAAAGTTCTCATCGTTCCTATAACCAGACTTCCTCCTAGAATCACAACGTGATACCAAATATCTTGATTCTTACTCATCACATATCTCATCATACTAAGTATCATTAATACACTCACTGTTGTAGCCATCATCTTGTTAATATCATCAATACTTGTCTGATCAGCTCTTATCATGCCGATTCCTACCATCACCATCTCAGCAATAGCTGCTGCTAGGCAAACTGATACACATGCCATCTTTGCAATAACTTGATTCCCCATGCTGTCCAACGCGCTTTTCTTATCATACTTCACTACACACATTCTAAATGCATTGTATATCATAAATATTCCAATCACTACAGGTATGAACGTGCATATAATCCTTACAATTCCATATCCCATCTTTCCAATCTCAACAATGTTGTATTCATTCAATCCCACTGTAGTTAACATAATAAGTATCAGCAATGCAATTCCACAGACATTGAATGTACCATTGATGTTGTGATCTTTAATTGATATCAAATTATGGAGTTCATTAATACTAATATAGCTTTTTGAGGCTTCTCCATTCTTACCTATTATTGTTTTGATTGCAGCAGCTTTTAGTTTATCTTGATCTGTAATACATTTGTGATATTCTTCAATTTTATACACTACTTTACCTATTTCCCTATCATAAATATTTTTTAGCAGGGGTGTATACATGAGAATAAGAGCCTTTTCTGCGTTTTTTCGCCCGGTTCTTATATTTTCAATATCTTCATTAATTGGTAGATGCTTAGGTTCTCCGCTCATTTCTTGGATAACCATAGTAAGATTAATAAGACCGTCCTTAGTATTCACCATGCCATCGCTTTCAAACACTAGATCGCCTACTACATGTTTCAGGCTAATGGACATTAGAATTCGATCCAAAACATCAAACGCATATTGCTTATCCTCCTCGTCTTCTATCTTGAGTTCTTTAGTAATTGCTTTCTCAAACAGGTACTTCGATGGATTCTTCTTCTTTAGCACATTATCAATATATTTCCTAAGATTGATCGCATTATTATCTTCATTATTATCTTCCATTAATTTTAACACTTTATCACGGAACGTATCAAATTTCTGCAAACAATCCTTTTCTAATAACCCATTATCATTTAAGCAATTAAAAAGAGTATAATGATCATCATTGATTATTTTCCAATCATTACCAGCATTTGATAACGCTCCATTATTTTGATACATTATTATTTTTGCACATACATACAGTAGTTCAATCAATTTATCATTACTATATTCATATTCATTAACTCCCAAATCGAGATCTGCAGCATTAATATCAAAAATATGCTTAGCTATGATAGCCAAAGAAACATTTCCTTCACATTTTAATGCTGAAATGTAAGAATTATAATTATCAGTATTATTATGCTCAGGGTTTAAGTTGTTTGTTTTATATTCTTGACATTTTTCTTTAAGTTTGTTTATAATTGTTTGCAATCTGATCTTGATAATGTCCTTGATAGCTTCTCCACCATTATTTTTGAAAATACACAATGTTTTTAAATCCATTTGATATACGATGTCTATTTTTATATCTTCAGGTAAATCATTAAATTTCTCTTTGATAGCAGGAGAATACTTAAGCATCTTCTTAATCACTTCTTTATATTCCTCTGCATCATATTTATTCTTTGAAACGAGATCTCTTAGATCTATCAATACATCTTCAATAATTTTCTGCTCCATATATTTCCATGCTCCTTCTAAGATTGCATATGAATTTGCATCTGCATTATTTAGTATAGTTATAAAAATTTTTGCATCGGATTGACTCCATATTTCCTTTGCTTTATCTTTATTAGCATCTTTATTAAGGGCTTCCAGGACTTTGAGCCTTGAATCTTTATACTTCTCGTCATTTATAATTTCTTGGAAAATATCTTTCGTTAAATCTTCAATATTTGAAGAATTGTCGGTATTGAATTTACCCATCCACGTTTCTGTTTCATTATTTGCGTTCGTCATAAGGGTATTCTCATTTGTAATATTTATACATAATGTATTTTATTATATATTCTATATTTAGGTTATATATATTACAATATCCACTCCTATATTTCATCCAATCAAAATAATTATTATCCATAGCAATTTTACTCTCATTAAATTCACTCCAAAATATACCGCAATACCACCATTCTATATAAATTTTAATTATTTGTTCTCATTACTAACCACACCTTAACATAGGCATACTTTCATTCATCTAATAGACACCATTCCTGATTTACTACTATCCTGAGTTTCAATTGATTCTATTTTGGATTCAATAGTTTTCATATGGGTATAAGAAGTAACAACCAGCATCAAAAAAGTCATAAAAACCCACATAAAGTTGATTTTCTTAAGTTCAAGTGCATCTATTTTTTTCTTTAAAGCACCAGATCTTTAACATTCTCTGTAAATACCTCTACACGTATTTGTGCATTGTTTGAATTACCATTATTCGTGTTAGAATGTTGTTCTACAAACTTTTGTAAGCACAAATTAATTATTTCCTTATATTCAACACCTAATTTTTCACATGAATCGTCCACCATTTTTATAATTGTATCATAACTTATCACACCGTTTGTAATTTATCACTATGATTTTTTCTTAACAATTCATTCGTAATGGGATCAATCTCTTGCAACGCAAGTCCATACTTAGACATGAATTCTTTTATTTTTTGTATTTCCATATAAATTCTTATATTATTTATTATACTATGAAAATTTTCAGTTTTTATATTTTATATTTTTTACTTGATAATTAGATAGTTTGGTCTCGATTTCTTTCAATTTATTCTCTATTACATCTATAGAGTCAAGACTTTTTTCTAAAACTGTTGTTTTTGTCTCCTTCATTTTCTTAAGTATATCTTGCTCTTCTGAATTTTTATTTGTTGCATTAGATCATTTATTTGGCAATTTTCTTTTATTTGCTAAGCATCTATTAAAATCAAAAGATTGTATCTTATTTTTTAAACTTGCCTCAAGACCACTCACATTTTCTGCATTTATTTCCTCTAATGGCTTCTCTTTGTTTTGATGACCACTCACATTTTCTGCATTTCTTTTATCTGATAATGCGTTTGCATTCTTATAATCAAGCATCTTTAGTGCATTCAATACACATTTCTCTTTCAAATCCTCAAGTGCTTTAGTCATTTCTTCTTTCTTTATGTTCAAGTTTTCTAGTTTATCTATTCTCTCTTTTTCAGCATTTTTATATCTTTATCTAACTAGGATTTTAAATCCTCAGTAGACATGGCCAGCATTCTATTTAAATCGTTTATCGGCTCATACTGCTTGCTCTGTAGTTCATTCAGATTAACTTTAACCGACTTAGTGCCTTTTATGTTAGCATCAACCTTTTTGTCCATTTCTTTCGAAGCTTGATTGCTTGGTCGGTTATTAAGAATTCTAACTATCTACTTAATAACCTCCTCTTCATTGTACTTACATTTAGATTTGATTTCTTTTAGTTTATTTTCATTATTACATTCAGTAATAAAATCAAATATCTCTGCCTCATTCTTATTGTGGATATTTTTTATTATAGTAATAATATCATCAATTTTCAGCTTATCAACTTCTTTTCTCTTTTTTTCTTTTTACACATATTATCTATAATACTTACCAAGATTATGCTTAGTCTTCTCTTGTCTTCATCAGAATTTTCTTCGTTTCTTAAAGTAGAAATAATCTTCGGAATGGTTTGAAGATAAGTCTCATCCTAGTCTCAAACACTTTATTCACAAGCTTTTCTAGTAGCCATTCTTCCTGCTGCATCAAAAATCCTATCATCAATTCTCTATCTTTCCTTGCATTATCAACAACTTCCTCTGGTAGGTATAGACTCAGCCAATCATAAATATGTGTCATTATATTCGTTTGGACGTATTCAATAAGGAAAGATGCCTCCTCTTCATCGTGTAATAATATATCAAACATAAAAATATGCGGATTGTCACGTAATTGTATCATCACTTCTTCTTCTACTTCTTTTGGGAACTTCAGAATCACTTTCCCAATCTCTTCGATTATCCTCTTGACTTTTTTGATTATTTCATTATCATCTTTTTTGTTGTTTTGATTTATATTTTTATTTTCTTTATCAACCGATCCATTTATCGATGCATTATTATTATCTAACAATCTCTTTATGCATACCCATAACTTGGCCTTGTTCAAATTATTACCACGTAAAAAATTCATCATTTTTCATATAACTATCGTCCTGGAGTTTCCCATGCCTAAACTCATTCTTGATACAGTATTGATTTCTTTTAAATCAATCATTTTCTCATTAAAACATTTTTCACATTTAGATGCCCATTCTTCCATCGCGTTATTAAGATTCGTTTTATCTTCAGATCCTTCGTTTGTTCCTTTTTTAGAAACGCTGCTTTTTCCTAATATATACTCCGTGCAAAATGAAATGATTTCATGGTTAGCAGCAACATATGCGATATTCAATATATTCCAGCTACCCTTAGGTATGTTATTTATCTTTTCTTGATATTGTTTTATGCTTGGTAAAATGTTTTCGATATGCACTTCACGCATCGCTAAATATAGTTTATCAGAGATGGCTTTTGTGTTTTCCATTTTTATCCATTTATTACCAGGTATAAGTTTTACACTGACATTTAGAATATCATTCGGAAAACTAAAAAAACGAACAGCTTCTTTATAATAATCCGGAAACTTAGTATCATAATATTTCAACCCATCATTAAAGTAGTTAAGCCATACATGCGACTCACTAAGTACAGGTCTCATACAAATAATATTTTTTAAAGGATGTGTTCCATAATTTTGATCTTTTTCATCATATATAATTTATAATATTCATTGCAATCCAGTATTACTTGAAAATTGCTAAGATCAAAGGTACCCATTTTATTTTCATAGATAATAGTATTCCCTTTTTGATTTGATCCTAGAATTCCTTTCACATCTTTCCACAATAAACGTATACGCTTCTTTACTGTAGCCTTTATATAGTTATCTATGATACAAAGCTTTTTTGATTCCATATATAATAGACACTTCATGAGCATACCATTCTCTAAAAATATCCTCATAATTCTTCTTTTAACTTTCTGGTATATTTACACATAATAAATCATTGCAAATATACAAATATATACTCTTATCAATTATAGGACTTTTCATAAATAACAATAATGTATCATCCGTAATATTTATGTTTAATTCTTCTCTACTATAAGGCGTTACCAATAGATTTATATAAGCATTCAAAAACTCTTTATATTCAAGTGGAGTATTAATCAACTTGCCATCTTTCCATGTAAATGTTTCAGATTCGTTGCTTTGTGTATTATTTGCTTCAATAATTTGTGATATGTATATATTGTTGTGTTCAGGCGCAAGCTCTACTGGGCCATTATCAAACTTTTTAGATAAAAGCTTAAGGTCAAGTAATCGATATGGTAGTAAATTAACATAAGCTTCTAGATTCGCAAAAAAAATCCTGATTCCATAACCTGTTCTATTTTTTAAAGCTTCATCGATTGTAATTTTTAATTTTTGCATTTTTCCTTTGATCTGTTCTTTTTCATCGATTATGCTCTGTAATTCTAGTTGGCTATACTCATTAGATGCTTCTTCTTCAATTTTATACTTTTCATCTTTATTTTGAATGATATTTTGAGATATTCCAGTATTATTAAATTTCAATATTTCATAGAAAGTAATAAAATCCTCATCATTCCTATTGCTATCTTCCATTTCGGTGGGTGAGATCCGTTATCTAGATTTTGTGCATAATTTCCATATCTGTATCCTTATCTTCCATATCTAATTTGCATTATTAGCGATACAAGTGTTATACTAAATCACATATATATTCATATTGCAACCAGTTCGAGATATCTATAATCATATGTGTTTTGCAACCATTTCATATCAATAACTGCAATTTTATAGAAACATTGTCTCAACTAGATTGCATGTTGCTCAATCACACAGGTCACTTGGTATCGGATCAATGTTACTGCTTCAAAGCATACAAGAATATGCTGATAAAATATCCAGAATAATTCTGTATGTTCATAAGAAAAACATAAGAGCACAAGCATTCTACTCAAGAAACGGATTTATAATCAATCGTACATACAAAAATCAATTG